AAGAAAAAACAAAAGAATAAAAACAACAACAGTATAATAATATCACTAGATATAAGTAGATAGCGGCGCGCACGCAAAACAATACGGTAATATAATAGAACGATAAATAAAGTTATCAAGATACTATACCCTTTCTATATACGATATAGAAATAATACTAACCTTATATAAAAGCAATAAAGCTAAGCGCTCTATATATAAAACGTATTTACCTAGAACAAAAATTTCGTACGTATAAAAAGCGTAGTAGAAAAACCCTTATTACTATCTCGTAAGCGGACCGCTTACGATTTAGGAATAAAAACTAAAAAGGTATTAATCTTAATTCTAACGTTCTTCGTTAACTTACCTAAACTTCTCGAGGACGAGAAGTTAGGGGGAAGAGAGATAATATTAAGAATACACCTAGACCTTCTAGATAAGTCAACGGCCTTTCGTACACGAGTTCTAGGCGACCCAGCACTTAGACTCGATAGAATACCGAGCGTTAGACCACCTATCTAACTCAGTAGATATAAGTATACGACTCGCATTAGGAGAGCTTACTCTCCTTATACTTAGAGTCCTATAGAGACCGAAGGTTAGGATTATCTAATACTAATTAACGAAACCCTTTATTATTGTACTCTATCTATTCTTATTAGGCGTTCCTTATAAGAATAAAGCTAATTAATATCTAAAATATATAGATATAATTAAGAACGAAGTTAACTATATAGTAAAGCTATAAAATAATAAAGTATATATATTCTATTCCGATTAATACTAATTAGTAATAATTAGTACTACTTAACGCCTTTTACCTTAAGTTAAGCTAATTCCTATTAATTACGACTAATCTCTACTAATTACGTTACGTAATATCTAAGTTAGGCTAAATAAATTTAGTTTACTTTCCTTCTATATCTATTAACTATCGTTATAAATTTATATATAGTCTATAGATTAAATCTATTTATAATAAATATTTCTTAATAAAAGAAAGTAATAATATTAAAGATAATATTTAAATTAATTTATTTATATAAATAAAGTTTAATAGAAAGTAAAGTAAAGAAAAAAGCAACGAAAAATAAAAAAATAATTATTAAAATAAAAAACAATTAAAAAATTTATTATATTAATATAATAAATTAAAAAGAAAAGAAAGATTATCGAATAAAAAAAGAAAAGAAGGAATATTAAAAAATCTATTATATTAATATAATAGACTAAAAAGAAAAAAAAATCATCGAAATAAAAAAAGAAAAGAAAAGATATCGAAAAAGAAAGACGATCGAGAAGTCTTTTATATTATAATATAAAATTAATTTTTCTATTAGCTAAGTTTATTAAAAAAGTCTTTAGTATATTTAATATATTAAATAAATCTTTAGTATACCCAATATATTAAATAAGTCTTTAGTATACTTAGTATATTAAGTAAGTCTTTAGTATATCTAGTATATAAGGAACTTCTTTATTATATAAAATTAATATACTACGTCGATAATAAATATTAATTAAATAAGGTTATAAAAGAGTTTAATAGATAGCTAAGCCTTTATAAAGGCTATTAGAGTTAATAAAAGATCGAAAAATAAGGAGATTTTTCTATTCCCTAATCTAAGTTATACGAGTAGAATAACAATAAATTATATAGTTATATAATTATCTATATTCGATAGCGCTTAATGAGCTAAGTATAGTACACTAATTACTTTTGAAATTATCGATGATGGACGAGAATAAAACGAAAGGTGCACTACCTAGGTACACTACCTAGAAACTGAGAATGCTAGCTACCCGATTGGCCGCCTCACCGAGGTGCACTATAATTCTAGGGTCCTCTTGGATAGGGTTTTCCTCTTGGATAGGGCCCCTAAGGGATTGCCCCCGGAATCCAAATTCCTCCCGGGCGAGTCTCCTATAGTCTTGGCCTTTCAACCGCACATAATGGCACACTAGCCCGAAAGGGGCCTAGGCGACCGGGAAACGTATTCCACCCCGGCTAAATATCCCTCTCAATCTCTCAAATCGCGTCCGTAGCGTGGAGGGGTAGTTTTCTGGTGCTGATGAGTCGTCAAACGGGGAGCTTGCCGAGGTGGGTTGATGTTCTTCGGATATGCTACGAATCTCGTAAGGATATTTACTATCGTTGTTTTGCACCTCGTGTCTGCCTTCTTGTCATCCAAGGCTGATAAACCGTGCAGTCAGGCCCGTTCGTGACTCTACACATTCGTGGCCTCTTTCAGGGAAGTCAGGTCTCGCAGGGAGAGCATGGGCTCTTATATCGCCTGTGCGACGCTAAGTCATTTTCATGGGGATGATGCAACCCTCGGCCGCTGTCAAACGTCGAGCGTAGCTCTAAGTGGTAGAGCCTATCCTCGAATCATTTGGGCTGGGTCTATGGTTGTGGCCGCGGAAAAGATTGATTAACTAACTAATCTAAGAGGGAAAGACTGGCCGCTATATATAGTCACCCGTAACTGAGTGCAAGTAGCGGGGGTGTACTCGACTAGGCAAGTATCCCGACGCTAATACCACAGGGTCCGACGTCACACGTAACCTTGTAAAGGTGCGCTTACGCCACGATGGTGGGCACATATAAGCATTCTAGTGGTGAGGACAGAAATACGTCATTCGACCCATCAACTCCAAGGTTGGAAGTCTGATATTGCCTTTCGGAATCTCACCGTACATAACGAATTTTATAAAGCCCAAACCCCAACCGTCAAGCCCAAACCCCAACCGTCCCTTGATATTTAGTTGAAATGTTCAGAACTGCCTCTCTAAGCAGGAGGAGGACCAATACCTCTCAGAAGTCCATTTCCCACACTGAATCCGTCGTCGAGCACGAGGAAAGAGGACTTGCAGAACTCAAAGAACTATGCCGCAAAAATTCGGTAACCTGGCCAAAGAGCGAACTGGTGCCAGAAGATGCCTCGGATGACAACTTTGAGGAGTCAAATCTTTTGTAAGTTGAGGTGTTCAATTTCCCAGGTTCTACATAGTGGCGGTTCAGTCCCTTGGGCCTGACTTCGACATAGGCGTTACTTACGAGCACGAAAACACGACGTCCACGCCGCATTCAAGCAATATGCTGCATCAGCAAAGTGGCGCCATGATATCCAGTTAGAGAAGACTTATGATGATGTCGACATCACAAGATTTGAGACTGTTAGACGACTGGTACGGACCACCGCTGAGCTCCCGTTTAGCAACGCAACAACTCAGACAGATAAATCTAGCAACCTCAATGGACTGGCCGCCGAGATGCTACCGGGGTACCTATCATGGTATATGTCGTGTCTCAAGTCAAAGCAGACGACATCCTTGCATTACATAAGATGGATCCGACATTGTCAAGTATCTTCCTTGCCGCCGAATACGTGACCCAATTTGTGCAGCCATTATGCGGAAAGTTACAGCACGAACGTATTAATACCTCGATCAACATTATCGATTTGTCGCACGTGGGGGTGTCAACCTTCTGGAGGCTACGGAAGCTTCTTAGTACTGCTAGCAATATGGCGACAGCTCACTATCCAGAGACCGTAAAAACAATATATGTGAGTACGATATTTCTCTATGTTCCCCTCTCCATAAAGGAATCTTAACTCTTACTACGTTGTGTAACGCTGATCACACCGAAATAGGTCGTCGGTGCTCCGAACTTCTTCCCTACTATCTGGAGATTCATAACCCTCTGGTTCGAACCTGCAACCACAAGAAAAATAGCAGTTCTTGGTCATCGAGAGTGTGCAACGGTTTTGCGCCATGACCTCGGTCCTGAGAACGTGCCGAAACGCTTTGGTGGGGATCTAGATTGGGAATTTGGCGGCTCCCCTGAGCTCAGTCCAGATGCTAAGGCGTTAAGCAAAAAGTGGTTCGACAAATGGGTGGAGGGTCCGTTGCGGATCATCGACGGCCCTGGCGAACAGTGGAGGATCATTGCTGTAGGGTCACAGAACGGCGAGTTAAGAAGAGAGGAGTTATAGGGCGCCAAAGAGTTATGCACCTCCACGAGCCGGGTGGGAATATGAGACACCCTATGCTCTGACGGTTACAATCTCAAACGTTACTGTACCAAATTGCCCGATGTCGGTCAGAATTGAGTAACCATCCTCGTCGTCGCCTTCGAGATGCCAATCAAGAAGCATCAGTGTTGATTCTCCGAAATCAGCGAAGTTAATGGCTGACTGATTGTTAAGCAACAGATTATCTCACCGGATATCGGCGACTATAATACGTCGCTGATGGATGTACGCCAGTGCCTGTGCTATGTTGATAAGCTAGAATAGTTGCGTCTTTTTCCCGGGTCGTATTTTAAACGTAGGCAAGTAATGTCGAAGATTACCATTCACTCTGAGATCCATTTGAATTAAAGGGTCAACCGATAACAAGTTATAATATCGCATGATCTCGGGGTAATTGCCTAATCTTTTATAGATAGCCCGCTCACGCTTTGATAAGCTAATACGATTAGACCGTATATCGTGATCGCCTTCTTTGGAGGTTCAACTTTGGTCCACCACAAAGACTCCGTCGATTCTGAATTCCTGGAAAGTCGGGGTATCTTAAGCACATACAGCCCCTGCTGAATCACGATCCCAGTTCTTCCTACTCCGATGATCTTCTCCGCCACTCTTGTTCCGTCTAGATGCACAAACTCCGCTGTCATCGGCGATGAGTGTTGATAGATCAAGAAAACAAAGAGTAGGGGAGTAGACAAAGAAGGAAACTGGCAGGGGGCTTAACCTAGATAGAGGTTGCCAGAGGTATTAAAAACATTGAAGGTACTTTTCTTCGTCACACGCTAGCGAAGACTGTTTCAAGTCCAGGCGGTTCAAATACTGGAAGAAAGGATCGGTGTACTGTGCTATCTCCGCCATGGGTGAAGCCATGTATGCACCACCGATGCTGAGCTCAACTTGAAGCTTAAGAAAATGTTCGTAGCTCCTTTGTACTGTATCTGATTTGAGGTCCTTCGATAACAGAGTCTGCCCATCTCCCAGCTTTCATGTTAAAATGACGTGGCTTCCCTTCAATCGCCCGGCGACTTTATTCCAGTCCGCGACCTCTGAGAACGATATCTGTGAATCTCTCACAATCCACCTTGTTGCTTTCATGTCTAAGAACTTCTCTTCATCACTATGTGTCTCTTTAACAGCGTCGGTCTCGAATAGGCGGTTTCGTGCCTTTTCATCAACAAACCATGTCTCGCTGAAACCATCATAACCTTCAGCTTCTCCACTCTCCGGAGATGCTGTTACGGTCGATCCAGTATCTTCGGGTGAGAGGTGATGCTGCACATATCGGACAATGTACTTGTCAATATCGGGAAGTGACATAATAAGGGGGCCATGGACGGTGGACCAGTGGCGGGAGAACTCCTCATGCGTAAGCCCAGGCTTGCGCTTATAGAATCCGAGTACTATGACCACCGTTTTCCTCAAAGCAAGGTTCCTGTTCTTAGATTGACCAGCAATTGGATAATTTGCTGGATGTGTCTTGCAAGGGATATACAAGGACAGTTCCAAGAAATCTGGATTTATATTTCAAATCAAAGAGCAAATTGCTATCCATTAAATAGGGGCATGCATTCTGCTATTGGAGTTGTGCCGGGGCGCACAAACTTCAGATTTTCCGGATATATCCCGCGGCCTACTATGGTTTGCAGGCTAACGTTGCCAATAGCCCGTCCTTAGCCCGCCCTGATCTTGTTTAGAGAATCTTACTCGCCCATGATCAGTATACTGAGCTTCTTCATACTCGCGACGTACTCCGCGGAAACAACACAATGATGACTAGGGAGAAGGGCACGTCGGTTGTTGTCCTTGAAGAGCATGTGTACCGGCCTGGAAGCTTCCCGGTCCAGATAGATATCTTGACGCGCTTCATGTTCTGGGGTTGCATATTCGGCACGTTGATCTCGATCATGCTTCTCCAATCTTCAGGATTGAGTGCAGCTCGATGATCGTGGTCATTATCGTGACTCCCAGTGCACCGAGACAACACGATTCCCGAAGAAGTGACCTGCCATGTTGACACGATGACGTCTGAGAAGAGCACACACTCCGGGAGGAAGTCTCGGTCCATGATGCTGAAGTCGATGTCGCTGAGGGCAATGCACAAGAACAGGTTCAAGAATGGGATTGTCAACACCATGAGCAGACACAGAATGGTATGTTCGTGTGGGTTCATAAGGTCAGATCATGAGGAATACAAACCGCTACACGTACAACACATACTGCTGGTTGTGCTTTTGTAAACCATTATCTAGTAGCACCTCAAAGCTATTTGCTTGCATATGTACTCAGTGTCATGCTAGTCTATGTCGTTGACCCCGCCCCGTACATAAGGTTGTCGATGCACATCCACCTCTTCGCGAACAGCTGTACGCGCACGCTCTCGCCAGTGTACTCGTTTTCATTGAAGACCCCTGTCGTAAGTAGCTGCGAGTCGGGCCCCTGATGACACTGAAAATCACGTTCTTGTATGCTGTTGCGATGTTACTCGTCGTCATACCGTGGGCGGTCATGGTATTCGGACACTTTACGTCTACGTTCAAAGATCCACACGTTCCCCGTCTTGTGCTGCTCGATTTTCCGCCTGTCGCACCTTAGCCCGGACGACCACGGGAGAGTACAGCTGAAGTCGTTGCTCGTGCATCCGAGACAGGTCGTGTGGGTGATGCACATTGTCGACTTGGTTCCCGGCTGCCTGCTCAACAGCTGTGCCGGTTTCGAACATCAACACGAAAATGAACAGCTGTTACGTCACCCCAGACCGTAGACAGCAACAGTGTGCGGAAGCTGCACATAGCAGGCTCGTCCTTGATAGCTTGACCGAGGCCAAGAAGGCACTTGATGAGGCTATGGCTGCCAGTGCCGGTTGAGGAGGGCGGCTGGAAAACGCCATCTGCTGTGGCGAACTTGAAGAAGCGGAGTGGGATTCAGGGTGATGATACGCCGCCGGTGTTTCCTTTGGATGCTGAGTAAGGAGGATATGGTCTATGACGGCTCCAAGAGTAGTAGATCATGATTTAGATATACGGAATCTCGGTTACAATCCTAAATCTCTGGGGCATGAAGGGCGGGGGCGGGGGTGGGGGTAGGCGTTAAAGCCTCGAGAAGCCGAGGAGTTCTGGAGGTGTCATTGCTCTTGCAGCGTAGAATTGCAGCTAGTGGAGACCTAGTACCCATGGAGATGGAAAAGTTGCCAATCATATCAGGACAAGTTAGGTTTGATGTCCTGCTGTCAGCCTAGGTCGCCGTTTCTGCGTCAGCAGCTCGTCAGAATCTCCCTCCGGCCGACTTGACCCTAAGTTGACATTGTACCCCTCCAAGGCATCAACCACTTAAATGAAGGGGATGGAAGTAAGTGGCGCAAAAGACTTGGGACGCCTAGATCTTTCCCATTTTCGCGTCCGAAATTCTCCTCCGCATTCTGCTTTCCTGCTCTTATGTTAACTCTCACTGATTTCGGTCAATACTAGCGTCCAAGAAGCGATAATCGAATTCCCTACAACAAGTGAATAATCTTGGTTTGAATAGTTTTGTCAACGGCTGAGCAAAGCACCAGCAATGGAACCCCTCCATTGTCCAATCTGCAAGAGCACTTTCAGCCGTAAGGAACACCTGAGACGTCACATAAGTATCCGTAAGTTTGACTCAATCGACTCCGACCGGCCCCTCTTCGTAGAAGTCATCGTCGTTATGCGGGCTGACGAGTATAAGATTATAACCGCCGTCAGTTTGTGTGCGAAGGATGTAGCAAAAGTTTTAATCGAAGGTAATGGCCACTCCGCGCTGCTCGACATTCGACGTCATCATCATGAGAACACAGGACTGATATGCCTGCCGGTCATTAGAGACATCCTTCGCCGTCACGTTGATGTTTGTACACTGTCCAATAATGACACCGCTTTGTCTAAGCACGTGTTGCGCAAAAGCCCTGGCCTGGTCTCTGGCCAGGAACGCCCGCAGGAGCTCGAGGAATCTCTCCCTAACGTCGCTAATCTCTCTCCTCCGCCATCCTTGGACCATTTAATCTGCCAAATGGAAACCGACTCCTATCAGGAATCTATTCGCTGTGGTGCATCTCGGTCACTTGCCATCTTCATCCGGATTATATCAACCTTTGACATCACAGGAATCTTTGATCCAGATTTCACGCTGCCTGGGTCATTTTCGTCTCGTGAAACGAGCCTTTATCACTCACAGGAAAGTCGAACGTCCACCTGGGGTCTCCCCAGCTCCGTCACTTTGATGGACTTTAGCGGTGCCACGGGCGTGTCCGTCTCACCTCGGAGCTCTGCTTGTGGCGATGAGGCTCCTCCAGTCGCCTATCAAACATATGACCTGAATTGCGAGAGTCCCCAATTCGCAATGCCACAGCCCACCGAAACCTCGATGGAGTCTGGCGAGCCCTGGATTCTTCCGTGCGAGCCATCACCTTCCCCAGAGCCTGACGATTGCTTGTGGGTCAGCAACGAGATCATAACGAGGCTAAGGGATGGAATATCTCAGCAGAGCTTATCGCAGTCTCCATACCCACGCGAATGGAGTTCTTGGCTCCAAAATGATTGCTTTGCTTTGTTTGGGCCGAACAGCCTAAGGAAATTCACGGAAGAATACTGGAGCACATGGCATATCCACTGGCCGGTCATACATAGAACAAAATTTCGCATACCGACTGCCTCGGCTGCTCTCGTCGCTGCCATGGTACTGCTTGGTGCCAGTTATTCTTCAGATGCCACTACGAGGGGACGTGCCCGTTATTGGGCCGACTCTGTCGAAGCCATGGTGTTCGCAGACGAATACTTTGGCAGTGCCACTGTTTTCTCCGCCTTAAATGCGGCGTGCATGGAAAGGCGCCTGCGAGCACTGCAAGCTGGACACGCTATGTGCATATATCAGACATTTGAGGGAAACACCATGGCAAGGCGAAGAGCAAGACGTTCCCGATTCAATGAAGTTGTTGCTGTAAGTTCTCCGGATCCATAAGTTATTCTGCACTAATATATCGTGAGATGGCGCGTGAACTGGGTTTCAAGAATGGTCGACACGAAAATCTCGAACATGTCACAATAGACATGTTCAGGTGGGAGGAGTTTATCTTGAAGGAAGAGCTCATTCGGTATGAAACCTGCTGTCATCGTCCAGACCGACGACGGGGGCTAAGTATTGACTTTAGAACTCTTGTGTATATGATTGTTCTTGACAGCAGCTTTGTTATCCTCTACAATACAATTCCTAGGGTCATGGTCTCGGAAATGCAGACGGCCGTCGCCTGCCCTGAAGCCTGTTTTCAGGCCACCACCGAGTCCGAATGTCTCCAGCATCTTCGTGCCTGGATGTCACACCCATTGTGGAAAGGACGGCGCATGTCCATTGCCGGCGCATTCGAAATTCTGAGCGGAACAGACCTGGACTTCCAAACACAGCAAATGTTCGCACAATTCGGCGATTTAAATCTATATATTCTCACATGTGGTATGGTTGCTAGAACTCCAATGACATGTCTTTGTGAGCACCGCTAACTATGGAGGCAGCATTCCACTCGACGGTCTTCTACATCAGAAATTTTATTCTGCCATTCGATCACACAGTATCTATAGCAAACTTCTCCCGGAATTGGAGGAGGATATGGACGCTACGCAAATTATTGAGATTTAGAGAAGCTTTTGGAACCCCTGCTCAAGCCATGGAAAATGAGGCTGTGCGAATGGAAAGATGGAGACAGACCGGCTTCATGAAAGAGGCCTTGCAATTCTGGCTACTCGGACAGATCATGTTGGAAAGCAAGAAACCCAGCAAAGTGGACAAAAATTCGGAATTCAGCAACAACAATGCTCCCATTCAATTCGACCAGCCATGTATGAATGACCTCAAACAATATCTCAGGGGATTTGACAGAACCTCGACCTGTAAATGAGAGCACATTTCCGGGGAAAAGGACAGTTTCATCATTGACGCTCTGAAGGTATTGCGGTGCCATTAAGCAATCTCGGGTCATGCGTTGATGCGAGCGACAATTCGAGCAACACACATCCGGCGCCATTGCTTCCTCATAGGATCTCACAGCCACAACGTGCTTTCTCGTTAATGGGGAGTGCGGAGAGCCTGTCCCTGTCTCTAACGGAGGCTGGTACAGGCAATATGATGTCTAGCGCATACCTATCGAGGCATTACACTCCTCTGAATCACTCCAATATTGGCAGTCAAACCTGTTAGACGACGGTCATTAATGGGACAGGCAGCTTGCCATCCTTCCGCATTCTTCAAAGAACCCTCGTAAAAGCAGTTACAACCGATACTCTAGTGATGGCAGCGTCCCGAGGTTGGATCATGGGTATCACCAATCCTGTAGTTTGCCATGTTTAGCGCCATCCGAGGTGCAGATGCAGTTTTCGCACTAGGATTCTCCTCCTAACGCCCTGAGAGAATGCTAATTCCAGAATATTCGTGCCAACGACTTCTTAAGCATGCCTAAGCACATTCATGACTCGCTGGATTTAGAATTGTGTAATATGCGTAGGCACTTGCACTTCACGATAACATTCTTCTGCCTAATTTAATGGTGGGATCATTTTCATGGCGGCAAATTCCTCAATGACCTCCCGATGAGATAAGATCGGATCAACATATCCATTCCAACCAAGCTTTCTTGCTTTTGTCACACTCAACGTAAGAGAGAATGGAGGCAAGACAGCAAAGTCCAAAAATTCGAAAATTCGTTGCAGGCTCTCTCCAAACGGGTTGCCTCTCAAGCCGTGTATCTCCATGAGTTCTTTCCAGGCTGTTTTGTTCTCAGGTCTCTCAGCCCACTGAACAAAGCTGAATTTGAATCTGAGGATTGGCATCGGAGCAATGCTGTCTCTTGTCAGTGCACCAGACCTTTGGGGGTTGTCAGTAAGTTACCTCAAGTTTTTCTTAAATCCCATCGGAACCTCTTGAAATCCTTCGGTGCCAACTTCTGGTAACGTATAATCGATGCCATACCAACCTGCCAGCTCCAACCATAGCCTGCCGTAGGTGAAATAACAAGCATCTGCAGCGTTAAACGCCTGGTTTTTAGCATCTTCGTGCAGAGTCAAGAATTCGGACAAGTAACTATTGAGCCATGCACTCGACTGGATCACTTCCCTCTCCCAGGCGGCCACGTCACCAGGCCAAATAAGTTTTTCTCCTTTGTGTTTTTGCACGGCTGCGTACACCGCTAATGGGTAGACCGAGTTCATAGCGGCGTCTTCCACTGCACCTATAATGAATGCAGGTCGTACGACATTCCATTCGACCCCAGTTCTGCGAGAGTATTCAGACAAAAGATCTTCTTGGACATAGTAGAAATTAGGTTCTGGAACTCGTGGATCAGACTCTATTGCAGGCAGAGCAAGGCCACCACCGTAGTATTTTGCACCAGTTTGAAGCAGGAATCGTTTTGGTCGAATAGATGCCAAGTCAAGAGCCTGGAAACAATTTTGAAGTAGTTGACCTGTAACGAATTAGCACGGCGAAGCGATGATGTCTCATTATCCATTCTGTGAACCGTATATACTGACCATTGACTTTGCAAAGTTCTTCGGCGTTGGACCATAACGAGGCCCCTTCTTTTGGGGTCGGTTGCATATATGCGAAAAAGAACACAACGTCGCTGCTCCCTGTTAGATGCAGATCCATCCGCCTTCTTTTGAAGATTGACCACTGACGCTTGAATATGTTCATTTTTCAATATCTGAGCGAGGTCCTTTGGCTCTTGTAGAAGATCTGCTTGGACGTGCCTAACGTTCTCGGAAGAACGTTGACTTGCAGATGGAGGACGTCGAGACAACGCCACGACTTGGCTCCATCTCTCTGGAGAGCGAGAGAGAGCTCGCACCATGTAGTTACCAGAGATGCCGTTAGCACCGAAAACCAGTGCCTTCAAACCTTTCACAGTCGAGGGGTAAGTAGGTATACCCCAGTAGATTCCCTGTGTTTCTACTGATAGTTGCGCCATCTTGAGTTGGTGCTCTTCTAGAGAGGATAATAGGTTTAAATTCAGGATGAACAGACACGGACAAGGGTTTTCTGTCTCAAATAGCGCAGCAATCTAGGATGAGTTGCTTCAATATATATCATGGTGAGTTATGGTCTGAGATATACTGAGCAACACGCGAGATGGATTGTATCTGCCCCATCTACAATGTTACTGCCTAGGACCGAGATCAACAGTGGATATAACGCGGCGGGGGAGGGGGCGGGGGCGGGTCTCCATCCGAAATAAGTCTGACCGAGGTACCATATTACCTTGAGCTACAACTCTATCTTCAACCTAAATATGAAAAGTATGAGCGACCAGTATTACTACTGAGACTGTCCTTCAACTTTCTGCCCCATTTGCACGTCTCCTGAGCGCCATCAGAATGCTAACGATGTCGGGTCATCGGCGAACCTCATGCAAATTGTTTTCAGCTCCGTGTATATGTTCAGTCCGTGGAGAGACTATTCTCTTCCCAATCCCGATTGTTTCCATCCACCAACCGGTATGTTCACAGTCCGTATGGGTACCGAGCAGTTGATTCCGACGGCGCCGGCCTCCAGTGTCTTGGCCACCCTGACTGCTTGTTCAAAGTCTCTCGTGTACACCGATGCTACAAAATGTCAGACGAGTGCATAGGGAGATGAATCAAAAATGGGGCCGGCAGGAGGAAACTTACAGAACAACCCATAATTGGTACAGTTTGCCTCTGACATGACCTCTTCCTCGTCCTCGAACGTGTTGACAAGAACGACCGGACCGAATATCTCTTCTTTATACGCCAGCAGATGGAGGTACATTCTTCAATATTGTTGGTTCAATAAATGCTCCCGTTGTACCATGTATCTTGGGTTCGTCCTTCAAATCTAACCTATTGTAAGCTCGAAAACTACCAGACCATCCATTGGGGTGGGCTGGGATGCGAGTTCATCATCAGTATCATAATTTCAGAGCCCACTCATGCCACATCACATAACAACAGGTCTAAACACCATGAATGCTATCTATGTCTTCCACATATCATTGTAGTGCACCGCTTCCTTCTCACCAAGTAGAAACCCCTTACTTTAACAAACTCCCACCATCACTTAGAGTCATCTGTCCCGTGATGTATCGATCCTTCATCAGATAGATATAAGCCTCGGCGAGGTTCTCGGGGGTGCCAATGGCCCCAGTCAACAATTTCCCACTATAATCTTGTGCGATCGCTTTCGCTTTCGCTTCCGGGAGCTTCTGGCCTCCGCCCCATAACTCTGTCATTACAGGACCAGGGACCACACCATTGACGCGTATAGGAGCAAAGTTGACAGCGAGAGTTCGGACAAGCGCATCAAGCATACCCCCAATCACCGGCATTAGTGTCCACCCGGTTTCTCTTATACGTGCCGGAGCCGCTGGTGATGGAGGAAGGCCCATTGTTGAGGTAGGTTGGTGCATGTTTGACAAGCATCAGAGGTGCCATGACACGAACCTTTTCTGCCTCGTAAATATTGTCGATGGTGAGGTCGGAAAATAGGGGATTGTACAGTTTGTCACCCGTGGTGTTGACAATGTGGTCGAGCTTCTTTGCTTTCTTCTCGGTCGCGAAATCCAGCAACTCGACGACCTGCTTGTCTTGTTCTTGCGGATTCGATAAGCCGCAACTCTTGCCCGAGACTCGACCTTCCGCGTATGGGTATGATTTCTCAAGCTCCTTTTGTCTTTTGGTCTATCTTGTCCTGTCGCGAGCCGAGATTATGACCGTAGCACCATGCTCGAGAGCCGCCTCCGCAACTGCAAAGCCGATGCCCGAAGTGCCGCCTAGAACTAGAACTTCTAGCATAACGACGCCAACATCAAGTTTCCCTTCCAAACAAAAGCATGATACGCAGAATAACTTCCGTAGCTAATTCATTTCTTAAGAGACGCGGTAATCGTGGTGTTCTGTTGCCAGTGCTGCGAGTAGAAGAGCCACAACGCGACCATTAACACCTCGTCTCCATCCAACTTTCGAAAATAGGCATCAACACTAAAATTGAGCTCGTGGGCCAGGGTCTCCTCTGAGAGGGAGCGATTCCGTCTCCCGACAGTGACGGTTCTCCTGTTTTTTGGCCAATTGTGTTTGCTGACTAGCCGCCCAAGAAGCAGAGTAGGTGTCGAGGCCTATGTGATGAGAAGCAAGGTCATACCCAATCACCTCACTTGCGAGACTTTCTGCGATGTACCTAACAGTAGCACAATCTCTTTTACCTATATTATCTCGAGAGAGATTGCATAAACATCAACATGGACAGCTACATCAACCCAATATTTCAATGTTTAATAGTATCTGAAAGTGACGCCGACTACTGGTTATAGAAGGCCATCTGAAGAAGCCCTGTCTGCAGCGGGATGAGATGGCCAACTTTCTGTTCGATAACTTTGGCGAAATCCTCTACACCTCTACCATACGCCGGACTCTGAGGAAGGCAGGTTGGTCCAAAAAGGTGGCCCGTCGAATAGCGATGGAAAAATGTCCAGATCTGCGTGATATGTATCTCCACGATATATCCTCATTTGCCAAGGATCACGGCTTGGTAGGCTGACGAGACTCGCTGCGATAACACAGCGGGCTTTTGTTGGACAGGCTAGTCTCCCCGGGAGTGACACCTGTCCAGATCGCCCGGTTTCAGCGAGGCCAACGATATCATATATTGCCGGCCTTCACCTCTGACGGAATTTTGTGTGCCCTCATCTACCAGGGCACCATTGACGGCGTCGTCTTCAAGGCTTTTCTGGAGCAACTATACACATCTCCGCTTGCGTGCGAATGCAGAGCCTTTCCTCGACTGGATTCACACTAGACAGTCCAAAGTTGTCTTCCAATAGTTTAGGACCATATACTGCCTGTGCCTATCGAATTGCTGGCTCCCGTCCCGCCATCCACAAAACTTTTCGTGACACCGCCCGATGCCACAGCCATCGAGGAATAACCGAAGCTGCCAATGTCGCCCGATAAGCCTCCCAGTGAAGCCAAACCTCTCCAGCTAGTTTCGATCTCGCGCCTACCTAGAAACTTTGCGGAGGTTCGGGTCGCAACGAGGGACGAGCCTTTCGGATGCTAGGTGTCGATTTTGAGGTATAGGTCTTTTCTTGGTTTAAGGCCACGGAGCTGTTCACATCCCGAAGGCTGTTTCAATTAGCTTAAATTGACATTATCCACTGGTTGATATACGACGAGATGATACGTAGTACTGTAAGACTCGAGTAAAGCGATAAATTTGCAGAGTAGCGAAGGGATTGCTATAAAATGTCTTTATGCCGGTCGCGCTTGGTATAGGGGTCCAGTGGAAAGGGTCATTCCATGATGTAAAGCCTTACACATTTGCCTCGAAGATGCATACATATCCAGCTTGTGGTAGAAACATTTTTTCGTGGTGGTATAGTTTTCGCGGCAGATGCTGAGGAGGGTTCGGAGTGCTTCGAGCATCGGATCGGTCCTCCTATCAGACAGTGCCACTTTTTTTTTTTTGGAAACAGGCTTGGCGCCTAGCTGGGGCCGCGAAGACGTTACAGCGTCCAAGCCAACCATGCCTCCGATCAGCCTCGCGAGAGACCCAAGCCACACGTGACCGTCTGCGCATTCCAGGAGCAGGGCTCGTCAGGTCAGAAAAGATCTCTTTCTTGACTTTGACATTTCTTCCCTCGATCTACAGTTGATTTGCACAGCCATGGCAGTACTTTACAGAGTCATGGAACATGGACATCAAGACAGGCTCTTTTCTCGAGAAGTCGTCCAGCTGCGAACCCCTTGTCCGAGTCACTATCTGTATTAAGGGTGATTCCTTTACCATCGTTTGTTGGAGCGCGTCTTGGCCGCGGAAGCTCCGGTCGCAATCATTGCAATCGAAGCTTGGAGCGTGAGCTGGCGTATCGCGCAGGTGTTGGCGTAAGGTCAATTAGTTGGGCAAATCACCATCGCGATCGAAGCAATAGTCACCGCCTCCGGGCTTTTACAAGGGAATCGGAACTCTATGTTAGGACAGCTGTTTGGGTGTCGCACTGACTACCACAGAGTATTCATAAATAGGCTGCCTTACAAAACCTGCCTTTCATGTTCGTTGCTCTTGCCAACGAGGAGGTCCCCCGTAGCGTATCTCTACATGTCATGGGGGGCGCTTGAAGTCTGTCCTTGTTGATTCATCATCCTATGCCAGGTATGCATGTAGCGCTACTAAGGTTCTTCCCCACCACTTAGATCTCGGCGCACGTCTGGGCCCTGGTCAGTAGCATTTTTTGTCGCATCACTACTTGTCCAGCTCTATTACATCTCAACGCACATCGAAATGTGCGACCAAGAGAAATGCGTATCGTCCCTACTACGAGATGCAGGAAACGGAGGATTAAGGTGAAATAGGAAGATGACCTTCACAAGATGACAGCTCCGAAGCCCAACTGAAAATTCATACCTCGAACCGCGCTCGCCTAGCTCAACCTGCAGTGGTTTTCTACAACGTCGGTAAGTGCAATGCATCTCTATCGCGCATACAGATTGGCCACACGCAATATCTCTCGCCGTCGCCAGGGTATCCTTACAAATCTGGCCTGACGCGACAAATCCCGAGCAGCCAAGGCACGCTACATTTAGCGCGGTAAGTCTTTTTGGTGCACACCTTCGTATAGCTGCAGTGGTTCGATGACTTCTGGAGCCGGGCCCCTGGGGGCTGACCATTCAGGATACATAGAATTTCTTTCTTTTTTTCCCTTTTTCGCAAGGGATTGCTATGGAGACAAGGAGGAGATGACAACAAGCAAGAAAACGGAATATACCAAAATCTCATCAAGCTCACAAGAGAGGACGGCCCACATCATCCGAGGAAGACGTTAAAAGAGCTCGCGTACGATAAACTTAGTGAGATCGAGCAGCCCACCCGAAGCAAGCCACCGCGCGTTGGGGGTACACCGTGCGGGGAGCTTTCTGGGGTCCTAAAGCAACAGTCCTTCACTTACTCTCTGTCTCGGCGCCAGACACAAGTTCGGAGCCTGAGAAATGTGGTCGAAGAGGTCGAAGAGATCGAAGAGGGTGGGAATCGCTTGGTCTCCTTTCAATTCTCCCCCGCTCGTGAGATTTTTCCCACACAACTCCGCAGCAGACTGGGGTAACGTCTCACGATTCACATAACCAATATAGGTCTATATTTTGACGGCAGTTCAACCCTTCTCTATTTTGTAGACAACGAATAATCTGAAGTTATATATCTACGGCCGTAGAGCTTATTGGTGTCGGCTCTTCTTATACTTACTTCCTCACTTCATGTGCAATCAGGATGACGTTCACGAAGCTAACTATGTCGTCGGGCCCCCAAACTCTGCGGTATCTGGCTTCAGCACTGATAACGTCGTTTATCCTCTTCTTCCTAGCTCGTTACTTATGGCGACTAATATATCAATCTCCAAGCTCAGTGCCAGGACCGCTACTTGCTCGTGTTTCTCGACTCTGGTACCTTATTCAAGTTCGCAGGGGCGATTGGCATAGAGTGATTGTGAAGCAGCACCGTAAACACGGTAAGTACAGGCCTAGTGTATAGCTTAGAGGCTACGTATCTATGTACTCTAGGATCGAAATATAAACTAACGAAGGCACAAAAGGTCCCATTATTCGTATGGCTCCCAATTATTATTCCATCGACGATCCTGCGGCCATTAAAATTCTCTACGGTACCGGTACTACATTCACTAAAGGCCCCTGGTATACAGTCCCAGGTGATCCCAGTCTGCAGATTCGAGACGTCTTCACAGACATGGATCCTAAGTCACACGCGGCACATCGACGTCAGATAGCTCCATTGTATTCTGTTACTTCACTTTTGAAAATGGAATCGGCCGTGAATGAGTGTATACGGGAGCTGGATGCCAGGTTTGCGGAGATATTGCGGTAGGTACTCGAGCGTGTGTGGAGAACACTCGTGGCTGATCAGACTCTCAAAGCTCCGAGAATATTATTAACCTACAGTGGTGGCTTCAATGTTATGCTTTTGACGTAATTGGCTATATCTCGGTACGAAGAGAAGTTCATCCCAAGCAATAATAGCACTAACCTTGTGTACAGTTTGGAAGGCGCTTTGGCTTCCTGGACAATGGCAAAGATCCCCTGAATTTGATTGCCGCTCTACACTCGGGTCTTAAATATGTCGCAACCGTCGGTGTTTACCCAGAGTGGCACAGCTTTCTCTTCAGAATAATGAGATACCTTGGGACAAATCCAATAACAAAGACAATGAAGTTTGCTAATGAGAAGATACAAGAACGCAAGAAGGCGATCGAAACTGAAGGCCTAGACTCGCACGTCGACGACTTTATGACCAAGGTGTTAAAGATTCACCAAGAAGATCCGATCAGTTTCCCCATGGAGAAAGTCTTCTCCACATGTTTTCAAAACATAGGTGCCGGAAGCGACACAACAAGTATTAGTCTCTCCGGTCTTATGTGGTATCTAATCACCAATCCGGGACCTCTTGAGAAGGTGAGTATTCCTGCCCGCATAGTTAAGTATAGGCTATAACTAATTAATCTAATTCTAGCTGCGAGCAGAAATCGACGAAAGAATCCCGCAAGGCCAGCTTTCCGACCCTCCTACATTCTCAGAAACACAGGACATGCCTTATCTTCAGGCCGCTATTCAAGAGGGCCTACGGATGCATCCTGCGGCAGCATTTCCGCTTGTCAGAGTCGTGCCCAAGGGAGGGGCAATGATTGCGGGAAAGTTCTTCCCAGAAGGCGTAGGATACACCCTCGACGAAAGATCCTAACTGAATCCTACTTATTGAGAATCTAGGCTAGCGTAGCGGTTAATTGCTGGGTGGCACATTACAATAAACAAGTCTTTGGTGATGATGCAGACCAGTTCCGACCAGAGAGGTGGCTTACTGAGAAAGAACAAGTCTCGCTGATGAAGAGATACTGGATCCCTGTGAGTACCTCTATACTCGACATCTATCCATATGACCATACTTTTACTGTCAAAAGCTTACATGTATTTATTTCCGCTATAGTTCGGCCACGGTGCCGGAACTTGCTTGGGCAAGAACATCAGTTTAATGGAAATTTCAAAGGTGGTACCATACATCCTTCACAAGTATGATTTCAAGCTCGCCGATCCAAGCGCTGAGCTCAAGTGCGACTACGTCAGCTTCGTCCAGCCTCAGAATTTGAACGTGCGAATCAGTCCACGGAGCAGGGGAGAATCGGCAATCCGTGCTTAGGGCTACCGGGAGGTTGGCGACCATAGCCTCACTTAGGGATTTTGGCACTGTGTAACCCACTTGAAAGTAGTTTGCTAGTTGTATGTCAGTGCATGAGATACTACTATTCCCCTCGACCTTTACCGGGATGGCCCCGAAATCGAAGGCATTCAGGTTGGAAGACTTTTTCCGTTAGCATATCCCGGAGTGGCCTTCTCCTCCATCATGTACCTCTGCTCCAGCCATAATTCGAGCTTTCACGTGATATAAAATTCTAGTACGGAGTACTCTGTCCGTTAAACGTCCACTTAGCTGCAGGAGAGGCTTACCACAGCTATTAGATAATCGATAGACCACGTGATAGAGCTGATGGACCCCTCACTCGATGATCCAGCTGAGTACTCATGACTCTTCTCGTCCTCAGTGGTAGTTGCAAGCACGATATGCGACTCATCAACACCAATACCGGCGAGTTCGAGACGTTCTGGGATACTCAGCGTCCACAGTATGCAATCTTGTCCCATACTTGGGGAGACGAAGAAGTCTCGTATCTAGACTATTTGTTCCTCACTAGTAATCTGCCTGCGACGTCAGCAGGAGTCGTCCACGCATTGCTGAAAACTCCTCGAGCCGACAGCGCAGGGATCAGAAAGATTCAAAATTGCTGCAAACTAGCGAACAGCAGGGGTTTTGGTTGGGTCTGGGTTGACACCTGCTGCATTGACCAAAGTAGCAGTGCAGAAATTTCGGAAGCCATCAATTCGATGTGGGCTTGGTACCGGGATGCGGCAGAGTGCTACGTGTATCTCGTCGATGTCTCGGCAATGCCACAAAGGGATACTGCAGTCGATGACCTACACGCCGACGAGGCTATCAGAGAGCAATTCCGGAGTGCTCGATGGTTCGGACGTGGATGGACTCTTCAAGAACTACTTGCTCCGAAAATTGAATTGTTCTGTAACAATCTCTGGGAGGTCATCGCCGAAAAGTCTGATATAGGGGAGGAGCTGTCCAAGATCACCAAAATTCCCCTGGTCTTCCTCGATGGCACTGTTTCACCTTCGGATAACAAACTTTGCAGTATAGCAATGCGGATGAGCTGGGTTTCTCGCCGTCAGACGACTCGCATCGAGGATATGGCATATTGTATGCTCGGACTGTTCGATGGTAAGTCTTGAAAACCTTCTCGAAGTGGCTGCTGATATGCTACACCCACAGTACACATGCCTCTCATTTACGGCGAGGGCCGAAAGTAGGTTGTCTCTTCCTAGAATTCTCCCCTTTCTAGCCTGCATATATACCCTTGCGGGTGTATGTGTATTAGTATCGCTTTCAGATCATTATCCGCCCACCTTTGATCGCTTAAACCTTATTGTATGACTCTGCCCTCAAGACTAATGTGGCGGCAGGGCTTTCATGCGTCTACAACTGGAGATTCTCAAGAAGAGTGACGACGATTCTATCTACGCATGGAAAGCGCCCTTGGACAAGTCAGGCTTACTTGCGACATGGCCAACTGCTTTCGTAGATAGCGACGACATTATTCAGATTGTATTCCCTGATGACCCGACTCCTTGGATTCCTCCAATAATGACGAGCATCGGTCTCGAGATGCGAGGGCGGTACAAGAGGGACGACCCGTATCAGGATTCCGTCGATGTACGACACGGGGTACATACCATCCATACGTCAATCAATACAGCTGGGCGTGTTTCTTTAGTTATGTACTGCGGACCCAAGAAAGAATCGCAGCCTCCGACCACTTATGAATCAAAGCACAAAGACCGAGTGGTGGCACTGGTGCTCGACCTGCGACGTATCGGGTCTACGTGGCAGAGGGTGAATTGCAAAAAGCTACAATTCGCTCAATATATCATGGAAAAACCAGCCAAGGTGGAAGCATACAAAATATTCTACGTTGAACAGCAAGGCTTGTGACAAAGGACCAGATGTCTGCCCACCAAATGCCTTGCATATCTATTGCATGATGTTGTTCGCCTTAATGGTCAGCCAATGTAGGGTCGGACATCAATCATCTTGTTTGACATGCAGCAGAAGGGAGGCGGGCCTTTCCCATCATTCAATCCTGTGCCAGCGAACATGACGTTGTGGCCATTTTGACCGCCATCATGAAAAACCTCGACCATTTTTATCCCGAAAAGCAGAAGCCAAATATTCGGTTCGTAGCTCGATCAATCCTTCCATAGATGGTCAACCCGGACGCTGGTCATCTGGGTTGCAAGGTCGGCTTCAGCTTCCTAGCAACCGGTTTGGCCGCTGCTATTGGCGGTTGGTTCTTGTATGCCGATTCGAGGGTAAGCACCAGGTGCATTCACTTGTGCCTTGTCATCGTCATTAACGAAATCTCACTGGGGTATCGCTTTAGATAAGATCGACGAAAGTACGCCATGGCAGTCAAACCTCGCCATTTCAAGAAAGTAGATGCGGAAGGGACATTCTTTCGAGAAGTAGAGGCGTATCTTCCCAGCAGCAAAAAAAACGAGGGGGCGCATGTTGAGGAAGTCCGACCTGAAGCCTGAGTAGGGGTTCGTCGACAAGGAATGAGATTTCAAGCATCATTGGTGTTCGTACCCCGATCTTCGGTAGCGCGGGCACGGAACAGTTGTCGCTGGTAGACCACACGGACGATGCAGCTTCCACACATGCTTCATGCATTCAAGCATGTACGTGCAATCATCTCATCTCCGAGCTTCCTTGAGATAAGTACAGGCACAGGCATAAGCACGGGCACCAAGTGATTTGGAGAAAGACATCGCTCATGACGTTGACGGCACACATATCTGACGTAGCGAGTCTGAATCGTGAAAGCAAGAAAAGCATTCATGTTGTTCGGGTTTTGAGGGCGGTTGGTGTCAGTACCGGTCGTATCGAGGCTTTTTATCGATACTCCAGCTCCCTCGTTCAATCCTGGCAACCCAATTGCAGAGTCGGAGACAGTGCCAGTGGGTGACCCTTGCATACGAGTTGGGTGAAAGAGACCTTAGTGCCAGGCCCCAGTATCTGAAGGCCTGCAGTCGTGGGTGTAAGTGTAAGTCGAAGCTTTCACCTGCTTTCACCGCGCTGGCCAATTTGTGCGCACCAGGTGTGACAAGACTTGCTTGCTTTTGGGCAATATGTGTCCTGTCATCTGGCTCCTTTGGTGTTTGCGGTGACTCCAATGGATATTCTCTCTCGGAGCAGTACTGCTTGCCTTGACCGTGAGTATTTCACACAAAAGAGTAATGTCCGGATCTGTGTCCTGCATGCTCATTTGAAACATACGCACTGCTTGGCCGACTATTTGCAGTGCCAAAGATGTTTGATGACCATGAATCATCGTGGTTCGGATGCAGAGGGTACCATGTCCTGGCATAACCGAAACCCGCGAAGTGTTTAATCAAAGCTGGCAACCATTCGTGCGTATCGACTTGCTCATTTTGTGTCCCATCGATAAAACGCTATCGTTTCTTTCGCATTTTGATTCAGGATCCCAGACAGGACCGATATGTCCTTGTGGTCGACAAGATAGCCAAGCAACGCGTGAGTTGATTTTCGGCGCACAAAGGTGAATGAGCCAATGTCATTACAGTCCGACTCGTCTTCGACGATGGAGTCAAGCATACACGGTAGCAGGCTGTCGACTTACGGAGTAAAGGACGCAATGGGACTGGTTGATTAGGTGGGAGGCTCAGTGGAGTGGGTTGCGTTTGGCGTTCCGCGTCTGTGAAAGAGAATCAGTATGGCTTTGGCAGGAAAACAATCCAGATTTAGGGAGTTGTCTCCAGTTCCACCTACGTTCACTTGTGCAGAGTCTGCGGGAGGATGAACGAGCACGAGAAAGTTCACCAGAGTTGTAGCCAGGACGAGGAGTACCTGCGCCATCGTCTTCCGCCAATCAGAATGGGCGTGACACTCAAAGCCGCAAGCGAGTTTTTGGAACAGACTGCGCCTGCAGCACAAGACGATTTCTGCACGTACATTCGATGCAGGCGACTGCCACTACCTTCATTTGACGAAGCTCGGAAAGTGGAAATCGCCTACTCGGCCTGCTGGTGTGACGACACAGAATCCTGCACCGAATGAACACTCGAACCCTCGCAGCTTCTCTTCTTCCATTTGATTCATTTGCTCCACCTCTTGCTGTTGTTCGCTTCCTCTCTTCTTTCGTCTCCCTCTTCAAATTGCTTTGATCCACAATGGAGTCGTTTCAGCAAAGCTCACACCGACCTCTCTCCGCCGGTCTGGCCAACCTCATCTCCGGACGAGATAGCAACAGTCTGTGAGCACACGTTGTTCTCAGTAGCACACCACTAACGATGCAAAGCAGACCGAAATGGCGCCCGTCGTGACGCTTAGGAGGCAAAACCCCGGGACCGCTACATCAAAACCGAACCGGACCTTGACGATGACCTTGACTCTGAGGTTCCATTCCTTGATGACTCCTACGAATCCATGAAGATGGAGCCGGATCTTGCGACGCCCGCCAATGACCTACCACTCTCTAACCCGACCGAAGGCGGAACAACACATCCCAACCATCTCTCTGCCGTGCTACCGTCGTCGACTTCAGGTGGAAATCTTGAAACAAATGGGCAAGTGAGTGGCCAGAAGCAAAAGGAGATTCCTACCTACCGTCAACTGAAAAAGTAAGGATTAAAGATGTGTACTGAAAAGACCTCAGAGAGATCCGAAGACTGCCATCGACCCTCCTGCCGGCTAAGACATCATTCTCATTCACGATGCTGGCTCTTCCGGTTGGGCGACGTGGCAAGAGGTTGCTCATCGCCTCAAGTCCTTCGGATACGATACGATCGCTCTGGATCTGCCAGCCCACGGCTGTCACATTGGAAGAGAATTCACATTTGCGGCAGCAAGGCATGACCTACGAACAAAGACTCGCCGACTTCGTGTGGTTTACAAGTACAAACCTACATCACCGAGCAAGGTTGTCCCTGTCGGCATTGGACTAGGTGCCCAGGTTGCTCTCGACTTTACGTCTGACGCTCCCCAGAAGATGGCAGGTATCATTGTGTTCAGGTGCGAGCATTCATCCTCCTGATGAAGCAGCTGGATGGGAGCTTGAGACACCATCAACCGCGATGCAGAAGCATGTCGCCAAAATGGGCGTCGACGCGTTCGGAGCAGTCCAAGCCCAAAGCCAATCCTTCAAGTACATCGTCCCCGACAAGAAGAAGCATCCTCCTGTTCTGGTCATGCGTGGTGAGCACGATGTCCCAATGGCCACGCGGGATTTCGAAGAGATCTTTGATATTGCAAAGAGACTGAATGACAAGAGTGACAAGATAATACTTCCGCATGCCAGACACAAACATGCACGAGACATTCCTGAGGATTTGGCTGATGTCATTGATAGCTGGGTACGGGCTCTGCCAAAGTTCTCGACATCCGCAGCTGCGTCCAACAAAGGCCGCCGTGGTAATCATACCAAAGGAGGCAGACGCAACTGAACATCCTCTACCGAGTTGAAGTCTCGCTGCAATAAGGCCATTGCAGATAACAGCATCAAGAGATACGTTCGCTTCAATGGGTGGCCGGATCTTCGAGACAAGGCAAATGAAGTGAGTGTTTTCATGGGTGGCAGCATTAATATTAGATATGTCATGCTGCTCGCAAAGGCCGACGTCGAGCTATTTCGTAGGTTTACTGAGAGTAAGGAATGCAAATCAGTTTCCTTGATGCTCAACGATCTCCTCTCTACGTGGCCTAATTTGCTGCTGTTGACTTCGTGGGTAGACTACAGCTGCTACATGCCAACTCAATAATACGTCTGGAGAGACCCAATATACAGCGAGCCAAGTGAGCAGACTGAAATGTCTCCTGCGCACAATGCGGCAGCATGCTCATCCACAGCATGCATGATATGCTTGGAGGTGTATCAATGAAAGTCTTCCTGCGGATCCCAGACACCACTATTGGGAGACACCCCTGTGTCAACGGGAATTTGCAGCAATGTTGATGCTACAATTTGATCGAGATTGTTTACACCACTTGGACCTGGTATCTTCCTACTGCGACAGCCAAAAATCAAACCACTGAGCAATGCTCCTCAAACTCTCTTCTTTGGCGTAGCCTGGAGCCCAGTCAGCCATGTCGATACTTGTTACAACCCAAGACAGCACAGCAGGAAACCTACGCTCGTAAGGGTTATCCATGTTCCCACGCAAGGCAAAACCGTGTTCGACCCCGGAAAAGACTTGGAAGTTGTAAGCCTTCTTCTCTTCTTGCAAGATGGTGAGCGCCTCATTTCGAGCCTCGCTATCGAACGTGTGGTCGATTTCCGAGCACGACAGAAACAGCGGTTCTGTGGACACTTGTCAGCGGTTATTATGCTAAAATCAAGGGTCATACTTTTCAGTTGGCGAAAGTGATGTTCCTTGAGAAATGCTGGATGTGCGAACGCGCCTGCTGCACACGTTTTACCGGCAAGCTCGTTGCAGACGTACGGTGCCCCAAAGCAATACCTGGTGTATGGTGTCAGAAATACGCTCATCCTTCCTACCGCTTTTTGAGCCTTACCCAACACAAGCATACTTTGTTTCAGGCTTTCCGAACTGAGACTTGACCGCTTCCACCCAGCCTGGCACAGTTTCGTCGGCGAATACGATATGCTTCTTCTTCCAGGCTTCGTAGTCGAAACCTGGATTTGAGCGGTCATTGCGATTTTTACGGTGTTTCCAGACGGGGTCCTGCATCGTCAACCCTTTCAGCGTTGTCATCGACGACAATGATTATGAGAAGACTCACACCTCGGAAATAGTCCAGCCCTATGACTTGATAACCTGCATCGGCGAATCCATCCATGATAAGGAATCCATTGGAGAAGAACCCCCAAACATCCGGGAAATAAAGTAGGATGTTGCCGTTGACGTTGCCTTGAGGACTCGAAATGTATGTCTCAACACCGTGGACAGTCTCGAAGCGGCCTCTTGGCTCACCTTTGTGGATCGAACCCTTCAGACAGCAGTCAGCAGAAGGCTTTGCAAGGTAGCCTTCATTGTCAGCCATGATGTTCCCTTCCACCACGCAGTTGATTTGCTAGTCCGCTCGCAGAGTCAGTTGCTTAACCCCGATCGAATATGACCTGACCTTCTGACTTGGCTTGCCGGATGTCGTGTCACTTCGAAATGCAAGGCGAGTTTGAGGTCGTAAGCTCCAGCACGACCACCAAGCATTTTGATGTCCAAAAGCGGGGTCTCGGCTACGGTACTTACAAGAACAGTACGGCACATGTCCCAGACACCTATCAGGTGTTTGGAGTATCCTGAACACGTTTCGGCGTTGCTCAATACCTCCAAACAAGCTCTGGGCTCCGAAGCATCGGTGTCCCACCCCAAGGAAGACACATTTTGGGCGAAACGCACAAGCATGGACGTCACTGAATGATGCATATATTTACTCAAGGATGTAATCGGTCGCCTATTGGGCAAATGTCACAGTACAGGTCTGCCCAGCATGAGTGTTTGAGGCACTGTATGTACCCCAGGTCGTGATCAGAACCCCACGACCCCGGCATCCCTGACTTTAGTCTTCCCCGCCCTCCGGCATCTTACCCGGCGCAGGACTTCCACTTCTCACACTTAACTGCGGCTTTCATCCGTCCTGCTCTCTGTTGCGCTGCCTTTCGTGCCGACCTTCGCTATGCAGAACTCGGGTCCTACAGAAGAATCTGATCAGCCGTCACCCGCCCAGAACGACAAGACACAGACGCGGCGGCCTTCAGCAGATGGTCGCCCCCGAAAGCGAGTCCGGCTGGCCTGTGAGCCTTGCCGTGGCCGCAAAACTCGCTGCGATGGTGGAAGGCCCCCTTGTGACACTTGTCGGGAACGGCGAACTGAATGCGTCTATCTTCCATGGAGAGCTCGTGCCAGCGTGACCAAAGAGTGAGTATAGCCTTGCATGAAGCATATGAACTCGAGCGGAAGAGGATGAAGGGGACTCGTGAATGCGTTCAATCCGACTGATACCAGTGACACAGGTATATCGAGCAACTGGAACTGCGGAACCGGGATCTTGAGCGCAACCTGCGATCACATCTCAGTGGCCATGATCTTCCGCAAGATGCGGACTGTCGGTACGATGTTACCATCGACCTCCTGCCCACCATAGGCGACAGTAATGCTGGCAAATCTTCGACTGGTTCGACGATCCTGCCCAAGAGTCAAGGCAGCATTCATCTTGAAGCCCCAAGCCATTGCCCAAGAGACAACAACACTGCTTCGTCACTTGCTCTGGACATCGGGTCCCCTGTAGGCATTGGACCGTCCGCAGCACCAACCAGTGGCAGCCTAGATTTGGTGGCAAACAATGTCCCCGAAGAAGAACAACCACCGGAAGGTTGGGTCGAAGATGACGCTGGAAATCTTAGCGACGGGGCAAAGACTGATTTAACCCGTGTCGACTCTTACCCAGACAAACCCCCAGGTTATTTTGGGGAATCATCAGTCAGCACCTTTTTGTCTACAGTCAGGCCATTGTACGCAACGCAGCGTAGGTCGACCTCACCGCACGCCCGGAGACTTCCGGGCAGCGGTAGCGTTTCATCTGACTCCCCCTTCGAGCGCTTGGTCAGGCATCGGCACGGAGCTGCAGACTTGAGCGACTGTCTGGCGCTGCCTCAGCGGAACATTGCGGATCGCCTGGTGAATGCATATTTCACATACATCGACACTATCCTTCCATTTATTCAGGAACCCTGGTTCAGGGCCAAATACGAACGCACATGGCTCCCAACAGCCTGCGACTCATCTACAAAAGATACCCACGATCTCTCGTGGTTGGCGCTGCTGAATCTGGTGTTTGCATTCGGCTGTGAATATGTCAATATCTCGCGTGACCAGGGCCTGGTCTCTGGCGCGCGATTCTTCAAACGTGCCACCACCATATTATTCTCCCAAGTCTTCCATTCGGGGAACCTTGAAACAATCCAAAGCCTGATCTTAACCAGCCACTATCTTCAGTCTACCAACAATCTCAATAAGTGTTGGAGCATAGTCGGTTTGTGCATCCGCATGGCACATGGAATGGGTCTGCACCTGGATCCCTCACGCTGGAAAATCGGCCATGTCGAACAAGAACTTCGCCGACGATTGTGGTGGGGCTGCAATATAGTCGACTGCATGCTGAGCCTCCGTTATGGCCGGCCACCATTCGGCATAGACAAGTCGCCGGACGTTCGCTTGCCAACTCCAATTGATAGCCTGTATCTCAGCTACGACCACACCAATGAAGGCCAACAAAGCGAAGATAAGGCACGGTGTCAAATCCTGTTGGCTGATATCGGCCTGTCACGTCAGATTGAATCCATCGTCCGGGAGCTTTATCTTGATCGCCAGCAGCGTTTCAACAAAAATCCCTCGGATCAGAGCGATGAAGAGGGCGGAAACTTCTCAGCTGTTGGGAAACTCCTCTCGACAGTCGTACGTTTGGATGGCAATCTGTTGAACTGGCAAGATAACTTACCGCGCCACCTTCGCCCAGATGCCAACAATGCAGACTGGAAGCTCCAACGACAAGCGAACATTCTCTTTAGCAAAACTGTCGCCATCAGGGTTTTGTTGCATCGGGAGTCATTGCTAATCTTCCAGCGCGATCCCCCTGAAGATGACTTTCAACGGGAAATGGTCATATTGAGCGCCAGACAGTGCCTCAGTTCTGCCAGGAAACTGGTACACTTTTACGACAGCCTCCGAGAACGGAAACTGGTCAACATGTGGTTCTGGGATGCACAATGTAAAATGCCATGAACATTTCTGCTACCTTCTATTGCTGATCAAAGGATAGATCTCAACATTGCCGTCGCTGCTCTCGTCAGTCTACAGGTTATGCCCTCAGAAGCCCGTGAAGTTTTCGCAGAAAGAGAAAGTCTCGACAGTGATGAACGAGTCATCAAAGTGGGCCTTGGACTGCTCAAGGACCTGGCCAGCAAGAGCGCAATGATCTGGCACTATGCTGAGAACTTGGAGCGTCTAATGAAGGAGTCGAGTAGAGAGGGTCAAAATCCTAGCTGCGAAGGTGATGTTAGGAGGTGCTGTTCTCGCGTTCCAACAGGTGTTGGTGAAGCTTTGCCTACCATAAGCGCTGCCGGGAACTACGGTACCCCTTCAAGGAATGAACGAAACGCTCATGCAAGCCTCGACGGTGCTCAAGCTTTTCCCACCGGTAACGGGTCCCAGATGCCTGTCAATCACCCGGCACCTCCTACAACCACAACGTACGTGTCGATCGACCCCTCAGCAGATTTCTTTCCTATCCCACGGGACTTTTTCCTGCAGGGCATCCAAGAAGTCGATGATCAAATTCTGGCGGTGCCATGGATGGATGACCAGGCCACGAGGTCGCAGTATCCCATGCCAGACTCCTTCACGGGCGGATTTGGTTATCCGGATGCTGACTTCGGTGGCTTTCGATTCGGGTCTTGAAGAGGGCTTACGGATTGTTGATAAAAGTCGAGCATGAGTTTCTGTATCTACAAGGTGCTGCTGTCCTGGGACCTGGGAGCAACGTGACCAGCCAGGATTCTTTATCGGTCTCCTTGCTCCTATAAGCCAAGGAAAATCTAACAGCGATGCTTGTCTAGCTTACCTATCTGTCTCCTTCATTGAAATTCAACTTCACAAGACTCTACTCTCTCCATGACATGTACGTGGCCAAAAGGAAAGCAGCGGTCATACCCAATGGTATAGACACCTTCCTGATCGCCAACAGGCCGCAGATGATGATGAACACCTCTGCCACGTCAAGAACCATCTATCCTCCCTCACCGCGCCTTTTCCAACGCACTAGAATACCCGTCGGGCAAGATTCCCACATCTATCACCACCGGCTTTCCTTCCTGTGCCAACTTGACAGCCTTGGCCATCATGTCGGGCAGGTCTTTGCGATCCGTACAACATGGTCCTGGCACAGACAGCCCCAGGGCCACCGCCACGGCGTTAAGATCTGGCGTAGGATTCGTGATCTGCTGTCCGATTCCTTTGTTTTCCCGTGGTCTGTTGCGCGCTCTTGCGACACGTTCCTGATGAACCTCATCATTGTAGAAGCTGCGATTATTCGCAACGACAATCAGACAGGGCAGACGACAGTGCGCGGCCGTCCATAGCGCGTTGCATCCCATGAGATAGTCTCCGTCGCCAAGGACGGACACTGCGAGAGTCTTTGTGTCCTTCAAGGCCAGCGCAGCACCGACAGTTTGGCCTGGTCCGGACCCGATTCCAGCACCCCCATCGAGGCCCAAAAAGGACAGGGGTCCTGTTGCGTTCAGATCATAGCCGCGCCAGCCGTAGGGCAGACGCACGAGACAGTATTCTTGGTTGGCGTTGCCGAGAGCTTCGAGAAGGTTCGATGCGAGATGGCCCATGAGAATCCTGTCGGCGGGGACATCGGGCATTGACGGTGGTGGTAATCGGTTGGTGGCTTCGACTGCACTCCAGTCCTTGGACTGCACCTTTGCTGACTTGATGCCAGCCAGGAGAGCTGTCAATGTCTGGTCTGGGTCGGCAAACACGGCGACATCGGTGGGAGGGACGCCAAAGTGGTCTTTACTCCAACCGTTGTGCAGCGTCGAATCCATGGAAACGTGCACCACCTTTGTCGAATCGAGTGGCGTCTCTGCAGCCTTGAGTGTCCCAGCCAGGTCAACCCAGTCGAAAGAAACGATAAGGTCTGCGGCACGGATGAGCTCGACATTTTGCGGCGTGGTGAAGATGGCAGGAGCCGCAGGATGCAAGCGATGGCGCGAAGGGAAAGCCGCCCCTTGCTTCAAATCAGTCACGACATAGGCTTCGAGCTCTTCTGCCAATTGGACGCGTTCGTCCCATGACTTTTGCGAGCGGTTGGCCCGTCCGAACATGAGAAGCGGCCGCTTTGACTCGGCCAATAGAGTCACCACGGTCCCGACAGTCGCCGGATCTGGTGCTTGAGGCGCTAGAGGTTTCATGCGGCTGAGGTCGACGAATTCGACCTTGGACGCATCGAATTTGTCTTCCTGCAGACAGACGTCTAGACAGAGATAGGTGGGCGCGCAAGGCTTCGAGGCCGTAGACTGGTAGCAACGGACCAGGGCTTTTGTGGCGGCGTTCACCGAATAGGGCTGCTCGTCAAACTTCAGACTCGGCCTAACAATGGCAGCCTGGTCGGTACAGGTGTGAATCCAGTCTATCCATGGTCTCTTTCTCTCCGAGTCCAGCGGGCCCGTGGCGCCCAGAATGACCATGGGCACGCGGTCGCAGAATGCATTGTAGATGGCCATGGCTGCGTGCTGGAGGCCAACGTTGGCGTGCACAGCCACCAGAATGGGCTTCTCGGTCACTTTGGCATAGCCGTGGGCGAGAGCCACCGTATGCTCTTCGTGCAGACATACCACCATTTGTGGCGTGTTGCCGTTGTAGTTAACGAGGCTGTCATGGAGGCCTCGATAGCTGGATCCAGGCGACAGTGCAATGTATGGAATTTTCAAACGTGCAATCTGCTCTGCGATCACGTCGCTGCCCCATCCCATGACATGCGTTTCATTGTTGAGGCCCACGGGCTCGTCAATGGGAATAGGACGTTTGCTTCGGGAGGTGTCAGACATGCCCACACCATTCTCTTGACCTATGGAACCCATGCTGGCAAACTAAATGCCCTTTCACCGGCCAAGTTTGTCTTGGGAGTTGGTGAAAGAAAGGATCAATGCCACTTTTTGTATGATACGTCAATCGCTACATCTTGTCGGGTATTGATGTGCCAAATCCCTTCTCCAATGACGATCTTGGGGACTTTTGTAACGAGTGTACAACGGTTTCGGGATAGATCCGTGCCTGCTGCTGGAACAAGACCCTTCAACTTTGAGGGTAACGCTGAGGTACTGACGTTCTCCCTCGCCCCGGATAAGACCCGAGGATCTCTTCACAAGCGACGCGTCCAAGCGTCGGCCACTAGCTTTGCGCATCAGCAGGAATGGATGTCTTCCGTAGGCGACAGGATGTGACCCTTGTAGCATTCTCGATGGGCCAATGGACCTACCCTTCCCCTCTTTCACGAATCCGACAGGTATGGGGAATCAGCAGAATTAGGCTGTCTTGTACGGAATTCGGGACGTGGCGAACATGTGTCTACGTATGCGCTGATTCTAGGGGGACAGGTAAAACCGGCTCAGGCTCTTGAGGTGTTTACAAGTCCAGACGTCGCTTTCACATTGTCTCAACTTACAGAGAGGTCAACTGTGGCAATGGGTTCAATTGTCGAAATGCCTTCGCACATTGCAAAAGTCATGCCAAAGCACTACAGTCTGTATTACAACGGGACATGGCACGAACCTGAGAAAGACGACGCATATTTTGATACATTTAATCCTGCAACGGGTGAAGCCATCACGAAGGTTGCCCAAGCCACAGCAGGTGACACCGAAGCAGCCATCGAAGCTGCTCACGCTGCATTTCCGGCATGGCGCGACACTCATCCCGAGCAACGCAGGGCACTCCTGCACAAGGCAGCCTCGATCGTACGCTCAAAAGCGCGAGAGCTGGCTCTGCTCGATTCGATCAACACGGGCAACCCGTTCAAGGAGATGATTCCTGACGCACATACGGCTGCCGACGCGCTCGACTACTTTGCAGGTCTCATCCCTATGCTGAAAGGGGAAACCATCCCACAAGCTGAAGACGGCTTCCACTATACTCTACGCGAGCCGCTAGGCGTGGTTGCTCGGATTGTGGCGTACAACCATCCTCTGATGTTTTGCGCGCAAAAGGTCGCAGCTCCTCTGGCGGCCGGCAACACCGTCGTCATGAAGCCGGCCGAGCAGGCCCCCTTGTCAGCTCTGTATTTGGCGGAGCTGCTTGACGGCGTCTTCCCACCTGGCGTTTTGTCTTTTGTCAATGGTGGTGTCGACTGTGGAGTCACCCTATCAACGCACCCACTGGTCAAAATGATCACCCTCATCGGCAGCGTCCCCACAGGCAAAGCCATCTACAGGGGTGCCTCGGCCACCTTGAAGCCTCTTCTCTTCGAGCTGGGTGGTAAAAACGCCCTGGTAGCGTACCCGGACGCCGATCTCGACAAGCTCGTCGACGGCATGACGCGAGGCATGAACTACTTGTGGGCAGGCCAGTCATGCGGTTCGACATCGCGAGTGTTCCTGCACGAAAGCCTGCACGACCGAGTTCTGGACCGCGTGACGAACAATGTCCAGAAGGCATTTGTGGCGGGTGATCCAACCGACGAGAAGACCACCATGGGTCCTGTCATCTCGCCTGCAGCATTGGACCGAGTCAAATCATTCTGCAAGGACGCCATCGCCGAGGGTGCCCGTCTAGTCACGGGCGGCAAGCAACCCGAACACATGAAAAAAGGTTACTTCTTCGAGCCCACCATCTTTGCCGACGTAGACCCCAGCATGAGAGTCGCACGAGAAGAGGTCTTTGGCCCTGTCATGAGCGTCTTCAAGTGGAACGACGAGGACGACTTGTGGAAGACTGTCAATGGCACAAACTACGGCTTGACAGGTGCTGTCTACACCAGAGATCTGAAAACAGCGCAACGGGCCGTCAAGAGGTTCGAATGCGGTTACGTTTGGGTCAACAATGTCGCGAAACATTATCTCAACATGCCGTTTGGGGGTCAGAAAAACTCCGGCTTGGGACGGGAAGAGTGTTTTGACGAGCTCTTATCATTCACACAGTTGAAAGCAGTGAATATGTCGTTAGATTGATTCGCACGATGAGTATATGGACCACCACCGTAGTATTTATAGCCATATGATACCGTGTAACGTCGAAGGACGCTGTTATCCATCGTCAGACATGTGACAGCGGCTTGTCATAAGCAGAGCATTGGTGTCGTCCAGCAGCGACGCTCATAACCCTGTCAGATCTGCCTCTCTGAGTTACTCGACCGGGGTGAGCTCCTTTTTCTTCAAGATGTCTCTTTCCTGAGCCGAGCTGTCCTGGCTACACTTCCGTCTAAGCCGAGAAGCACGGGGAATTTCCGCATCATCATGGAAGAAAGCAGATTTTCAAGATAAGGTTATTCGTGTATTTGCCAGCGAGTTGGAAGATAACCAGCCAAGTGGAAATGGATCGTCTCAAATGTACAAAGGGTTCGTCAAGGGTTGAAAAAAATATTCGCAAGTTACAGACAGTGGCCTATAGGGTCGGCTCCAGATTAGAATTCCTTCGCAGAGCTATGTGTCAGTTTGGATAGATCCAAGCAGTAACCTATAGGTCCGTAGGTATGTACATATTGGAGCTCGGTCCTATAGGAAGGAACATATCCAGATATGAACACATAGTTTACTTCCCGCAAACCATCCAGAGGGCGGCTGTCGGCACTCGTGCACAAGCTACTGCTGAAACAACTCAATACGAAACCCTGTCTCTTCCGGTTTCGATCATTGACATTCAATCTTCTTAAGATTAGTATGATTCATGCGCGCTGCTCGATGTTGATGGTCCGCAACTCATGCTCTGTATTTTCCACCTGCACAGCAACATCCTCGTGATGCTTCTCTTCTCGTTCGATCCCGACCGTCTCGACAGTCAGACCCATATCCTTTTTAGCGAAGAAGAAATCGATTTCTTCAAGTGACTTCCGCTTGGTCTCGGGGTAGAAGAAGAAGAGAATCGCTCCGATCAATGCATTAAAGACGGACAGGATAATGTAGAACCGATAGCCGATGTTTTTCAGCGCAATTGGTGTGACCTCGACGATCATGAACTGGAAGATCCAGTAGGTGAAGACGGCAATTCCCATGCCCTTTTCTCGGATGTGCAAGGGCATCAGCTCTGCCGGATAGAGCCAAGTGATGGGATACCATGTTGAGATATTGACGGCGTAGTAAACAAAGACAAATGAGAGGGTGACAATACCATAGGCGGGACTGCCTTTTGCTGGAGCCGTTGCGAGCAGCGCCGCCACAATCGCAAAGCACACCGTCTGGCCGGCGCTACCCGCCACCAGAAAAGGTCTCCGCCCAAGCTTGTCGACAAAGAGTACCGGCCAGATGGAGAAGACAAAGGCAACGACACCGAAAAGTCCGCTGATCCACAGCGAGGTGCTGTGTGAGGCGTGGATGAATGTTTGCACTAGTGTGGGGACATAGTAAGTCACGCTGTTGATGCCGTTGAGTTGGTGCATGATCATGATTCCGGATCCGTAGCAAATACGTTTGAAGTTTTGCGTCGGTCCGTTGATGAAGATGCCGCTGAAGAAGCCTCCCTTTTCACCTTCCAGTCGACTGGCTTCGGAGATCTCGTGCATATGGAGTTGGACCTGAGGATCGTCCCGTGTGGCATTGTGACCTTGTAGACGCATGATGACACGCAGAGCCTCGTCTTGACGGTCGTTCTTGAACAGCCAGTGTGGTGATTCTGGAAGGAACGCCACCAAGATCCCAACGCTGAGGATAAAGACGAGCTGCAATGCCAGGGGCAGGACGAAGGCGGTGCGAGTCTTGTTGTTTCGCAGACCGTAATTGGTGTAGAAGGCCGTGACCAGACCCATGCCACCAAGCAGGAGTTCAAGACACATGAAACGTCCTCGAACTCGAGCCGGCGTGGTTTCAGCCTGCCACAATCCAACCGTAGAGGTCAGAACACCAACGCCTACACCGGTCACGATGCGACCAACAAGAAGTTGAGCAATCTTCTCGGCCGTGCACATGATGACAACTCCGACAGTAGCAATTGAAGCGCCACTCATAATGGTCTTCCTGCGTCCCAATTGTGCCCCGAAGAGGAAAGCATAGATGGCCCCGATGGCACATCCAACATTGTAAAGTGAGCTGACAGTACCCAGCAGGGCCGAGTCCGGATGGTGGAAAGTTTCGAGAAACCAAGGCAGCACGATAATACCCGAAAAGACGGCGTTGTCATAGCCAAACTTGAATAGGATTCAGGTCAGCTTAGTTGACTTGGTCACTGAGAGCAGAGGGGAGTGTTGTGCGTTGGCCGGGGCTCAGCTGATGCAAAAAGGGACATTGGCTCACCAACAAGAACCCAGACGAGGCCGCTGCCGTAATAAGGATCAGAAGAGGTCGGCCCTGAACGTTCCCCATCGCCTTGCCCATATTGACACAGTTACAAATATACTTTTGTAGTTGCAATTGAAGCACAACCTTGGAAGCTCTGTGAACTTGTGCTGGCCGTCGAGGGGGCTCGTTGCTGGGATTATATGGTTGTCACGGCTTCGGCTTTCGAGGGGTTACAGGAAGCGGCTAGGTGCGTCTGCCCAAGCCGTAAACGATTAACCTGCTGTACTTAGGTGGTCTGCCACAAAAGAACTATCCTGGGGACACCGGAAAAGATCCCAGCCGTGGCTTGGCGAATAGCAGCGGCTGACGGATAAATAGCCGAAGCGCCTACAGTATGTTGTCTCCTCCGCGGTTCGTTGTAGCCTACCTCCCAAGGCTGGCCACCCCTACCGTGAGTCAGGCCAACGATCTCAGCAATAAGGAGGATTTTAAGAGAGATCCTTGGGCTGCTTTCCAGGGATGAGCGATTTGCCTTGTTAGATTGGCTCGGTGAATAGATGAGCTTGTCTGGAGGCCGTAGAATATAATAATCTGACATGGGTGACAGCCTCTTTGATACATGCTGAACGACAGGGAAGCATTCCAAGAGCAGCAAGAGCATCAACCTTGCTACCTTTCAGGTATCAATTAAAGGGATCCCATGGTCCATCTTCCACCACCCCTGTCTCATCAACGCTTCAAAAGGTTTGGTTACCACGAAGCCACGTTTCTCAATCTCCTGAACTATGGCTAAACTTCTTTCCCTCTGCTCCATTGAGATGCCGTACCGAAGACTAGCTACTTGAACGGGCCAGCAATACAAGAAACCAGCTAGATTCGTCTGTTGCAGCGCAATTTCCACCAAATCTAGAATCCGGCTTGCATGCATAAGATTCGCTTCGTCCGGGAGTCGAGGAACCTCGAGGCCCAACCTTGAATAATCTTGGGATCTGAATATGTTGCTCAGACAGATGCTCAAGGTGTGATAGAGAATGAGGGCCAACTGCATTGGCGCGTCGATCCCATCTTTTTGAATGTGGCTTTGTGACCACTTCAAAGACAGTGCATGCCATTGAAACATCATGATGCGGAGGGTTATGCCATCTAATGCCGCACTGCGCAATGCCTCAATGTTCTCCTCGGAGGCGACAGGGCATGCCGAGCGTACAGCGAGCTCCGCTCTAGACAAAGTCAGTGATTGGCTGTATGGTTCTCCCTGACGACAACGGACCTCTGATTTAATGCAATGAACTGAACCGCCAGATCAAACAAGGCATCGATAGGGTGCCAGTCATGGCACATTGCTTCGTCAAACATCCAGGCCATCGAAACTTGCCACTGTGGCCCAACAAGAAAGGTATCGGTCCAAAAGACAAGAGCTCGGATCAGCTCCAGTACTCTGATCGTCAAGTACAGATCTCGATCCGCTATCACGCCTTGATATTCGACCAAACGAGATGTCCCATACATGAAATGAGCAAGGAATGCGTTGCCTGACGAATCGTACATGAGCTCGAAGATCCCCAGCAGGATCGTACTCCACAAGCTAGCGTTGTCATTCTTGACGGAAAACTCGGAATGCGCTATGTCATCTTGCAGCGACTTCACGGCCTCATGGTAATATTTCAAAGCAGTTGCGGGTTTCACAAGCGCGCTTCCGGGCCGCTTGTACAGTTCGAGATCCAGGGCACCCAGTGCCAGCGCTGCATTATGCAGACTGGAAGACGAATTAATCAAACCTTTCAGATCGCGGTGTTCATTCCCGATTTGGCCAAGGAAAGAGTGCTGATGCAGGAACGAGCTGAAGAGGTGGCTGATGTACACGCTCGCCTGGTCTGGTCCAACCCTGGCCGGGATAGCGTATAGTATGTTTATGTCGCCAGCGTCCGGAAGCCGAATCATTGGTTTCGCTCCCGTGTGTCGGAGGCAGTCTTGCCCCAATGCGGTGCATCGGCGACATGGCTTGTGTCCATCGCACTTGGATATGGTCATCAGCTACCCAAAATCTGGTCGATGAAGCCACAGAATTAAGTACCTTCGAATGTTGCTGACTACAGTTCCAACATCTTTTGCGCCGAGTGCGCTTATCGAAGGGCCCGAGTAGCTTTCCCATGTTGAATCGCACATAACGTTGATTTGGGAAGTGGTAGACCATGTTCAGAAATATATTCACGTCTCTGCCTTAAAATTATGTAGGTATGAAATTATCAAAATGATCAACATGGACCAGGCGATAATTCCCCGTCCTCCGTGGCTGACATTCTTTACCTAAAGAGGAATCAATCATGCTATTGGCTAAGGCCATGAGTTGTCCTCCACGCAACAAAACCGGGGCTACCCAGTGATGCCAGGAGGTGGCCAGTATTCTGAAAATTGAACTTAGGAACACAACAGCGAGATTGTTACCATTTGGAGATGCTGACATGATGTCGGTCCTACTACGCCAATACGAATTGTATAAGAGCTACTGGAAGTACCTTTTCTTGTCATGGCGTCTCTCACGTCCTTACACCGGCTACATCAAAATGACTCTTCTGATGATTATGCTTTCTTTCTTAGCAGCGTTCATCTCTCCTTCCAGTTCCAAGACCATTGTACCTCAGCCAAATGGACCCCTCGGTGTCTCGGTGGTTAATATGCAGCTCGTCGACAGCAGCCGTCGGGACCCCTATTCGAACGCGTCCCAGCGTGTTCTCCCAATCTCCATAATTTCTCCCATCGGCCCCGTGGCCAGATGTGACCAGGTCATCCAGCCTTACATGGACAATACCACAGCTTCGTACTGGGAACAGGCATTTGCCTCACTTTACGACCTTTCTATCTCTCTCAACGGTACTTTCACACAGACAGAACTTTCCCTCTGCCTACCAACGTCGCTCCACAAGCCATATCCCTTGGTCCTCTTCCCACCTGGCCTCGGAATTTCGAGACAATTCAGCCATATTATGTGTACAAATATTGCTTCCTATGGCTACAATGTGGTCACAGTCGATATACCAGGTCAAGACAATATCGTCACGTATGCGGATGGATCTGTTCAATATGGCAACTCGAACATTGTCACCGACGCTCAACTTGCATCTGCCATTGAGGTCCGTGTCCAAGACCTCGATTTCGTGTTCAAATCGCTTTCACGTCCGTCCAGAGCCCTGGCTGCAAAACATCTGAACCTGGCGACATCTTCTGTCGGTATTTTCGGTCATTCACTGGGTGGGTCGGCCGCTCTCTCCGCCATCATCAACGACACGCGCTTCCTGGGCGGAGCAGATTTTGATGGCGGTTTTGACGTCTCTCCTTTGACAGTCAAAACTCACAAGCCGTTCCTCATCTTTGCAAGCGCCGTTCATGACCAGAGCAATGTCCCCTCCTGGCCCATTGTGTGGCAGAACCTTGACGGATGGAAGCTGCAGCTGCAGCTGAACAATAGCGCCCACGGGACATTCTTTGATCTACCTTTCCTGGTAGAGCTTTATGGAATTGATAATATCCCAGGTGCAGTGGAGAGTCTGGCAGCTGTTCTGGGGACGATCAACGGAAAAAGGGCGATGGATTCTATCGTCAGTGTTATGCGAGCATTTTTTCGGTTTATCTTCTCGAACGGGAAAATTGATGGAAAATCCGTGATCGATGCAGCTAAGGGACTCAATGATATCACAATTGCCAATGGAACAGGAGTTGATATAGGATATTTACTCGATAGATACTAGAATTACTAGTATAGACCGAGATTTCTCTTTAGAGACGAGGCTGTGGGGAGGCGAAAGGCTACGTTTAGAAGCCCAGGCAGCTGGATGATTTTAGAACTTCACCTTACCACTCGTTTCTACGGAGTACTTATTATACTCTTCTGGTACTTACTAATCGTAGTCCTTCTTCCGGAATGAATTCCTTAGTTAAAATAAGCGGCCCCTTGGCCGCCGAGTATAATCTAACTAGGCTTAACTAGGAAATGAAAAAGAGACCTTGACATTGTATATCAACAGCGTATATTCCCTGTCAGGCACAGTTTCTTCTGAGAAAGCTTTACAAACATACAGACTCCACAACAGCACGGCAAAGGGATCTAAGATCTTTGTGCAGAAAACATGTCGACCTCACCAGACGGAATCTATGAACCGGGAATTATTGATCCAGGTTTCCCGGTCAAGAATTCAACTCGGTCGTTTTGGCACACAGAAGCCTCGGTTATCGGCAAGCTCCAATCTCCATGGCTCGACAAAGCAGATGTTGTAATTATCGGCTCTGGTATGACAGCTATGAGTCTCGCCAGAACCCTGTACTCAAAGCGTCCACAGCTTCGTATGGTGGTAGTTGAGGCTCGGGATCTCTGCTACGGTGCGACCGGGCGTAACGGAGGACATTGTAAAGTCATGAGTCCTGGTGTCTGGTACGACCGCAAAGAGCAGTACGGTGTTGAAGAGGCCCTACGCGTGATGGAATACGAGCACAGCCATCTAAATGCAATGGCGGCATGTATCGAGGAGAACAAGATTGATTGCGACCTGCGTCTTGTCGAGGGCCTGGATATCTACCATGACAAGAAAGTCTTCCAACGAGCAATAGATGCTCTCGAAGATATGCGTGCGCACAGCCCTGACCTTGCGAGTCGCTACACCGTCTACACCACGAAAGAAGACCTTGCAGCCCGCAATTTGACTCTCGATACTCACTGTGTCGGGGCAATCGGCATGGCCGCCGGAACCCTTTGGCCGTACAAATTCGTGAGCGGCATCTTCAAGAAACTAGTCGACCGACACGGCCTCTCCATTCAAACCAATACGACTGTCACTTCCATCATCGACAACGACCCAGACGACTTTGCCATCGTTGGAACTGACAGAGGTACCATACGTACAAAGCACGTTGTACACGCCACGAACAGTTGGATCGGTCATTTGGTTCACGAGCTACGACCCTTCGTCTCACCTGTACGCGCAAATGTTCAACGACAAGTACCACGTCCCAACACGCTAAGGGTGAACAAACACTCCTTTTGGCTTCGCTACGGTGAAAAGGACTATGACTACATCATTCAACGCGACGACGGGTCGTTCATTTTGGGCCGAGCCAATACGGGACGACGGGCGACGGCGGATGACAGTGAAAAGGATTTGGTGCCCCACGCACATCTCCGAGCCGTGACGCCCCAGATATTCAATTTTGGAACGAAAACGCTGGACGTGACACACGCTTGGAGTGGGTCGGTAGCCTTCACATTGGATGGAAATCCTTTTGTAGGCCATCTCTCCTTTCCGGGTCGGAGGCACCAATGGGTGTGTGGAGCATACCAGGGCATCGGAATGGTCAGGGCATTCCGGACAGCCCAGATGTTGGCATTACTCCTGCTCGAAGAAGAGGTACCGAAGGAGTATCCACGTTCCATGCTTCTCACTCCTGAGCGCGTTCGAAAAATGCAAAGATTCATCGGAAGTAAACTGTGAGAGAGATATTCTAGCCCCTGGGCACTAAACAGACAATGGCAGCATTTCTTAACCATTCTAGAGATCAGTGCAGGCCATACTTTTAGTGTGAGACTTGATGCTTGACCTTTGCGCTAAGTTACAAGGTCAGTTGGACGGTAGTGTAGATGTCTTCAATTAGCATGAATTACTAAGAAGACCCTTGCTTTCCAGGTTAACGGAAACAAACTGTCCCAAGTTTTCTCTGTTGTGCAGGGCTATTCGACGTCTCGCCATTGCGTCGCTGGCTCTCAACTATACATCCACTGACTGCTGAGATTGAAAGATAAATTAGGAGCTCCATTGAATCCTTGGACCTTTGAAATGTTTGCGCGCGTGTAGAAACCAATTCAGAATGACAAACAGAATCATGACTCCCACGACAGCGGAGGCATAGTCTAACAATCATGTCAGCAGGTTGTAGACCGCCAACTGAGGATGGGTTAACATACTCGCGTTGGAAGGTGCAACAGGTAATGTCAGCGGAAAGCAGTATATGATAGTAATCAGTGGTGCGAATAGCAGAGTAACCATATTTGCTACCCATCCAAACCAACCTAGCCGGACTTTCCTGTTTAGTGGAAGCACAAAGTCAGATCTGCGGTGCCACAAGAGCAAGGCTGCAAGCATTGCAAAACAGCATTGTTGGAGCAGTAGCCCGGACCCGATGAAGGCGTTGAAAGCGGTCGAGGAGCCAAGGTAAAAGCAGCCAATGATCAAGATGACGAAGGCATTGGCCAACAGAGCCCAGGTTGGGACTTTCTGCTTTTCGTCGACTTTTCCGATGTACTTTGATCCGACAAGCGCGTTGTCGCGAGCGAATGACCAAGTCAGACGTGCCGACACTTCTACACAGCCGTTCAGAGCGAATAAGGCGATCATTAAGATGAATATAACGAAAGCCGTGGCTGCCGCTGCCGAATGGGTGGCCTGATACCAGATTTCGTAGATGGGCACTCTGAGGATAGGTCAGTCACGGTTGCACCTAGGCATAACAAAAGCCAGTGATGTTCGAGCAGAACTCACCCAGTAAGGTCCGCCGTCACCAGGTCAAAATCTTTAATGCAGTATAGCATAGCAATTCCAAAGGGGAAAGCGGTTACGAAGCCAACGATAATGGTGCTGAAAAGGGCCCCTGGCACTGCAGTCGAGGCATTGGAGCATTCCTCCGCAAGATGGATGGCACCATCGATGCCAGCCCAGAGGAAGTTCGGATTGGCCATACCAGATAAGAAGACCACGGCATCAGATCCCCAGCCGCTATCGTTAATAAAACTGGTCCAGACAAATTCAGCAGAGTTGAAAGTTCCGGATCGAGACAGGCATGTCACGAAAATGATGACAAAAGAGCAGAGAGAGAATACAACTGGTGAGTTTGTTAGTCAAGACTGGCGGATGGCACTGGGTCGACGGATGGTTCCTTACAGCCCACATCATGAATCCAATTGGTCCGTCTGAGGAGGTAGATATTGTAAAGAAGGATGAGGACATCGGTGGCCTGGTAGAGCAAGAAGTATTGCCAAGGAGAGACTTTGGAGTCTGGATTGAAGAGGAGTCGGATCGCTTCGATGAACGGGCCAGCTTGGATGGTCACACCAGAACAGATGGAGAGCCAGCCAAAAATGTTAAATGCCGCGCAACAATAACTCTGTGGCATGTCAGTAGAGATCTGTCGCCGGCCTATATGGTCTCCTACCAGGACACGATGTGCCTTCTTGGGAGCGAGTACAGAGGTCCAGTGATTCGGGCCTCCTGCGGTTGATTAAACGCTGGCCAGCTCGGCCATAGCCAATGCAGAACAGCCGATAGCGACAAGGATCACAAGCAGGCCATAGGCAACAGTCACATTGCCGCCGGATTCGATTCCTATGACCAATGTGGCCGCAAGTCCAACCCAACTGTTGCAGATGTTATACCCGACGCATAGTATCGTGAAGGCCCCGATATCTTTGAGCATCTGCGGTTCTAGTCCCAACTGCAACAGCACGGTGTTTGTGTCCATATTTGTCAGGGCACCTGAGTATACATCAACGCTCGTTCTCCCACTTTGGCTTCACTTTCGCCGTCCTTATTTGCTGCCATTGTGAGGCTTTGATATTGGCTCTTCCGCTGGAGGAGGAAGTAGTGGTGAGGTCAAATTTACACTCGGGACCGTCGTCGAACCCTCTCATTTATAGGTTGGGCATGGAATCCGAGCTCCCGTACGACCTCTCGGGCGCTTTTGCCGCGGGGCAAGGACGCCTTCGCCCTGAGTAATGGATCCTCGAATAGACTCGAGGTTGGGGTAGATTGCTGGGGTAGCGAGCTAAGCCAGGAAGGGCAACGAAAAAGAGACCTCTTGGTTGGTGCTTAGGTCTTTGTTAGGCAATGTGTTACAGCGTGGGTCCGATGTGGCCGTTTGTTCGGTGGTGCTCGCCTTTGCTGGCAGGAGCTCCTGCTCAATGATATGGATTTTGCGTGCACGACAAGGCATGCGACGTCATCGAAGCATTCACACCCGTAAAGGCATCAACATCTCGGCTCGGGTCCTGTAAGGCTGCAGTTCACCCCCTATGCTGGTGAAATGTGCTTCGGCCTACGGGGTCTAGCATGTAGTGCCAGCTCCATGTGCGCGAGCGGGACGTGCAAGGAAGGACGAGGTGGTCTCATTCTGAATTCCTGTTTAGGAAATCAGGTGCCCAGCTATGCTTTGCACCCCTCGCCCGTGCTCGTCCCGATAGAAACCATTATACCGAGCGGAGCGTAGTGATCTGTCATGTAGCGTTTTTGTGCGTAAGTAGCTGATTGGGAAGAAATGGAAGAATCTAGCTAGAAGGCCAGGCATGGCGCCAAAGGTCCACACCCATAACTGGCTAGTTATGCCTATCTACTTAGGCACTCTTGCCCCGTCTGGCGCTAAGAAGCCCGAGATTTACTGGTGGTGGCGAGGTGGACATGGACGACCGAGGACGACCCCTCATGACTCCGACGGGAAACCTGAAATTTTCTGTCCTACCACTATTCTCACTTCCTTCTCCAGAAGCCAGGCCGACATTGTTGAGACGCGCAGATGGCAGCTGTACCCACCTACGTCGGCCGTCTCTTGGATTTCATTTTCGCGCAGAATGGTAGTATCGCGTTCTGCGCCAGGATCTAAACGCGCTTATCGCCCTAAGACCAAGGGTTGGTGTGGCCCCCTTCTCCCGAGTTTGCCCTGATCCAGGTTAACATTGCGACGAGGATGTTATGAATGTTCGCAGCGACGCATCAGTTGCGACGGAACAAAGCCCGGCTGTCGAAAGTGCGCTGCCAGAGGGCTCCAATGCAGTGGTTTTGGCATCAGATACAGATTCAGCCAAGAGACTGCCACAAGATCCCACAAGATTGGCAAGGCGGTACAAAGATTGCGGGCTGAGTAAGTTTGTCGGCCACGACCACTCTGCGGTGTCAAACATCGTTATTGATCGCGCATACAGCAGCGCAGAATCTCAGGCTGCAGAGACCTCGTCTCCAGAACTGCCAGCATTCTCGGTCTCATACGACTGTCTCGAGAAGAATACTTCCTGCGATAACCCTCCCTCGGTAGATTGGGGATCGTCAAACGACGGTGCCATCTTCAAGCCTCTTAATGAACCGTGCGATGATATTTCTGCGGACTCAAAAAAGCCAGGCCCACCCAAGCACTGGTCTGAAGCCTTGACGCCCATCGCGCTGAAAGATGCACAACTGTTGTCATTTGCATCTGATGGACAAGCTACTTTACTGAAGTATTGTAAGATTCTGACGAAGACACCTATGCAATGGCTTACCACAGGGCAGTCTCCAATAACATTGCACAAGAAATGATTGCAATCGATGATCAGTTCAATGGCTGGCGACATCTTGTCTTACCAATCACATTTCAGGCAGAGCCAGTCATGCAAGCCGTCTTATCAGCTTCGGCCTTTCATATAGCTGCAAGGTACGGCAATATGAGTTTGACAGCGCAAGTGGTATATTCTAAAGCCATCAAGGAGCTGGGTCGAAACAGTGATTTAACCAAATGTGGAGGGCTATCACTCAACTACAACATCCTAAGTATACTTGTACTGCTTGTGTCTGTCATGATCAATTCAAGTGTGGATTTCCCCATACTATACAACATGCTGGCACGCGCTGTAGATGCCGTCGGTGGTGAAGATGGCCTCGGAGTGGGAGAGCTGCCGGATTTTCTTCGCCGTCAGATAAGAAAGTAGGTGGCCATGCTTAGCCTGGCTCCAGTCCGACGCTATGCTGACTACCAGTAGGTTTCGTGTCTATGCGGCACCGCTGATCAGTGAGAAACTCGGGGTAGAAGCCATTCAAAACCACGGCTCCCAAGCGCTCGACTGCTTAAGACATTGTTCTCTCCGTCATCCGGAATACTCTCTGGCAATTTCGAACATCCAGGATCAGATTTTCCAGGCCTTCCAGATATATCTACACCAAGCCGCCGGCGACATTGACCAGAAGACATCCATACAGCTTGTCGAACGTTTCAGGCGGACGGCTGAAGCATACCCAAGTGGCTGCTGCTCAGCCGAACACGTCCTCATCTGGGCGTCTTATATCGTTGCCGCCGCCAGTACCCTTCCGGAGCACCAGTCATATTTCTGTCACCGACTTCGGAAGTTTCATATGGGCAACGGATTTACAAACACTCTGAAAGGCTTAGACGTCTTGAGCACTGTCTGGGGACGAAGCCTTTCCACTAGATGGACGGCGATGCTATCACAGACTCAGATCTTCATTATGTAACGAACATTAAGTTACCGTAAATGATTTAGAACTGTATACTTTTAAGGTTTATTCCTTGCGCGTAAGTATATATTGCTATAAGCGTACGGCCCTCGTTACTAATCTTAAGACTTTAACGCAAAGAGCGAGGCTCTGCTATAAACGAAAGCATTATGGGCAATACAGAAATCATCAACATCATACATTGAGGTCCGACTTTTTGCTGTCACGCTGCCTGGGCCGATTGTATGGTTCTGTGCTCGGGGTCTGCCTAAGATTTCAACTCGCTTGGTGTAGATAGGCGAGCTGGCAACTCGCCTTTGTCGACGCGAAGGTGTAGCGAAGATACGAGCAGTGGCGGTAGGCCAAGATGGTTGACGTTCGCCAAGGTCTCGGCACATCTCAGCTGGCCGCGGCATTCAAGCGAGACATTACGTTGTCTTGGCCTCGTACAGTACATCGACGGCCAATGCAGCCGCTGGTTTGGCAGTTGCATAGAGTAAAAGAGGCTTCGTGTAAGATCGAACATTGAGGAAAGATGCGACAAATCCTGGGGTTAAGGGGCAGGAAATGAACGATTCATGACGTAGAGTCGAAATCTCTTCGAGCTACATAGACTACACTCACCGTGATTGGAACCGCATTCACAGAAGGTTCACGTATGCACGCTCGTTGCACGTTCCCGAACACTACCCGCTGATTATGATACTGCTCAGGGATGGGAAACCAAGCCTAGTCCTTGGAAATGATATTCCATTGACCTGCAAGGAAATGCTGGAGGTTCCCGTGTGCTGCAAGACTTCAACATCGCCGTTTCAGCTGCCAAGGTCTATCTCGTGTTGAGGGTGCTTGGCCCTTTATCCCCGTATTGCCTGAGCCCTGCGATGCCTACATGCAAGCACTAGTAAATATCCGAGGAAGGTCAAACTGCATTCCTCGCAATGTGATGATAGTCGCTGTAGAAGGAACTGGTTCTTCGGATCATAAATCTCACATATCACTAAGCTGGTCAAGTGGATGCTACAACGTGCTTCCACTTACCTGTATTCAGCTTCCGTTGCGAGATCATCCATGTGGGTGCCACATCGATGAACTTACATAAGCTCCGGGGGCCGAAAGAGAAACACGGCATAATGTCGTTCAAAAACACGAGAAACGGACATAAACACGAAACTGATAACAAATCCCTTGACTGGAATGCGGCGAGCACAGCACTTATTATACATTTCCGCCTAACTGGACACCATTTAGACTTTGAAAGCACGGATTTGAGCCTTTGCGAGAGCTACCCACAGTCACTTCGACACTCCCCTTCCCTTCCTCGTCCAGGCCAATGCGCGCTCTGGTAGCCTCTGACCTATATAAGGGGGCAATCAAGCATAGGTAGGACTTCCTCCAGCTATTTTCATTAATTTTCAAAACCCGAGGTCGATTGCTTTGCCCAACATAAAGAAGAAAGAATACCTTTCTCCTACTGCCTACTATGCATACCTCCACCATCTACAAGTCCATCCTCTTGGTGGCAACTGTGTCTGTGGTCTCTGGGTCGAAGCTTCACGGCTCTCCTGGCATGTCCCTCCTCAAATACCATCACCAGCTATCGCGCAACCTCATGCCTCGTCAGGGCTGTACATCCGATCAAGTGACTTGCGGAGGTGGCTGTCTTGTCGCAGGGAGCGACTGCTGTACCCCTGGTGCCACCTACTGGGAGTACTGCGATCCGGGGCAATTCTGCTGGTCGTTTGGCAATGACTACACTGCTTGCTGCGCACCAGGTGACGTCCAATGTGGCATTAAATGTATGCCACCAGGATCAGCCTGCTGCGATAATCAGGGCGACTACTGTGATGCGGGAGAGTATTGTTTCATCGACACCGATAGTAGCCTAGGTTGCTGCCCTCAAGGGGAGACCTGTGGCTCAAGCACGACATATCAGGCCGGAGTGACCGTTACCGGACCCGCTACAGCATCCGCAACTACTCCAGCTTCTTCTTCGGCATCTGAGCCGATCATTACGATGTCTTCAGTCTCGGCTGCGTCGGTTGAGTCAACCACATCTGCTAGCACTGCTCCACCAATCGCCACCTTCACTGGAGGAGCTGTAGTGACCGCCGGTCCACAAGTCGCTGCTGCTGTTCTCGTGGTAGCTGGGCAGATGTTCCTCTAGATTCACGAACCAATGGCTACCAATCAATCCCGGTGCCTCGACTGCTGGTTGTCAGGAAGTGTGGTGTATCGATATTAATGCTGGGGGCTCTTTCCACCGGACGTTTTTGCATGCAACAAATAATGCATTCATGGATATGCTAGTGGCAGGAATTCATTGTAGTTTGGCGTGGCCTGCATTTGCCAGCAGGCAACATCTATTGATTGATTTGGCTGAGACACGAAGACGAGTGTCATTGAGAGTATAATACTGCAGCACACCTTGGAAGGCACAGATATTCCGTAGTCCAGTAAATTATTCGTCCTTAGACACACCTGGACCTCTTGGGCACATAACGAAAGTGTTATCTCAGCACCGTCTTGTACAGCTTTCACTCACCACATCCACTAAACTTTTCTCCATTGCAGTTTTGATTTCAACCCATACACACGAGGCCTCGGAATGCACTCCTCCACCTGTTCTCGTATGCGCCTGTTAGATTCAAGCCTTGTTAGCCGATGGTGTTCAGACGTTCAGCAGTGCAAAACCGCCCGCGGTAAGTGGTGGTTCCCCGTCTTTGCGGCAGATGAGTTTGTGGTTCTTCCAGTTCGCCCGCTGGCATTCTTGGTTGCAGTACCAAGCCCCCTTGCAACGGCCACATTTCATGAGAGATCGTGGGTGGAGGTCTTGATTGATACGGCCGCAGTAAAAGCAGCTGGCGTAACCGCATTAGCTCTTCTCCACCACAGTAAGGAACGCGGTGGCATACCTAGGTCCATGCATGTCTCGTGGCTCACCATTTCGATAATGACTGAGGGCGGCGAGAAACTGTGCCTTGCCCGGGTCACGAAAGCCGAGATCTCCAAATGGCAGCCGGTATCCAGGATAACCTTCACTCTTGTCTGCCGCCTGACGAAGGTAGACCATGTTCTCCGAGGAAATCTTCACACCTGCTCCCATCATTACTGCCCCAAGTATGACAGCAGAATATTCGCCGTAGAGCGGGTCTTTCTTCTGACGGTAGTCTTCAAACAACTCATCGCTGATGGTGTTGAGATGATCACGAAGCTGTTGGCTGCTCATGGGAGATGGGGTCGGTCGATTGTTCGGGTTGGTCATGTTGTCTAGAAGGTCTTCCAGGTGGTCTTCCTCGATGGTGATAGATCTGGCCTTGAGTTTCTCCCCGATGGCATAGGTGAGATCTCCCTTGAGATCCAGATCACTGTCTCCCTCAAAGATTCCTGTCGAACGAGTTAGTGGAGGATAATCTCAGCATTGAGGATGAGTGCTTACTATGTCCCCAACGACCCATGATTTCGACGAGTGGCTGAGCAAGACTTTTCTTGGATAATTGCGGTGGATGGATGAAGGCAAAGACGCCGAGGATTGGGCAGGGTGATCGATTTGAGGTGCAAGCGAGATGAGGTTGAGATAGAACGATGCTGAAGGCGACTGCGAAGGGAGAGAGTTGGGCAACAGTGAAACAAAGGGAATGGAGGAAGGGGAATTGGAGCAGTGAAGTTCCTTCCCTGCCATAGACTCAATTGCCTACTTAACCACCAACTCTGATAGAAAAGCTCTTGCTTCCTCCAGGTAAGAAGCCCCAAAGAAGCAGAATCGGGCAACTTTACCTCAATTTCAAGGCTGTGTCGCAGCGAAGAAACCAAGTCATGCTAAATGCTACAATGGTCTCTTGTCTTTCCCAAGCTATAGTCGACCTCGCAGGTTGATGCGATCTCAGCCGCTGCGTTGAGTTCACCTCCTCTGCCATTCCCTGCCAGAGCCGACGGAGTCGACCTTCAATCGGCCGTACCTCATTCTCCCCGTAGCGGACGACCTTGGAAGTGGCCGTGGAAGGAAAACTGGGTTGACTGGCGACAGCACAAGAGACCTCACGTCCTCAACAAGTTGATTTCCGTTGACTTGGGTGAAAGGCTTTCAGCCGTTGAAGCATGCGGAAAGACAAGTCACAACCGGGATCGAAGAAATCCATCATCATCTGTCGCAAGTGATGTTTTGTGGCCGAAGGACGCGCGTGTCGCATCGAGAAGGTATACCGACTGCGCCTTCTTCACTTCTCCTCGGGTTCGTCTCTTCCTCACTCATCCAAGATCTCGCAGATGGCGTCGACTCGGTTTTCAAGTCTTCATAGGGACCACTTGATAGCCCTGTCAAAGCCATGACTTTGTGCCGGCTTGCAACCATCGTGGTCTTGCGCACAACCAGGAGTCGCCTTGGTCCAGCATGATCACTTCTCTCCAGCCCTCATGCCAAAATACCTCCACGAAGCTGGCTACCTTCCTTAGCTTCCGATACGAAACTGCTCGACTGTCGCGGCCATCGAGCTCTCGTGGATGCAGGAATATTAGATATGACAAGAGACGCAGGGATCTATCAATGTTCAAAGAGCAAGGAGGATGCCCAGCTCTCTTGCTGAAGGAACCATCTGCCGGTGTTGTCATATGAATGGCCGAACTTGATACAGGCCCCCAGATGACGATCGATGTGCGCCAGCGATATGATGTTTCGATCGTGAGATATTCCGGACGCGAAATAACTGCACAGGGTGTGGCTCAATGGTGAGGAACAAGTGGCGTGACCTAGAGACAATCCGCACGTAGCTTCCATGATGCCGATGCGGTGGAACGTTCAGGTGATGTCGCCACAAATAAGACTTCACACCACTTCACATGCTGGTTTTGTGCAAGTAGTTGTGAAAACAGCATCCGTCATCTCATGGTCAGGAGTCACGAATCTGGTAAGGAAACCCAAGCTTGAGGCTCCTTGGCTGGATCACTGGTTGAATCCGCCTCATATGTCCTGTTATCCTTACTTCAAGTCGGCAAGCAGAACCCATCCACCACTTTCCCTGCAATCTTGCTCCCGAGCTTGACCCTGATACTACCTCTGAGGGATACAATAAGCCACAAGCGAACACATTGAACCAAATCTCCTTTGCGATGACATCTGGTGAGAGTATATCGTCGGTCGGGAAGAGACGGATTGCGGTGATGACCAGTGGAGGAGACTCACAGGGCATGAATGGCGTAGTCAGGGCAGTCGTTCGCATGTCAATTCACATGAATTGTGACGCATACGCTGTCCTTGAAGGCTACGAAGGTCTAGTGCTGGGTGGGAACTCCATCAAACGCATGTACTGGGATGACGTTCGAGACTATCTGTCACGAGGTGGTACCTTGATAGGTACGAAACGCTGCATGGCATTCTACGAAAGATCTGGGAGGCTGAAGGCTGCAAAAAACCTGGTTTTGAAAGGCATCAATGCTCTTGTTATTTGTGGAGGTGATGGTAGCTTGACGGGAGCCGACCGATTTCGATCCGAATGGCCCAGCTTACTCGAAGAGTTGGTCCAGACACAACAGCTCAGTCCGGAACAGGTCGAGCCGTACAGACATCTCAATATCTGCGGTCTTTTGGGATCTATTGACAATGACATGTCAGGTACGGATGCCACAATCGGCTGCTATTCGTCTCTTGAAAGAATTTGCGAGATGGTGGATGCTGTCGATGACACCGCCACGTCGCACATGCGAGCGTTCGTGATCGAGGTCATGGGCAGGAATTGCGGCTGGCTAGCCTTAATGGCCTCCATCGCGACCGGTGCCGATTACGTCTTCATCCCGGAAAAACCACCTGGCCAGGATTGGCCAGAGGAGATGTGTGAAATTGTAACAAGTCATAGACAATTTGGGAAACGCCGGACCATCATCATTATTTCGGAAGGTGCTCAGGACACCCAGCTTGAAAAGATCACTGCAGACCAAGTGGTGAAAGTACTGACCGAACAACTCCATCTCGACACACGAAGAACTGTCCTGGGTCATATACAAAGAGGAGGTCTTCCCTCATTCTATGACAGATGGCTTTCGACTCTGCAAGGTGTCGAAGCCGTCAAGGCAGTCTTGGAAGCGACCCCTCAAACACCAACGCCTGTTATCACAGTTCGTGAGAACAAGATACTACGATCAGATCTACAGGAATGCGTCCGCCTCACAAAATCTGCAGCCAAAGCCATCCAAGCGAGAGACTGGAACGCGGCTATGAAACTACGCGACGCTGAATTCAAGGAGTATTTCGATAGCTATAAGCTTACCACATCTCCAGAAAGCACTCGTCTACGAATACCGCAGGAACATCGGGTGCGGATCGCTATCATCCACGTTGGTGCGCCAGCCGCGGGTATGAATCCAGCAACACGAGCGGCAGTTGCATACTGTCTTTCGCGGGGGCATACGCCTATTGCTATACACAATGGCTTCCCGGGGCTCCTTCGACATCATGACACGAAGCCCATCGGCTCTGTCAGAGAAATCAAGTGGATTGATGTTGAGGATTGGGCAAACGAAGGTGGCTCCGAGCTAGGTACCAACAGAGGGCTACCGAGCGAAGACATGGCGAAGACGGCCCATTGCTTTGAGGTCCATCGATTGGAAGCCCTCTTCATTATCGGTGGCTTCGAAGCGTTTGCTTCTGCCAGTCAAATCAGGAACAATCGAGACAAGTACCCTTCTCTTCGAATTCCACTGATCGTCCTTCCGGCGACTATCTCGAACAACGTACCAGGAACGGAGTATTCGCTAGGAAGTGATACCTGCTTGAATACACTGGTAGGCTTCTGTGACGCTATCCGGCAATCAGCATCGGCCTCTAGAAGAAGGGTTTTCGTTGTCGAAACACAAGGAGGTTACTCTGGCTATCTAGCTACCATGACAGGTCTTGCTATCGGCGCTTTGGCGGCCTATACCCCAGATGATGGCATCGATCTCCATACGTTAACACGAGACATCGACTTCATTCGCAAAAGCTTCCAGAATGACCAAGGCGCATCGAGGGCGGGAAAGATCATCCTCAGAAATGAGCGTGCAAGTCAGATCTACACGACGCAGGTGGTGGCCGACGTGATCACCGCGGAAGGACGGGGCAGGTTCGACGCGCGCGCTGCTGTCCCCGGTCACTATCAGCAGGGAGGAAGGCCTTCGCCGATAGATCGAATCCGCGCCTTCAAGTTGGCGATCAAGTGCATACAGTTTCTCGAAGATACCTTCGCAGGTAAGAGTGCAGACGAAATCAACTCCAATCCTCTGAACGCCACGATCATCGGTATCCAGGGTTCCGAAGTAGTCTTCAGTCCGATGGGCAGTGATTATGGCTTGGAAGCTACACAGACTGACTGGGGAGCGCGGCTCCCAAGAAATCAAGCTTGGCGGCCGGTCAGAGGGATAATCGATATCCTGAGTGGTCGGCCGGAGGACAAAGAATGAGTCGGGAGTCGTATATGATCGTCGCATCTCCCGAAATTCGGAGGGACGCAATCAAACCTGCTTATTTGTGTGGGTCCCAAGAGATCGAATTCTACAGAGTACAAGCCTTAGTCTGGTAACCGTAATTGTTCTCCTGTCAGCCAATGCACAGTCTTTCCCGCCCAGTTCTAAGGAAAAATTGACTCGGCTGGCGAGTGGACTTCTGCCATCATAATCCGGAGGCCAGTACGCAGTTGTATGTGGAGAACGATTGTTCATCGGTGGGTGGATCTAAACACCGGGATCTTGCCACAACTCTATCTTCGATTGTAGATGGCTCGACTATTCCATTGTCAATTTTACGACTTCTTAAGAGACAATCCTCGTCGTACGCTCTCACCGAGCACGTCACAGCAACATGGCGCTCTCAATACCTTTCACCGATGTCCAGATCAAGTCGGACTTCTGGGACGACATCATCAAAGTTTCTCGAAAACAAAGCCTGGAAATTATTTACCAGAAGCTCAAGTCATACGGACAATGGGATGCTATGCACCTTAAGTGGAAGCCAGGCGACGCCGGCGTGACTCCTGATATTCTGTGGGACAGCGACGTTGGCAAATACGTGGAAGCCGCATCGTACGCTTTATACCATGAAGAGGACCCTGAGACGAGGGCCAGAGTCAATGAAGGCATAGACATGATCATCAAAGCACAACAAGATGACGGCTATATTGGAATCTACCATACCCTAGTTCAACCAGGAAAGCGGTGGTCAAGCCTGGCACACAATCTGGAGCTCTACGGAGGTGGCCATATCTTGGAGGCAGCCATCACGCATCATCTCGCATCAGGACGGCCAAAAGATGACCAGTTTCTCGCAGCTATGGAACGATATGTCGAGCTGCTAAAGAAGGTCTTCGGCGAGGACAAATTGCTTAACTATCCTGGCCACCAAGAAATCGAGCTGGCTTTGATGCGTCTTTACGACATTACCGGTGATCGAAGCTTGGTTGATCTGGCCAAGTTTTTCATCGAGGAGCGAGGTCGAACCGATGCACCCCGTAAAGGCCATGCTTGGGATATTGCTGCTGTAAAGAGGGGCGATGATCCTGAGACCTTCTTCCCATACTACTGGCCCCGACCTCGTTGTTACTGGCACATGCAAGCGCATCTTCCGATACGAGAACAGCATGAGATTGTCGGACACTCAGTACAAGCAATGTACTGGCTCTCTTCTGTTTTGGATGTCGCTCTCGCAACTGGTGAGGATAGCTACCTCGAAGTTGTGGACCGACTCTGGAAGAACATGGTTGACCGCAAGATGTATGTCACTGGCGGTATCGGCAGCGTCCATATCTACGAAGGGTTTGGCCCTGAGTACGACCTTCCGAACGAGACTTCGTACGCCGAAACATGTGCCGCAATTGGCGTAATGTACTTGGCTCAACGGAAATTGAAAGTCAAGACCGAGGCAGCGGTGGCAGATATCCTCGAATTGTCCATGTACAATGCCATGCTTGCCGGGCTCAGTCTCGACGGCAAGACTTTCAACTACGACAACCCGTTGGCGACGGTCAACTGCTCGCACAGCCGCAGTGACTGGTTCAAAGTGTTCTGCTGTCCCTCCAATATCTGTCGAACCCTCAACTCCCTGGGTGGCTATCTATACGGCTTGGACGAATCTGACAAAGCTGTTCGCCTCACTGCGCATACGTACGTTGGAGGGACAGTACGTGCGGGCAAAACATTGTGGAAAGTGCAAACGGAGTGGCCCTGGAGCGGCAAGACAACTTTCTCTGCTACAGAAAGCTCTGAGGAGAAGACGATTCTGCGACTCCGTATCCCTGGCTGGGCCAAGCAATATGAGGTATGCCTATTATGAAGAAGACCGAAACCAGACTGACTCAAAGTTTGCAGATCAAAGTGAACGGACAAGTAACCAGCGCTGAAGTCCAGGACGGATATGCGTCACTTCCCATCCGCAGTTACAACACCCAAGACGTCGTGGAATTTACCGTCCCCATGGTGCCGCAAAGAATCGAATCACATCGGCTTGTGCATCAGAACAGGAATTGCATTGCGTTGCGACGTGGCCCTTTCATCTACGCCCTTGAGTCCGTCGACCAAGACCCGGCGCTTAAAGACCTCCGGCTCGCGCGAATTGATCCTTCGGCAAAGATTCAGGATTTGCAGATGAATATTGACGGCAAATCGATCGTCGGTTTGAAGACTCGAGGTTGGGCTCTGAAGGTTCCACAGAATCCTCGGGCATCTCGCGACGAAGCAGACACGAAAAAGAAGATGGAACCTCAGTCGAGCTGAAATTTATTCCATATTTTGCATGGGCGAACCGTGGCCCGAGTGATATAAGAGTCTGGATTCAGAAAGCGGGAGATTTGAGTAGATAATCTTACTGTTCAAAACATATCAACCACTAGTAGTATTGTCGGGGCCATCATAATTCAAGCGGTGGTCATTTTGGCTGTGATGCGTGTCGTGCTAACAGTCACAATGAGAGTTATCGTCCATAGACAGCGGAAGGATAGGGCGAAATGTCCACCGGAGAGCAGATGGTGACAAGTTGTGCCGGTTTTGCCGGGCTCTCCAATGTTTTCCACCCGCAATATGGAGGCTGCCCCCACTCCTGTCCCGGCTTGATAGCTTTTTCAGTCTCCCTAATCTGATAGTAGCCTAGTTGACGGTGGTCCAACCCGATATTACGGTTCCCGTGCCGTTTGCCTGGGCGTCCTTTCGTTCTAATCCTTCCAGTCTTTTCCCACGCTTGTCAACAGTGCTCTGGAGCCTCCGCAATATGAGAATCTGACTCTCCGCATCAGGAGACACGATCTTTCCGCCGGAGAACATCCCAAAACGGATGATTTCGTCCCTGATGTGTGGTGTATAAAGTACAGCAAGGCCACGTTCCAGAATCCTGGCACCACTTGACCTATCACATATTGATCCTTCTCGCTTCGACTGTTCTTCCGAAGAGTTACACCTGCTGCAGTCATGGGTCTCGATGTTGCTTCGTCCAGTTTCTGGTACATGGTGCTATGCGCCGGGGTAGCAGGGGTGTCAGGTCTGATGTTCGGATATGACAGCGGTAGGTGACCAGGACAATTGCAACGGCAGGCCTGACCAGTAGCAGGTATCATCACGGACACCATTGCGCAAACCCAATTTCTCGATTACTTCAACAATCCCACTTCATCCATCATCGGGACAATCGTGGCAATGTTGCAAGCTGGAGCGGCGATTGGAGCAGGTATTGCAGCACCCATCAACGACAAATGGGGACGCAAGAAGTCAATGATAGTTGGTGCAGCCTTTGGCATTGTTGGTGCAGCTCTCCAGGCCGGCGCTGTTTCAACCGCAATGCTTATCGTTGGTCGGCTGATCATTGGCTTTGCTATCGGTATTTTGACCATGGTGGTGCCTGTCTACCAGGTATATGAAGCCTTCCTGGAATCCCCTGCAAACAATGCTGACATAGCCAGGCCGAAATCGCACCACCCCATGAACGAGCCTTTCTCATGAGTGTCGAATCTATCATGACCGCCCTTGGGTACGTCATTGCAAACTGGGTCGGATATGGAGCATCGTTCTCCAAGACGTCATTCCAATGGCGTTTTCCTCTTGCTGTCCAAGTCCTCTTCGCTTTGCTGGTGTTCTGCGCGGCACCATTCCTCCCAGAATCACCACGTTGGTTGATCGAGCAGGGCCAGGAAGACCACGCTTTCGACTTGGTCAAAAAGCTTCACTTCACTGGACAGAATTCCGTCTTCATTCAGCGAGAATTCCAGGAGATGCGGGACCAGATTCTGGCCGAGAAGGAACAGACTGTCCGATCTTACAAGGATGTCTTCACGAAGCCAACATGGAGGCGACGTGTTTTGCTTGCCTGTGGCGTCTGGATCGGGGTCTCCCTGTCGGGTATTACTGTTGTGAATTTCTATCGTGAGTGCAATGGGTGCGATACTCGGGCGAAGCTGACTGAATGCAGTGAACACATTCATCAAGAATCTCGGCTTTTCGACGCACAAGTCCCTCCTTCTCACCGGAATTTATGGCTTCGCTGGCCCCATTTCGTGCTTTGTTGCCATGATCTTCCTCGATCGTCTCCCGCGCGTCAAGATGCTCTGGGGTGGTAATGTCGGACTTGCGATCATATTGAGCGTCCTCACTGGCTTGACCAGCCATTCCCAGAAGACTGGCAATTCAGCAGCAGGAGCCGCTGGCATTGCAATGCTGTTCTTGTACTCCATCGTATATTCTGCTACATATGGGTGAGTGAACCACGCCCATAAGCACAGTCACTTGACTAACCTTGCCAGCCCGATTTCTTGGATCTATCCGGTCGAGATCTTTCCCATGCAAATTCGATCAATTGGGTTTTCCATCTCCTCGGTCGTCAATTACGCCGTAATGGTCATGTTCTCCCAGGTATCTCCGATCGGCTTCAGCAACATCGGCTATAAATACTACATCTTCTTCATCTGCAGCAACATATTCTCAGCAGTGGTAGTTTTCATTTTCTACCCTGAAACCAAGGGCAAATCTCTTGAACAGATGGATGAGCTGTTTGGTGATCAGCTTGTGCCTCACGCGTTGGATGATCCCAAGGCTGCTGAGTTGATGCACGTCGAGAGCCACAAAGGAGAGCAAGGGGAGGTGACAATTTCTGAAAACACCACTTCTGGGAGATGAGAGACCGGAACAGGAAGAAGTCGACGGTCCGGAGGATCAAAAGCTGTTGAAATAGATTTGAGATGAGAATTGAAGATATATTGTCCGACTCCGGTATCGAAAGTTTGGCGCTGTCATAATAATACCAATACACTTTTGGAAATCTGAAGCAGAAGGGTTCTTCTGGCATATCCACAACAGGCAATGCATTCACTCTCGGTCTTCCTATAAATCCGCAAGTATCTGAGGTGAATTGATGATTGACCTTGCATATGCATATGCATTCGGAGTTAGGAGATAATGAACAATCTCGTCGACTGCGAACAAGCAGACCGACAATGCAGCACATTGGGACAAGCACCAAACCAATTGAACGCCGCAGAAACCAGATTGGGGATTCGACTGGGCTACTGGATGCTGGGACGGCATTAATGACATCTTTAGACCCACCCAATTCGACTCCTGCTAGAGTGTCGGCTGTCAACGATGTCCTCGGTCCCGATAGTCGATCATCCGGAGTCGAATGCGCCCCTGTAAACGATATTCGTCGTCACAGTTGAGGTAGATAAATATCGCTGGGAATGGTCGAGGATATTCGGACATCCATAAGTTGTCTTCTATGATGGCAAGCAAATTTCCCCAGCGAAAGATCGGTGACAGGTTCGTTTCTGCAATAGGGCTAGGATGCATGAGCCTGTCCATTCATTCATCAGCTGGTGTTCCTGACGTGCAAGAGTCGCTGAAAGTCCTCACCGCTGCGGCCGATCTCGGCATCAACTTCTGGGTCACCAGCGACACGTATGGTGCCGGCCACAACGAGGATATCCTTGGCAGGTGGTTCAAAGAGACCGGCCGCCGCGACGAGATCTTTCTTGCAACCAAGTTTGGGACGAAACGCTCGGACGGAAAGCTGGTGCTCGACAGTACACCAGACCACGTCAAAGCAGCATGCGCAGCAAGTCTTGAACGCCTGCAGACTGACCATATTGACATGTATCTTCAACATCGTGTGGATCCAGAGACACCGATCGAGGAGACTGTACAGGCCATGGTCGAGCTGAAGGAAGAAGGGAAGATCAATCAACTGGGTCTTTCCGAGTGCTCAGCCCGGACGTTGCAGCGAGCCCACAAGGTCCACCCCATCGAAGGAGTCGAAATCGAGTTTTCGCCCTTGGCGCTTGATATCGAGTCACCTGAAACCAACTTTCTCAGAACGGCCAGAGACCTTGGCGTCAAGATCATACCGTATTCACCGCTTGGACGAGGCTTCACCACTGGAGCGATGAAGAGTAGAGAAGACTTCGATGTGAAAGACCACCGCAGGATGCATCCTCGATTCTCGGACGAAAACTTTGCGAGCAACCTAAAAATTGTGGAAGGGTTGGCGTCGATGGCAAAGGAGAAAGGCTGCAGGCCGGGGCAGCTGACTTTGGCATGGGTGCTAGCTCAAGGCGATGGTGAGGAGCATTCTGTATCAGATGATTACCTTTGCTGACACTCGCAGATTTCATACCAATTCCAGGCACAAAGCATGTCGAGTACCTGAAGGAGAATGCAGATGCTGTGAAAGTCGAGCTGTCCCAGGAGGATGATAAAAAAATAAGAAAGATAATCGAGGACGTTGGGGGAGTCAAAGGCGCTCGTTACCCTGAGGCGTACCTTTCCTGGTGTTTCGGCGACAGTCCAGAACTCGGAAACCAGTGAGACATGCCAGCCCCAGACTTGAGTCAGGCTATATAGTCAGTAGAGGCCATTATACTTGGCGCATTTGTTGCTCCACATCTTCAGAGGTCTCCCCCAGCGTGTGTTTCCTCCTTCTCAGAGGTGCGATCGTATGCAAGCGAGAGACATCGATAGACGAAGGAAGAACGGAGTATCAGGCACTCGATCGGACGGAGAAGGCGGCGTGGATAGATGTGAAAGTGGGCATTGCAGTCCATCTCTTCTGTCGCTTCTCAGATAGATTTGTGAGGGACACACATACGAGGAGGATACCACAACATTGTGCTGAGGCATTCGAGGTGTCAACGCCCAAGCATAAGAGTCCTGCTATAGCGCAAACATGGCAGACCCAATTCCTTTAGCCGGCTTTTGGCCTGTTCGGTTGCGACGAGTATCGGGCATTTTCTCTTCCATTCATCTCGGTACCAACTGTGGCAGCAGATGAGCGCACTTCCGTCGAGGCTCGAAGCAGAGATGCGCTTTGCGGCGCTTCAGACGAGTGTAGGGGAAAGATTAATGTGCGGGTCGGTCGGCGTAAGCAAGTACGAACAAGGGCAGATTGCTTTTCGGGTTAGCAAGGTCAGCATAGGAAAGCAACGGTTAAAGAATCGACTAGGAGAAGAGAAGTCAAAGCCTGATCTTCATGATAAAACAAGGTACAGTAATTGTACCGTGGGTGGAACTTGGACAGGTCGAAGCCCATTGTCATGTAAAGTTGGCTGCGGTGAGGGTTGAAACTTGAGGGCAGCTTCCAGAGTACAGTACGTGAGCGCAATCACGTGCTCCCACGTTATCACGTGCTTTGGTTCGTACCTCGGTCCTCCTTGTCGGCGATCAACTATTTCAACTTCACTTCAACTTCACCATTACGGAATACCAACAATCTCATTGAGCTACATCTCGAAATGGCCATCAATCTTCTCTTCACCTAGAGAACAGCAAGATCACCGGACCTTGATTCATATTATGCTATGCAGCGGAAAAATTATGTAAGTGAAACTGGTTCTTCCTCCCTGGTGACAGGCGTCGTGTTCCTCACCTGATACAAGCCTGATGTTCACTTCTCGTGTCGGTCCCATGGCGGTCCCATGGCATCATAGCTTCCGCGAGTATCCCGAGGCTCTCGCCGCCTGAATGTGCCGCTGCGCATAAATATGATGAGAGTGTTTTTGATCCGAATCTGCGCTTTCGTTTCTATCCCTAGCCACAATATCAAGATACGACCCACTACTTTTCTACAATATTACTTTTTCTCCTCTTCGACATTTCCAGAATATCTTGAACCCCATTTCAGCTCCTCTGAAAGTATCACATTTACGCAAGTATTCCCAGAGATGAACAACATCAACAAATCTCCAGTTTTTGTCCGCAATTTTGAACATTTGGTGCGCCAGGATGTTGCGTTGGTCGGTGGGAAGAACTCCTCCTTGGGAGAAATGATCGGTGCTCTCACAGCGAAAGGTATCTCGGTGCCACCAGGATTCGCAACGACTTCCAACACCTACTGGCACTACGTCGATGCCAACAATATCCGGGAGAAAATGACCAAACTCATCGGCGAATGGCAGTCGGCCAAGACCAGCCTCGCTGATACCGGCAAGGAAGTGCGAAATCTCTTTCTGCGCGGAGACTGGCCAGATGATGCAGCAGCTGCCATCAAGACCGCCTACCAAGAGCTTTCAGCCAAAGCTGGCACGAAAAACCTAGGTGTTGCCGTTCGCTCCAGCGCAACTGCCGAAGATTTACCCGATGCGAGCTTTGCTGGCCAGCAAGAGACCTTCCTCAACATTTCCGGCGAAGACGCCCTCTTGAACGCCTGTCGACGCTGCTATGCCTCACTCTTCACCGACAGAGCCATCAGCTATCGCCAAACCAAACACTTCGATCACATGAAGGTGGCGCTATCGATTGGCGTACAGCAGATGGTTCGATCGGACCTTAGCGGCTCCGGCGTCATGTTCTCCCTCGATACTGAAAGCGGCTTCGACAGGGTTGTGCTCATCAATGCAGCGTGGGGACTGGGCGAGAACATTGTCCAAGGCACTGTCAACCCGGACGAGTATCAGGTTTACAAGCCCCTGCTTGTCAATCCCGAGTACGTTCCTATCATCGAAAAGAAACGCGGTGAGAAGGAGGTCAAGATGATATATGGAGACGAACACATGCCGACTCGCAATGTACCCACCTCAAAGCATGAGCGCGCCTCGTTCGTCCTCAACGACTCGGAAATTCTCCAGTTGGCAACCTGGGCATGCACAATCGAGCAGCATTACGGCTGCCCCATGGACATTGAATGGGCCAAGGACGGCGTTTCAGGCGACTTATTTATCGTCCAGGCACGTCCGGAAACCGTCCAGGCGCGTCGTGAAGCGGGCGTCTTCAAGACATACAAGCTCGGCAAGAAAGGCCGGGTGCTTACGACAGGGCTGTCAGTCGGCGAGGCGGCTGTCACAGGACGTCTTTGTCTGCTCGAAACAGCCAAAGACATCGACAAGTTCATCGACGGCTCGATCCTGGTGACAGAGACGACCGATCCGGATTGGGTGCCGATTATGAAGCGTGCTGCAGCCATCATTACCGACCACGGCGGCCGAACATCGCATGCTGCCATCGTTAGTCGAGAACTTGGCGTTCCGGCCGTCGTCGGTACAGGCAATGCCACCTACCTCCTACACACCGGGAGGGATGTGACTGTAAGCTGCGCAGAAGGCGACGAAGGCTTCGTCTACGACGGGATTGCCGATATCACAACCAAGGAACTGGATGTGACTGGTCTCCCGCCCACTCGCACCAAGATCATGCTCAATCTAGCCAACCCAGCATCAGCTTACCGCTGGTGGCGACTCCCCGCCGACGGTATCGGCCTTGCACGCATGGAGTTCGTCGTCAGCAACCATATTCAGGTGCATCCGATGGCGCTTGTCCGCTTTGACCACCTCAAGGACGAAAAGGCCAAGCAAGAAATTGCCAGACTGACCAAAGGCTACGCAGACAAGCCCGAGTATTTCGTCGACAAGCTCGCACGGGGCCTTGCCTGCCTGTGTGCTGCTGTTTATCCCAAGCCTGCAATCATTCGTTTGAGTGACTTCAAGACCAACGAGTACGCCAACCTTGTGGGCGGCGAAGAGTTTGAGCCCAAAGAAGAAAACCCAATGTTAGGGTTCCGTGGCGCCTCACGCTATTACTCGCCACGCTACAAGGAAGGCTTCGCACTTGAATGCAGAGCCATCAAGCGCCTACGCGAGGAGATGGGCTTTACAAATGCCATTGTAATGGTCCCATTCTGTCGTACGGTCGGCGAGGCCGCAAAAGTGCTCCGGGTCATGTCCGAGAATGGACTGACCCGCGGTGAGAATGGACTACAGGTCTATGTCATGTGCGAGATCCCTTCCAACGTCATTCTAGCGGCCGAATTCACAAAGCACTTTGACGGCTTCTCCATTGGCTCCAACGACTTGACCCAGCTAACCCTCGGCGTCGACCGCGATTCCGGCGAGCTTGCCGATCTCTTCGATGAGCAGGACAAGGCGGTCAAATGGATGATCTCAACAGTTATCACTGAAGCTCGCAAGGCTGGCCGCAAGATTGGACTTTGCGGACAGGCTCCGAGCAATCATCCCGAATTTGCGGCATTCCTGGTGGATTGTGGTATCAATTCGGTCTCTGTCAGCCCGGACAGTTTCCTTGAAGTCAAGAAGCATGTGATTGCGAGTGAAAAAGCAGAAATCAACGGGACTGGATGATCTTTACGACGACGGTGGATTCATGGTAAGTTTAGGATGGTGGTTGGATGATTATTTTATAGTTCCTATGATTCAAAACAAAGGCATATTGGGCCACATGAGTGAATCATGCCATTTGAGCGATGATCCAAATAATGAATACAAAACACTTCCGAGATCATGATCCCATAACGCCTTATTATATTCTTCAACGGCCCAGTGGCATCATAGTGCAGCCATCCCACTGACTTTATCCTCCTCCGTAAAATCCTGCACAATCTCTTTGACCGCGTCGCCGGATTCCTGCAACTTTGCCTTCTCACCCGTCGTCAGCGGCAAATGGACTGTATGCACAATTCCCTTTCTCCCGAGCACCACTGGCAGACTCAAGCAGCATCCCAGGTCGGGTTGAAAGTGGCTGACGGGCCGAACATCACGTTTGTTGAACAAGATTGACGAGCAAATACCGGCGACAATCGAGCCAATGCCAAAAGCAATCGAGCCTTTGGCTTTGACAATGTGTTGCGCTTCATGTTTGCATTCTTCGGCAAGATGTACGCGATTGAGAGTTTCGGGAGCGATTGCTTTGTCTATGGGCACTCCGGCAATCGATGCACATGACCAGGCCACGAATTGGGAGTCTCCGTGCTCGCCCAGGACGTATGCGTTGATATGATTGCTTGAAATCTACGAGGTCGTGTCAGAGATGTCTGTAATCTCATTCAAGGGAGCCTTCAAACACGTACGTCAAGTTTGCTAGCTAGCAGTCTGCGAAGGCGAACCGAATCGAGAGAAGTACCAGAGCCCATGACTTGACTCCTTGGAAGGCCGGAAACCTCTTGTGCGAGGGTGGTGAGCGCATCAACCGGGTTGGAAACAATCAATAAGACGGTATCTTTGCGAAACGGTTTCATTGCGTTGATGATGCTGCGAAGAACGGCACTGTTCCGCTCGATTGATTGGATTTTGGTCTCTCCTGCGGCCTTGTTCAGCCTTCCCTGTCTCAAGTCTTGTTATTTGCTCACCTATCGTTCGCCTCGACCCTGCTGTGATGACCACAATGTCACACTGACCTGCTTCTTTGTATGTGCCTGATCTGATACGGGTGCTGCTGTTCTCACAAAATGATGCGTCTGAGAGATCACGGACTTGGCCTTCTCTAAGGTCCAGTTTCACGTCCACCAGGAGCAACTCCCCATAGAGTGAACCGTGTAATAATGCGTATGCAGCTGCAGCACCGACCTGGCCAGCACCGATGATAGCAATTTTAGCAGCCATTTGATAGTGTTTGTTCCACGTATGGTATTGATTTGAGATCTGATTCAACCATCTGGACTGCGGGGACTCAGCCCATGCCTCCAGCCTGAATTATACTCATCGAGTAGTAGAAGGTGGTTCGTAGATGGCGTGAAGTTGTGCGTAATGCTGACTGGAAGTTCCCGATGATTGTCACATGTTCACAAGAGCGTTTTACTTCCAACCTAGATCCATCATTCAATCTTTCTCGCGTTCTCGGTGTCAACAGCCGGTTGTGGTGTGATCATGTTGAGCTGTGCACCGGCATCGCACCTTAACTAGATCCGGCCAGAGCGAGGCTCCGACTAGCCACCTGGAGATCCCAGTGACAATCGTGGTTGGAGTCTTCAGCCTTGCGGTCAAGACTGCCACGCTGCTCACTATTGGAAGTAAAATGTTGCACAGATTCCTTCAACTCGTCTCATCGCTAGGCTCCAGCTCAACTGTGCTGTGATCGATAACACTGACGATGAGGCTGTGCAAGTGGCTGTGCTCAAGGCCACCAACTTCCCAGAGTTGGCCCCCAAATCCTCTGACAAAGGGGAAGAAGGAAGCCATCTGAGAGACCGCAGTCAAACTACTGGTAAAGGAGGAACTCGATCTCAACTTTCCTCTCGCCATGATAGCCTCCGCAACATGGCTTCACAGACCGACGAGTCCAAAGACGAATCTCTGCCAGAAATCGAATGCGATCATTGCAGCCGCCGCTTCAAGGCGAACGATCGTTTCTACATTTGTGCTCAATGTTACAACTTTGACCTGTGTCAGGCTTGCGTTCTTAAGGCCGACACCCTGCCAGAAGAGCATGACTTGCGGTGTGGGCTGGTGGATGCCCGAGACCTGAGGAGAACCTTCGTGTCTGGACCTTCTCCATCAGAGTTCAAAACCCTGATCGACAACGCCAAATCCGATCCAAATTTCAAACTGCCAGCTTCTGCCCAAAACTTCCTCTCACGTGGCGCAACTCACGGCATTGAAGGTTCAGTTGTTGAGAGGCTGGCAGCTCTGGAGAGCTATCAAGCGCCGTCCCCAAAAGAACCAGCCACCTCCAGATCTGTGAGCAATGACTACTCAATGTACCAAGAACTCGACCGACAAAAGAAGGACATTCGACTGATCTTGCTACTCAAAGGTCCAGCAAGCGCGCCTGTTACTGCGTTAGTGGGAAGGTTCGCGCACCCTTGGGCTCAAGTTCCATGGACGGCGCTTTCATATTGCTGGGGATCTTTAGACGAAGTGAGAGAAGTTTACCTTTATCAACTTCGAAACAGGCTGCACGACGGACAAACACCTGACTATAACCAACAGCGCTTTTCATGCACTGCGAGTCTTGAGATCGCATTGCGCGGTGTCCGACGGGAAGACGTTGATCTCTGGCTCTGGGTTGATGCACTTTGTATCAATCAGGGCCATCGTCAAGAGCGAGCATACCAAGTCAGTATCATGTCGGAAATATTCGAGAAGGCAAGTAGAGTTGTCATCTGGCTAGGGTTCACGCAAGAGGAAATGATTTCAGCCAGCTATATCCGAGCATTGGCGCAGGCCAGCAACAACGTGCCAGAAAATGCCAATATTGACCGATCATCTCGTATTGCGGGAGACATCCCTCTCATCAAGAAGATGTTGTTTGATGGAGCCTTTTCTGCAAATGGAAAAACCCTCGACCGGAGTCATGTCCTTCAAAAGATTTCCGAATTCTTTGACAAGCCCTGGTTCAGAAGGGTTTGGGTCCTGCAAGAAGTCTGGTGTGCCGGAAAAGATGTAGTGGCATTGTGTGGACCTAGGATGTCTGTACCATGGTCGGAGATTCTGTTCGCCGACATGTATCTCACGGTCGCATTTTCACTTTTCAAGACGCGAATCGGTGGTTTGAAGGCCCCATGGAGGAATTTCGAAAAGCGGGCCGAATCTCAAGATGCGTCGACTCAGCGCCTGCCAATACTTGAGCTTTTCGAGGCCGTTTGTCATAATTTTGAGGCGAGCGACCAGCGGGACAAGCTCTTTGGACTGCTAACCATGGGTAAAGAGACACACGATATCTGCAACCTCCCCGACCTCATCAGACCAGATTATGGCAAATCCACTGCCCAGGTGTTCATGGATTTCACAAGATGGTGCATTCATCAGGATCAATCATTGGCTGTACTGGGGTATTCGACGTTCATGCGTCAGCCATCGATCTCAAGCACTGAGGCCGATGCTTTGCCATCATGGTCGCTATCGGACAACCCGGCATTCGCTGGTGTAGGCACCAAGCTGTCCACAATCCCGGAGTTCAGGGCATGTGCAAATACGCGCGTCGACATGGAACTGATGAATAACAACCCCGATCCTCGGTTGTTGCCCCTTCGCGGTTACCGCCTGGACACGGTTTCGCACGCGAATGAGCTTTTTTTCCACATCCGGTTTGACCAGGACAATGACCTCTACCTCATGAACAACACCAACACCTGGTATACGGGAGCTGGTGGAGGATTGCATTGGCTCTGGAGGTCTGCCCGGGGGAGAAATGGAAAAGAGGCGAGAGACTGCGAGCCTGTCGAGGGATCGGACCTCTGCACATGTCAGGAAGTCCTGAACCACATCCTGCTGGTGATGACGTGCGGTGGTATGCAAGAGCACGGCGACTGTGATCATAGCAAAGGCACTCATCGAACGCGGTGGCTGGAACCCACAGATTTGTACCCAATGTTCGCCGCGCACTATGTGAAGCACGGTGATGAAAAAGGAGATTTCAAGATGGAATACTTCTGTAAGCATGTCCGCGAAATCCTTCTCCCCCTGGTCGATACCGGCAATGCGGATAAATTGTCTGAATTGATGTTGAAGGCCAGCAGGCGGTCGCTTTTTACGACGAAGAAAAGGGTAGGGCTTTGCCCGCCGGGTACCAAGGTTGACGACGTCGTGGTTGCACTCTTTGGTGGCAAAGCACCATTCGTCCTGCGGCCCCGGGGTGTGGATGACGGAGCTGACAGCCAGACATGGGAATTCATAGGGGAGTGCTTCCTGCTGGACGTGATGCGTGGCGACTTTGTTGAGAGACTGTTGGATCGTAAACAGGCTAGCGAAGTATTCCACCTTCGCTAGACGCTGTGAAGTGCGCTTCTAGTACTTTTGGAGACTCGACAATGGTAACTCCATGCTCTCGGATCCAGCTGTTACAGTGTTGTAGCCGCTGATTCTGATTACAAGAAGGTTGCTTTGGCTATGGTATGAGGATCGTCCGTGTGCAACAGGGTGGAAGAGGGCAATCTGGGCAGCGATTAACTCGCGGCTGGCAAGAGTCTGCCAGAGAGACCCCATCAATTTCAGTGAAGGCAAAAATCAATCATTCGAGCAGATTGCAGCAGTGACGACACTATCAAGGATCCAGTGAAGTCTTGAACTCTTGCCAGACCGCAGGCAGAGGGCGGCGGTCGTGGAATTGCATGTACGCATGGCATCTCCCAGGACTCTGGCTTTGCTTGTGTGCGGACTGGTGTCACCCTCAACCAGCGCTGGGCTACACAGCCTCGGCGTGTATACTCTCTCTTGTAGTCCCTCGCTTAGGATTGGACTGGCTTGTCCTTCTGCGCACGTTCTGGAAGAACGATACTGAAGGCGCAGATGGCATAAGAGTCCGAGAGGCAGACAGATTTGTGGGTTCTTCAGACGAAGGGAACGGCTCACACTGGCAAGGTCGAAGGAGCAGTGATCACCAGTAACAGAAGAATTGATGGGCTCGGTGAGAGGAAAGGACCGCAAGGGACGAAGTACGTCAAAACACTTTTGATTGTTAGCAGCCCGTTTAGAGAAGTCTGAGCATCCGGAATGAGCATGAGACGTCAAGGGTTTGGGGATTGAATGGCGACTTGGATTCCAGAGGCTATGAAGAGCAGAAGATGCGGTAACTAGGTAGGTAGTATGAAAGAGCAGTCCTCGCAGTCTATACGAATAAGCAGCTGAGAGGAAGTATTCCGCCTAGACCCAAACCGGAATAGTTTCATCCCGTAAGCAATTTCTTTGTTGCTCTCCATCTTCATGGCCATGGACACCTCGAGTCGACCATAACCAGTTCCAGCGAGAGTCTTGCAAGCTCAGGTATTGATGATGCCCGACCTCTAACATCTCTTGCCCACCAGAATCGCAGCGGTATCATGGACGGCCACTTCCGCCGAATACGATTGCAGGCAACCCATATCTTGACCAGTCCAAACGTCAGTCACCTCATATGATCCATCACAGAGTCCTGGGATCTCGGACCAAACAGCCTCTTTATGCTGCGCTGTGTCGTTACTTGGATTTAGCATCAATACCAAATGTCCCATCTGCGATGCTCCGGACCAGTATTCAGCAGGAGAGTAAGGATCCCACGTCCAGTCCCATTTGTATGGTGTGGCTGGCGCACCATACACATCATCCTGGTTGAACGCCAACAGATAGTGGTTCTTCAGCAAGTCGATGTTGGTCTGTGACAGGTTGGTCAAGTCCGTGCCGATGAGCAAAGGCGACTTCATTGCTGCCCAAAAGGCAAAATGCGACCTCGTCTCTTCGAATGTTAGGTTCCCATTGCCCACTTCCAGCATGTCTGCATCATTGTGTCCCCAGAAATTGACGCTGTTCAGCTTGAAAGAGTTGATATTCAGGATTCGCGTCACTGCATTCCAATATGGCCCAATGTCGCCAGACATTCGCCAGCTAATGCCAGTCTCGTTTCCCCAGTCATACACGTCGGCATATCCCCAGATACAGAGGGACAGCAACATCTCCCGCTTTTGTGCTGCCAAGGCATCCCGCATGCGGGTGAATCGCTCATACGTGTTGGATGACCGCCAGTCGTATCCTGCTGGTGCCAGGTCGGGATCGAGCTGTTGCGTACAAGTTCCGTTGGCCGTGAGGTTGATGTCAGAACGATCTTGCGTGCAGTATATGAACTGGTCTGTCCAATTGAGAGGATATACGTTGCAGTTGTCCAGTTTGAGGTAATCAATACCCCAAGAAGCGAAGTCACCGGCATCGACATCTTCATATCCCAGACTTGCTGGGTAGCCGGCACACGTTGCATTCCCAGCCGTGCTGTAGATACCCATATTGAGGTTCATACCGTGGACCTTATCGGCAAGCCCATTGATGCCGTCCGGAAAGCGAGTCATGTTTGGCATGATGTGGCCATTCACCCTGCCGGTCTTCTCTGACCAGCAGTCGTCGATATTGACATAGGTGTAACCGGCATCTCGCAAACCGTGATCCACGAGAGCCTGTGCAGCTGCCAAGACCTTATCCTCGTCGATGTCGCAATGATATGCGTTCCACGAGTTCCAGCCAAGCGAAGGGAGTTTGCCTGTGTGCCCATCTGGCATCACATAACCGACGGCCGGATTAAGCACCAGAGCAAAGATCAAGAACAGTGAGGAAGGCGACATCATGGACGAGATGGACGCAGATCAGGACACACTCCCAGGACTGTTGCCGTCCCTTCGCATGTTTTGACTATTGTCTGCGAGTTCACACCTTCCAAATGCAGACAGGCAATGTGATCATGAGGCGGGGGAGCGATGAAGATCATGTATCAATGTTGGACATCAAATGCGGAGTCTGGGCCCATTATGGCATATTATCCAGAGAAAATATCCTGACGAGGTAGACTTCTACGGTATTCGGTGCCAGTTGACCCGAACAGCAGCTTCGTTTTGTATGTCGTTCGTTGTCCGTTGCATAACGAACTGAATGTGTCGGCAATGGCGTGAACACAGGCACCTTTCCCCCACCTGGTTCCGATGCTTCCAAGGGAATGCATACGGGACAGATTGAAACTACTCGGTGGCCTGGGATCCAAGTGATGGGTGCCCATACTGGAAGATGGCAAGTGCACTGAGTGTGAAAGGAATGTTGTTGGCCTGGGCTCCGCTACAATCAACCTCAAAGACTCAATCCCGCACGCTTCCGATGTATGTACATGGCAACATCTTGGAGCCAGATGGGCCAATTTCGGATCCTGATCTTTGTCTCTTCGCTCCTGGGCATGAATATTTGACCACTCCGGCTGGCGAGAACTTGCTCGACGACCGCATCGCTAACGTTGGATGCCGGATCAGTTCTGACACCATGTCTCTGCAGTATATGCTCGAATGGCTTCGTAATGCCAGTGTTGTGCCAGCTCGGATGCACGCAGGTGAGCTGGATACAATCTCCGTTCTCGTACTTGTCGCGAAGTTCGGCGCGTAATCCTGTGAAGATGTCAGTACCTGGATAACAACCACCTATGATCTCAAGCTTCACCTTCGTGGAGGTACAATGCTCCAATCTTTGTGCAAGAATAGTCGACCAATCCCGGAGTCGCAGCAAAGCTTGCCATCGATGCAATGGTGACAATGTGACCCTTCTTTGCTCGCAACATGGCCGGCAGAAATTCTTTGATAAGGATGAAGTGGCATGCGAGGTTGACCTTAAAGACTCTCTCTGTCAATTTGGCATCACTGCCAACTACCGTGGTACCCGTCGCTGCACGTGTCGCATGTAAGCTCGCAGGTCCAACAAGGCATGAAGCGGCAAGTCTTACCAATACCGGCGTTGTTGACCAGCACGCTGGGATCTCCATGCTCCTTCCGAATCTGTTCCGCAATCGACTCGATTGCAGCGAAGTTGGTGAGGTCTAGCTGATAGTAATGCACATCGGGGTCTAAGGCAGGATGTCAGCTAAGTCTCTTGAGGGCTCCAGCACTCATACTCGTTTCAAGCTCTGGGGGTACAGGGCTGATATCCAGAACCACCACCCTGGCGATTTTGCTGAATTCTTTCGTCATCTCGTATCCGAACCCACTGCAGCCTCCTGTGACCACGACCAGCTCAGGTTTGCCCGACGCGCCGAACCTGAAAGGAGCTCCGGCCTTCTTGAAGTGCCACATGTTCAGCGCAAGTCGAGTAAGGGCGTGGTTGATTCTCCTGATGACCCCGATGATAAGGAGAACTTTCAAGGCTTTAACCAGTGTCGCGATTCGGTCGCTCGATAGACCTCTGTCCCTTAGGAAACTCAACAGACGTGTTCGATATTGCGAAGGTGCACGCGTCAGCGCAAACAGCAGGGAACCGGTGAACACGGGCTCGGTAGCGGCATATCTCAGAATACCAAAGGGAAGTGTCACTCCGCTTAAAACGACGCGATTGAGGCGCTCGAGTGGTCCTGGAGTCGCCATTGGGATGGACACTGCAATCGTTGATAATCACAGAATGTTCTCGAGCACAATGGGACGAGGTTGCCACCACGGGGGACAGGTTTTCAGCGCAATTGTATCAGGGAAGGTGACGCTCGTGAGACTCGTCACGCAAAGCTCGGCCTGTTGTATGTCAGGATGTGGTGGGCAATAGAATGCCTGACCGGAGTGAGGAAGTCTGCGCCTTCGGGTGACGACCACAGCAGATATATCTGAGTTGTCGAGGGCGGATGCCTCGGCGTGCTGACTTGGTGATGGTGAGATCCCAGGTTGACCCCGCTTTGAGATGCTGGAAATACTGTCGAGCTGTGTAGAACAATTCCGGCCCCAGCGAGGATGACCTCGGTCTGAACCTCAACACGGCCACCAGGGCGCCTGATTGGGTCCTCCGCATTCTGGGTGACCCAATGACTTGCTCAACAATAGCGCCACTTCCTGGTACTTCAGAATGGAGAAGTGTGGAGATACAGTACAATGCATCTAGGCTCGCCCGTTCTCCATCCTTTGCCATGATGTCGGTCACGGATTAACAATGATCCTGCGGTCAGTAGATTGAATCAGTTCGGCACCAGATGTTTCCTTCTCCCTCTCGCCCAGCCCGGTGGCGAACCTTCAACGACGAAACCCTGATGCCAATTTTGATTGAAATTTGTCCTCCTGGAACCGCCAGACCCTCGGTGACGCACCCGCCCGTGTGCCGGACTGAGAGTCACTCCCAGATAGTAACTTATGTTCCTGGCAAAATGTGCATCGTGGCTCTGTGCATGACGCAGTCAGAAAGGCCTCGTAAAGCCCCTCTTTGAGATTGCAGTCTGGCATCAATTCCTCGAGAAAATTCCTTTCGTTGTCGGTTATTGTCGACATAGAAAGAAAGGTGGTGAACATTTCACTTCCCGAGAAGGAATGTGGGAAGCTGTCATGATCCATGGAGTCTGGAGTATTTGGCAAAAAGGCATCAGCACGTCCAGGCGACCTTTTTGTCTGCACACCTCCAAACATTCTTCCATGTGAAGAAGTAAGGAGCGGCTTTTTCTTCAGGAGATTCGCTGAGACTGCTGGGACAGCATCAGGGGCGAGATGTTTTGGCTGGGTAGGCATGCTTGGTATATCCGGCCCAAAGGATTCGGGAGCAGTTGTGTGAGGCATCATGATACCTTCAAGGCGCTTGGTGTGCGCCGACCGCCATTCGGTAAAGGCTAGCTCTACCTCTACGTCTTCCGATGGTGTTTCAGTTCCCTCCGGCGAAGGGTGTCCGTACAAGTCGAGCTGAGTGAGAGCCACATATTGATTCGGTGCTGTCATCGTATATGAGAAACGCTTGGAGAGACTGGACAACCCATGCAAGTATCTTGAGCTGGCGCTGTTGCACGATGTTGATCGTGGTCATTGGTGAGTGACCCGAATATAGCCTTCAACGTATCCTCAGAGAGCTTCTGTGAGTGGCTTCGTTGCTGATGGGCGGAAACGCGATGCGCAGAATCCTCTAAAAGCCACTACTACACAGGGTCAATCTAAATGCACCTGAGTTTGGTCCGCGCGGAAACGCCATCTTTTCATGATGGCGGCATTATGGTCTTGGTTGAACTGCCGGTGTCCGGCGAATCTCAAACTGCCGGGGCGGACACTGAAGATGATCGATCTTGTCCCTGAGTCACGGGCTCCACTCAGGAAGAACGCTTCGGAACTGATTCCTGACTGCTTGCGCCATGCGGATGGCTAAGGTCAACCACACGACAAGGTTCGCAGGATTAAACGCAAGCAGCAATAACGATGGCGAGGCATAAAGAAGCAAACAACCCCGGAACGAAGAGATGTCCTTGGTTGTCTGTGTCATTCACGGGAATGCTCAGCACATTACTATGCTTGCAGGGCACCCGTTGTCCTTTCCGGCTCTGTATTGCTCGATATTGGTAGCCTTGATATCTATTAGATCTGTGCTGGAGATAATCCATCGATGCCACTCGAGCGCTTCACAACAGGTAGACCACTACGATTACTAATTCTATCGACATAGTATCATATGCCTTGGACTTTATTTCAGAGACGTCCTTTCCGAGCCTCGACCCATAAACCCTCAGCTTCGGCGGTAACGGATCCAGTTTGATCCAAAATCTGAGCCTTTGCAATCCATTTTCGCCCTTCGTTACTCATCAACCAAGACCTCACGATGTAGTTTCCGGGTGTCTTGACAGCCCTCCGGAAGGAGATAGTCAACTTGGCGGTGAAAACAGGGTCTTTTGGACCGCTGACATCCGGCCCAGACTTGAAGGCGCTATTGTAGTGAAACATGATCGTTAGACCTAAGCATTCGTCGAGGATTGCGCACTGTACCCCTCCATGTGCCGTGGATGGGTGGCTATCGACGCCTTTCTCGCCCAGTGCTAAAAGAAAGATCGTATCTGGATTCTGTGGACCATTGGGCCTCCATAGAATGCTCGATTGCACTTCACCGGTGGTCGATTTCGATGTGGTTGGAGACTTTCTGGTGTAGAGATCACGCCGTCGAAGCGTGATCCAATGAGGTATTGTAGATGCTGTGTTCATGGTACGTGACATATAGTAGTCTTCCCCCGTCGATTTTACCAGGCGGGAGTACGTTTGCACCTGGCCGTAGGCAGGGTCATGCAAAAACTGATTCGTCCACCGACAGGAGGAGAAGTGTATGAGCGCTTCTTCCATGTCTGTTTGCTTGCTTAGGCCCTTGGGACATAAGAAGGTCCTACAAACAGGTTGGACAACAGAGTGGGGACAGGATAGACGATGCTCGGGTATATGACAATGGCTGCAGAATAGTCATATATTGTTGTCAAGTTTGCTCGAAAGGTTTGAAATATACTGACTTACGTAGCGCTAGCCAGGAAACTCAGATGATTGCGTCGATATCATCAGCACAGGGTTTATTGTGGTCGTAGTCGTGCACTGAATAGCATCTCAAGTACCCTGTGTCTCGTGGAGTTGCAGGTCATTTGGCCTATATACTCAATCTCTTCTTGCTCATATCCCTCTCCCCAGGAACAAAAGGACGTGGCAACACTGATGCTGCAGACCTTTCCCCGAAAAACACCAGCCAAATCTCACATGGCGTCGCCGGGGCGAATAAAACACCTTCTGCCACAAGCCTATAAAGATCGTTAAGGCAGGACACACGTACTACCCAGGTCATCTCCAGACCATGTGAATGCCGAAGTGGATCTTTCTGCTCGGCATTAGAAAGCCTGGTGAGCCTGAAACTCCTTCGACCGGGAGTCTCCAACCAGCACTTGTTCTGCTTGGGGTTTGGTGGGGTGGCAGTTCTTCCGCGACCAAGTGGTTGGGATAATGCCGGCATTCTGTAATACCGACCAAAGCCGAGGCCTCAACATCAAGCCTAATTACTAAGATTGGTCTTCAAGTGGCTAGCATATTTCTGCTGGAGTAGATTGTTTTCTTCTCTGGATCCCGATCATACTGTTTACTCAGACACAAAATTTAATATCTGTTTGCTCAAAAAGATGGCTCTAAGTAGCCTGGTCAACGTCAACTGGGGGGATGTGCCATTGCAGACTGCATTGTTTGCACTATTGATATTGGTGAGCTTGTCACGATACCTCGTACAGTACACATCATACTGACAATTTCATGAGGCTCTGGGATATCCGGCACTGGTCATTACTTACAACCTCTGCTTTCACCCTCTTCGCAAGGTTCCTGGCCCAAAGCTGTGGGCAGCAACACTCTTGCCCGCCTACTACAATCGTATCCGCGGCACTGCAATCTTTAGGATCAAGGAGCTCCATGACCAGTATGGGCCCGTTGTCCGCGTGGCACCAGAAGAACTCAGTTTTATCGATGCCCAAGCATGGAGAGATATTTATGGATACAACACCACCAAGACTGTTGCTTTTGAGCGAGATGAGTTGCAGGCCGGTCCCGAGGAAGCTGGAACGCCAGGTCTGCTCCGATCCAAGGGTGAGCAGCACAATCGGCTAAGACGAACTCTGAACCACGCTTTCTCCGACAAAGCTCTGAAGCAGCAGGAACCACTCATCAAGAAGTATACTGAAATGCTCATCTCTGTGTTGAACAGGCGAGCAGGGTTACAGCAGAGCAACCCTGACCACCACGATGCCCGGATCAACATGGTTGAGATGTATCACTTCACAACGTTCGATGTATGTCTTTCTCCATGCTTTGATCTCCCTTCCTGACGAAGATCTAGACCATGGCGGATTTGAGCTTTGGACAGCCTTTGGGACTTTTGAAGTAAGAATAGTGGCCCTTCTACTCGTCTATTTACTGATCTGTTCGTCAGGGAGGAGAGATACAGTCCATGGGTGGCATTTCTTCTTTCACACATAAAGTCTGTAGCTTACATGCACGCGATTGCCAGATGGCCACTTCTGGCACAAAGTGTCAAGTACCTGATCCCCAAGAAGGTCAAAGAGGGGCGCCAGGAATTTTTCGGATACTGCGTTGCCAAAGTCGACGAACGCATGGCAACGCAAACAGAAAGACCAGATTTCTGGACTTTTCTTGTCAAGAATCAGGCCGAGAAGGGCATCACTCGGCAAGAGATGTATGCGGTCGCCAGTGACTTCATGGTGGCAGGCACTGAGACCACTTCAACACTATTATCTGGCGCCACCTGGTATCTCTGCAAAAATCCGGATAAGATGAAAAAGCTGTGCGATGAAATCCGAAGTTTTGGGAGTGCCGATGAACTCACTTTGCAGTCACTGCAGAATACAGTCTATCTCTCTGCTGTTCTCCAGGAGGCTCTCCGTGTATACCCAGCAGTGCCCGCTGGTGGCATGCGACTTGTACCCAAGGAAGGGTACACGATTTGCGGAAACTTCTATCCTGGATATTCAGGCCCTTTCGCCTCTGGTCGGGTAAGCTGATCTTTTCATTGCACCCCCATATGGCTCGAAGAGGCTGACAGTCTTTCTCATGATTATAGGTGACATGCTCGGTCATGCCTTATGTGGCAAACCACTCAGCTTATAACTTTCACAACCCAGACGAATTTGTTCCAGAGCGTTTCCTCCCTGGCTCACCAGCTGAGTACCGGGATGACAAGAGGGCTGCCTTGAAGCCCTTCGGACACGGCCCACGAGTTTGCATTGGTGAAAAGTATGTATCCACCCTTCCATTTCAAGCCCTCCTTTTCCAGTTGGGTTTCAAATCGAGTGATGAGGTATCAATTTGCTGATTTTGCAGTCTTGCATGGCACAATGCCCGCCTTATCCTAGCCTCGGTCCTCTACCATTTTGATATCAGTCTTTCCGATGAGAAGGACGTATGGGTTGATCAGCCCATTATGGAGCTTTGGATGAAGAAACCACTTCTGGTGAAATTAACCCCGGTACAGCGGTAGATGGTACTGCGGAACAGTTTGAACAGTCTACGAACTGCAGGCTTTTTGTGCTTATCACATATTGGTTTTGGAGCTGCAACGTCTGACAAAATCGTAGTGTGCCGCGAGTTTTACATAGAAGACGCATTCCAAAAAGCTCAAATCGGAATTGGAGTTTAGCATCATGAGCTTGGTCTTCCGTCTCTACAACTATGGGTTTTCTTATTTCTCCCTACGTTGTCACGAGATCTGCCAGTCTTGCTCCTCGGGCGAGTATACTAGTAGCAGGCTTCTTGACCTGCGTTAAGTTACGGTGATTTCTGGCAGTTGAAATCAGGGGGTGCTACTTGTACACCTGAGCCTCCTAGGGAAGAGCCCATGGTCAGACGCCGTCGGCCATAACATCATTTGTATGGACTTTGTGGTATAACCAAGTTTACGACGATCCATTTGTTTGATGCATGATAGCGATGATGAATAGGATTTCAAGTACCATTTTAGTTGTAGATAGTTAATGCAGGTAGCCGGGAATACTTTCGTTATTCGACTCTTGATCAGTCACTTGCCCCTAGCTCGATGGCCTAGTTAATGCTCGCGAGGCGGTTCGGGTCGACAATGTCTAGACTCTAAAATTTGCCGAGAACGCTGTGTGAGTGCCACCACGCCCTGAGTTTCTTGCCATAGATATAAATGGGGATAGTAGTCAGGCATAGACCCAGCTCAATTGCCCCCATGGTATCCATGGACTTAGCAGGTCCCCAGCTAGCCACCCAGTCGTTAACAAAATCTAGAACACAATCAGTATTTTGGCCGTGACGATTGTAGGGAAAGTCTCCACTCACAAGAGAAGCTAAAGAACAAGAAGTTCTTGACGGTCATGGCCATGATGAATGTCTCGATGCTGATATTGCGAAAACCATCGACAAGGTAGGTACTGATGCTGTTGATCGAGAACTGGACGGAGCCGAAAACAATTCCGAAAATGACGGATATGGCAACGGGACTCTTGTTTTGCTCAGCCATATTGCCGAACAGGAAGTAGCCGAGGGCCGATAACAATGGCGTCCCTACACTGAGCCACAGGCGAAATTCCGGCTCATATACACCTCCGTTGCGTTTGCTGGCCCATCTTGCCGCGGGGTCGGATACAAAGCCGCACAAGAGGCAGCCAAGGAAGCCTCCAATCATTGGTCCGGCAAGCATGTAGCCCAGCTGGGCGGTATTCAGAGAATAGGGTGGGACGCCAAATATTTGAGCGATCGTATAGGCGAGCCCCAAGATAAAAACTTGCGTCAGAGCAAGAAAGAGTACAGCCCAGAGAACAACCGGGTTGATCAGAATGATCAGGGGTTTAAGGATCATCCAGAGAAGCGATTCTTTGTCGTAGGTGCCGGAGTAGAACCTCAACCTCTTGAGGTAGGAGTCGCGAGCCTTAGCTTGACTATCATTCGTGGTGGTTCCTTCGAGATCGCCGGCGGTCGGCTTCTCTTCGTGGCTGGCCTCGGTCTTCATAATCTCAATGACGTCGATGTTCTGTAGTCACCGGGTTAGATAGGTTTCTAACACAATTGGCCGTAAAACTCACGTTGTCTGAAGACGTATCGGTGTCAAATAGCGCATCTCGATTGTACGCCGTTTCCCATCCGAAAAGAATAATGAGTACCCACCCTAGACCCATGAAGGCACACAAGATCCAGAAGACATATCTCCAGCCAAGGTCCATCGTGACCTTGCCGGCCACAATGGATGGCAAATGAGAAATGCCGACGTTTGCAACAACGAATATTGCCATGCGACTGCCTCTTTGATGGACATGGTACATGTCACCAATGACAGCGAACGTCACGCTCTCGTACATGGCAACACCGACTCCTTGTAGCACACGAGCACCGACCAGTGAGCCGTATGAATTAGCGGCTCCTGCCCAGAGGCATCCGGCAAAGCAAAGCGTAGCCGAAATGACGAAGCCTGGACGCTTGCCGAATTTTCGGGACAGCGCAGATACGAAGACGGCCACAGCGCCGACAGCGCAAAGCTGGTATCCTGTGAGGAGCGATACCTGCTCAAACGTGATGTCGAACTCTGCAATGAGGACTAGGGCAAGAGACGCAAGCACCGGGCCAATTCTGGCACTGGTTAGCTAATACTGCCTTGGGTGAGTGGGACTGTCATACCCTCCGATAACAAGTAGACTGAGGTAACAATAGAGTACCAGAATCAGGTCGCGTTGCCATAGGGGCCAATTCAATGGGTCGTTGGGATCATTCGATGGCTGAGGCACCAAAATGATATTGGCCTCCTTGCCGGTGCCCTTTTTGACGTGAGAATGTTGATGGGCGATATCAGAATCCTCCAGCAACACCGTCCCAGGGACATGGTGGCCAGATGAATCGGGTTTGACGTCGATAATACCCAAAGGCATGGTGAAGGAAGTGACTTGAGTTATTCGAAAACCCAGAGGATCAGATGTTAAGATGGAAAATTGCGGAGGTCTATCCCGGCCTTCTTATAATGTCTGTGCTGGGCGCACGACCTGCCAGAATTTTATTCTTCGGCAAGGATCCGGGGATTCGAGGTTCCGGGGTTAAAAGGGGTGACAATTGTTCACTCCCCCACAGTACCTCTCGGCAATTGATGCAGCATTATTAACCCCGGATCACTAACTAACATACACGGGGATGCCCCTCTCTCATATTCCAGCGTAGACTACTCCTCCTAGTCCAGCATCTGCCTGTACGATCGTCCGGCAGCTCCTTTCGTTAATCTCCATGTCCAACATGCTCGGAGGAATTGTCCCTTTAATCGTCCAACCGCTTATGGGTTAAGTCAGTAAGGCTGTTTTCGCTCCCAGCTGATTGGCACATTGAGTCCATTGGAAACTTACCAATCCGGTACACCAAGACTGCCATACTCCTGCCCGTCACGTCAATCAGAGGCACCTCAGCTCAGCAACCATCTGAGGGAAGGGGCGGAATACCAGATTCAAGACCACTGGAGAACCGCTTCAAGGAACTAAATCACGATCAGCAAGTAATCTCTCGCTGGCCACAGGCGCAGGCCTTTAAACACCAACCCATCACTCCTATATTAGTATTGCTCCAGATGTAGTCTTGGACAGGTGTCCTCCATAACCTTAAGAGGATCGTGACAAGTTCTGAGGCAGCGGTGCCTACCTTAAGCGCGTGAAGTTTACATAAACATCCTGTTTTGAAGAAGTGGTACCTGAATCCATTGGTTGATCAATGTCTCATGTTTGTTTCCATGGCTCTGTGGCCGAAGAATTTCGGATATACTGTTCTATCATTGTTCTGCATGCGGGCAAACAGTCTTACTGGTCAAAAGGCGCATTCCCTGAAATGGGGGCTGCAGTGCTTTCCCGGGGTTTCAAGCATACTGTATATGAGTGGTGGTAATCAAATGGGAGAAATTGCCGGGTCAAGCCCAGCGGACTGGAGAGCCTCTTAAGATCGGGAATCGCCGTTGGTATTGGTAGCTCTACCATTTTTAGCGGTTGAACCGAGATTGAGAGCCCACCATGGATCCAGATGAGTTTGGTATTTCAGCAATTCCTCTACACCACAGCCCTTATGGTCCACTGGTCCCCGAAAAACTTCTAGGGAAGAACAAAGGAAAAGTCGCCGTAGTTACGGGGGCCGCACAAGGTACGAAACTACAGGAATAAGAACCTCGGACACATTACTGACATACTTCCTAGGCATTGGGAAATGCATTGCGGAGGCCCTTGCCAGTTCTGGAGCGAATGTTGCAATCGTGGATTTGAAAGACGCTTCCGAGACAAAGACAGCTTGCGAATCATTCAACGTCAAATCGGTCTTCTACAGCTGTGATGTCACGCTTGTCGACCATATGAGAAGGGTGTTGGGAGAGATCGAGAAGGACTTGGGAGTTATTGAGTAAGTGTCACGAATGATATCTCTCGATCAAGCCCTCGCCGTTATGAGATTCTGAGCGTTCATCCATTCAGCATTCTCGTGAACAACGCGGGTATGGTCCGGGGTCGGCCAGTATGTATGGACACCTTTGAGGGGTATTGGAGATGTTTTGAGGTCAATTATAAGAGTGTGAGATACATGTGTTTTGCGCAACGCTTTTGTCACGAACTATACAGCTGACTGTCATGGGTAGGTAATGAACACCATCTTTGCAGTGCTGCCAGGCATGCGTGAACGCAGGTCCGGGACCATCATAAACATATCTTCTCGGGCCGGAACCCTGGACTGTCCGCTCGCACTGGGCTATACGGATAGTAAGACTGCCATCATACGTGCTACAGCATCCATCCAAGAAGAGTTGGAAATGGATGGTCTTGGAGAGACAATCCAGATGTTCTCTATACACCCTGGAGGCGTTCCAAGTGTGCTAGGATCATGTAAGTAGAGACACATACACACACACACACTCTCTCTCTCCCTCCCTTCCCATCTCCTCTCCCTCTCTCCCTCTGCGTCGTAAGATGCGGGAGCCCGTCATTGGGAATTGAAAGGAGGCTTACTATCTTCATCAGCATCATTTCCAGCCGACGTCGCCGAGCGATACCCCGCAGCCGCACAGATGATGAAAGAGTTTCACAAATATCTGAAGACTGAACCAAGTCTGTGCGGAATGACTTGTGCTTATCTGGCCACTGGTCAAGCAAAAGAGTTGAGAGGGATGTATTTTGATGTAAGACAAGACATTGAGCGGGTTGCGTCAAGAGGAAGGAGCGCTCTGCAGAAAGGTCGCTTGTACACGTTGAAGGTTGACTTCATAGAGGACTATGCCAATGAGATATAAAAGCGTCTCAGCCCTCGAGAGATGCACGGAATGCTCCTGGGTCGTGTCAACCAACGAGTGTGGATAGGTATGGGTAACGCAGACAGTACTCACGGAATATGATATCTCCAATCTCCCAATATCGCGCGAACTCGGCTAGAATGAGCTCCAGAATTCTCCCTTGCGAATTGAGTGTTCGTCTTGAGCTCGTAGACCCATTCGAATAGCATGCCAGGCGTACGTGCATGAACGCCGGCCCGATAAGCATAGAGACCGTTAATGGGGAAAAATACGGGATGAATTCAGAAGCCGATGACCAGGATTGAAGCGCCTGTTGAACACCAGCTATACATGTACTGTGACCGTCCATTCTGGCAAGCTCCATGGCATCTGTCATCGCGTTGACATTTGCTACTCGCGCGACATCGCAAACAGAGTTGGTAAACAGCTGTTCAGAAGAGTTTGGCTCTTTCAGTAGAGAGATGACCAGCCCAGTCCTAAGAAGGTACATTAATGCACGAAATGGAGGCAGAGGGTCTATAGACGTACGATTCTAGCATCAATTGGCTCAATAGCAGCCAATTCTTTCGGGCATAATTAGAGTCGTCGAAAACCGGGTCCTTGATGCTGTCGCCAAACTCATTCTGAAACACGGCGGAAAAAGATGAGCGGGCTCTTTCGAGGACTTCGATGTCGTTTCGACGGATTTTCGCTCGTTGCCCAAGTTCATAGACGTGTGTCGTGATATGAGTGCTGACCAAGAACCACGCCCGTTCATTTCTGTTTTCTAAATTCACCAAGTTCTTCCAGCAGACCGAGATATCCGGGTGTATTGGAGCAGATGGGGCAGGCACTCCGGTAAACCATGCTTCATCTGAGACCGGGAGCAACACGTGAATTCTTGAACGGTCGATAGTAGAAGGATAACATAGAGTAGCGGAGAGAAACGTATCAAGCTCCCAGACTAACCACCAGGCCCGGCGTTGTTCCTCTTTGGTGACCCAGACCTCTTCTGGGAGGAGTTCAGCTGACTGACTTTGACCATGGCCCGACGTATTTTCATCGGTTCCCATGTCCAGTTCATGCAATCCCAATCTGTACGCAATTTGGAAGCATTTGTCAGCCAGGAGCTCCGTGTCTTGCTTTGGGTTGCAGGTAAGGTGATAGTATGCAAACAAGATACATCCTTGAAGCCACTCTAGTGTGAACATTTGAGACTCTGCATATTCATGGGCTTCATCAAGTACGCATTGTGCCATGAGAGCGTAGGGTGCGCCTCGTTCCTTTTCCGGCTGGCTTTCGAAGTATGGATCTAACGAGTAGCGAGCCGAGAATGACATTGTCGAATATAATAGGAACGCAGATGCTGCGTTCATGTCATTATATCCTTGTCCTGAAACATACTGCTGATAGAACCTAGGACGATGCAGCAATGGCAAGTATGGCTGTACTCTTTCGAAGTAAATGTCCACCCTACCAGAATTTAGTACAAAGAGATGAATGGGGCATATCAAACTTACAAGCTACTCACCAAGGCCGCCGGAGCATCTATCGAATAATGCCTTGTTCGGCTTTCAGCAGGCGCCGATTCCAGTGACGGTTGAGAAGTTCGGAAAGTGTCGAAATGGCTTGTGGGATAAGGTATGCCAATGGGATCCAGGCCTGAGCTCAAACCAGATTCAGAATTGGGCCGACCAGAGCCGCTATTTTGGGGCCGATACTCTGGAGCAGATGTTGGTAGCAAGTCGAGTATATTCCATTCAGCAGCGAGGAAGTGTTCGTTGTGATCGCCGTTGAAAGTCTGAAAATCGTGAACAAGATCAAACATTGTTGAGTCAGCTTCATCAAAGCCTAAGCCAGGCTCCAGCGGGGCAAAGCTGCCGAGTGGCAAGTCTTCAGCCGCGCTTGCTTGTGGCATGGTCTGAAAAACGAGGGCGCCTCGCCAGAAGGTCTGCGGCACATGGGAGTATGCAAAGAAAGAGGGTCAATGTTTTCGGGAGAAGAAATGGCTTTGAATCCGTCAAGTTGAGCTCCAAGACAGAGCCATCTGCGCTCGGGGTATCCTCCAAGTTTAGGTCCAATCGTTGCGCCAGCGTGGTCAACGGCCCTGTGACCAGCTCAAGCTTGTGCGGAAAAAAAGGGCCGAGACCTCAGCAGCTGACCGTGAGTGGTTGGCCAGGAGTTGGGAAACACAAGCAGAGTTTGTGCACGTCCCTCTAGGCGCTCGCTTCTGGGCCCCGTCCTCAAATATCTTCAATGAGAGTGGTGTGGATTTGCGCCCTTCGCTGAGCTAGCAAGAGAAAGAGGAAAGAACACCCACATCCCGTGGTTGGATGGAGGGTGCACGCGTAGTTAGGGGACGCGGAGCATCCCTCTAAATCCCCCTGCGAGTGGGGGTGGGGCGAAGGGGCAAGACCTATTACGCTCCAGCACGGAGAGTGAAAAAGTGAAGGGATGGAACAGGGCAAGCCGGGATTACGGAGAACCATAAAACTGTCGCTCGGCCATTGTACTCTTATTCTCTTTCCCTTGCCCGTCATTCTCGGCATCACAAAAAGATTGCGCCAATTGTCCTCCTCCTACTGCGTTTCTTGTGTCCAAACCAGCGGGCTCCTGACAATTCCGGGCATACTATCAAGGGGAGCTTGCCTTCATTTCTCGCTATGGATCCTCCACTCAAAACCAACCGGGCATGTGAGTTGTGCAAGAGGTAAAGTGCTGCATCTTCTCCCTGTAATTGCTCGGGACTAATTGAGCCCGTAGGAAGAAGACCAGATGTAGACACCCACGCCACACCTTATCTGGTGGCCTGCTTTCGCGCACTTGACATGCTGACTGATGAGCCATAGGTGATGGCGAAAGACCACAATGTCAAATTTGCATCCGCAATAACGAGAATTGTGTCTATCCTGTGCGGAAAGCCCGGGCTCATTACAAGCGGCGAAGGAAAGATGGCGAAAGCCAACCGGCGCAGGATCACGTGCAGGAAGACGTGTTGACCACAGGTGAAGCTGCATTGAGTTCTACGGGACAAGCACTCTCGCCGCAAGAAGAACGGGAGCCAGCTTCGCTCAACCAGCGTCCCGTCGCTGCGACAGTGGTAGACAGCCTCACCGATGGCCACGATGTGGAGAACACGCTCGTCTTCTCCGGCGGGGACCATAACCTGCAGTTCGACTGTATTGACCATGATATGTCCAGTTTCTTGACCGAAGCCTTTCCGGATGTGTGGAATCCGGATGAAGGCCTTACATTTGACCTGGGTCAACCGAGTCTGATGAATGGTCCACTGGAGCCAGCTACTGATAGCAATCACAGCGATCAGACCCCCAAGAACACTCGCGGCATAAACATCGAGGTACCTACAGCGGTGGTTGATGAGCTGCAAGTCTGACCCCTCAAACCAAGTTGCCTGACCTAACAATGCTCAGAATCGATTTGTATTTCGAGAGAGTGCAGAGCTTTTTGCCCCTTTTCCATCGGACGACGTTTTACGATACTTATGTCAACCTCCCTCCTCACGAGAAATACGTGAATTTAGAGCGGGACTCTGCTTATGTACTATACACGATGATGTCCCTGTCTGCTCGGTATTCTTCCTTGCCGTATCTTGAAAGCGCACACGCCAGAGACCACGGTATCCCATTTGCGCGGCAAGCCCGAGCACTCTTCGGCAGTGCGACACTCGCCGATCCCGCGGCACTGACCCTAAGGTTGCTCCAAGGTACAATTCTATTCGCGTATTACAACCAATCGTCAAATCTATCCTGGGGAACTGACATCCTGATTGGGGTTTGTGTACGGTATGCATATAAACTCGGCTTGCACGCGCTCGACGAAGACTACCTGAACAGCTCTGAGCAATCGCCGATACACCTACGCACAGAGCAGTGGATATTGAGAGAAGAAAAGCGGCGAGCGTGGTGGTCTGTCTGGGAGCTTGACACGTTCGACGCCATCATCTGCCGGCGGCCTTTTGCGATTGCCAGGCATCGCATTCACGTCCTGTTACCCGTGTCTGACGCTGCATGGTTCTCGGGATCACAGATTGCGTCGCCCATGTTTGATCCAGACATCTCGCGGTGCTGGAAATGCCTGGAAGATTCTCCTAACCAAGACGAGAGGGCTTGGTTTCTTGTCAGTAACTACATCATGGCGTACATGCACGAACAAGGCCAAAAGGCGCCCTCGCCTAAACCGAATATCGAGGAGATGAGGACTATTCTTGCGTGCTTTGTGCTCCTTGCTGATGAGAAACTACGCCGCCCGGTCGACTACAGCGTTGAAACGAGCAACTGGAGGATTTTGATGAAACTGATGACAATTTCGTATGACATCTACCCAGAGCTAGCCAGAACAAGCATCCATTGACTTCTCATAGGAGCACCCTCATTCTCGGCCTATTGGAAGGAAATACCCTCTCCACGCCTGTGTTTACAGGGTCAAATCGTATGTCCTCTACGCTGCTGCAAGGATCTATAGCTCGAGGCCACTCTAGCACGAGCGGAAGTCTCGACAAATTCCGTGAATTGATGGCACAATTCTTTTGGACTTTACGGTCCTGGCATCCGGAGCACATCGCATATGCCCCTCCAACTATGGCTTGTCTTATCCTGGGGCCTGGAAATATGTCCCTTAGAATGGCGATACGGTCGCGGAAGCCAACCGATACCCATTCAACTGGAGCTCAATCGTCCCTGGAAGAAGATCTTTTGACGCTTATACTCACCCACTTTGCGCGGTATTGGAATATTGGGCATCACATTTTGAGTAAGTGGTGACGTCCATCATTTTTCTCTGCTCAATAATTGACCCGTGGGCGTTTTGCCTTGCCAGAGTTTGTGCGAAATTATTATGCGAAACATTCTGGCGTCGACCAAGAGAGGCAAGCATGAAAATGCTTCTGAACTCAGTTGCCCAAGGAAAAGCTCCGAATATGAAAGCAACCCCATAAAACAGCTTCGTACCCACGCGGTTTTGCGGATCTAAGACGATCGTTGCTCGGCCTTGGTATTGATAATGCTATTTTCACTGGGCTGGGCTGAATGGAGCAATCCCTCGAGAACAGGACGCCAGCATGAGCAAGAAGCTGAGAGGTGCTGCTGAATCATCACGTCTTCCCGTTTCCTGTCACGAGGTGGCAATTGGGCTCGAGGCCAACAACTGGGCAAAATCCTGCTTTCCCAGCCCCAACTTGACCGAATTCATATGGGTGATATCCTCAAGCTGACTGAGACCTATATGACGTGGTAACTCCAATCCAGACTCTTCTGGCACCTTGTGGGACAGCAGATGAACGCTTTGTTGCACTTTCAAAGATCGCTAGTAATTCTCCCTTTATTTCTTTTGCTGTACCGGTGACAACTTCCCAATGGCACGAAGGTATTTTTGTGCCTCCTCGTTCTCCCCAAAACGATCCTATAAGTTCAGTGATCAGTCAAAGGTCATCTTGCCAGAAGTTCGGGACAGCTTACCGGGATAACATCCCAAGCATCGGCAGAGATATCCTCGGCCGCCAACACGCCGGAGTCCTTCATTGCCCAGTCAGTGAAGAGTAAGCTCCGGCAGCTCTCTAGCATGATGACGAGGCTACCGAGGAATATCTTCCGGGGCTCTAGCTTGGCATCCATGGCGGCGATGGTCTTCTCGTCGATACTACCATGTGGTGTGAATCCTGACTCGTAGCTCGCACCTCCCGGCACGAAGACTTCCGAGCGGCCACCTCCTGAGGGTCCGTATATCTTTGCCAAAAATTCGGATGCGCAGTTTCGGTGGAAGTAAGGCGGCCTGAAGGTGTTCTCTGCCACATCCCAGCGAGGGCCGAACACCAGAAAATCGGCAAGTGGTGCATTCTCATCTCGAGATTTCGCCGTGAGCACAGTATTGATGGATGGATCGGTATGATCCACGGATGCGGTATTCTGTGCGACGAACTTGGTCATGTCGTACTTGTAGGGAATGTAGTTCCCGTGCCAAGCGACCACGTCGAAGGGTGTATGAGGCTGGAGAGCGGCGTAATACTTGTGCAGCTGCTTGGTCACAATTGTCCATTCGCCAGTCGAACTGGTGTCGATGTCCGCTGTGGGGAACAAAAAGTCGCGCGAGTTCCCAAGGCCATATCCTCCTAGAGGACCGAGCTCGGGGAGCTCCCACTTCGTGCCCCATGTTTCGACAACGTATCCCCGGGCGCCGTTGGGTGAGTATTTCTCGACGATGTTGACTTGAAAGCGGAGACCGCGTTGAATGACGCAAAGCTCGGACGGCTGAAGATATATATGTCCGAATTCGGTCATGATATCGAGATGTCCCTCTTGTGCAACAAGCAAAAAGTCCCCATCTATATTCATGAAAGCTTTGTTGGGCATGCTATTGTTGATGGCAAAGATATGATAAGCGATGCCCTCGCGAAGATGTGGATGCCCACTTCCGCCGAGTGTGTGCAGTCCTTGGGTAAAATCAACTGCCCCAGCGGACTTTGGTGGGATTTCAAAGGCGGTCCACGACACCTGAGATGGTATCGTATGAAGTTCTTCGTTCTTCGGCAGGAACGAAGCTGTAAGGGTCGGGTTGTCCTCCGCTCTCGAGTACGAGTGATGAACAGCAGCCGGGCGACGTCTGTAAAGGAAATTCCTCATTGTATTGGCGCGGTTTGCAGCGAAAGACGAGCCTGTGATTTGCTCGGCGTACAAGCCGTAGGGGCATTTCTGAGGTGAGTTCTGCCCAATTGGTAGAGCACCGGGGACAAGCTCCGATTGATGCTCATTGCCAAAGCCACAAAGATACTCGTATGGGTCTTCTGGTCTTGTGGCTTTCTTTGAGCCTGCATCAGTCCAGTGGAAGATAGGTTGACGGAAGGAAGGAGTGGTCGCATCATGGGTTGCCGTATGACCATTTGTCGATGCCATTTCGATGTTCTTCCAGTGCAAGTCCAGGCCTGGGTTGTTTTCAAATGGCACAGAAGATGGAACTCAAGTCGTAGAGATAACCTACTCGGCTTTATGAGACGTTGTGTTGTCCAACGGGGAAGGGATGAACTGCCGGGAGCCTAGGTAAGACATTGTCCGGCGCCATATTTCCGAAAATGTGCACGCACCATAAGAGGGAATTATCCGTAATTCCGCAAGTAACCATGCTTCTCACAAGGCCTCGAGTAAAAGTCTTACCACTGGTGATGAAAACGGCATTTGGATGTATTCAGTACTATCCGAGGCAAGGAAGCCCAGTCATTTTCCTACGAGGGTTGGATGTGGGAAGAGACCTCTCGTAAGATTCTCAAGCGTCACGTTCCGTCCAGACAGACCCTTTAGTTCTTTTGGGATAAAGAGCACGCCACTGATCGGCAAGATACTCCAAGGCGTTTGGGACGTTTTTCCCCGTCGGGCATGGTCCAATCTCCGTTGCCCGAAGGACGAGGGTTCCGTTTTATCAAGACCATACACATTCTTTACCGTAGCCATGTCAAGGATTGTGACACTAATACCCCTTACATAGCACCAGTGTCCAGTATACGCTCTAGAGTGTTATATCTTCTGAAGAACCTCCAGAAGGCTTGCAACAATGGAGGAAGTCCCAGTCTTGATCGTTGGGGCTGGTCCCTCAGGGGCTACAACGGCACTGCTCTTGGCTGATTTGGGTATCAAATCACTTGTAGTATCAAGGCACGCGTCTACTGCGAATACACCAAGAGCTCACATTTTCAATCAGCGAGCTATGGAGGTGCTACGAGATGCAGGTCTTGAGACGAAGTTGATGAGTGTTAGCGTTGCTGCTCATTGCAAGTATCCTAAATCCGGCGCATTGAGGAAGATGCTAACATTTCTACCTAGACCTGCAGCACGCTTCGTGGCTGGATTCGCTCAACGGAGAGGAATATGGGCGACTTTGGGCCTGGGGTAACAAGCCGAACCAGAAGGGAGATTATGAGGCTGCCAGCCCCTGTGTGATGTCCGACATACCACAGAGCGCCCTTGAACCTGTATTGGTAGAGGAAGCAACCAAACTAGGGGCTGAATTCCGATTTTCCACCAGCTTTGTGTCCTTCAAAGAAGTCAAAGATGGGGTCATTACGACTCTCCGGGATCGCAACGACAACAGGGAGTACACGGTGGTTTCTCGTTATTTGGTCGGCGCTGATGGTGCGAGAAGCAGTGTGCTGGACAGCCTGGGCATCAAAGTAGTTGGCCGACAATTGAACACGGCATTCAATGTTCACATCAAAGCAGATCTAACCAAGTTTCTGTCCCATCGGCCAGGTAGCTTGAATTGGGTCCTGAACACTGAAGCTCCGGAATGGTCAGCCGTGGGCAATTTTCGTCTGGTCAAGCCGTGGAATGAGTTTGTCGTGTCTATGCATCCCTCGACAAAACATTCCCAGACGTTCCAGCCAAGCGAAGAGGATGTAATCAAGCGAATACACCAGATGATTGGCGATAACACCGTCAAAATTGAAGTGCTCTCCACATTCTCCTGGACAATCAACGATCAGGTAGCTGAGCGTTGGCAGGAGGGTCGAGTTTTATGTATCGGAGACGCTACGCATCGTCATCCACCGATCAACGGGCTCGGAAGCAACACTTGCATATCCGACGCGTTCAATCTCGCTTGGAAGCTGGGCTATGTTTTGAAAGGCTGGGCTTCGACCTCTCTACTCGACTCTTTGACAATAGAGCGCAAGCCAGTCGGCGACGGAGTCGTCCGGCGAGCCAACGACGGTATGGAGGCTCACAGAAGACTTTGGAGTCTGCTCGGACTAGACCCAGAGGGGCGCAAGAAGGCGACCGACCTCATGCAGTCGAGTACAGCAGCTGGGGCAGAGATGCGCGAAAAGATTCGAATCGCCCTGGAAGCGACTGAGGATGAAGTGCAAGCGCTGGGCATCCAGATGAACCAACGGTACCTATCCTCGCCGGCCACTGTGGTGGAGCCTGGCGACACAGCGCCAGATCTCAGCAGTGTGAATCCCATCAGGCAAGTTTGGATCAGCACTTTTCCTGGCTACCATCTACCTCATGTATGGCTAGCAACAGGCGGTCAATCCGAAAGAATCTCTACACTGGATCTGAGTGGCCACGGGGGTTTCACGCTTTTCACTGGGATCGGTGGAGACTCCTGGGTGCAAGCCGCACAGGTTTTATCGGGGTTGAATAAAGCCCCCCTCAGGGCGTACACCATAGGCTTCAGGTGCGACTACATGGATTGCTATCGGGATTGGGTCAAGGTCCGTGGTGTAAGCGAGACTGGCGTGGTCCTCGTCAGGCCCGACCAATTTGTTGGCTGGCGTTGTCATGAGCTTGTGCAAGATCCAGTCGGTAAGCTATCCTCCGTCCTGGAGCAAATACTAGGAAGCCAAGGGTGATCTAGAGTTCTCACTGTTGTTGTGAGCACTCGATATTGCTCTCCTCTGACGGAAATACACGGCCGGAAGATTCTGATCAGACAAGGGAAAAATGGCTATGAATTGCGTAACTTGTTGAGCTCGAGCTGGTTGGAACTCTTCAGACTTGTCGATTCTTGGAGTCGAAATAACAAGCGACAAGGCACATATTCTGTTCTTCCATGGGGACCATAGAGGCTCAATTTAATATATTGCAAGGCCTTTCGGATTTGTGGTGTTCCATTATGTTCCGCCGGTTTTGATAATGTTGCTAATCTAGGAGTATCTTGATCGCTCACGTTCAGAAAAATGGCCTCCACGTGTTCTGCTCTAAAGCTTCGCTTTCGTGGCTCTCCTCCTTTCTCTTTCGAGATCGCGCAGCAGACGCCGCAGGATCTTGCCGCTTGGACTTTTGGGAATGATGTCTATGAACTCCACTCCGCCGGCCAACCATTTGTGACGTGACTTAGCCTTCTCAACATGTTTGAGGATGCCGTCCGTAATACTGTTTTCGTCGTCCATGGCGCATGAAGCAGACTTGACAACAAAGGCTTTGGGCAATTCGCCAGCACGTTCATCAGCGATAGGAATAACAGCACAGTCAGCCACAGCTGGATGTTCTAGAAGACAGGCCTCGAGCTCTGCAGGTGCGACTTGAAGACCCTGATTCGAGACGTTGTCAGTGATTCTGATTTGACAGGATAAGCACTGATAGCGGACATAAATGATAAACTGGCAAGTGTATAACGAATGATCAACAAACACTGAGCTGGGGTAAACGTACTTTGACCTTGATCAACTCCTTTATCCGATCCACAACCCAGACGTGTTCGTTGCCTGCAGGACTTTTGCGAAACTCGACCTCATCGCCGGTCTTAAGAAAGCGACCATCGGGCATGTCAAGGAAAGTCTCTGTATTGGCCTTCTCGTCATTCAGGTACCCAAGTACAACGCTGGGAGCTTTCACCAAGAGCTCGCCTGGCTTATTATAGGCTGTAATCTCGGTACCCTCGGGGCTGAGTAACTTCGCCTCAACACCAGCTATAAGGCAGCCAGAAGAACCAAACCAGATATCGTTTGGACTGGAGTTGGTTACAGCCGTGGCGGTCTCAGTCAGGCCATAGCCTTGTCGTGTTATCCAGTTGCTATGCTGCGAGGTAAACTCTTGAGCAGTTTCTTTCCCAAGTGGAGCCGCACCAGTCATGACTTGTCTGACACTGGTTAAGTCGAACTGATCGCAGATTGTCTTATTCTTGATCATGGTGATGATGATCGGAGGTACAACTGAAAGGGTGTTGATTTTGAACTTCTCAATCATCGCGAGAAAATCCTTAAGGACAAATTTAGGAGAGACGATAATGCTATCGCCTCTATAGACCGCAATATGACATATGGCAACAAGGCCATAGATGTGCGAGAAAGGCATCAAGCCCAGAGTGACATCTCGATAACCAGGTTCAATCGCGTCGCGTATAGGTTGCTCGAAGAGCTGGAGTTGCAAAACATTGGCAATCACGTTGTAGTGAGAGATCATCACGGCCTTCGGAGTGCCTGATGTACCGCTTGAGAAACAAAGAAAGGCCGTTTGGCGTCTGCCCTGTGCCTTCGTCCACCTGAGAGCATCTAGGTCCGGCAGCGTGCGGCCACGCTCCATCAACTCCGATACCGTTCGAAATCCCTCTACCGATTGACGTTCGCCGGGAACTTCGCAAATAATGACGTTTTCCCGGTCGAGCTTACATTCGGTAGCTGCTTTCAGAGCAACAGGCAGCAATGATGGGACGGTGAATAGCCCTGTCGCTCCCGAAGTTTTCAACTGGTGGTGAAGCTCTTCGGCACTGTAGACTGCATTGGCTGGTGAAGATAAGCCGTTAAGGCGATGAATAGCCCATGAGATTGGTAGAGTATCGATCTATCGCTTGTGAGCAACGCACAGAAGGCAACATCGTGGACCGTAACTGAAGGTACGTACAGTGTTAGGAGCAAAGATGACCGCCACCTTATCGAATTCTGTCCCATGATTCACCTTCCACCCAAATTGTTGCGCCAGCCCCTTTGCAAGATGATTGACACGGTCTTTCAGTTGCGGTGCCGAAATGGTGTTACCACTGATTCCGCACACGAACGGGTCCAAGGACTCAGCTACTGGCCGCCTGCCGTGTCTCTCCTCCAGCATGAAGTCACAAAGTGGAACAGTGTCTGGAATCTCTGGGAGGCACCCAGCCAGGGGCCCTGGACGGAATACCATGCTGCAAACGTTAGATTGACTCTAACTCGATGGTGTTGATGGTTTCTCTGAAGCTTCTCTTGTGCCTCAGCACCCGGGGCGCGTGTCCGTGAACGAGTATCTGCGACAAGCGCTTTGACAATCCCCTTAGGCCTTTCGACAAGAGAAAAGAAGGGAAATTATCAATAAAGTGGTGAAGTACGAACGTTTCGCGCCACGAGTTTGCAAAGCACTTGATCATGTGCTCAGTTCTAATGGGCGAGGTCCGTCCAGGTCGAGAGCAGAGGACATCAGTGGTTTCTCGGCGAAGAAGGACTTGGAACTTTGGGTCGAATGCAATCGCCGGTGCGGAATCCATTCCGATCCTGACAACCATATAGCGTAGAAATTTAGGTAGCCACATGCTCAGGTATGTATTTCGAATGCGTAGATGCTCGATGTCTCACCGGGCTTTTGGTAAATGCCCGAAACCCTCAACCCCGGGACGAATCGCGGTGCCACCCTTACAGCGTTCAACCGCAGCGGGACAGAGATTTAGCCTTTAGTATCTGTTTTGATTCTGTTGACTTCGCAGCCACGTCTACGATTGTCCATCTAACCGACAAAATAGTCGGAAAGGGCTCGTTGAAACCCCACGAAACAGCGACAGCTAACTCTCTAGCCGTCTAGGAAAAGGTTTCTGGAATCGGCGGGCCCCAGACGTAAAGTGCCTCTGGTCCGGCTGGTACGTGGGCGACCTCAGTCTCAGAATTCACCAGGTCGCCATCAGCGTAATGCTCCTGGCTGTTGCGTCAGACCGGGTGGTGCAATGTCGTGGAGAAGTAACAACTCACCAGTACGAATTCACTTGGGTCGAACCAGTAATCAAAAACTTGACTACCCAAGACGTGCTAAAGACAGGAGACAAGGTTAGTCGACCTCGACGTACACAGGAAAAAGTGTATCAACATACCCTGCCCACTCCCCAGCACGAACGATATCCCTTTGCTGCCAGGTGTTGATGACCTAATTGCTGGATATCAAAATCATGAACTTCAAAAGCCGCATGAGCAACGCTTGGCTTTTGGCCGGGCTTGGTTCTCTTGAAGAAAAAGGCATGGTGGTCTGTGAACTCTAGACCTCTGTCGATATGAAAGAAGCAGGTGATGGGCTTGCCGCCCAGTTCCACAACGTCTGATGGTGCCAACGCCAAAGTGGTGGCGTACCAATCATACATTTCCTGGTACAAGCCCTCCGGATAGGTAACACCGTAGTGGCCCCAGCGATACACTGGTGCTGGGCGATGCTCAAATCTCTGAAAGCGGCCTTTTCTGGGTTTGTCGTACTCATAATTCACTGTGAGCTTTTCCAAATTTGGATCCTCTGGCTGCTTCGGTCCCTGACCGTAGACAAGGTGCACCTTATGGCCCGCAGGATCTGTCAAAACCACAGATTCCCCACCACCAGGACCGTCCAATTCGAAGATTGTAGTCGCGTTGGGAACTTTGGTTGCACGTTCGAGCTCCTCATGGCTCTCAACTTCGTATGCGGCACCTCCAAATTCGCTGGTGCTTTTCGCTTGCCTTGCAACGTAGACATATGGTTCGGAGCCGTATCCTGCGAAGAATATTTCCTCGCCATGGCGCTCCTCGACTATTGACAGTCCAAAATCCAATAGGAACTGCCTCGCTTTGGCAAGGTCGGCGTGATAGTAGATGACAAAGGCGGTTTTAAGGAGCCTGATGCGAGTGTCGCCCTTAGGAATCGGCATGCTGAAGCTTTGGCAGGGCCCACAGCTTGTTTTCGCGGCTGAGAAATCGAATCGAATACTAATGGAATGAGCGATGATGCTATGGCTGGAGTGCCCTCACCGACATTGGGATTCAAGCACCAAGCAAAGTAGCTAAATAGATTGCTGTGTGGCAATAATCCTTTGACAATTGAGGCGACAATCCTCCGGGAATTGGCATACAGCATTAATGGCCGGGTTTTGAAAGTCGTCAATGGAGATTATGGGGTTCGGGACATAGATTCAAGCCAGTCCGCCCTCGTCCGACATGTGAAGCGCCCGCAGGTCCGAAATCACCCTGAACGATATCCGAGAGCATAATAACGACTCGTACCAGGGCAGAATTTGCTGTGACAGGCCTATCGACCAACAACCTAGCATTGCAGCATTTCATTGCATCTGACCTCAACCCGAGTTACACTTCAAAGTCGGGTAGGACGCAACCATGTCATCAAAGCTTGTCGCTTGGGACCGCCTCGTACGCTACATCCCTGAGAACAGCACAGGTGAAATTCGATATGGGGAGCCGATCCTTCAAAGTCCAGATGCAGATGTGGCAAGTCTTGCAAACAGTGGAAAGCTACAAGTTCAAATATTGGAAGGTCCCGACCCTCTGAGTGCTGTTCCAACCGGCCGGATTCACACAGTGAAGGAGCTGCTGGGTCCATTGGAGCCTAAGGACGTGCCTATAATTCGGTGCATTGGGCTCAACTATAAAACACACAGTATGTAAAGCTTCCAGCTCGAATACAAATCAAACACTTACGCGCATCAGTTCTCGAGACTGGACGACCCCTTCCCGAAAACCCAACGGTGTTCACCAAGCCCGCACCTGCGGTGGCCGACCATGGGGAAGACATTCCGATTCCACGAATAGCTCAGGACGAGTGTGATTACGAAGGCGAGCTGGTCGTTCTCATTGGTAGATCCGGAAGGGACATCACAGAGGGAGATGCTCTGGAATATGTCGCCGCATACACCGCTGGAAACGACGTGTCCGCTCGAGACTGGCAACGTCAAGCAGCAAAGGCAGGGCCAGTCCCTCAATGGACGTTTAGCAAATCCTTCGACAAGTATGCTCCGCTCGGGCCGTGCTTAGTTGCCTCGCATGTGCTGGGAGAGGCCGATAATTTGTCATTGAAGACGCTCGTCAACGGTGAGGTGAGGCAAAACGGGAACACGGGCGATCTATGCTTTGGCGTAAGGAGACTTGTCGCCTTCTGCAGCCAAGGTCAGACGCTACAAAGGGGATCTCTGATCATGACTGGTACTCCTGGTGGGGTCGGATTGTTCATGAAGCCTCAACGGTTTTTGAAGCATGGAGATGAGGTCACAGTCGATATCAGTCGGATTGGGCGTCTCACGAATCGGATAGTTTTCTAGAGACCGAGGGTGCCGAATCTCGACCTGGTACAAAGCTGACGTATTTAGCCCTTCTGGTCCTCGTGACTTAGAATCGAGACAATCACAGGAAGGTCAGATATGGATATTTGACTGGAAAAAGTCCCGACGTTAGGTTTGGGCAAGCATGATGCAATTATATCCCTGTGTGGTACTGCCGTAGAAGGCAGAAGCAACTTCAATTTCATTGTTGGAGCCTTCGTAGACTCGAAATCGTCTCAGGAGCCTTTACAATTTTCTTGCTTTTCACTCCGCGTCTGCATCATTTTCCGCTGTTCGCTTGATGACCTATCGTGTTATTTGGACCCGCAAAAGCTGTTACCCTCTGCGGCATGGGCACGTTTGTAAGCCCGAATAACGTCAGGCCCGTCCGGAATCATATCGCATGGCGGTTTTCGTTGCTTGGTTAGCATGAAAGTCCGTTCGGCATTGTTCAAGATAGAGCATCTTTGCCACCGAAAATGCAACATTGTCATTTTCAACACATCAATCCAGGTAGAGCACCGTTTCTCCTGTGGCGTATGAAATGCCCTTCTGATGATGCTCTCCTGATGTTCTTGGTCAGCACCGCCGCCGCCTGATTCAGAAGCACAATTATTATTATATTGGTATTGAATATCCTCAATTGTTTAAAATCAGCACTTCTGCGGTCACCCAGAGCACCATGGAATCTCTCGACAGCGTATTCGAGACAGCATGTGCCGATGGTAGTATACCCGGTGTTGTGCTCGCCGCGGCCAGTAGGAATGGAAAGTTTACTTACACCAAAGGGTTCGGTCTGCGATCACTGCAAGGGGGCGAACGGGCTGCCTGCTCGCCCGATACGGTGATGTTGCTCTTCAGTGGCTCCAAGCTTGTCACCACTGTTGCCGCCTTGCAGCTGGTGGAGAAGGGTCTGATCAGTCTCGACAGCGACGTAGGGGATGTTCTCCCAGAGCTTGCCCAGCTTCAGGTCCTGCAGGAGATGAAAGACGGAAAACCTGGTTTTGTGAAAAGAAATGGACCAATCACCCTACGGTTAGTCGAAAAATCCTAAATCATGATCAGCCTGCCTGATTACCTCCATTGTACTTGGCTCATGTAGCAAGAGATTGCATCTTGTGACTGACATGCTCTAAAGCCAACTCCTAAGTCATTCCTCTGGCGTCGTCTACCCCTTTATGTCGCCGCTCTTGCGAGAATACAACCAAGCTATGGGTCTACCTATCTTGGCTGCCGCGAAGACAGTAGTAGAGACCTTTAATTCTCCTCTTGAATTCCAGCCGGGGACTTCATGGAATTACGGTACGGGCATCGACTGGGCTGGTCTGCTGGTTGCCCGGATTGCCAATATTGATCTGGAAACCTATTTCCAAGAGAATATATTCAAACCACTTGGGATCTCTGATGCCACCTTTTGGCCGGATCGACACCCAGAGATCAAGGCTCGCCTCGCAGCCATGTCGATTCGAGACCCTTCGGTGCCTGATGGCGCTGGAAGAGCGATTGCCTTCGAAGGGGCCAATAGACATGCGGTTGCTTTGGAAGAGTTGGGAGGTCAGGGGCTCTATACTTCTGCGCCGTCGTTTCTGAAGATTCTACGAAGCTTGCTTGATGATGACGAGGTCCTCTTGAGCAAGTCGACCAGTGCTATGATGTTCGAGCCACATCTGAGCGCAAAGAGCCAGGAGGCACTCCAAGCCGTGTATCGAGCAGAACCTAAAACAGGTCCATGTGCCATTGGAACGTTTCCACCCAATGTCCACTACGATTGGGGTCTGGGAGGCGTCTTGACCATGCAAGACGTCAACGAGACGGAAATTTCTTGGAGGAAGAAGGGTTATCTCAACTGGAGTGGCGTGCCAAACTTCTTCTGGGTGAGTCATTTTCCTCCTTCTGCATAAACTGTGGAATGGAATTGCAAATTGAACTGACACCCACTATTCCTCCAGTTCATAGACAGGAAGGCCGGCGTTTGCGGCGTATTCGGCGCGCAGTTGATGCCTGGAGGAGATGCTCGGGCCCGGAAACTAATCACACTGTTCGAAAAGGCAGTGTTTGAGAATGGTGCTTCTTAAACGAGTGGTCATTTGTGAGATTTGGAACGTACATTGCCGTCATAAGCACTCCAGAGTCAGTGTTGACCAGCGATGCCTGGAGACGTCATGCCTTTGGAAAGACATGAGTGAGCGATCGCGATAGACCATCTGATCTCGAGGCCAGAGACTCTTATAGGAGCACATAGACTATGGTTTTGAACCCTGAGACTGCGCGTGCAATCCCAAAAATCCGCTTTATATGGACTGAGTACGGCTTGCTCAACCTCGATCGAGAGAGACATGCTCCCATAGTAAGCGATCACCATCAAGCAGGCGAGACTTATTCACTGCCTGTGTTGCTATTGTCTTCAACCACTACATAAGGCGCGATAATCACCGAACGGGTGGCCAGCACCTGTCATTCAAGCCCGTGGAGGAGAAGATTGAAGCCGCTTTCTTCTTGTCCTGTCCAGAAGGAGAGATGTCGCGGGGAAATCGTGTCGCAGCGATGGGAGTAGGCGCAAAACGCAGAATCTAGAATGTTCTGACGAACTTGTTCACCACCCTACTAACATGAATCACATGAGCCTATTTGCATCCGCAAGTATCGTTCCGCGAGGACGGTGGTACCGAAATCTCCTTCTTCCAAGAGACCATTAACAAACTAAGAAGTTGAAGCGGCAAAACCCCAAATCCCGAATACCCGGGGCCTCATCCGCCCAAACCGGCTTTAAAAGTCCAACCAGTGTATCGACGATACCAATCCTGTTGGCTTGGTCAAGTTCATTCCTGGAGAACCCAACGATCACCTTGAAGCTTGGAACTCGAGAGAAGGCTTACCAGCATGGCCACCAGCTCATACACGAATGGACAGACGTATCCCAAATTCGACGTTCTTATCATCGGAGGCGGTATCACAGGCCTGACAGCCGCAATTGCTTGTAGGAGAAAAGGATTTGATGTCACCGTTTTGGAGGCAACGCAATCTTACACTCATGTGAGTGCTCCCTTCCCCGACCAGGACAGACTCGGATTCCATCACGAAGACTGGAGTGCCTGTCGACCAAAAGTCGAGGGAGCAACATTGTGATTAATTCCCTATCAGGTCGGAGCTGGTATCTTGCTGTCCGGCAATGCAGCCCACGTTCTCATAGACATGGGCATGGAACAGGAAATGGAGGATTGCTCAACACACATGAGGCGCGTAGTGTTCAAGACATGGGACGAAGGCAAAACCATGTCCGCACAGCACTTCCCCGACAGAGCAAGCGCCGCCGAGGGCGGTCCATTATGGCAAGTCCACCGGGCTGACGTGCACGGCATCCTTCTGAAGAAGGCCCAAGAAGTAGGAGTCACGATCAGAATGGGTGTTCTGGTCAAGACTTACGATTGGGACGCCCCTGCTGCGGTGCTTGAGGATGGAACTGAGATCCACGCAGATGTCATAGTGGCGGCTGATGGTTGGTCGCACCAGTCTAAGAAAACATTCGCGCAAGCGAGTGGAAGATACGCGATGAGGATTGCTAACTGTATCCTAGGCTACAGATCTCGTGCGCGAGAGAATCTACTCGGCAGAAAGGACGAGCCCCGTCACCATGGCTATTCAGCCTACCGCGCCCTAATCCCTGGCAAGATCCTTGCCCAGCATCCCGATCTACGAGATCTAGTCGACCCTGAGCAGCAGACGAGTCATTGTTGGTATGTAGGCCATTTTCAACCCCTTTGCCAGTCCGTACGCCCGGGTCTCTTTTCTCGCGCGTCACCCGCCGATGCATGGCTTGCAATCCCTCTGAGTTGATTTCTACTTCTTTTCTTCATTCTCACCCCGATTCTGCACAGGGTCGGACAAGGCCGTCACGTCCTCGGGTACCCCATCCGGGGAGGCCAGGACTACAACATGGTGTATAACCAACCGTCAGTCCGTGCCGTTGGCTCCAAATATGTGGTCAGCGTAGATCCGGCCGACGTCCTGGAGGAATACAAAGATTGGGATCCACGCTTGGTGGCTTTAACGAAGCACTTGCCCAAAGACGGCGTTTTGGAATGGCGCCTCTGTGACCTCCACCCTCTGGAAAACTGGATCTTCCCCGGCGGCAAGATCGTCTTGATAGGCGATGCATCGCATGCCATGCTTCCTTCGGCAGCACAGGGTGCGGCCATGGGGATCGAAGACGGCGCGGCCATCGCCGAGCTGCTCGCCAGGGCTGACTCGAAAGCCGACTTGCCTCGGATCTTGAGGACTTTCCAGAATCTCAGGAGAGACCGGTGTATCGACGTGGTTGAAAACGGTAGCAGGGATGCCCGTAGTTGGCACGACAAAGACGATCCTAAGTACAAGCCCACAAGTAATTGGGTATGGGTGTATGATATCAAAACTGCCGCCAGGGAGATTCCCTTGGCAGCTTAGGCATGAAGACGTTTGTCGCCTTTCGAAACCGAAGAATGCTTCTGCTTGGCAAGCAACTGCTCGTCTGCACCTCGCTTCTCCCCCACGAGTGCAATGAAGCCTCACCCCTCCTTCTCCCCTTTTCTGATTCCCATATCCACCTCGCGGGGACCTTAGATCATCTGCGCTGTTCATTCTCGTCTTGTGCTTTTGTGGCCGGCGCGCCTCCAGCTCTAACCGTGGGATTTCTCCTTCAAAAGAGCAGCTCAGAGCGCCACAGCAGAAAGAGCGATGTCGCCATCAATTCTGTTCACCCATCGGGACAACACCCATGAGCGTCGGCCTTCGAGTGAGACAATGAATGCATCTCACTCCTGATGTGGTGGAGCCCGTGCTGCAGATCGCTTTGGCACAACACGTTCCATAGCCAAGTGCCCATCAAGCCACCCAGACACACCGTCTCAATACCACATCAATCGGGTGGCCTGGCCTAAGCCCAACAGAAACCCTGAATTGAAGCCTGACCAATTCTTGTCCGCCAATTCTGCCAGAAGCAATCCGTATGTCTCTGAGAAGCAGTAAATTTGGACAGCCAATACTACAAGAACTGTGGTTGGATTTTGCAACCTGCAAGGCCTGCTAAATAGTGGAAGTGAACGGATGACGATCAATGCACAAGCTGCCGCGGAGCAAGACCGGAAGAGAGAGGCAGAGAACAGGGATATCGTCGACAAGGGCAGGAAAGTGGCCATTATGCCGAGATGAAGGAGGCAATTCACCAGCACAATCTCTCGGAACATCCTTGCAGCTTTCCTCGGGTGTTGCAGCGACTTCTTGTGGGAAACGTAAGCAAAGTTGTGCTGTCTGGAATAATGATGAAGTGATCTAAACACTTGATAGATAGCAGCAATGGAATAGACTTGTATTGATATTCGTGCAAGGCAACAAAGCAAAAATGTCCTGAAAAAGGTAGGAGAATGCGGAAGTTGGAAAGCGTAACGTTTGAGGATGAGCGAGGTTGCAGTTTGCGCGCGCATGAAGATACACTCCAGGGGGTATTTGGCCTGGCCTTCCACCAATATGAAACTTACGGGTCCATGATGGTCTTCGCAGGCGCAAAAGGCAACATCTTTGCAGAAACTCCAGGAGGGCTTCTGAGGCCGAAAATAGGCAGGGCAGGCTTGACGATCACCCCTTGCACACCGATTATGCAACAATTGGCCGGATGGCTCTTGTGATGACCGGCACAGGCCATTGTTCTTCGAGTGCTCCTCTGCCATTCAAGGGTGACATGTCATGGCCACGATAACGCCCGGAACCTCAGCGAGCATCTTCCTCCTCTTTGCGTAGCTGTGTCTCCTCCGCTATCTCTAATATTGGACTTTGAAACGCATGTTATCTGGTCGATCATTGGTCGGGATTAGCTTCAGAGGCTCGTCTGGGGTGCGTAGGCATCTGAGTGGGAGACCCAGACCAGGAGGAAGAAGCGACGTGTGTCAGGACGAGGTTCGACCTCCCTGCGGCCAGAGGTTTTGAGTCGTCGTAGGGAATTGCATGCTTTACCCATTGCTTCCCATTTTATCTTGGTGATGTGGATCAATTTGTTCAGCGAGATGCAGGTGGTCAGTCGAGAGAAGAAAAATGGTAAGATGCCAGAAGTTGAAAATCACCGTAGGTGGGTGCTAGGTACGAATACCCCGAGAGTCGACTACACGATTTAATCACGTGACGGAGGCAGCGCCCCGAATAGCATCACGTGATTGACATTTCTGCTGCTTCTGAAAGGAGGCACTGGAGTCCTCCAGGCATCAGAACATCTTCAAAGCACTATCCACTTTCTTACACCATAACCACGTCCTCTGACCCCATCCGACGAGTCATCTACGCCGCCTACTGTCTTCAGCCTCGTTCCGGACACTGCGCCTCTGACCATATTAGTCCGCCTCACACCCTACATGCGCATTCAAGACCCCATCCACCCCACGCTTGAAAGTGAGACGACCGCCGCTCCGTCCTCTAGCCACTCCTCTTTCTCTCTATGCACCGACCGTCACTTCTCTGATGCCACTGCGATGGAGTGCCACCGTGGCTCAGTCTCAAATCTCCCACGAGCCGAACAGCAGCCATATCCGCAGAACTCATTGCCGTGGCTTCGAGCGCATAGCCTTGACTACGGCTCTTGTGATTTGAGAAGAAAGACGCAAAGACCTTACAACAGAGCCTGCAGACGAGACTGCGGAAGAGAATCATGAACTGCAGGGGGCATTGACTGTGACTGCGCCACGGCGTCTATGCTCGTGGCGGATACCTGTATGATGTTCTGAGTCTAAAACCAGTGCTTGTCTGAACAGTGCTGCTGCTGCGCCGCCGCCGTCTTGTCCATGCGGTGATGATGGATTCTGGCAGCAGACGATCTGGTTGGCGGCGACGAGGAGCAGACACAATATTCGCAGTGTCATGTTCCGCTGCCCAATCGTGAGTACTGATTTGGCTTGCCGCAAATAGTGAGTCTTGATTGGCGGATGGCCACCGTCTGTGTGACATTTATGGTAGGGATCCTATGGCCTGACACCACAAAGGCCTTGGGAAGTCAATTCGTCATCATCGTGGTGGCGGACTTACGCGCTTTCAGCGATCTAACGTGGGCAATGTCGCCTATGCACACGAGTACACGCAACATGATACTTACAAACATTCCGGCCGTGGTTCCAGCCAATACAAACCCCGTCCGGACTCAACAGCCGCTGCCACTACTCATTGCATCAAGGTAAGAGTAGCACACCTATCCTGGCTACGGGGTATATAGTGCATCATCGACTTGGGACCTAAGACGATAAGTGGCCAGCAAAGAAAGTCATGATGGGAAAACGTATCTTAGCACTAGTCTTGATATCACATCAAATGACAGCACCAGGTGTGAGGGCTTGTGGGATAGCATTGGGTTGCACCATATCTTGTCTCGAGATGTATATATACCACTCACGGCAATGGTTCTCTTTCATATCTTTCAGTACTTCTCATCAGAAAACGCCACAGACGAAGACTTCCTATCATCAGATCTTGAACCGTTCGACGAAATGTCCGACTCGACCAACAAATCCCACGCCACCGGTGGCTCCATTGGTTTGTCTCATACGGAGCCTTACCACGTCCTTCATGCTGATGGTGTCCCTCACAGTGCCAGAAACAGCGCAGGAGAAGCTCCCCAAGGGGGTTGAACAATCCGTCCCAGATTCCGTGCACGATACGAATTCATCTGTTAGCCATGCTACCGGTGAATCGATGGTGCCGGAAGAAATTCAGAAAATTGCTCCAGCCAGCCTCGAGAAGGCTTTGCCGGAGAGCATCCATCCTACCGAGGGTTCAAGTATCGACAAGTAACATTGTCGACGGGTATGAACGTCACCTTAGCATCGGCAAGAGATTTATTTTGACGAACGGATGACGGTTCCCGCCAGCGGTCAGCTCTGCGCGTTCTGGCCCTCAGACCATGTTGTGACATATTCAATCACAAAAAATTCAGATAGCTACTGGGGAGAAATGAATTAGCAACCACGGTTGTATAATGCGATGCACTGACCGGATCATTTAATGTTTGACTGTCTTGCTCCCTGTTTCCGCACTAGCGCCAGGTTTCGTTTCTCCATGACTTCGTTACATTTGTGGAGAAGGGCTGATTCATTGGGAACAACAGCACTCAAAAGTCTCCAACGTGGCACGTCTCGCCAATTCCGGCGTTGGCGAGTGAGGGCTAAGACTTGCACAAGAGTTATCTAAAGGAGTCCTCAACACCATCCTGGCACCGGACATGTAAATAGAGAAAGACCAAAGCACTCTGACGCATGAGGTTCTCTTAATTCTCCCTTCATTCACATCTTTCACGATTTGGATCTCCAAACATGGAACAGCATTTTGACGTGATCGTGGTGGGAGGAGGTAATACAGCGTGTTGTGCGGCGTTAGCTGCTTGTGAAGCTGGAGCTCGCGTTGCCATCGTGGAAGCAGCTCCTAAACACGAGAGAGGCGGTAACAGTCGGTTTGCAGGCACCGCATGGCGATTCCCGCATAACGGGAAGAAGCATCTTGAGCCACTGCTTGCCCGGAATTCCCTGGGCGACTTCGATCGATGCACTATGGGATCGTATACTGCAGAACAATTCACACAGGACATGCTGAAAAAGTCTGGAGGGCGGCACGACCGGGATGAGATTGCCACGATCGTCAAACACGGCTACGATACCATCAAGTGGATGGCAGAGCATGAAGTACCATTCATTCTACCTCTCAACATGTGGGTTCATAGGGAATCCAGCGAGGTCGTTGGACTAAATCCCGGTGTGCCCGTCATCAACCAGGACAACGGTCGCGGCCTTACAGATGCCATGTGGGCTGCCGTTGAGAAGACAACTATAAGTGTTTTCTATGCTTCGCCAGCACACGACTTGATCGCTGAAGGTGATAAAATACTAGGCGTCCGTGTAAGGCGAGAGGAGTGTTTCGTCAACTTCTATGGAAAGGTTATCCTGGCTTGCGGCGGGTTTGAAGCTAATCCCAGAATGCGTCGGCAATATCTGGGAGAAGGCATGGAACTATCCGTGGTCCGTGGCACCCGATTCAACACAGGAGTGATGCTTGAGAAAGCCATCAACGCTGGAGCTCAGGCTCAAGGCCATTGGGGCGGCTACCATTGTGCACCTCTCGATATTGACACCCCGAAAGTGGGTGACTTCAATATCCTCGATGCTTGGGAGAGGTATTCTTTTCCTTATTCCATTATGGTGAACACGGCTGCGCAACGTTTTGTCGATGAAGGAGAAGACGAGCCAAGTCTGACATATTCGAAGATGGGTGCCGCCATTGTCAAACAGCAGGATGGTAAAGCCTTCCAAATCTTTGACCAAAAAGTCCTGCATCTTCTCGAGCCAAGATATAAAACCCACGCTACTCCAATTGAAGCAGATTCGATCGAGGTTCTGGCTGAGAAGCTCGGTCTAGAGGCGAGGGCACTGCGGAAGACCGTCGACGATTTCAACGCTGCTACGCCAAAGGGCAGGCCATTCGATCCATTCCAAAATGATGGGTTATCTACAACCCCTTCGCTGTTGCCAACAAAGTCCAATTGGGCCCTGCCTTTGGACAAGCCTCCTTTCGTGGCATACACCGTTACCACTGGCATTACATTCACATTCGGCGGCATCAAAACCGATCGCAAGGCTAGAGTTTTGACAAATGAGAACCGTCCCATGCACGGCTTATATGCGGTCGGAGAGATCACAGGTGGATTTTACTTTGGTTATGCAGCAGGGGCGTCACTCATACGTTCATCGGTTCTCGCAAAAATAGCTGGTGAGGAAGCAGCCAGGGAAGATCCAGCAACAAAGTCAAAGCTCTAGCCCCAACTATTATGTGTTGTGCAGTGAATAAAGGCTGTTGCCAGATAGCTCCAAGTGTCACGTCTACTTTATCAGGCTGCTGCTTACGACCTCATATGATCAATGTTGGAGGCTTCTAAGATCTCCTACGGGTATCAGAGGAGTCTCCACAGCCCTCCACGCGTCTCCTCCAACCATCGAAGTCAGCATTTTCCCAGGCCTCTTTTGTAACCATTGAGCATTAATATCGATTTAGGTAAATGTCAGGAAGACTTGATACCAACCGAGCAGACAAAACACAGGATTAAAGCACGAGTGTGTAACTTACATTGCAAGGGTTCTTGATCTCAAAACTGCAACGGGTCTAGACATTCCGAAGTTGTGGGCGAGAAAGGGAGAACTTGTTGACAATGTCGAAACAGGAGAATGGCCCCGTCGAATCTCTGCCAGGCCCTCAAGGAGATGGCCAGGTTTATGTTAAGGTGTCGGCGCTAAATGGCGGGTTTGTGACGCTGCCAGAGAGACTCTTCGTCACAGACGCCGACCCCGAGAAAACATCGACCGTACCGTCCATGTGCTTTCTGATCGAACATCCGGTGCCGGGATCCGACAGGCCTAAAAGAATTGTCTTTGACCTGGGCATCAAACGCGACCTCTCTTCCTATGCCGCAGGTATGCAAGGACATATATCCAAGAGACAACCTATCGTGACCTCTCCTGACACCAAAGATAGCTTGGCCGGAGGAGGTCTAAGCGCCGCCACAGATATCGACTATGTCATGTTGAGTCACGTCCACTGGGATCATATCGGAATGCCATCGGACTATGAGAAGGCCAAATTCATTGTTGGATCGGGTACCTTTTACATCCTTGAACATGGAGCACCTCACTATACCAAAGATATGATGGAAGTAGATCCTCTCCCCGTTGACCGCACGTATGAGCTGCCACCAGTACCTACGTCCACAAGAAAGCATACGGCGTCCACTCAGCAAACACAGCACAGGTGGCAAAGTATCTCCACTCTGCCGAACGCTGTCGACTTCTTTGGTGACGGTAGCCTCTTTCTCATTGACAGCCCTGGTCACCTTCAAGGACATACCAATGCGTTGCTTCGTGTGAGACCGGGAAAGTGGGTTTACCTGGGCGGAGACTGCTGCCACGACGCGAGAATATTGACCGGCGAGAAAGGAATTGCCACGTATGACGATGGACACGGAGGCATGCGAAGCGTTCATTCTGAGTTACCGGAAGCTACTGAAACCATCAAGACTATTCGGAATTTCCTTGAAGTCAATGGCGAGTCAGTTGAATGGGTCGTTGCGCATGATCTGGGATGGGCGAACGCCAACAAACATCGATTCTTCCCGCAATGGATGTATGCATAGTGCAAGCTGTGAATAGACCCATTATTGCAAGAAGGGCCCAAAGATAGGGTGAACATCCGAGCTACGATGAGAATAAGAATGTTGCGACCATTCCACTGAATATGCCTGGCTGCATGCCAAGTTTCCTCGTGTACCCCTTATCACGAAAGAGCCTTGCTGACACAATAAGCTTGAAAACTTGGTCCGATGGACATCCTCGCCCTCTCGAAATGCTTGAGATGCGTCGTTGCACGCCTTGCTTGCCACCGCAGTCGATTGCCGCTCCAAGCCCGCCTGCTCAAGCCCAAGTAACTACTTCGAAGGCATTTGTCCATTGGAGAAAGTCCCAAGAGCGTTCCGGCATCCTGAATTCTCCTCGGCTGAACACTTGTGGAGATGACCCCCATCATGCCCCCATGGATGCATCTCCATCTCCACCATCTGATGCGGAGGTTTGGAGAACGGCAATCGACCCATCTGAAGGAAGACGGGCTCTTTGAAGACTACTCCCAGCACGTTTAGTCGATTTGAACTTGATGCTCAGGTGGCGTTAAAGCCAAGGGAAGAAGCATAACAACAGCTTTCGCTAGAGCAAGTCGTCGCCGCTCTGTCACCAACTGTGGAAAAATGCCTGAACTTGTCCAGAATGGCACGTCTGCTAAGGCGATGCCTCAGGTGGTATATGGCTTCATCGGCCTTGGAAATATGGGATTTGGCATGGCCAAGAACCTGAGGGCATCGATGCCAAAAGCTTGCAAACTATGGGTCTGCGAGTTGGACCCGAAAAGGAGGGACGAGTTCATCTCGTCCGTGGACGGGTTGATCGAGGCTGCAGACTCACCGAAAGATGTTGCAAAGCATTGCGTATGTTCATTATTAGGCTCCTGGGTTCGAGTCTGACCTTTCCGGCCATCAGGACATAATAATCACAAGTCTGCCCCATGGCGAGGCCGTACGAAAAGTGTTCACGGATCCATCCACAGGGCTGTTATCAATTTCCAAGGATTCTGACAAGCACAAATTCTTCCTCGAAACATCAACGATTGAAGTCCGAACGTCAAACAAGGTTCTGGAAGAGGTGAAGAAGTCCGGATTAGGCGATTTCATTGACTGCCCTGTTTCTGGGGGCATACCGGCTGCTCATCAAGGCAACTTAACCTTCATGGTCGGCGGAACTAAGCAGCTCCTCGAGAAAGCAAAGCCTGTTCTTGCATCCATGGGGAAAGAAGAGAATATCATCTTCTGTGGGCCTCCAGGTGCCGGGCTGGCCACAAAGCAAATCAACAACTATGTCGCGAATGTCTCATACATCGCCCTGTGTGAAGGTTCGTCTGCATTGGATATCCAACACCATTAGCAACTTGAGGAAGGCTAACATGCTGACAGGCATGAATACGGGGATCAAATACGGACTTGACCCGAAAGTGCTTGCGGGTGAGTGGTCCAATACAGTTTGACTCAGGCTTTCAATCACTGACACTGGCCAGATGTGATCAATGTCTCGAGCGGCATGTGCTGGAATTCCCTACACATGAATCCGGTCAAAGGAGTGCAGGCTGGCTCGTCGGCAGCGCGCGACTTCGAGGGCGGCTTCAAGACCGAGTTGGCCAAAGGCGTGATGGACATGACCGTGCAACTGATGGATGATGTCGGGGCGAAGCATGTCATGGGGAACGTGGTGACGGACGTCTACGCGAGGGCAGTAAAGCATCCAAGATGCGCAGACAAAGAATGCAGAAGTATTTACAGGCTCTTTGCAGAGAACGACGGAAAAGATCTAGGAGACACCAAGATTGTCTAGGCGGGAATACTATTCAGAGGATGATTCTGTCGTCCATTTCAATCCTTGTCAAGCCAATTTGATGACCACCTTTCCCCACTGCTTCTGACTCCAGAGGAACTCATATGCCTCTTTTGCCTGTCCTAAGGAGAAGACATTCTGGTCGAGTATTGGTTTGATCTTGTTAGCGGCCATGAAATCGTTCATGGCGAGGAATTGCTCCTTGGATCCCACGTTGACCCCACGCACAATTGACAGAGTGGTCAAACAATCTGCGAAAGAGGAGGCAGATGCCGCGTCCTTGCCGCCCAGAAAGCCTATCAGAGAGATCAGTCCTTCGATCCTGATGGCTTTCAGTGACTGCTGCATAGAAGAGCTTCCTCCCACTTCGATCACATGGTGAACTCCTTGTCCATCAGCAGAGAGTTTCTTAGCAGTCGCCCCCCAATCAGGATTTGTTTTATAGTTGATGACGTGGTGCGCACCCAGGGCTTTCAGTTTCGTTTCCTTTTCAGCCGACGATGTTGTTGCTATGACAAGTGCTCCGGCAGCTAGTGCAAATTGCATGGCGAAAAGGCTCACTCCGCCAGTCCCTTGTACCAGCACTGTTTGCCCTCTTTGCAAAGCTCGACTCTCCAGCCCATATAGCGCATTCCATGCTGTCACAGCAGCACACGGCAGAGTCGCTGCCTCAAGCGTGGAGAGATGCTGAGGGATGGGTACAAGCCCAGTCTCTGGAAAGACTGCATATTGTCGAAGAACGCCATCCAGATATGTGCCGAGCGTCGTCACTCTCTTGTCAGGTGTGAGAAGACCTTTCTGCCAACCCTGGTGAAACAACGTGCACACTTTGTCCCCTACTCTGAATTCGCGGACATCCTGGCCCAGAGCGATAACCACTCCGGCGCCGTCGGAAACTGGAACGACATCCTCCTTCACCGCCCACGGGTAGTTGCCCTGAAGTATCGCAACGTCACGGTAATTCAAGGATGCTGCTTCCAGGTGCACTAAGCAATCACGCGGTCCCAGCTGAGGTATTGGACTTGATTCCTGATACTCGAGGCCCTCAAATCCATTGCCTTTGCCAGGCCTTAAAATCCACCTGGAGCTTGTTGCAGGTGGCGGCATTTTCTTGTTCTGATGATTATGACGGCCTCCGTGCTGTAGATAAGTCGAAAGTGTAGTAAAATGTGCTTCCGGCAAAGTGTACTCATGGCATAATGAAAGAATGAAGTGGTTGGCTTGAGCGAAGTCGATGAGGCTTAATAACATCCATAGCATAGGGTGTTGGGGTAAGAGGTACCTAGGTAGGGAACTGGCTTTCGCGATGATTGGGCGATTATGGGCACCTTGGTGAACGTCGGGCTTGTTGTTTGCCCATCTTGGCTCCTAATTTCTAAGCCTTCTAGGCTACAGTACAAAGCTGCTTAAGCGTCTGCTTGTAGGTCGTGACCACAATGCGTCAAGTGCTTGTCTAACTTAGGTACCCTTGATAAGTTTTTCCAGTCTATTAACCACCACATCGTCGACTTCCAGAACCCCACCTGCCTTGATCTCTGCTCGTCTCCGATTTGAACGCTCGAAAGGCATTCTCAGAGCATTCCCTGACATGGACGGAGCTGAGTGGAAAGCCTCTACCAGATTTCCAACCTCTCTTTTGAAATCGCCCATCGGTCTGAATTTGGCAGGGTCAATGACCATGATAAAATATCCAAAATCTTCCAGGTTAGGAGGCAACGCGGGAGAGCCAGCGAGTATCCCCAGAAGTTGGACGGCAACAGCCAGGCCACTGCCTCTTGCCCCTCCCCAAACTGTCAGAGCACCCTTCAACGCCTTCTCGGGATCCGTGGTCATCTCCCCATGCTCATCATAGGCCGTATCCGGGGGAAGCTGTTCGCCCTTCCGCCTGGCCAACATAACTTGCGCATGGATGATCCTCGATGTGCCAATGTCGTAAATGATGGGAACGCCTTCGGTCGGCACACCTATGCAGAACGGATTCGTACCCACAAGAGGTTTGTATGTACCTTCTGGTGCTACCCACGGAGTACAATTCGAAGCGATGATGGTAACGAGGTCTTCCGCCGCTGCCATTTCCGCGTAATATGAGAGCATGCCGGTGTAGTAGGTGCCATTGGCTCCTACAGCTGATACTCCGGAAGCTTTGGCTTTCTCAATTGCAATTTTTGTTGCTTTGTGAGCCACCAGATATCCGAGAGTGTCATGACCATTCAGTTGTGCCGAAGTTGGTGACTCCCTGGTTACTTCGATATGAGATGGTGGCTGTCTTCCTCCCAGCTTATCCGCAATGCTGAGAATTCGTGCAAGTCCTGCAATGCCATAGCCACGGAGCTCACTGTCGATGAGATGGTGAGATATAAGAGCTGTGTCTTCCGAACTGTACCCTAGCTTTTGGAGGGCCTGGTTGGCTAGGTCTTCGGCCTGTTGGACACTCACTCGCATTTTGAGGTCAATGAAACAGTCTCGGCAGAGCGATGGTGAGTTGGCACACGCTTGCAGCTGATCGCTAAAGACCGATTGGTAACAGGAAGAATGCTCTGAGATGTCTTGGACTCTTGACTGCCTTTGCACTGCGGGGTCGACCCTTGTTTGACGGTGCTTCTTCATGGAGATGGTTTGGAGAAGGATCTCGGCTCCTTCGACCCCGGTTAAGTTAGTGCCGTGGAGGTTACGGAAAGGGGTGCTTGTCCACTCTTGTCGTTCCCCAGACTCCAACAAGCTGCGGAGAGCGTGGCACAGGCGGAGGCCATCACACCTATCAGCAAGTCGACGACCGAATGGGTCTGGCTGTCCTTTGCATAAGTAAATAGGATCGCTGATCTTGTTCCCTAGCTTCTCTGCCACTTCCCACCGCCCTTCAATCGTATGGCACCTGCACTTCCTCTACAAATCCTTGGTAAAGACAATCAACCTCACACCATGGGCGGCCTCGATACAGAGCACCTTGAGACCAAGACCGAGATCCACGATCTTGCAATCCATCGTCAACATGAACAAGAAGCATTGGCAGAGCAGTTGGCGGGCGAAGACAAGAAGATCAAGCGCATTGTGCGCAAGCTTGACTTGCGGTTGGTCTTGACTCTCGCTATTCTCTATGTGTGGGCTTTTATCGACCGAGGAAATCTGGCCAATGTAAGTTGCATAAAGCCTGTGGGCAGAAGAAAGTGACACGGCCTGGACGGTCACCACGGTCTTCCCGTGGCAACACACTGGCAATACCCTGAGGCTCACCGTGTACCTCGAAAAGTGCTCGCTAATTCCTCAATAGGCTAACATCGCTGGCATGGGTGCGGATCTTGGTCTTGTTGGCAACAACCGTTATTCTATCCTCGCAATGATAGTAAGATGAACCCCCATATTTTGGTCCACACTCTGACACTTCCAGTTTTTTGTCGGCTATATCCTCATCGATGCACCGGCCACATTCATTGTTCGAAAGATTGGCGCAGTCGTCTGGATCCCAACAATTGTCGTGTAAGCGGAATCAATCCCTAGATGTAATAGCCATAGCTAACACTCGAGTGAAGCTTATGGGGGTATGACCCTCTCGTGCTGATCGCTAGACAATGTGCTCACGTTCCCTAGAATTATCACCATCGGTCAAGGCTTCTGCCATAGCTGGGGTGCGCTCCTAGGTACTGTTTCCTGAACTATCCGTGGTTCTCTGTACTAATGAGCGTTACAGCCTGCCGTGTTCTTCTTGGATTTCTGGAAGGAGGGCTCATCCCAGCGGCAATGTTTCGTAGGTGGCAGAGTATTCTACTACTTAGTTGACGCTAACAGACTTGCAGTGATCAGCGTCTGGTATACTCGATATGAAGCCCACACCAGGTTTGTTACCATCTTTCTCCCTTCTCCCGAGGACAAGTCTGACAGAACAGACTTGCATCATTCTATGTGGTCGTAAGTGCACCCATTTAGTATCCCGATGTTTTTTAACTCGTTCAGGGAATCGCTTCCACTGGCGTTTCAGGCCTGCTGGCATATGGCATCGAGAACATGGATGGTGATGCTGGACTGGAGGGGTGGCGTTGGATCTTCATTATCGTGAGTAGAAACCCTCATGCCGATGCTTGTTTGCTTTTGTTGCTAACAGCAGCCAGGAGGGAATTGCCACTTGTTTCTGTGGTATTGCTTCCTATTTCTTGCTAGTCGACCTTCCAGAGAGAGGTGAGTGTAATCATTCATCAGACCGATTGATTCCAAATTATTATTCGGAAGCAGCCTTCTGATCTGGTTCACAGCAACGACGCGAGGTCTTTTCGGTCTCCTTCCACCTTTCCTCACGGCTGCCGAAGCCTCACTGATCCATGCTCGGATCGAACGAGATAGAGGTGACAGTACACCAGAGAAATTGACCGTGAAGAAGATGCTTGCTTGTGCAAAAGATTGGAAAGTCTGGGAGTTTTCATCCTATGTGCTCTTCAACGTAAGGCTTCCGCGGTTCTCAAGGCCGGTATTGACATGATTTGACTGCAGAATACCGCCCTGTACGCATTCGCATATTTCCTGCCAGTCATCTTGCAGAAGAGTCTTCACTACTCTACATCGAAAGCTCAGCTCTTCACCTTTCCACCATATGCTGTTGCAGTTCCGGTATGGAGGTGGAGAGATCCTGCCACAAAGACACGGGCTGACATCAACAGTGGATTCTCTTCTGTGCCTGGATTTGCGACAGGCTCAAGGTCCGTGGTCCAATGTTGGTCTTCAATTCGATGCTGTACATCATTGGCGTGTTGATGTAAGCCAACTCTCGCACTCTGCATGACTCCGAAGACCACAGGCTTACAATCACCAGTACCGCATACTGTAAAAGCCCCCATGCGAGATATGGAGGTGTCTTCATCGGCGTGATGGGGATTACAGCCAATATACCGACCAACTGGGCATATCAGCAGAACAATGTTGGTGAGTTTCATGTACTGACATCTTTGAAGGCCAACAATTGATTCTGGGGTAGTTGGACAGCCAAAACGTGCTCTGTGTGCAGCCATGATGACGACCGGTGGAGGTATCGGAGGTATCATTGCAGGCAACATCTTTCAAGCCAAAGATGCGCCCGGTTACAGGCCTGCATTGATCATCTGCGTTGCGTTCCAGGTAGGCGACCCAAGCTGATGTTGTGCAACATCCATTGCTCACCACTGAACAGGCTTTCAACATTCTTTTGGTGGTCAAGAACTTTGTCTATTTCCGATGGGCCAATAGAAAAGCGGATCGTGAGGAACTGATCATTGAAGGAACGCCAGACTTCAGGTACACCTACTGAGTGAGGTTTGGAACAAGGGGTTGATCCAGGAATCAAGGGACCCACAAAAGGCCAGCGGTGTGTATTGAACAAGGCAAAGGTGTTCATAAAGCCAGTCCGGCTTCTAGTATGACGATGTATTTCTCTGTGAGACCCTGCTAGGCTATCTTCCAGTGTCATAGTGGTGTCACTGTATTGGATGATAGTGAGTGTGGTAGTGGTAGTGGTGTACGGTGGTGACAGTGCCCGAGATGGGTGCTTATGTAATCTGAGTCACGTGACGCCAAGTCTCCAGCACCGCCTGACTGACTTTCAGGGACGACGTCCAACTTACTCTCCTACTTGTACCTACCTGGTACCTCAGTAACCACATGTCTGGGACTTGCATATTTGCTCCCACGTGGGCCGCTCATTATCGAACGATCTTCCAGACGCAGTCCTGGTACGAGGAGCCTATGGCCAGCGACGCCAGAGACATGGCGACTTCTCAAGCAGGGTCCGTGCCCCAGAGGCGAACCTCGGTAATCTCAATGCCATGATCTCCAATTCCACCTGCTTCAAATACCTGCCTCACCTGCCTCCACCGAAGCTGTGGAGAGAGACATCGTCCTCCATCGACGTGCTCGTCTCTCCATGGAGTCCTCTGCAATTCCAAAGAAGACCTTGCCATGCAGGTTCTGCGATAGACACTTTCGCCGCCTTGAACATGTCCAGCGCCACGAGCGCACACACACAAAGGAGACTCCATTCAAGTGCCCTTGCGGAAGATCTTTCAGCCGAAGGTAAGTCCTGCTCCAAGTGGCCGTCTTGTCCACGCTCTCATCTGACACTGATTTGACTCAGAGATCTTTTGCGCCGCCACGAAAAAGCCGTCCACGATGGCAGGTCCTGTGGAAGATACGAGTCGCCGAGCCAAACAAAGTCAACATCGAGCAGTATTCTGGATCCTTCAAATGGCGCATCTACCACCATATCGACCAACTCAAATGAGCCAGTCGATCAGAGCGTCAGCTCACCTCAACATGCACTCCATTTGGGAGCAAGACGCGATCTTCCCATCGACCCTTTAACGGATTTTGCCCAGCTCGCGCCTGACCACAATACCGACGGCCCGGTCGGTGGAATTAGTACCTTGGGATTTCCCGCGGGAGGACTGCATGTGCAAAGTCTACCACAAGTCGACCAGGTGGCTGTGGAAGAGATTGGCTCTGCGATGGACACCGACATCTACAGCCAATTCGACAGCTTGAACGACTTTCTCGATCTCAACGATTTCTCGAGCTTGATTCCTCCGGACTATGCCTTTGATCTTGGCTTGCAAGATTTTGCTTTTGCCTCCGATCTTCCCCATAATCCCTTCCACGGCAATAGTCAAGTACAGAATGATTCAGGAGGTCATGGCGTGCGCATCGAACAAGACACGTCCTTTTCCAGGTTTGGTTCTCCTCTGCCCGCCCTGCACTTCGAATCTCGAGAGCAAGCATCCAAAGTTCCTGGTCAAGCTGAACAGAATGCAAACTTTCGGCGTGTGTGGAAGATATCCGGGCATCAATATCGCCAGGTGGTTACCAACATCCAGAACTTTGCCCATGTATTGCCCAAAGACTTCGTCATGCCGTCAAGGCACACCATGTCGAGGTTTCTCGAAGGCGCAATCAAAGGCTACTATGAACACCTTCCGAATCTGCATATTCCGACATTCTCGCCTTCAGATGTGGCTCCGGAATTACTCTTGGCCATGTGTGCGATTGGAGCATTGTTTCGATTCGAGTCGCACCGATGTCCGATGCTATTCCATGCTGCAAAGGCGATAGCCTCTGAGCAGATCAAGCGTCAGGAGAATGCTTTCTCTGGTGACGATGCACATATTCTTCGAAGGGAATTAACTTCTGCGTCGGTCACATTTTCAAACCCGAGTAATACTGAATTCTCTGCTCCATCGTACGATGCGGCAAAGAAAAAGGCAAGCGTGACAGATGCACAGGTGCAAACTTTGCAAGCCTTACTCGGCCTCTTGTGCCTCGGCGCTTGGGGACCGCAACAAGAGCTTATCAAGGAAGCAATCTCTCTCCAAAGTCTAGTTGCAACGATGGCTCGAGATGATGGATTCTCCAAGCTGAAAATGCCGATGCCTTCCGCGGCAGACATGTCAGACTGGCACTCCTGGGTCGTCATGGAGAGCCGAAAACGTACAAAGCTAATGACTTATTGTCTGCTTCAATTGATATCCGTTGCGTATCACATTCCTCCGCTGATTCTCAACTCGGAGATTGACTGCTGTCTTCCATGCTCCGCCAGGGAGTGGAATGCGAGTAACGCGCAAGAGTGGCAGGAAGTCCGAAGGTCGTCTCCATTCAGAGAAGTTCCATTCCAGGAGGCCTTCCAGACCATGTTTGAGAACGGAGGATCATCGCCAGCACACCTCTCCTTGTCTCCAATGGCCAATTACGTCCTGATCTTGGCGATTCTGCAACACATCTATCTTCGCCGTCAGACATTGGCGAGCTCGAAACACTCGTTAAGTACCGATGACATTGGGGAGATCAGTCGGGCCTTAAGATGCTGGCAGAGCCGATGGGAACAAGGTCCCGAGACCCATTTTGAGCCGTCATCGGCGACGGGGCCTGTTGCTTTCTCTTCTACTGCACTTCTGAGAATGGCATGGATCAGGCTTCATTCGGACCTGGGACCTTGCAGAAATCTGGCCAGCAGGGACGCTAGCATCATCGCCTCTGCTTTCAAAAACAGTCCTCCACTGAAGCGAGGGCCAGAATTGATTCATCCGGTTCTGCAGGCGGCTCACGCACTTTCTGTGCCGGTCAGAATGGGCATCAAATATGTCGCCAAAACACAGACATTGTCCTGGAGTGTTCAGCATTCATTTTCGAATCTGGAATGCGCAATATTCCTCAGCAAGTGGCTCGAACTGATCGCCGTAGCTTCAAGTACCGGTTCTTTAGACAAAGAGGAGCTGGTCCTGGTTCAGATGATACAAAGTCTGTTGAGAGAGACAGGTCTCTTTGACGATGACATGATGCACAACCTTTCGGATCGACAAGACCACAAACAAAAGATTCGCTGGCTCGCAACCGCTGTGGCAAGGATGTGGGCTGAGATTTTCAAAGGAACGCACATTTTCGAGATTGTCAATATCATAGGGGCGAGTCTGACAATGTATGCCGAGTCCATGGAGACCACATACACACCAGCAAATCAAGCTTGATTTCGTCTTGCTCGGAGTTTGCTGTGGTCGACAAGGACGTCGGTTTTCAAGATAGGAGCACATAGTTCAGAACCAAAATGCCCTCGCGATGCATACGCAAGGCCAGTGGTCGTGCATCTTACCAGATGTTCGCCGTCCAATGCACCAATGCTGCTCGTTAAAGCTATGAACGGTTTTCAAGCCCAATCGAATGTACAATTCCCGGAGGGGTTGAGGGAGTATTGGCTCGGCTGGTGCGAGGTCGGTTGGAGAGAATGCCTATGTTTCTCCAAAGGAGGGGAGCATGATGGGGGGAGTTGGTTCCCCAGAAGCATCTCTATCTGATATCTGAACGACATTGTCAAGCACAGACGACGCATACACAGTGTTTCCTAACCATTCACTTGGCTATATATTGCATCAAATCAACATGACTCCTCCTCACGCATCAGACGGAATTTCACCAGAGGTCAGCCTGACGCGACTGGCTGCGAGACGTCTTCGATCAATTGCGAGTGGGCAATTTTCACCAGAGGTCAGGGAGAAGGTCGTCGTGTGCTTGGTCGACTACCATGGCGCGGTCCAGACTGGTCTCTCGACTCCGTGGAGCGCCACCTTGATCAAGTATGCGACCACTCGCCCTGGTCCGGCTGAAGCTCATGCTTGGGGTACCAAGTCCAAAGTCTCGGCTGAGATTGCAGCCTTTTTCAACGCGACATTGGCTCATAGGTACGTGCATCCTTTTCTAGATTCGACTCGTCTCGACAGTCTGCATGCCTCTCTGTACCATCTAACGATATCAGTGCCATCCGTGACGACATGCATCTCGAATCCTGTTCTCATATCGGCTCGATCGTGATTTCTGCCGCCATTGCTCTTGCGCAGCGCGATCACTGGTCTGGGGAGCAGTTGGTTCGGAGTGTAGTAGCCGGGTACGAGATGGCTGCCCTCCTGGGTACGGCTATTCGAGCGAGCGGTAACTTCAATCCCCATTTTCGACCAAGCGGACTTGTTGGAGCCTTTGGAGCGGCATCCGCCGCCGTTGCAGGGTACGGCTGCAGTGAAGACGTCGCCGTGAGTGCACTAGGATTCGCTATGAATGCTGCTTGTGGGCTCAACGAGTGGGCTTGGGCTGGAGGGTTGGAAATCTTTGCGGAGATGGGCACTGCGAGCCGGTCTGGTGTTCAGTCATACGATCTGGCAGATGCAGGATTCCACTGCAGTGATACTGTACTCGAAGGCAGAGATGGCATGTTTCAAGCGCTCGGTGTTGGCTCGAGTGGTGTCGAAACATTTCGAGACTGGATTGCACGGTCTGATATCGGCAAATGCATCATGGATGTTCGTTTCAAACCCGTGGCCGGGTGCAATTTTGCGCAGACTCCCCTGGCTGCGGCCCTCAAGCTGCGACTGGACCGGCCACTTGATACTCGGAAGATCATTGTTACTGCCACGTCGCAAGCCGTCAAGTATCCTGGATGCGATAACTCCGGACCACTGGAAAATATCCAGCAGAGCAAGATGAGTATACAGTATGGTGTGTGTGCGGCACTCATATTTGGCCGGCTTGACGAAGAGGTTTTCAGCAAGGTTGGCAATCATCAAATCACGGAAATGATGGGAAAGTGCGAAGTGAAGGCCGACTCGCAGTTTGACCGAGAGTTTCAGAAAGGCTTACAGCCAGCTCAAGTGGAAGTGCTGTTGTCTGATGGCACCCGTCTGTGCCAAAAATTGGATGATGTGCCCTGGTTGACTCCGGATGATGTGAATTCGCGTTTTCGTGTCGAGATGGCTCAATCTCTCCCAGACGACAAGGCGGCGAGCCTACTGACCGCTTTGCATCAACTGAAACCCCCAGGACAAGTCCAAGATGTCTCCAAGATCATCGCAGAGATCGATGCGCGTTGAATTCAACTCCCTCCACTCTCCTTGGCGGTATTTGCAACAATGTCAAAACCTCGAGGCATGGAGTTCATGGCCACGCAAGCCAACTTTTCTGTCCAGAGGGTCAGATGTCCCACCACTTTGCCATTCCCGTACTAAGGCAATTTGTATGGGGCATACTTCACGCTTCTGCCGTCCGCAAGAATCCTACCAGGGCTTTGCACAAATGAAGCAGGTGCGCGGGGTCGGCAAGCAGGAGCAACTACCGGCAGTGCTACTTTCTGCGAAGACAGCCAATAAAAGGTCAGCCAGAGTCTCTCCAACATCACGAGGAATCGTGCTGTCGCCGGGAAACTGCCCATTGCGGCAAGGCCTCCGGTGGATCGCTCCAAGCACAGGATGTCATGATTCACCTTTGGTCCTTGTGCCCTTGTGGTCCTCGTGGTCCTTGTGGTCTTGCATCTGGGGATATACCCGAACAAGACTACGAGCATCCGGAGAAAAGCACGACGATCATTGCGGAGGGGACCTGAATCAATCTCGTCAGGTCTTTACACATGGCTGCCAATTGGTCCTTCTTCCAACATCCCAGCACACCACGCAGTATGCCATCGACCGACCTTTTGAGCATAAAATGTGCTCGAGTTCTCCCAGATTCCACTCCTCGACGCCGGGCTAGACTCTCAAAGCCACAGCTACCCGGAGAATGAAGGTTTTCGGTCCTTCCGGCCTATGGGCCTTGTCTCTTCTCTGCTCTAGCTCGTCTGGAGCTCCTCTCGACGCAGGCCACCCACAAGCTGGAATCAGTTACTTCAACAACAACACCGTGTTTCAGGCTCCGCCCAACTACACAGTCCCGGGTACACTATACGCGCGGACCGTCCAACTGGCGGATCTGTCTTTCCTGGCTACGTGGGAGAACTACTCGCCCGAACCGCCATCGGTCTACTTCCCCATCTATCGGTCGACCGACTTTGGCAAGACATGGAGCGAGCTGTCTCGTGTCCAGGACACCTCCGGCAACAACTATGGCATGCGTTACCAGCCGTTCCTGTACGTTCTGCCACAAGACTGGTCGACCTGGAAAGCCGGCACGGTCTTCTTGGCCGGTAGTTCGATTCCGACGGACCTGAGCTCGACGGACATCCAGTTGTACGCGTCAACAGACAGTGGCGTCTCATGGCAATTCGTCAGCAGCATTGCGAAAGGAGGTGAAGCCGTGCCGGATAACGGACTGACTCCGGTCTGGGAACCGTTCCTCATGCTGTACAATGACATGTTGGTCTGCTATTACTCTGACCAGAGAGACCCGGCTCATGGGCAGAAACTCGTGCATCAGACTACCACTGACGGAAAAGCTTGGAGCGATGTCGTCGACGACGTCGCATATTCCAATTACACGGACAGGCCGGGCATGCCCGTTGTCGCTCAGATGGGCAAAGGCTCCAGCGCGACATACATCATGACATACGAGTATGGTGGAGGCCCAGTCGATGGCGTCTTGCCTGTGAACTACACTTTCCCGGTTTTCTACAAGATCAGCAGTGATCCGACAGCGTTCCGGGCCGTTGAGGGCCAGCCGATTGTCACCAACGACGAGTCTCGAACGGTCCCAGTGAGCAGTCCATACGTGATCTACGATGAGAAGGAGGACATGATCATCGTCAGTTGTGGGACTTTGAGCGATGTCTTTGTCAATCATGCCGGAGGAGATGTTGGAGCTTGGGAGAGCCGAACGACAGGCGAGAGGGTCAGTTACACCCGAAGCTTAAGGATCATCTACGATCAGAGCTGGGAACGAGCGTTGCTTCTCGCGGGCGGTGGTAAGTTACCGCCGAGCGAAGGTAATGAAGTCACTGTGGGCGTCGTTGACATCCAGGGATGGTAGAATGGTAGCTATGGTTGTGATACCGGCTCCGGTCCAAAACTCTTTACATATCCCTCCTGGCTACAAAGGCACAGAACATACAATGCAAGTGAACGCTGTTGACTTCGGGTCGAAAGATGTTCTTTTGGTCTAGGTATAGCACCGATGCTGACCGTGTAATCCGCCATACGTTGATCTTCAAGCCATCACCCTTGCAATGGAATATCCCTACCTTTGCAATAGGTTACATCAACCCCAAAATTCCTAATTCTCGAAGAAAGTGCCAGAACAAGGCGTCGTCCTTTATTCCACCATCAACCTTTCGCCCGTCTCAAAATTGTAGCCCTCAATGGTCAAGTTATCGAAAGGAAATCGCTGGCTGTAGACTTCCCAGTGCGGCCAAGTCTGGGTGTAAAAGTCCCACTCGTCTTCATTCCGCGGGCGGAACATCTTGCACAGGTAATCCTTCATGTTGTAACGATTCATATCCATACCGACCCATGGTTCCGGGCAGCATCTCTCGGGACTCGGGATCCTGAAAATCGGGTCGTTTTTGTCGCACGTCGGGCATGCAAGCGGCTTGTTCTTGTTCAGGTCGCAGTAGCCGTTCTTGGAGGATCCATGGCCTGGCCAGCTGCAAAAGTCCTTGTGTTTGGCTTTCGCGACCAACGCGTCTCGCTCGCAGGTATGTGCGAGTTTAGGGTAGCAGGTGTTGACGGCTCGGTCAGTACGGAGCATGGCTTTCGGCCAGCCCCAGACGAACTCTTTCTCGCACCCTGCCAGTTTGAAGTCAGGTGGTTGTGGTGTCGGATACTTGGTCACGGTGACCGTCTCGGTGACATCTCTTGGCTTGACAGATTGTATGGTTGCGAACGTTGTTGGAAGAGGCGGGCTTTCTGGAAGCAACAATTGACTTGTGGTGCCAGTCAGGAGCAGAAGACTGGGGAGGAGTGTCGAGAGATACATCGTGAGGGTGGTCTCGAAGCGGACTGCGGGACTTGTGGTTTTCGTGAGGTACGCCTGTGTCAAGATACCGGAGTCGTTATTGATGCTGGGAACTCTTCGGATCGAGCAGCGAAGACGAGATCTTGAGTTTGGAGGCACAAGGAAGTCAGAAGTAATGTAGATGCAGATTAAAATGGCGAGCGACGAAGTGCCTCTTTATTCGTTCATCTTCGTGGAGTGCAAGCTTTCAAGAATTTCACACTGAGGACCTTGGGCAGCACTGTGAAAACTTCCACCTCGATGCCATTATGGTTCAGGCGATAACGGGACGAGCCACAAGTCGTATCGTTCGGTACCGCGGTGACTCAAACAGGTCTCAGGCAGAATTATTCGGTTGGAACCGAAGCAGATAATGGCGAACAAGGTTCACAACCTGTGAGGTCGTTTGAGGTGGCGATGGTGTCGAGACCCGACAACAAGCGATGTGAGGCTCAATTCTTCGATATTCTGCAAGCTTCTGAGAACACCAGTTGCTTGTCTCGAAGCACAAGGGTCCCAGAGTCCAGGATAACAGGATTTTCGCTCAGCCTATGCTCGTCTTGCGGTGACAATGTCCCTTCAAAGATATCCAAGCGCATTAGGCTCGCTGATATTCCCGATATTCAGCATCCCACATCTGAGCTTTGATCCAGTCCTCGAGTTCCTCGTCATTCTCGACAGGAATATCTGAAGCTTGTGCGAGACCTTCTTCGACAGCGGCGCGGATCACTGCCGCCGCAATTTTGACGCTGACTGGTCGAGCTTCTTCCACGTCTGGACACAGGCCTTTGTTCGGATCCTTGAACACGGGGGCTTCTTTTGCCAAAGCTTGAGTTGCTGCAACAAGCATTTTGTCTGTCATGAGCTTGGTGCGGGACAAAACCCCTCCAAGTCCAATGCCCGGGAAGCACACGGAGTTGTTGCATTCTGCAACTTCGATCTCCTTGTCATGGTATTTCACCGGTGGAAAAGGTGATCCTGTCGCGATCAGAACACGACCATCGGTCCATTTGACGAGATCTTCAGGTTTAGCTTCGTGTAGGCGAGTCGGATTGCTCAGCGGGAATATCAATGGTCTGTCCACATGCTTGGCCATTTCTCTCACAGCATCCTCAGTGAATGCGCCCGGTTTTGTTGATGTTCCTATTAGGATATGTGGTTTGACTTCGGAGATTATTGATTGTAGGGATTTGGTATCCTTGCCATCCCACTCAGTCGACTTCCGGGCGAATGGTTTTTGGGCAATGGTAAGCTTGTCACCCATAGAATCGAGGAGCAGTCCCGGCTTGTCGACACACCTGTGAAGGGCGCAAGTGAGCAAATGTAGACGTCACAAGAGCGACAAAGACACTTACCATATCTGATTTGCAACCTCCTCTTTGCTCTTACCAGCTTCTGTTGCAATAGCAGCTTGAACTTGCTCTGCAATGCCGGTGCCAGCCGATCCGGAACCAAAGATCACGGTTCTCACATCCTTCAGGTCGACTTCAGCCACTTTCAGGCCGGCCATAATTGACGCCAATGTCACACATCCGGTTCCTTGTATGTCGTCGTTGAAGACGGCCGTCCGATCTCGGTACCTGTCAAGCAGTCTTCTTGCATTGGTAAGGCCAAAATCCTCAAAATGAATGTAGGCCTTTGGGTAAAGTTTCTTCGCTGTGGTGACAAATCTTTCGACAAGATCATCATATGCTTCTCCTCGAACACGTTTGATGCGGTGGCCAAGATACAATGGATCATTCAGTAGTTTCTCATTGTCAGTCCCTACATCGAGGATGACCGGCAGTGTCCTGTCGGGATGGATCCCAGCGCAGATGGTCATAAGAGCCAGTTTGGCGACACTGATCAGGACACCTCCGATACCTTGATCACCAATTCCCAGGATTTCTTCACCATCACTGACGACAATATAGTCAACACCTCCATCATCTTCACCTGGGCGTATAAATTGGGCCAATCGTTCTTCGACTTCGTCTGGATGCTTGATGCTCAGAAAGCAACCGTCGGGTCTGCGGAAGATGCGAGAATAGTTCTCGATGGCGTCACCTTCGGTTGGGGTGTAGATGATGCTGAACATTTCTTTCAGGTGCTCGAGGATCAGTCGAAAGTAAAGGACGCTGTTCTGCTCGGCCATTGAAGTCATGAAGGTGTTTTTGGCCAGGTCATCTCCACGAGTGGAGTATTGCTGATAAGCTCTGTCGACTTGTTCCTCGAGAGTCTGAATATTGGTGGGAAGAAGGCCTTTGAGGTCCAAGTCTAGACGTTCTTGTGCGGTGAAGGCAGTTCCCTTGTTGTAGAATGGATTGTCCAGGAGAAGTCGTCCGTGGAGAGGCACCTTCAGCGGACCTTTGTTGGCGAGCGGGAGATGATCATACTTGCTCTTGCCGGTGGCCATGGTCGCCGATAATTGTTTGCCGAAATGGTTGAGAGCTAGCTTCGCTTCTGATGGAATAGATCTGCGTGATGAGGGAGATGCCAGTGTCGCCAGGAGAGAACTGAGCATGGCAGGAGAAGGGATTCTATAATAAAACAATCAACATTGAGAATCTGTAGATAGCCTCAAAGCTTTGAATGTTTGGCATTTCTTAGGGGAGATGAAGTGAAATTGATGAAGATGCAATGTCTACTGTGTATTGTCTACATCACGTCATGCTTGCAGGACCAGGAATTCATTTCCATGTCCGGATAGTTTCATCCGGATAAAGCCGAATGTTGACTTGACGACCATTTCCAATATATATTCTCAAAGAATCATAAAGAACCCTGCTGCCCCGGGGAAAGAGATGTGCATCTTCATGCCGACTATCGAAGCAGTCCAGTGACCACGACGAGGTACGTCTCCATCTTCGACAAATCTGCCCGCTGCTACGTCAACCCAAGGACTCGAGATGACACCACGACTTCGTCTTTAACAGATTGTTATCGAGAAGGCCCATCGTAGACCAGGAGATCCTCCCCCCATGTTGTCCCTTTCGTCTTCAATAAGCTGTCCGTCCCTGTCCGTATCCCTTAGCGCAGACGGCCATCCCGCGGAGTGAAGCAACATCAGCGGTGTGCTTCTTGTGCCGGTGAATTCAAGTTTTCTGCCACACCAACCTCCCAGTGGTTTATTAGTCAAAGTCCCCTAATATTCCTCTGAATTGGACCGATGGTAGAGGCCTCATGTCGCACTCTGCTTAGACCCAGTCTAGCAGTATGTGTCTGAGATTCCCCCTCGAAGGTAGGCCAATTTTGGTTGGTGGGCGGGGCCTCGTCTTCTACGATAGAGAAGGGAATCTTAGGTAGAGCAGCAGGTGTGAGCAGAGTCCTTGGCCCATTGACATTTTGCTCCCTAGATCTTTGAATTTTGTAGATTTCCCATCGATTTTTGTGCGTATGGTAGAACGGAGGGTTTTGTAGACCACAAACAGCTGGAGGAGGAAGCGTAACTCGTCCCTAAGTTCTTACGAGTCAATTTGCTGGAAAAATTGTCGAGCCTTCACGTTGATGACCATTGCGGCTTCGCTCAATGTCGAGATGGTCGGAACACCCTTCTCTAGCATCGGTCCTTTGTGCAGCATACCATCGTCATTCTCTCGCTGCAAAAGCAAAGCTTCTACTGAGGCTTGTGTCGCTCCGACATAGTCTTTCTCATACTCGTCACCAATATGAAGCCACATGACCTCTCCTACTCGATATCCTAGACTCCGAGCCATAAGATCGGCGTATTCTGCCGGATTTGACGGCGACGACGGCCTAGAAGTACTAGTCGCTCGGAAAAGGGGCAACAAGTTCAAAAGCCGTCTACCCATGTCCCACATGGCTGCGTCTGGTTTCTCGACGCCCACCTCGTAACTTGTTGTCAGAAAGTCGATGTCACTGTCAGGTTTGAAGTATTTCCGACTAGAATCAAGCTCCGCATCATACCGGCCTGCCTTGACATTTGCCCACGATTCGCTCAGTTCTTTGCCCATATTGATGGTGGGTGTCTCGGAAAGGCCTACCCGCAGGCCCAGATCCATCAGGACCAGACTGACCCGGGGGTCGGAATTCGTGATGACGCCAGTGACGACAAGCGGACCATCAGGATCATTGAACTCACGCTTCAAGGCACCAAGATGGTCAAGAAAAGGCCGAACATCGGGGTAGAGCTCATAGGCCGCGCCCGAGGAGAAATGGTGATATAGTTGGACTCCTAGGTTGGAGGGAATTTCATCTTTGTCGACCAATTCGCCGAATGCTCGGTTGACCACTTTGGTCCACCATTTCTCAGGGTTCTCGAGTTTCGACTTGCCATAGTTTGGATATACCAGGTTGTAATGCTTGAAGGCCTCCTTGAAGGACTTGTTCAGCTGTGTCGGGTCCACATGGGATTTCAGGCCACAGTTCTGAGCAATCTTGATATACTGATTGGACACGGGCTCCCTGAAGCGATACAATGTCCCCAAGGCATCGAGCGAGACGACGAAGACAGGCACGCGAGTCGGGTTGGTCATGGCCCTGAGGAAGTTTCTGAAGGGCTGACCAGCTTGAAACAGCGGCATGCCTGCCGCTACGCGACCTGGCCAAGGTGGGATTTCTAGGATTGTTCAAATTGATGTTGATGCCGTGATCAATCGCACGAGCTGTCGGATGCGTGATTTTGAAGGCTTAGCGGTGATGAGGATCCCATGAGGGTCCCCTTGCATTGTTTACCTCAGCAAGCCAGACAAAACCCCGGCCAATTTTTACGATTTGCAATCGATACCCTCTCCGTGCCTCTCCTCCCACCAGAATTTGGAATTCTCGATTTACTCTTTCTGTGTGCATATATGATCTACTCCCTCCTTTGACTTGCGAACACTTTTCTTGCTAGACATAAGCCTCGTTCATTCAAATCAGTCAAACTGTTTTCTTCAGCTTTTCGCCGTCGCGCAGCTAACTTCCCCCTCCACTCCTCCATCAGTCTTTCTGTCGCAGCAAGCTCGATCCTCCTGCAGAGACCCCAGTCGCCAGCGATAGCTCGATCATTCTCCTCCTCCCTCGGCGCCATGGCGCCACCTCACACAAAAGTGGCCATCATCGGCTCTGGGCCCGCCGCCCACACGGCCGCCATCTACCTTTCCCGAGCAGAATTAAAGCCGGTCATGTACGAGGGCATGCTGGCTGGAGGCACCGCGGCGGGCGGCCAGCTGACGACTACGACGGACGTTGAGAATTACCCGGGTTTCTCCAAGGGCATCGGGGGCTCTGAGCTCATGGACGAAATGAAGGCGCAGAGCGAGCGCTTCGGGACCGAGATCATTACCGAGACAATCACCAAAGTTGATCTGAAACAAAAACCCTTCCGGCTATGGCGTGAATACGAGGACGGCGAGACCGACGAGCCTGCACATACCGCCGATGCGGTCATCATTGCTACAGGCGCCAACGCGAGAAGATTAAATCTGGCGGGAGAAGAAACGTACTGGCAGAACGGCATTTCCGCGTGTGCAGTTTGTGACGGTGCGGTGCCTATATTCAGGAACAAACCTCTAGTGGTCATTGGCGGCGGAGACTCGGCGGCAGAGGAGGCCATGTTCCTGACAAAATACGGCTCACATGTTACTGTGCTGGTTCGAAGGGACAAGCTGAGGGCGTCCAAGACCATGGCCAAGCGGCTCCTCGCCAACCCCAAGGTGACGGTCAAGTTCAACCATGTCGCGGTCGAAGTACAGGGCGAGAACAAACCCCGAGGCCTGATGACACACCTGAAGATCAAAAACGTGAAGACTGGCGCGGAGGAAGTGATGGATGCGAATGGACTATTCTACGCTGTTGGCCATGATCCCGCAACAGCTATCTTCAAGGGCCAGGTCCACACAGATGAAGATGGATATATTGTGACAGAGCCGGGCACAAGTTACACGAGCGTCCCGGGTGTATTCGCTGCTGGCGATGTTCAGGACAAGAGATACCGACAAGCCATCACCAGCGCTGGTAGTGGATGCATAGCAGCGCTTGAGGCCGAGAAGTATCTGGCGGACCTCGAGGATGACGAGCTTAGCATCGAGAAAGAGAACCAGGCCAAAAAGCCAGAGACCAACGGGGAGACGGCTCCAGAATACCGGTCGAACCCATTGTTGTGATCTCCTAGACATAGACAATATACAATCGGGAGCATCTGCAAACTCCATACATGCATTGATCTCTGCCCCTTGGCTGTATGTGAATACAAGAATTGTTTTACATTTTCTGGAGAGTCGTGACCAGCGCCATCGCTATGCGCAAAGGTATAGTACAGTCCAGCCGCCAAGATCATCTCCTTCTCAGATACCACGCAAAAGCGCTGCTGTTAACCGATTCGGTGAAAGGTGTTGGCACCTCAGCCAGGCCCGGCCTTGCCACAGGATGCCTCAAGTACACCGCCGCACAAATCTTGTGGTTCACTTCCAAGAATCGGGGGATGAAGGCGAACACGCTCATAAAGTCCCGTGGCACCCACGGTGTTGCGTAGGGCTTCGAATCGTCAATGGGATTTTCCTGCATCGAGCGCAGGGCTGATAACAGTTCATTGTACTCCTCGTCGTTCAGACTGGGTCGCTCTGTACTCGCCTTGGGTCCTTCCTGTGCAACGGATGTGAGATCTGCGGATTCGGCCGACGCTGCTACCTGGGCTTGTGCGGATGGTGGCGAGCTTGTGCCCGCTGCCTTGTGCTCTCGTCTGATTTGCAGCTGCTCTTGGATTTCTGCCAGTTGCGCTTCAGCGCTCCCAGTTTCGAGCGTCGTGGATTTGGATTTTGACAGTAGTCTTCGAATGGCTCTGGAAAAAGCCCGCAGTTCCTGTTTACGTTTCCCACCCAGATCTTGCTTTGCCGATGTAAGGATAGACTTTGCTTGGGCCTTGAGTGCTTTCAGGACCTCCCGAGGATCCTGCTCGACTTCTACCTCTTCTTCGGGCTGCGTCTGCTTTTCCACGGCTTCTGCAGCTTCTTCCGAAGCAGCGTCTTCTCCTTCTCCTTCTTGTTCTGTCGCCTTGGCTTTCTCGGTGACTTTCGGTGCACCGGTAGCGAACATAACGCGTTCCGGTAGAACCTGGAACATATCTCCTGGATTTAATTGGTAACCTGGGTATCGTATCTACAGAAAGTTAGCATTGGCCAGTAGCTGCCAACACCTAGGTGCTCACCTGTTTGCCGTTGACCTTAACTGCTCCATGGATCACAAATTGTCTTGCCTGACGAGAACTGCTTGCGAACATTGCCCGAAAGATGGCGGTATCCAACCGTCGCTCTAACGGAGCATAAGTCATTTGCATATAGGGAACCTCCTTTTTTTTGTCGACTCGATTCCGCCCTCTAGTATCCAAGCCTGATCCTCGTCCAGCAGATTCAAGAGAGCCATCGTTCGATGCGAGGTATCGGGCGTCCATGGGTATCACCGACCGAATTCGCCTATCGAACATACGCACCCACTGCTTCTCCCGGATTTGTTCGCCATGGTAACTGCGGGACATTGATTTTGATTGCCATTTTGTCCTGAAGAAATTGAGGACTCTGCCTACATCTCTTAGCCGCGTTAGGTTGTAAAGGTTGTATTTGCTCCAGGATTGCCGTATTTTCTGAGGGACTGTTAGACCGGACAGCTAACCATCTGAACATAGCTCACCGGACTTCTTAGATAATTGAGTTTCAGACGAGTGGTAGCCCTGTTACGCATCGTGGGCAAGATTGCGCTATATTGTTTCCGAGCGGTTTTCCTATCGAGAAACTTTTGTACGATTGAAGCTGCGCTCAAATGTCGACACGCCTGTCGGTGGCATGTTTTTCCGCGTCCGAAGCTAACACTTACCTGCAAGCTGAGTGGTTGCTGAGTCTTGGCATGAGCGAGTACCTTAAGCCTCATCATGCCTTTATCGAGTAGTCCTCGCTGCCAGACTCACACTTGCTTCTTTCTTATAAGGTACTTGGTTAGCTTACCTGTGCGTGGTTCCCGGCCCCTACATTGCGGATCACAAGCTACCTCGTGGGCATTGCGAGAGCAACACCGTTCAAAGCGGACTCCCTACATTGCACATAAATGTTTGCAGTGGTCCGCTGAATGAGGCCATGGAACTGAGCCCGGTAGGTGCCCGTCTGTCTGACGATTCCACGTGGCGTGCCATGTTACAGACAAGCTTTGGTTGGACAAGCCTTGCTCATCGCCAGAAAGCGGCTGTTGCTGTGCGTCTATCCAGCTATTGCAGGACTTGACGGGACATCGATAGAAATTCCATTTGTGACTTAGGGCAAAACAGGCTTCGAAGAAGCCGCGTGGATAGGATAACTTCCCCTGACTGTCGAGTCAACCACTCTTACGTCGGAAGCGCTATTCTGTCATAGACTCATTGCCGTGAAGGCACAGTACCTAGGTACTCAACCGGAACGCCACGCTCAAAAGCAATCTTTCTCAAGCAAAAAGCAGCCTTATCCTTGCATTGTCTGCCAGAAGTAGTCTGCGTAGAACCACTTTGAGAATCTCGGATCAATGTTTACCACATGCACATCCCCTTTCTTTGTGTTTCCGATGGTGGCTTTGTTGTAGTTGCCTGCTTCGTCTTGTTCGAGCGTGATTCCGAGGGATCTATACAGCCAGAGTCGCAGACTGCTCAAGTCAGTATTCCACATCTCAGATATAATGATACACACTGACATTGTGGGATCATCGGCCTCTCGCGCACGCCGCGAATTCTCGTCCCCTTCTACACCCTGCTCTTCGAGATCCGCCAGACGCTGCTTTAGTCTGTCAAGCTCCGCTTCCAACCTCTCACTGTCGGCTTCTAACTCAGATGCGTATTTTGCAATCCTAAACTTTTTGGTATCAAGCTGAACAATTTCGCTTGCGTGCCTTCCGCTGTCATGGCCCGCGAGCACTTCTCGTCGCTGAGATTCAAGAGTTGCCAGTTGCCTTGCCAGTTTTCTCAGCACTGTGTCTGCATCTCGAATACGTAGATCTCGCGATTGTTGTAGTGTAGATAGGGAGTCGTTGACACGCGACAATGCGGCTTTGTCCGGTGCAATGTTGAAGTTGGAGACAGTGGCGCGGATGAGCTGCAGACGCGATTAGTAGAAGCGACATACGAGTCAGACCAAACTCACCGCAGCTGGATCCTCGTCGAGTAACATTCTGGTTGAGCTGAATGAGGTTATCAATCGTAGGTAACAACGCGTGGTGCAGCGCAGGCAAGATGGGTTTTGGTGTCTCCAAAAGTTGACGTGCTTTGTTACCCAGCAACGAACTGCCGCCATCCAAATGGTAAACATTTCATTGTTGTCAGACAAGAGTAATCTGGCGATTCAACGCCATCTGAGGGCTAGTGGCGGACTCTAGCTCGGTCTGACAGTTGCCATTTTCTGCGTCCACAGGGCTCGCCGCTTGGGTGCCGGCCTGGAAAAGTTGCTCTCCGCACCAAAGACGTCACGCGCATTCACGCTTGTGCTGCGCCTAGGTTAGGTTAGTGAGCCACAAGTGACAAGAGCCTGCGAGCCTGTTAGGTGCCTGCAGCCACTGTGATACAAACGCAACAGGGCTCCGCATTCAGATATCCAACTTGAAATACATATCGCGCAACTGCCGTTCATCTCACCTGCAAGCTAATTCTTCAGTATCGATAACCTGGTTAACATCATATCTTGTGCGCGATGCCGTCGAATTTACCATGTAAGCCATTGCACTGTCTGACCCCGGCTCGAAGCATGTGCGCTGACTCGTCGGACAGATGCTGCAGATGCAGAAAGGTTTGCCTGACAATCCTCGAACACTTGATAAGAGCTAATCAGAGAGTTATAGTCCTCTGAAGCCTGCCGAACTCCAAGTCCTCCGGGCACAGTACGAGAAAGAAGGCGACTATGTCGGAGTGCAGACGAAGTTCAACTACGCCTGGGTGCGTGACATCGTCCAAAGTCGTAGGCTGTGACGCTGACAGAGGCTCTCAGGGATTGATAAAATCGAACCAAAGAAGCGAACAGCAACTCGGCGTTCAGCTACTATCAGACATATTCAAAACCACACCGGAACGGAGGAGGGAATGTCTATATTATTTGGCTTTGGGAAACTACAAACTAGGCAACTATGCTGAAGCAAGACGATACAACGACCTATTACTGGAGAAGGAGCCAGGAAACTTGCAAGCTGGTAGCTTGAGACAACTGATTGACGACAAGGTGTCGAAAGAGGGATTAATGGGCATTGCCATTGTGGGAGGCGTTGCGGTTGCTGCAGGAATTGTGGGCAGCATGATAATGAGAGGTTCACGAAGAAGATGATGGGATCGCTGAAATACTGTGGCGGGCTTCAACAGGTTCAGGTTTCCTCATCGTGCGTTGTACAAAATAATATTTAACTTCATCTCCAAGGAAGTGCAACTTATATTCGGAGCCTGGCGTGAATGTTTGGGGAACGCTTCAGAATGAAACAGAAGCATGTATACGGAGACTCGTACACGCGTTCCTTGAGAAGTACGGATACCGTGGTACCATTGTCGACGGCGAGAAAAAGACAGCAGCTCATCTGCTGAAAAGCCAGATTTGAAGAACTAGGTTGGCAAGTTGGCTCTTCTGATTTCTTTCTTGTCACTTGTTATTTTATCGATAAAGCATCGGCAACCAGCGAGCAGCAATACGTCAACTGCGCTCGCTCGTTCTCCGCAGTGACACCTGATTCCACGGTTATTAATTATCACCACAGCCTGTGTTCGCCCTCCAAACATTCACCACGCCCTTCCCCCTCGTACCGCCTCTACTTGCTCGAGACCTGGAAAGACGCCTTACTGAATACTCTTATTATCATTCAAGACTGTCGTGTTCGCCGCCGCCACCTTCCCCAGATCATAGACGAAACTCTAGGCTCCGCCACAGTTGGCGTATGACGCAGCCTCAGCTGCTACACGCGCTGGAATTATCAGTCCAGTAGCCCAGACAATTGCCATTTTCTCCCTTCTCAAACACCTCCTATGGCCGATTCGGGGCGCATAACAGGCGAACGGGTCTTCTGTCATCAATGCAATAATGAATGGGAAAGAGCGCATGGCGGCTTGATCTGCCCAAGGTGCGAAGGCGATTTCACAGAGATTGTAAGTCTACCAACGACTCCAACGAAAGTCATGCTCATGGATGCGAACAGCTAGACCCAGAGACAGAGCCGGACGTTGGTCTTCGCCATGGACCCTCCATGACTCCCTCTCCGCCACCTTCGCCCCCCTTACAACCGCTGTTCGACCACAACCCTTGGGCCGATGACCTGGACCCCGATCCGCGCAACAACTTCACCACTTTCGAATTCACGAGCAACAATGGGGGAGGCAGAATATCTTTTAGTACGAGAACGTTGCGGACTGCCGGCATGGCACCCATGAATGTAATGGACACCCTTGATGAAGACACTGCCCACGATTTTGATAACATGCTTACCGATTTGCTGCCACCGCAGGCTCGAGGCATGCCTCCACCCTTTGGCAATCTACATCCATTCGGAGGATTTCCTGGCGGAGCGTTTCCCAGAGATCCGCATGCCCCCGTGCAGCCGGGAAACCTGCAAGAGTAAGTTTGAGCCTTGTAGTGGTCTACATTGGACTGACCTTTTTAGCTTGTTCGGGCTGATCCTGCAATCAATGCAACCTCCGACCATGACTCGTGGCGAGATGGACGACCGTCGTGGACAAGACCTCCCACCTCATCCGTTCGATCTCCTGCACCAACTATTCAACCCGGGAAACGCACAACATGGCGACATGGTCTTCAGCCAGGAAGCATTTGACCGTGTCATGTCGCAGCTTATGGAACAGAACAACGGAAGCAATGCACCACCACCCGCGTCGGAAGACGCCATCCAATCGCTGGGAAAGAAGAAAGTGGACAAGGAGATGCTGGGCACCGAAGGAAAGGCTGAATGTTCGATATGTATGGACAATGTGGATTTGGGCGACGAAGTGACAGTCTTACCTTGCAACCACTGGTTTCATGGTGACTGCGTGACAGCCTGGCTGAAGGAACACGATACATGTCCGCATTGTCGAAACCCTATCACGAACTCCGATCAACGACAGCAGCCAGGATCTTCACGGCGGAGACCAAGTCGACGAGCGTCATCCGTTTCGAGTCCACGCGGTTTCGGCCCGGAAGGGAGTCGTTATAATCCAGTCTCGATCCCGGAAAGCCCCAGTGACTTACGAGAAGCACGGCAGTCTTACTATGGGAGGAGAAGAGATGCAGATACAGAACGTCCCGTGCCCATTCGACAATCAAGCGGTCAATCTGGACCCCGACGACATAGTACGAGAACTGGCAGTGGAGGTAGTGGGGATAGTAGGAATCATCACACTAGTGGCGGCGGAGTTACTGGATGGATCAGAGATCATTTGCCGTTCTCATGATGGCGAAGGCCTTCGATGAACATTCAGAGCCTGTACGGCTTCGAATATCATGGCGCATGACGGCCAGAGATCTGTCGTTGATTGCAACGCAACGCGCCTTTGCCGCCACAATTCGGGCGGGCGGGCACCCCCAAGCCTTCTCTCTCAGGGCACAGGTGTGCTGGCTGATGAAATTCCAGCCGACTCCTAGTCCCTCTCCGCGGCCTCCGGAGCTTTTGACTCGGGACATCAAGGTACTTCAGGCCGATATGGTGAGGTGGAACGCTTTGTTTACATACTAGAGGAAGTCCAAACTACGAGCGGATAGATTGGCGATTCGGGATAGCGTTGATGGCGTCGAGGATCATAGAACCAGGATCACATGACTGGGAGATGCCGAATCCGAGTTCTTTCACATGCAAATGCCATCCACCTGATCATCATCATCGCCCCTCGGACAGAATGCACCGTTGACACGGTACCCATAGTGGTTCGGAGGGTTCAATCGTCAGACTCTGTTCCCTTGAATATGGCAGTCGCTGTCGAGCCACAAAGCATTGTCAGCTGTCGTTTGAAGATCCCTCTCCTCCTGCCCTGATCTTTCTTTGTCCTTCTGTATCCGAGCAAAGCACCAACGGTCTGTGCTGGCGATGGCGTTTGGTTGTTTTGGCGAATTCATTCCAGTGCACTCACCCATCCCTCGAATCTTGCTTGACTAAGGCATCCTCCAAGTATGATAGGTATGCCTGGCTGACCCCTCAACCACCGCGGCCTGCTCGTACTCACCCATCCTACAGACCATGTGCTGGGCCGACCATCGTCGCAATTCCGCAAAGTCCAGGTCTTTGCGGTCGTCTCGTTCTGGTCACTGTACCTCCTGAGGTATGCTTAACAAGCATGTACATGGAAACTCACTGACCCTACTCCAGAGGTGACAAACATGGCCCTCCGATCATTCGAAACCTCTCTCAACGCTTATCGAAACGAACAACCGTATGGCAGTCGGTTGTCGTTACTCTCCTCTACCTATACATTTGCCGTAACTTGGCCAAAATCTTCAACCTCGAGTCGCCCGAGCCTCTTGCGAACTTATACAATCGCTCGTACTTCCGAGCCACATGGATTACCACGGCCTTGGACGCGGGCTTCTGGACTGCCATGAGAATTCGGAACAAGAGACTAAGAGACCTGGCCTCCATGATCTTCACAATATACTACCTCATTGCTGCGGAACAAGCCGATGAAAAGGTGCGAAAGGTACGGGCAGTCCTGACTGTGGACCATTTGAGAGTATCGTGGAACAAGCCAAACACACCCTATCTCAGATGGCTTACCGCGTTGATGAGACCTCGATTCTGCAGATACAAACCTAGGAGGATCCGTATCCCACGACCGAAGCAATCCAACTACAAAGAGCCTGTTGTGGCGTGGATGTACTTCGACGGGTCCCTGGCAGAGCTGGAGAAGCAAGACAACCTGGTGCTGGACATTCCAGGAGGGGGTTTTGTTGCGATGGACCCGAGGACTAGTGATGACAGGCTCCTTGCCTGGGCAGGGAGAACAGGACTGCCTGTCCTCAGCCTGGACTACCGAAAGGCTCCAGAATATCCATACCCATACGCCTTGAACGAATGCTTCGATGTGTATACACAGGTTATTGCCACTCGAGGACGATGTATAGGGATGAAGCCAGAGACATGTCCCAGGATCGTCCTTACAGGAGACAGTGCAGGTGGCAATCTGGCCACTGGGACAACCTTGATGGTCATTCAATCCAATCAGACAGGAAATTCACGAGGCATATTGCCTTGTCCAGCAGGTCTGGTCCTGCTCTACCCAGCATTGGACATGAACATCAGCAGTTGGATGACTGATGATCAGATGGCATTGATTCGCAATCCAAGAACAGCCAAGAAGTACGAGAGGTTCATCAAGAGGAAGAGTGAGGACATTGACCGTCGTTATACGCCTACGACTCCCAAGCCTTCGGATCATGGGGAGAATGAGCCAAACTTTGACTTCTTCACGCCTAGGGACGACGCAAGCATGGAAAAGCCGGCCATCGTTCGTCAAAACACCGATGTGGAAGCACAAAGACAAACAGTCGCTGCTCTAAAACCTCAACCCCTCAAGACCAGACTGGCGGTCTCGTCCATCATTTCATACTTTGGCGACCGCATCCTGACACCCGAGATGATGCGAGCCATGATCATACTCTACGTCGGTCCATACAACCGACCCGACTTCACAACCGACCACCTGCTCTGCCCCGCGGTTGCTCCTGAAAACCTGCTTGCGAAATTTCCCAAGACGTATTTCCTCACTGGCGAACGAGATCCTCTGGTCGACGACACCGTCATCTTCGCTGGGAGAATACGACAAGCCAAACTACATCTTTTCCGTGAGAGACAAGAAGTTGGGCTGGAGAAATCTACAGCCGAGTTCAATGAGAAGGACCATGTTGAAGTCACCCTTATCCCTGGTATCTCTCATGGCTTCGTCCAATTTGTGTCGGTCTTTCCCGATGGATGGAAACATATCTTTCGCTGCGGGAATTGGATCCAAGAAACCTTTTCCAAGCCACCGCATGCATTCGAGGGCCCAGCCATCGAGTCGAGGTTGAGAAGTGGAACACTTACACATGATTCTCCTGGCAGCCTTGAACTAGCTTCAACGCAGCTACGGCATCATCATCGGACTCCAACGGGCGAGAGCATGGACGATGATGCTCCGCTGATCATGTCGTCCATTAAGCCGGAAGAAGGTAAAAGTTCGCCTCAGAGGTCGAATGGGGCGGCCAAAGAAAGCAGTTGGCAACGTGGGCGAGCGACAGAGGAAAAGCCCAAGCCCGAGATGACCAGAAACAAAAGTCTGACTTCGCTTGGTAGTGAAGAAGACCTGCTCAAGCGACGGATGAAAGGCCTGACGGTTGGATTGTTAGGGAACAGCGATTCCTGATGCCATTATTCAATGGGTCTTTTGTTGCCTGTGGGTGTAGGCCTTGGTCGAGGGTTGGTCTAGTTCAGCCAAGGATCAATCACCTGGCAAAAGTCGTCGAAAAAGCGACATGGTTTCCGCTTGAGATGCTTACGCTTCCTTGGCTCCGTTCCAGCAGCTTGGAAATATTGTCAGCCGCAAACACGGCTTGAACATGTCTTTTATGTCACGTATGTCCTGGTTGGTCCAGTGATTGGGCCACCAAGGACTTGGGAGCAAAAGCTCGACTCAATCGAGATCACAGCCTTTTACGAAGCCAACAAGTGCCTCTTTCGGCCTCTCGTCGTCCTTCAGTTCCCCCGTTTCCCAAGATCGTACTAATGCAGCCACAGAAATGAGGCTGAGTGTCGCTTACATCGCAATCTCTGTGCCTGCATGGCCCCCGACAAATGCCAACTGTCACTATTGACGGGCAGATGCATTAGCGCACCTTTGGACGACTTATAACTTCGGCGCATGTCTGGGGTAGGTCCTGTGGCCGTTCACGGTGCTTTTGTAACTTCATGCTTGCTTGCTTTTTCAAGCCACCAAATTCTTATTTCATTCCCGTTGTCCGATTCTCGCCTCTGAAAGCAGATGGCGAGCAATGCCGAGACCTTCAAGTCTTCCTCGGCTATCTGGACGAATGACGGAAGGCCTTCCAAGGAAGAACGGTCCCACCATGGAATGATCTCTACCAATTCCTTTCAATCTGTCCTCGTATCCTGGTCTATTCCTTCGCTTCTGAAGGATCGAGGATGAAATATCCAGCTGAGATGTTAGCATTTCCAGCGGATCCAGCGACCTTCAGCATCTTCTGGCAAGGACTGGGCCCTGTTCTCGACGGCAGAACACGAACAGCAGGCATCCTTATCGGGCCCAGACTGTCCCTAACATGGGAAGACAGTCCTGGGCGATGATGGAAATACGAGGCCTAGCCTTGCTAGCCATGTCGCATCCCCTTCTGTTCTCTTGCACTGCCTGTGCCCATCGTCCGTCTGATTGACGCACGGAAGCCATGCGAGCAGGCTATTGCTCAAGTCCAGCTACGATCTGACCCCCCGACTCCCCCTACGCCCTCGGTTTCTTCTTTTGCATTGTACCGTTGTTTGCAGCGCTGCTGGTAATTGCAGGCCGTGGTGGACTACCAGGAAACCGACAAGAATATTTGATTCCAACAATGAGGTGGACGTTCATTGCGTTGTCGAGCATAGCAGCACTAGCTCTTGCTCAGGACAGCACATCTACGGACTTCTCAGCCGCTCCCACCGACTCCTCTGGCTCTGCTGCCACGACTTCATACAGCAGCGTGGCCGTCAGTAGCACTACGGAGACGAGCACGACCAGCGAGCCCGTAACACATACGATTGAGGTTGCAAAGGTTAGTGTCGCGACGGTCTACTACCACCACGTATTGACAAAGTTGCAGGGAGGGCATACCTTCGTGCCCGATGTAGTGCTCGCGGACAAAGGCGATACGATTGTCTTCCTGTTCTATCCTACGAACCACTCCGTAGTACGCGCCGAATATGGCTATCCATGTATACCGTACGAAGACACAGGCGTTGATAAAGTCGGGTTCTTCTCCGGCTTCAAACCTGTCGACGCCATCCTTCCCGAGCCACCGACGTGGTCGATCGTGCTCAATGACACAGACCCGATCTTCTACTACTGCGGCGCCCCGGGGTCGTGTATCGATTACCAAATGGTCGGGGTGATTAACCCGAACGCCACGACATCCTTGCAGCAACAGAAAGATCTTGCGTCACAGTCACAATTCATGCTTCTCCCCGGTCAGCCGTGGCCAGAAGAAGGTGAAAATCCCTTCACGACGACAACTTCCGCGGCGCCGACCAGTTCGCCGACCTCTGCGCCAGCTGCAACGAGCTCGGCGGCGGCAGCGCCCACCTCCAGCTCGAATCACTCGAGCTTGTCCCCTGGCGCCATTGCGGGAATTGCTATTGGTGCCGCAGCAGTCGTCCTCGCGGCAGCTGTCCTTCTATACATCTGCGGCCGGAAGTCCGCACGCCAAAGAAACAAAGCCAAAGAACCGAGCAACGCCCATGGGCCCGCGAACATGCACCAGATGCCCTACAACGCGCACGTGAGCATGGCGCCATCGTACATGGATCCGACCAAGCACATGTCCCTGTACAGCAGCGTGGCGGGCGTCTCTCCAGCGCTGCCAGGCTACATGCCATACCACGACCCGAACATGTCGCCGCCCATGCACGGCGCGCCGTTCCCCATGAGCGACAGCCTCGCTTTGGCGGCGGGCCAAGGAAGCGACATTGCTGCGAGCCCGAACAATGCGAGTCCCAACCCGATGTACAGCGCTCCGGCCTATAGTAGTGCAATGTAAGTGACCCATCACCCTCCCGCACTGTTTAGCAGTCACCCAACCTACTACATATTCTTCTCGAGACCCAGATATAGCATGCTAATCTACATACCGTGTGAGCAGGAACTATGGTGTTCCCGGCATGGCCCCACCGATACCCACATCATCGCCCGTCCCAATGAATGTCCATGAGATGCCTGCTTCGTCGGACCCGAGCCAGCAGCAGCATCTAGGCCAACAGGGCGGTGGCTTTCCAAACTCCGTCAACAGGCAGTCGAGCGTGAGCAAGTCTAGCGGCGTGGAGAGATATACCTGAACGAGGCATTGCCGACTTGTCGTCTCTGCGGTACCGAATAGTTTGCTGGATTCTGCGCGGAATTGATTTCACCTGACTATATGTGATTTGGATGTACTTTAACTGTTTTCAGCACGAGAAACGACGATTTGGATCTGCCCCTATACCTAGGTATTCGCCTACCGCCCCAGTAGCTGCCGGGCAGTGTTGAGCATTGAATGTGTATATCTACTATAGTAACAGCACATCCGATGATGTCCCTCGGGTTCCTCATCGATCCGACAAGGGAGTGACGAGACATCGCAAAATGCACTGACATGTCCACCAGATCACTGTAACAAACGCTGCTCCAATCCCCAGGACATTTTCTGTCTTTCCTATTTCTAAACAGGTCAACCCACCTCTCCCAACACACTCCCACCCATCATGCCAAACCCTAACGTGCCCGCCCCTCGTCTCTTCCTCAATTCGTTCGTCCTGCTCACCACCTCGCGATCAAAACACCACCACCACCCCTTGAACACCTTCTCGCCGACCTCCCAATTCCGTCCGTCGTAGGGGTCCGACCCACTGATGCGGACCCCCTCGTTCGGATCCTCAATGTCGTACACGAACTCGATCAGCGCCATGGGGCTCTTGGCTCCGGCGGGACGAAACTGCGGCGGTTGGTTGAGGACGTGGATCAAGCGGTCCCGCACGCTCGGCCAGGGAAGGAGGTCTATCAGGGGATGGTGCGGGATGGCGAGTTGCGCGGGTGTCGGGCGGAGATTGGGTGGGAGGTGGGAGAATTGTTGAAGACTCAGACCCAGGCTCGAGGACGTGGCCAACTTGGTCGTCGGACAGGAAGAAGAAGAAGAAGTGAAAAAGGGAGAAACCGAGGACAGTGACCATATGATATCTTGCACGTTTAGGCGGTGCGCGATGGACATGCAGCCACGAAGGAGGGCCAGTTCGGGCATTTCGAGATGACATTCGTCCGGGAATGTGTACTGCCCTGACTGCATACTAGTATTTTGAGCATGGTGCCGCGTGCCTTGAGATGTTGGCGATCGCGATCGTGATTGCGAACGGCGGTGGTCGTCCTTGGATATACCAGTACCAGGAGCTTGGTCCAGGGTAGGATCGGTGAAGCCGAGCGAAGGCAAAGACCAACTTGTGCTTTGGTTAGAGGAGGATGAGGAGCGCGTCGTCTCGGATGTCGACGGACTGTGGAGAGGGGGAACGAGGATGGGCGAGTCGAAGAAATCCTGGTTATCTATGCCCAGGGCGAATGGATTCTCGTCGAACGTTGCAAAGGGGTCTCCCGGATCGATAAATATCTGTGCCGTGTCTGAGTCAACTTCGAGCTGTTGAGCATGTTGGAAGAATGATGCGCTCAGATCTCCGTGGAATATCTGACCGTCCAGGACGGGCGTCTTTCCATTCCGCAGACTGGGGACTGACAGAGTCTGATGTAGGACATCCTGTGCAGCGCAAGGCTCTGCTGCATTTGTGAGAGTGTCTCGTGGGACCTGGTTAGATTGGGTGGCGTTATTGGTTTGTGCTTCGAGTTGCTTGACGTGCTCTCTCTGTCTCTGCCTGTACCGTCTCTGAGCTAGAACGTTCAACACCCGCTTCCGTTCCGCGGCATCTTCTCCAGGACAAGGAACGTTCAAGTCGGTAGCTTTTCGCTTACTTTGGCCTCTAGTCGGCGGCATTGCAAATCCTGGACTCGAAAACAGGTGAGGCTGCTCAGTTATGTCGAGACTTTCTCAAAAATAGGTGCAGATGTCGGGACAGGACACGAGAAATGTCCTTCCAAGGGGATTGAAACCTTGGCTGTAGCCGTGAGAGGATCATGCACAGCAGAGCAGAGCAGTAAGAACAGTTCGATGGACAAGCGTCTTATACCCAGATCACTGATCTGGCGATGACCACGAGGTTCGCCTTTTGAGCCGAGATACATAACGTTATGCGAAAATCAAGAGTCCACAACGGGAATAGGTAAAGATATAATGGGCCCAATCATGGCCCCACGCTTTGCCCTACAGCTGGACTCCCGCATCCTCGGGACGCGAATACGAAGTCGAGGATATCTTCCAACACCTGATTCGCATGAGTCAAGTACAGCCCGTGAGCTGCCTTGTTATAAATCTTCACACGTGCTTGCTTTGCGAGTTGCGGGATAAGACTTGCACTGGCTTCGGCCGGCATGCCTTGTGTCAATATCATCAGTCATCTCTGCCAGGCAATAAGGGATGACCCCGGATGACGACGACTGACCTTGATCACTGTCCCCATGTAACACCAGCAGCTTCACGTCATTGTCATTAAGCCTCTTCAGATCCTCGGTGAAGTCTCTAGTGGTGATAATTTGCACACATCTTTCGATAGCGAGAGCGTCGGCCTCAGCCACAATCCATTCGAACTTCTGCAAGATCGTTTCTGGGACCTCAATGCCGATATTGAAAGGTACCCCGAAGACTCCTGGGATAGCTGCTCGCGTAAAGCCGACTCGATCCTGACGGAAACCGGTCAAGATGGAATCCCACAGTTCCCTCGAAGGTGCTTTGGGATTTGCATCAGTTTGGAGTGGGAGCGGTAGACTCGGTCCTACCCAGATGAAGCCCTGGCATCGTTTCTTCAGGTCATCGTCCATCGCCAGGTATGCCAACAACGTCTCCCCACAGCCCATGCTTGCAGCGACAAAATAGAAACTCTCAAGTTTTGCATTGCGGATCAGCTCCACAGTGTCCTGGGCAAAGGTGTCGTATGTGATGTCTTGCATCCTGTTGCCTGTCCATTCGCTTTTGCCGAAGCCACGACGGTCAGAAGCAATACAGCGGACGCCGTACGTCTCACACAGCTGCAACATTAGATGCTCATACATACGGTGAGACATGGGCCAACCAGAGATGAACACAAGGGTTATATCGGTCTTGCCGAAGTCCTTGGCCGGGTCTTCCGTTGGTTGGAAACGAGGCGGGTCAGCAGCTGGAGCGAAATCCACATAATGTAAGAGGGCTCCGTCAAAGGTCGAGTAGACAAAAGGCATGACTGAAAGCAGCGAAAACCTTCGAACGCAATATTCAGTGCAGACGTATCTGGGGATGGAAGTAGAATGAGATCCAAGGGCTTCTCGTGGCCTTTATCTCTGTAGATGGCGCTGCATCCGATGCCATAACGTTTTACTGAACACGTTATGCAGCGGCACCAGGTTGCTCCCTCATATAGCATACCTGAAAAGCCATAACCGATCAAGGTAAACATGAATTTCGTATGTAGAGATGCGTTACGTTGCCGCCGTCTCACCATCTGTCATCAATTATTGTCGTCTCCCGGCCTGCTGACTGTCCCTTGTCTCGTTGGAGTTGGCGTGGGACTCCCATCTCGATTCAAACCTCGGATGGTCGAGCCAACGCTGGCCATTGGCCTAACTCTGCTACCGACAAACCCCTTTCTGTTCCGTCCCGTCCTGCCACGACCAAGCCAATTCAATTTGAGCTGCCTGTTCAGCTCCTCCATCTTGGCCTGAGCGTCATCACCCGATTGTATAGAGCAGAGTACTGACAGACATTGTAACATCCGGCCTACAGTCTCGGTGACCTGTGCAGAAGAGGTATCTGAAGGTCTCGCCGCTGGCGGCGAGCTGAAGGATTGAAATGCAACATCTTGTGCAGGATTGCTGGTTACAGACAGATTGGATGTCGCACGAGATCTCCCACCTGACGTGGCACTTCCGAGCAACGTGCTTGTCTGGGAATTGTAGCTACCATACGCCGGTTCGATGCTGTGTGCTGTAGCTGGTCTGTCGCTTGCACCGCTGTTCCCTCGAGTCCGACTAGGATTATCAAATTGAACCAGACTGACATTGATGCTTTCGAGGCTCAACCTGGAGAAGGTTGCTTTCAACAAGTCAAATCGTGGCAGTATGATGACGTCCCTGAATGTGATAAGAAGGATGCGTCTGACTTCTAGCTCCTCTCCTGCAGCGACAACAAAATCAATGCCACTACCCGAGGCTGGAGAAGATGACAATTTGCTGCCCGACTCAGCACTCGGGAGGGCACCCCAGAATTCCGCCGCCATCTTGGGACTTGTGAGTATAGTCCCTCTTCCTTTGAATTCTTGATCCAGCGGGAGAAAAACGGCTTGCATGTATGGTAGAATGGTGCCGAACACCTGTATCCACATGCTGACAAGGTTCGAAACGAGCCTTTCGTCGGAAGCCTGACGCAGAGTATGGTTCAAGCTGAGAAAACCAGTCTTAAGTAGGTCTTCCAGGTCACCGATGACGATACTGGGATCTCTTCTCTGCACGCATCGTTGAATGTGGAAGGTCACCAGCTTGTTGAGGTTCTCTACCGGCACTGGCACATCCTCGCCCTCAAAGATGATCAAGATTTTTGCTCTCAGGGCATCCCAGGCGTCGTCTGCAGACATGTTCTTCAGCCCAAGATCAGCCCCAGCTTCTTTGACTTCGGCATACGAGCTGAAATTGGTCATGGATTGATTTGTAAAGCTGGTGCCAAGTGATGGCCATTCGGAGGTATCACTTTCGCCTCGACTGTAAACGGTCTCAAGATTGGCAAAGGCCGCCTTCTCTTCCTTCTTCTTCTCTCGTAGAGCACGACCGCCATGCCGGAGATCCAGCCCGGACACGGACTTGGAGAAGCTGGATGAAGGAGCGGGAGAAGACGGCGCAAATGAATACAGTGACTGAGGATTATTGATGTCTACGGGCCTCGAATTGGAATTGGCCGAGGACAAAGGGAGAGCATAGGTGTCGTCCTTGTCTTTGAGTTTCAGCTTTTGTCGAAGTCCGTGATGCTTGTGCGACTTGTCTTTTTGTTCTTGTATAGGGACGATTGTGCTTGATGAAGGATTCGTCAGCTGGTAGAGTGAAGAATTGGTCGAGGCCAATGAATCGGTTAGACTTGTCGTTGACGCGTTGATGACCTTGGACAGGCCACTTGGTGTCAGCTTGTTCGGCGATGGTAGAGGCTTTTCTTTCGACTCCTTATCTTTGTCTCTAGAGAGCACCATGTGCTTTGGTTTGAACCGCTTCAACCCCTTTCTCGATTTGTCCTCTTCCACCAAGGACACTTGGCTGGACGAGGCAAAGTTTCGGGGGAACACCACACTCGCTGCCGTTGCTGCCGCATTGTTACCGATGAGTCCATTGCGATACTGCTGGTCGTGCGCTGAAGGCTGCGCCTGTCCTTCATGAGACCCCGTGGAGCCTCTACTGCTCCGACGGCTCTCTTGTTGATTCTGTTCTTGTGGGAATGGAACTGTCTGAGATCTTTTGCGACTGTGACTGGTAGCATTGAGATGTTGCATTGCAGCCTGGGCCGCGATCTGGGAAGGAGTGAGCCCGGACATGGCTGAATGCTCCTGAAGAGGTGACTGTGTGGCCAACGAGGCGGACGGCATGGAAGGTTCAAAGTAGCCCTGAGAGTGCTGTCGGGCACGATGCCTGTATATATCTGACGGACCGTTTTGTCTTGCACCTTCCCGAGGGAGGTATTGTGTAGAGGGTCTCGTGTGAGACAGTGAGGCGTTGCTGTTATTGGTGTGAGACACAAAAGAAGGCAGCTGCTGATTGTATGGAGACCTCTTTACTACCGATAGACTTGAAGACCCAGATGTGTCACTTCCACTTGAGCCCGGGCGATTGCTTTGCTTCGATTCTGAACGTGACGAAGGGTTCGGGGATATAGAGGCAGGAGGAACCGGGGATCGCAGTCCTGTTCGACGTGGCGGAGGAGGTTCCATCTTGCAAGCAGAAGTAATAACCAGAGATTGAGGAAAGTAGGCTAGGAGCTGAGTCGCTCTTATGGGTGCATGTATCGATTGATGGAAGATGCGCTTTCGGTCAACGCATAACAGCTTGCGGACGCCTCGCTGGCTGCGCGTACGGTTGTTGTCTGGAAACCGACTTCATTCTGCGAGTTGCACCGGATGCGAATATTCACGAATCACTGAGTTCTGAGTTTGGGCGGAATGTATTTGCATGTGTCGGTAGTGCAGGCTGACTTGTTCTGTAAGTGTGACTGTCACCCAGAGTGTCGATTGTGGTGTCTGGTGTTTGGAGTACTGACACGTTTTCCCCGCGACCGAGTCACTTTTCTCGGACGCATTCACGAAAGCCTGCACAGTATGTTCCATTCGACCAACACTTTCCAAGAATACAGCAGCAGCAGGAATAATGCCAGGAAACTCAAGCGAATCTCCGGCAATCCTTAAAGCTGCCTATAGGTCTCCTACTGACTCCAAGGACTTCAAGCAGAGTCTTACTGCCCCTCGTCATGAGGGCGCGAAATCTCTCGACACCGAAGCAAAATCGAAATACCTCGCCGAGCTACGAGCATCGAGCAAGAAACTACAAGATGAGATCAATAAGTACTTGACAGAAAAGATGGAGGAAGACAAAAAGGCGCAGGGACAAGCCGGTGTTACCGGAACTTCGAGACCTGACGAGCTCGAGGAGGAACACTATGGTGAAGAAGCCGGCGACGACGACACTTGAAACGTCAGGCTGGACATATTTTGTACTATTACACTATGCATGGGTATCACAAAGTTCATACATTTCGAATCGTTGTCGAGGTCAATGGTGCTGAGATTTGCCTGCGGATTCAGTCTGCTTGCGGACAGCGCAGCCCAGATGGACAACGGAATTGCTGCGTTGGTGTCAGCAATGTGGTGTGAGCACCAATGGGAACGGGAAAGATACTCACTCGGGAAAGACACTGATGACACTGCCACCAAGGCGTTTGTAGCAGACACCGCAGACTCGGTCTTCGTCAATCCGGACTTTCCTTCCTCGACCACCGGTTTGAACGCCCTCTCCGAGCAGAAGTGCGGCTTGGACGCGCACTGCTTCCACCTTTCTCAATCCAGCAGACATCATCGAGTCGTTCATCACAGTGTTGGCGTTGCGAATTCTGCCGCGGAAATAAAATTCGAGCTCTTTCACCAACAAATCCTCCGGCATCAACTCTAGTGTCGAGCTTGCCGGCAATCTGGGACCATGACGAGCCATCAATTCAATGGCTGGTCCCCACAATGCCCTTTCACCCTTTGGCGGATGCAAATAGAGGTTCAGCAGAATATGGTAGATCGACGGCTGTTCGTCGACCGGGTCAGTGGTCGACTTCCGTCGAGACGAAGGCTTGCTGGTGTCGTTGATAGTCTCTTCCAAATGAGTCTGGTTGCAATATTCCTCTGCCCTGGCTGGGTCATGAAGCTTGAAAACATATATTTCCAGTGCTTGCCTGTGATTTCCCATCTTGCTGAAGACGATGGCTCGTGGCTCATAGAACAAAGGTTCATCTCGAGGCAGCAAACCCAAAGTCTTTGCCCGAGAGTATTGTTCAGACGTCTTCAGTAACGTTACCAACTTGTCGAGGATTTCTTGTCGGTCTGATCCAGATCCAGCTTTCAGTCTCTCTAGGTAGAGCGTTACAAGGCGCTGGTGCAGATCCGGTGTTTGGTCGTCCAGTTCATCCACTACATGCTCAAGGTATTTCTGAGCCAGGTTTTTATCGATGGACTCGAGGAAATCCAGGACTTTATGACGAGGCAGCGACTCGGCGTTTTCGGTGTCAGCTAGAAAAATCTCCATTGCCATTTCTGGCTCCGATTCCAAAGGCCACCGAGCAAATTCCAGGATCATATCAATGAAAGACGCCCCCAGATTCTGAAGATAGGACACTGTCCGAGCAGGTCCATGCAGTTGAGGGTCCACATCTTCCGTATGTTCAGCTTTGCCGAATTTCTGAAGCCTTTCCAAGGCTTGTCGATGGAGTCGCTTTCCATAGAGGAATTCTATCAAATCATTGTATCGTTCGCTCTCTTCAAGTTTGGCCATGACTACATCTGGGTCACAGAAGTTCGAGATACGGAAGAGTGATCCTGCGAGCGACGGGGTGGCGTACATGTGAGCTCTGAAAAGGGTTGTGTCTACCAACCGAGCCACGGCAGGCAGCTTTTCACTCAGATCAACATCATCTAGCGTCGAAACTCCCAGCAGGTGTTCGGTGAATTGTCTGACGTCTTCGGCCTGGGCTCCGCTCTGTACTTCTGAGAGACTTCGAACAGTCTGATCGGGACTGAAGAATCTCTGCAGGCGGCGACGAACGTCAGCAAGGAACGCTTGAAGCTCCCGAACGGCTGTCTTGATCTCCTTCTCGGAAAGTCCATCGCCATCGCCACTAGCATGGTCACTTGTTTTCACGCTTCTTACACTCTCGGCGTCGGCGTCAGAAGCTGCGGCTTTGACCTTTTGGACTGGGGTAGCAATGACCTCCGCCTTTTTGTGTTTCGGTTTGGCGGCATGCTCATCTGGTGACGATGCGGGCGGTTTGGGGCTTGCGTTTTCGGCATCGATGGCGAGATCGCCGGCAATGATAGCAGGGTAAAGTCTGATGACTCGCTCGGGCGGCGCAGAGACCTCGCCGAATAGATCCAAGGCATCCCTGAACTTCTTCTCATCAAACAACTTCTGCGCCCTCTGCATTTTGATCTCCCGTAGCCTTCCGACTTTGTCTTTGATGAGTGTCTCCTCAATCATCTCCAGAAGGCTGATAGCCTCGTCCAGATATCCGCCCTCGACCAATGAATCAATTTGAGCATCATAGTTCAGTCCTTGCATCCTCCAGATGGTGCGTTCGCTGGCGACCAGGAATCCTTTGCCTTGATGAGCCAAGCTGATATTGGGGTTGGGCACTTGTAGCAGGACAGCACCTGGCAGTTCGATAGACTGAAGCAGAGTCAATGTCTTGGGGTTTCGCACTTCCAGTGACCCTTTGCTTGCTTCTTGCAAAGCCAGAAGATATGGATAGGAGTAGCCGATCGCCTGGGGAGGGCTTCGCCAGGGTATCTGTCGTCGGCTTATTGGTTCTCCGTCCCGGTCGATAAAATGTGTATTGATATCTCGTGCCAGCAACATTTCATTCTCTCCGAGGCCCGTTGCCAACGGAGCTGGAACCATGCCTCCCATTCCGATGTAGCTCATTGTGCCACCGAGCCTACTGCTCTCTTGACCCGGGGCGCCTCCGATGCTGCCTGGTCCGACAATAGTCTTCACGTCTTGAGAGTCTGGATGAACCAACACATAATGCGCACTTAAGCCGGCCAGTATTTTGGTCCCGGATGCCCAGGTCAGCGACTTGATGCTATGCGATAACGCAATCTCAACCGCGTCACCGTTCAGTTCCCCATCGTGCCATGACCACAGTAATAGCCTGCGCTTGACAGCCACAGCTAATCTGCTGACCAAGGTTGGCACACCCGTCGTGGAGTCCTTCACTATGTTGCTTGTGGCAGCAAATACAGTTGCGCCCTTCGTATTGGTCAACTGTTCCTGCAACTCATATGTTCCCAGATCATGTATTGATACTAGGCCATTGCTCAACGATATAAGGATGTTTGCTTCGCGAAACACCGCAAGTTGTTCTATCTTGGACTTTGAGAACTTCTCGTATTCTCGGAGAAGTTCGGTGGGCTTCGACGTTGAAGTTGAGGTGTCGGCGGTAGCTGCAGTGTCATCGTTGACGTTATCGTCCTCGCTGCTGCGCGAAGGAGGGTTCTTGACTCGGTAGATGCGGAGAGAGCCAGTGTTGAGGCCGACAAGGAGCTGGTCGCTATGCGAAAGGATGGACTCGATCTTAGATTTGTCCCTCTGTTTGAGCTCAACTATCGGCTGAGCCGTGAATGCTGAGAGCATGGGTAACGCTCTCCTTATAGCGTAGAGGTAGCATAAAGAATTAGGCGCGCTTACAAGTCGAGGTGTTGATGTTGACTTGTCAAAGGTACTTCGTAGAGCGTCGAGACACGCTGCGGCGAAAGCTGTTCTCCGATTGGCGGCTCAAATGACGCCCATCTATCAATCTACAGTACGTCATCTTGGCTTCGTAAGTCTCGAGGGTCTGTACTTAGATCTTAACTCATACTAGTATGGACACTATGGAATAAGTACTCTAAAGGTCCACACCTCCAGATGGCTACAAGAAAAGGTTGAGATCTTTGGAGGGAGATGATAGGTAACCTTGAAACAGCCTGTCCACATAGCGGGAACATTGTACATGCCTGAATGGAGATCCCAAATCGAATATACGGAACACTGCACCCTTCATCATACCAGGCTGAGACGACAGCTTTGTTTCCAATAGCACGCACATCAACATTCCGAAAGCAGGGAAACGGAATGCATCCACCTCTGACCCTGTAGAGTAGACATGGTAGTTGTTCGATCAAGACTGAGGTTGTTGCTGCTCTTCGTCATGGCTGGTCTCTCCTTCACTCTCCTCGGCTATTCGCAGAGTCTCCTCCATCATAGCCATATCAGCATCAAGATCCGCCAGCATAGTGTCCAGATCCCCCAGGCTCTGAACCTCCTTTTTCGTCTTGTCGAGGAGCTTTTGAAGAGCATCGTTCTCCTTGGCCGCGGCTTTGGTCTGTTTGCGAAGCTCGTCTTCCTGCTTTGTAAGAGCTTTGGCGTTGGCGTGAATGTTCTTTGCACGAGCTTCTAGCTCGGCATCTATACTCGCGCCAGCTGCATTTAATGAAGCGTTGAACGCTCTTTTGGCTTCGGCTGTCCGTTGGGCTGACGATGCATTTGGTGGAGGTGAGGTCGACGATGGTGATAGGGATGCGGTTGACATCTCGGTGCTTGTAGGTGGTCACTCTATTATGTGATGATAAGCCGATGCAGTTCCGTCAGATATCGTAAAGTCCAGTGGCAAGACGTGATAGATCCGGCATATAATTAATGAGTCGCCGTGATTTTCATGTTATATATCCAAGCAGCAGTCAGGTGAGGGGAGCGCGAAAGGACATCGAGCTGCGTTGACGAATGATCACAGACCCTACGCCAGATACTGTACACCACAGGGTAAGGACGTTGGATTCTTATTGGCATGCCTTTTCTATAGAGCGAATGATATGGGAGTATCTCAAAGCCTTTCAATATAATCCTCTGTCACACCTTCTATGTTCACGACATGAGAACTTTCAAAGCGTCGTCTAATCCACAGCAAGAAGTCGGCCACAATAGCCACAGAGGACGGCATGATATAGTCCTGACCAAATTATGTCTTCTAGAGTCCCGCATCTTCGACAGCTGTTGGAACTTCAAACTCATCGAGCAAACCTAAATGCCTGCAAGAGTGTCTGACCGCCTATAGATTGACATATGCCCTCACCGGCTTGCAGATAAATGTATCATGTCCAAGGCAGTCCGAGTTTGTGCATTTCGACAGCCAGTTGAAAGAGATAGTCTAGGCTTTCGCACTGGGTTTTGGCTTTAGCCACGGTATCGCCCCAAACATAACTATGCAAGGTCAGCTGGTGACATATACAGAAGGTGGTTAAACAAACATTCCATGCCGCCGAACAAGAACGGCACACGCGTCTGGATGTTGCTCCATAGCCTTCTCGAGATGTTCCGTCAAATCCTCCTCGAAAGGCGTATTCTCGATGATAGGGATGCTAAGAGTGTCATGAAAGCCGAGCATGCCTTTCCCTGGTCCCTTGGGGACGCCCTTTATCTGTTCGATGTTGCTGATTTCAAAGCATGCGTCATTCCCTAACATCTTCTCGACAAGCAAAGTGACGAGAACAGCCCATTGAGAGTGAGTATGGATACAGCAGCCCGCACCACGCTCAAAAGCCGCAAGAAAGAGTGGTGTACATGCGGAAGGCTTCAGATCAAGGGGCTTTCGGATATATTGGCGTGCAGACGGTGGATATTTTGGAGTTGGATAAGAGAGGACAAAGATGTTTTCTGGTTTCATAAGCTCTTTCTGAACTCCAGATGGTGCAATAAAGACATGGTCATCCTTGCGGATGCTGGTGCCTCCTCCAGTTCCAGTGACCCATCCTTGGAGGAGTCAGTTTGCGACAGACCACAAACACCTACCACCATCTTACCGAGAGTATAGAATTGTTTGCATAGCCTAGGAATCAAGTTCGCTGGGTGCTCAGGGTCATTGGATTGTACCAGATGATCATTGTTCGGATCGTCCATGGCGACCCTTTGCCGTTTGTGTTTGATCTAAATATCCAGATTCCACAGAGAAAGTAAGTTACTCCGTACAGTTGAGGGAGACGCAAATAAAAAAGAGAGAAAAAGATATTGGGCTGCCACGTGAATAGGTCAGGTAGCTGTAGCTGGCTTGCTACCTGAAAGTTAGGACGTGACCCCGCTTGATGCCGCCATGTCACGATAGCAATAGGCGCTGACACTCACTGGCTGGGTGCTGAATGGGTACCAATGGGTGTTAAATGGGTACTGAGTCGCGCTGAGTGGTGCCGGTGAAACCAGAACCTTACCTGAACTTAGCGTGGGCTCCTTCTGTGTGGAGATGCCGTAAAGGACACCTTTCTTTCACCTGCGATCCTAGAAATATATCCGCCGACTCAACATTCCCATCTCCTGTCCTATTCTCTCCACTGTCAACTCTTCCTCTAGAGGTCCATCATCTTGTTGACGCAAATATCTCTACGGTGTGCCCGTCATGAGGTTCAACACAGCTATCGCTCCGGCTCTTTATGCGTCGGCTTTGCTCGCCAGTACCGCACTGGCACAGGAAGATGCTGAGCCATCCTCAAGTGTCGTTGAACGACCAACCTTCACTGTAAGTGGGACATGATTTGCACTCGATCTTGGGAAGTGCTAACAATATCATAGCCTACCAGCTTGAAAGCTCCCTTCCTAGAACAGTTCACGGACGATTGGGATTCGAGATGGACCCCTTCTCATGCAAAGAAGCAGGATTCCAAGAGTGATGAGGACTGGGCCTATGTCGGCGAGTGGTCAGTTGAGGAGCCAACTGTCTTGCCTGGCCTCGTAGGTGACAAAGGCTTGGTCGTCAAGAATGCGGCTGCGCATCATGCCATCTCGGCCAAATTCCCTTCAGTCATCGACAACAAGGGCAAAACCCTCGTGGTCCAATACGAAGTCAAGCTTCAGAATGGTCTGGAGTGTGGTGGTGCATACATGAAGCTACTCAAAGAGAACAAGGAACTACACGCCGAAGAGTTCTCTAACACGTCTCCCTATGTCATCATGTTTGGCCCTGACAAGTGCGGAGCCACGAACAAGGTGAGCTAGCATTAGAAGACGTCGTCGCGCATTTCTCACAATCTCCCAGGTCCACTTCATCTTCAAGCACAAGAACCCCAAGACCGGCGAGTACGAAGAGAAACACCTCAAGAGCCCACCTCAAGCCAAGAATGACAAACTCACCCACCTCTACACTCTGATCGTCAAGCCTGACAATACGTTCGAGATGTTGATCGACAACAAGTCAGCCAAAAATGGTAGCCTTCTCGAAGACTTCGCCCCTACCGTCAACCCTCCTAAGGAGATCGATGACCCCAACGATAAGAAACCCGAAGATTGGGTTGAAGAAGCTCGTATCCCGGACCCCACGGCTACCAAGCCAGAAGATTGGGATGAGGACCAGCCTTTTGAGATTGTTGACGAGGAAGCCGAGAAACCTGATGACTGGCTTGAGGACGAACCTGCCACGATTCCCGATCCAGAAGCTGAGAAGCCCGAAGACTGGGACGACGAGGAGGATGGTGACTGGATTCCACCTCAGGTCCCCAACCCCAAATGCGAAGAGGCCTCCGGCTGCGGCAAATGGGAACCACCTATGATGAAGAACCCGCTGTACAAGGGCAAATGGACTGCACCATACATCGAGAACCCAGACTATAAAGGACCGTGGGCTCCTCGCAAGATTCCAAACCCAGACTACTTCGAGGACAAGACCCCTTCCAATTTCGAGCCGATGGGAGCTGTGAGTACTCGTTATACCTGAAATCAAGTGCTTGCTAACATGTGTTAGATTGGTTTCGAAATCTGGACCATGCAATCCGACATTACTTTCGACAACATCTACATTGGCCACTCCGTTGAGGATGCAGCGGCGTTCAGAGCCGAGACATACGACGTTAAGCGACCAATCGAAGAGGATGAAGAGGCGAAGAACAAGCCCAAGCCTTCCGATCTCCCCAAATCTCCTTCCGATCTCAAGTTCATGGATGACCCCGTCACTTTTGTGAAGGAGAAGCTCGACCTCTTCATCACTCTCGCGAAGAAGGATCCCATTGAGGCCATCAAATTCATGCCTGAGGTTGCCGGTGGTATTGGGGGTATTGCCGCACTTCTCATCGCCGTTCTCGTTGGTTTGGCTGGTATGGGTGGTGCCGCTGCTCCTAGCAAGGAGGATATCAAGAAGACTGCTCAGAAAGCCAAGGAAGCTGCCGTGGATGCCAAAGACCAAGCTGCTGATGCCGCTGCAAGTGGCGCTGAGACTGTCAAGGCCGAAGTCAACAAGCGCACTACCCGGTCGACCGCGAATGCCGAGTGAAGGGATGAATGATTCATGGTGACATGGAGTGGGAATTTGACTGACGTTCCGCCCCCGATTGCGAGGACGAAACTGGGTCTGGTGTTGAGGAATGGCCAAATTTCTCTTCAGGAAGGCGAGACAAAAAATTGGACTTGAAATCGTCCTTTGCAAACAAGATCACTCGTGCATCACAGGCTAGACAAATAGCAGGGAACGCACGAGGCTTTCTTATGAGCTTATGCAGCGCTGTAGCACCAATTCAGGCATCGTTATGGACAAAGAGAAGTTTTCTGTTCAAAATTCAATACTCGCAAGAATCTCGGCATGATACCAAGCCCATATAGAGGTAGCGATACCTATGTACCTAAAGTGCTCATGATAAGCAGACGAACATGCATTCCCATCCTGCAGAAAAATCTCTGGACTTGTTGGACCACGTCTGATGACTTGCCATGACATGACATTGCAGATTTCGACATTCTGTAGACTGTGGCTGTGGCAGGGAACATTCGCGCGAGAGCCAAGTCGACCAACCGTAGAGACAGCTTTTGAAAAACACTAACTAGTCATGACCTATGCCTTTTTTTTGTCTCTCCCTCTCTCCCCTCTCTCTCAAACACACACATACCGTCCAACCTCGGACTTTATGAATGGGTGGGCATAGAAACCTGCTTCTCGGTGGCCAGGGCATCCTCTGCACGCCACAGGCTCGTCACCGTCTTCCACTGTGTGTAGAATCTCAGACCGTCCTTGCCGTAGAAGTTGGACATTCCCGTACCGGCGACGGACTTCTTGTTTCCGGTGAAGCTGAACATGGGCAACGGCACGGGGATGGGCACGTTGATACCGATCTGCCCGGCCTCGAGCTCCTTCTGGAACAAGGCCGCCGTGGCGCCGGAGCGGGTGAAGACCGCGGCGCCGTTGCCGTAGGGGTTCGCATTGATCAGGTCGATCGCTTCTTCGGTCGTGTCGACGTTTAGGCACACGAGCACGGGGCCGAAGATCTCCTCGGTGTAGCATTTCATGTGTGGCTTGACGTTGGCGATGATGGTGGGCCCGACCTGGTCGGTAATGTTAGCACAGTGCCCTTTGTATGTGGACCCTTACGTGGTACAACGACGGGAGAGAATAGTTAGACTTACCCAGTTGCCATTAGGATACTTCTCGGGCTTCTGGCCTCTGCCGTCGAGGACGATGGTCGCGCCCTCGTCGACGGCGGTCTGGATCAAGTCCTCGACGCGCTTCTTGCTCTGCGGGCTGATCAACGGACCGAGATCAGCTCCCTCCTCGAACCCGCCGTTCATGCTAAGGTTCTTTGCGCGCTCGGCGATCTCGGGAACCCAGTCCTTAGTTTCCCCGATCATGACGAGTGTGCTGAGCGCCATGCACCGCTGTCCTGCTGCGCCAAAGGCCGCACCTGTGATAGCGTTGAGTGCATGGTTCTTGTTGCAGTCGGGCAGGACGGCCGCATGGTTCTTCGCGCCCAAGTTGGCCTGGACTCGCTTTCCGTTCGCCGAGCCCCGGGTGTAGATGTACTCGCCTGCGCGGTTGGAGCCAACGAAGCTGATGGCCTTGATGGCGGGCTCGTCGATGATGAAGTCGACAGTCTTGGCGGCGCCGTGAACGACGTTGACCACGCCGTCTGGGAAGCCGGCTTCCTTGCATAATTCTGCGATGATCATGGCCGCGCCCGGGTCGCGTTCAGAGGGCTTGAGGATCAAGCAGTTACCCGTGACGGTGGCGACAGGCACACTCCACAAGGGAATCATGGCTGGGAAGTTGAATGGGCAGATGGCCGCCACGACACCGAGCGGTTCACGATAGCTGCGAGTTTCCATGTCCTTGGCCACTTCGATGACTTCGCCGGTCAATTGGGTGGTGATTCCGCAAGCGGTCTCGCAGACTTGGAGACCACGCAGCACGTCACCCTTTGCATCGGCAAAGGTCTTGCCTTGCTCGAGTGTGATGGATGCGGCGAGTCTGTCCATGTTCTGCCGGATCAGGTGTGTCAGGCGGAAGATGATCTGTTGTTTGGTCATGATGGATGTGGCACGCCATTTGGGAAAGGCCTTTTGCGCGGACTCGACAGCCGCCTTGAGTTCAGCATCGGTGCTCTGAGGGACGCGGGTGACGAGGTTGTTCGTGGCAGGGTCGTGGAGGTCAATCCATGTCGTGGCTTGGGAGGGGACGAATTGGTTGTCGATGAAGTTGTGGGTATCTGCGACCTGCTCGATCTTTTCGTGGGTGGTAGGGTAGTCGGCCTGAGCCGCGCCGGCGGCAGCGAGGTGTCTGCTCGTGGCATGTAGTCGCCTTTTTGCGACTTGCTCTGTGGGCGACATCCTGAGGGAGGCGTGGGTGATCTGGGGTGCTCGTCTGGCCGACAATGCGGGGACTGCTCGAAGGAGTGAGCGGCGCGCGGCCATGGCGGAAGAAGAAAGGGGGGTGGAGAAGAAGCAGGAGAGTACAGACTGAGGCAAGCAGGTGGTCTGACGCTTCTTGAAATGCCAGCAGCAGCTTTGTTATAGAGGCTGATGAAGCAATGAACCTCGCAAGAGAGTGTTGAGTGCATTCAATGAATTGCGGAGGGAACGAGAAATTGCCGTCCGAGGTATTGGTGTGCCGGTTTCATTGGTCAGGCCAATTGCCCGCATAATAGTGAGGGGAGAAGACCGGGTGAGCCACGTGACCACCCACATTAGCCCCATCTTGTGGGATCCTTGATCGGTTATTGACGGCGGGATATGCAAAAGGGACTGCACTGCACCGATAAGGAAAGGTAAGGTAAGAAAGAGAAGTTTATGGTATAGTTGATTATTTGATTATTTGATTAGTATACAATGTTTGACTATAGTACAGTAGTGTTACAAATTGCCGGTGTGGCTATATCTGGTTGTACATGTTCTGTGGTCCAGGCGGTCGTGTCATGCTGATTCTATCCGGGGTCCCAAAGAAGTCATCGGTTTCTCCTAACACCAGACGTGTTTTATGACCGTAGGACAAGAGAGGCTTCCTGGTTCAAAGAGTGTCGCCGGGCTCTCTCAGCCTCGAAGCTGCTTGTGCTGTGCTTTCTGGCCTTGGTGCCTTGTGCAACCCATTTGGCATATGCTCGTGCTTGGAGGTCACGAACAGATAGCCGGCGGGAGTGACTTTCCTCACCTTGTTGGTGGTCGTGGTTGTGGTGGAAGAATTGCATGGTGTGTTGGATTGGTTGTTGTGTGGTGTGAGTGTTGCGTGTGGATATATGAATCTGTATTGGATGTTATGGTTGATTGGGCCTTGGGATTGAGATGTGATGGTTTTAATCGATGCTTGTAGGCGATGATGTTATTGTGGTGTGATGGATGACAGGGGCAGTATTTGTGGAAAAAGGCGACCTTATATAGATATGATACCACCGTCACGACGGCACCCAAAGCCTCGCCGACGTGTTTCCAAAGTACAAATTTTTTGAGGCATTTCACGACGAGGTTTCGAATCGAACCGTCGAGAAAGTGACGTTTAAATCGCGCTTCTGAAACCAATCACAGCCTTGTAGCTCAGCCTCGTCGGTTGACACTAAACCGAAAAGAAAAATCCCTCTCGGCAGTGGAAATTCTTTAGTCCGTTAACTCTACGTACCTAGCGAGCTAAAGTCTCTCAGGTTTCTTCAGCCTCATGGTCAATGCAGTCACTCCCCAACTCTGGGCCACGAATCAGACTCTCCCCGAGGCATATTCGTGGAAAGCTAACAATATTACGGCGGTCCATGCTTTGACCACTCCCTCCCTAGGTATATCTTTAGGCTGCGTGATATTCATTCATTCGTCCCCATACGCGAGGTCTTCATCGTCATCCGCCTTGTTTTCGCCCTGTCCTTTGTAGTCGTACACCAGCCGCGCTCTTTGCTCCTGGCCGTTCTTCCACACTATCACCCGCCTGGTATATCGTCGTTCGCCATTGACCTCCTCAAATCCCCAGACCTGTTCTGCGATCCAGTCTCCGCCATCAACATTCTTCACCCAGCTTTGCACGTGCTCATTGTCCAGGAACCGCGAATCTGTCTGGCCGTCCTTGAGTTTCTCAGCTCGCAGGAATGCGGCATCCTCTGGCGACCCAGGTCCTTCCATCTGGTATTCCCCCGTCTTGAAGAGCCTGGATCTCCCTTGGACTTTGCCAAAGATTCTATCGGCATGGTCTCTCTCTGCCCAGTCGAGTGTGCGATTCTCTTGCGTGGTGGAGAGGCCAGAAGCCACTGAGGTGATGTCGATGTGGTAGATCGAGCTTTCGGTGTATTCTTTGATGGTGAGGACAATGGTGGCTAGGCTGATGGCCTTGCGGGTGAACCAACTGAGTCCTTGGAGAGCCAGTACGGGGTCAAAGTCATCAGAGAGGGACTTGTTCTGGTCAAGGTCAGAAGAAAGCTGGGCAATAACACAGGTAGCAGCATACCATGACGAACTTGCCTGATAGATTTGTGCAGGTGATCTCTGGTGGTGCAGCCATTTTGTGCAAGAGTGACGATACCTGTGGACTCGATCAGGTCCCAGTTGGTTGTATCAATGGGGAGTCGTAGATAGGTATATCATTGTAAGAATCACATGTGTTCGGCTTGTTGTTCAGATGCGACGTGGACATTCGGACAGACATCATGGGCGCAGTTGCTGTTCCTGACTAGTTTCACTGGATCAATGAATGCCGAGGCACGTCATTCGTGTCACCCTCAAAACCGCGTACCACCAACGTGCACCGACGACTACGGTCTCATGGGCAAATCAAGGAATGAAACTCGCTTAACCAGAGTGCAAAACAGCTGCCGCTTGAATCGTCGAAGCAGCAGCTAGCACTGCATTGAACAGGAGGCTTCCCTGCCACACGAATCGTCCTCGCTGCTGTTTGTCGTCGAATGGGACCCTATCGCTAAACTATATCTTTTATCTAGGTATGAGACCGTAGTAAATCGTGGAAGCAACAGTTAGGCCTGCCATTCAATAGGAAGGTCCCCTGCTACACAAATTGTTCTCGCTGCTGTTTGTCGTCGAATGGCACCCTAGCGCTAAATTACACGATTTACCCATGAGACTATAGTAGGCCAGCGTGTATAAGAAATATAAAGAAGATGAGATGAATCAACCAAAACATTCTGGAATCCTTGTTCGAGGCGATATGCCACTTTAAATTTTGAGACCACCGACTGTACAGCCACGATCTTCGCCTTCCATTACTATTGACTAGAACATCATTTACCACCTGGTGTACCGGTATGGCCCCTGATTGACCTCGAAGGTTACATTTGTTCCCCATCAGCTGCACGCATTTCGAAGGGTCAGATACGCAAAGCGTCATCAGTCAATCCCCTGTGGAATGGTCGGTTGCATCAACGACCTTGGGTCGGCAGTGGCTTTGGAAGGTCCAGACGTTTCTCGCTCGTCCTTCTCGCGATGATATATTGCTGCTCCTCGGGCTCACACTTGTCATTGTTCGGTTGGAACAGATCGATTGTCTCACAGACAATTTCCAGACCCATCGAGGTCAAGAAATCCCGTTGGCCCCTTGCACTCATCATGAAAGTTGGTAGAGGTTCGCCCATGAAGGGCGCATCATAGTTTTCCACGTACGTGCGCGTCTCGTCCCAATCGGACGTGTCTTTCACATACTTGTCCCCTGGCATCTGGCCAATGGCAATGATCCCGCCGGGCCGTAACGTCTGCGCGAATTTGTACGCCGCGGCATGGAAATCCGAGTACGACAGCTGCAGGTGCGCGAAGATGATGAAGACCGCGGCGAAGGCGCCGTTGGGGGGTTCTGGTTTGTATTCGAGCATGTCCGACACGGTGAAGGAGCCCTTGACCCGCGTGCTGGCGTACTCGACCATCTTGGGCGAGATGTCGAAGCCGACGACGTCGAGGCCGGCTTCGGAAAGCATCTGCGAGACGGGGATCCCAGTGCCGCAGCCGACATCGAGAACGCGCGAGCCTTGAGGGATCAAAGAGATGGCCGTTTTGATGCAGGCTGTCTTGAAAGGGTTGTCGCGGTAGGCATGCTCGTATTCGATGTTGAGGCCGTCGAAGGTCTCGAGGCCTGCGCGAGCGCCGGGCGTCGACATGGCGGGTGAAGTGCTCGAAGCAATGAGTCTTGTTCGAGCAATTAATTAGAAAAGGCGGGCTTCACTTCTGTACACTTTAATAGACGGGCATGAGAAAGGTTGACGCGCCTACTTGGGACTTGTTGGTAAGGTCGGAGCTCGCCATGGCCTGCATATCTACCAGGAACCAGGGACTGACAGGGGCTGCACACCTTCTGTACAAGCGAGCCTGCGGGCATTATGCATGCTGAAACGTGAAGGAAGCTCCCAGTAAATAAGTGATAAGTGATAGTGGTCTCCCAAGGAGTCTAGTGAGTCTAGTGAGCACCTAGTGGCCCTAAATATTAGCGTCGGCAGGTGTCCGGGCTTCCCGCACGACGAGGTCCACCAGAGGAGTCCAGCCTTGTGCACTGACTTAGCATCCTCGATACGAATGAGCTCTAAAGTTGAGCTACGAAGTTGAGCGGGCTGCTAGGCATGACTATGAAAAGGAATAGACGGCTATTTTATATTCATAGTAAAAGAGGGTGTTTGGTAGAATTTGGTAGTTCGGGCTTGGGTACAGTAGGCGTGAGCCCAGTATGAAGAACCGCCGAACTAACACTTTTACTATTGGAGAGAAGTATACATTGTTGAAGCATTCCTGTAAGTGTGCTCTAGCCGCCGCCGGAGGTTTCATTCTTCTCGTTTGACAAGAACAACGGGTCCAGTGTAGATATGCCTAGCCTTCAAAAAATACCAGCCCATTGCAAAGATAATCGTGCCCGCGAACATTGTGGAACTCCAGTTCATGAATTCTGCTGTCACCGGTGTTGACAACGGCCACCAAGCAAAGAACCACAAAGGTGTCAAGAACATCAAAGCCGCGATGTTGATCGGCAAGCCGTACTTCCCGAGCGACCATCTTCGAGACGGCAAAGGCGGACCATTGAGCCTTCTCCATATCAGACAACCAATCGTGATGTAGTAGGACGTCAAGATCGAACAGCCCCCAAGACTGTTAATGGCGTTGAGTGCTGTGGCAGAGCCAATGTTGATGCAAGATAGAAGAGAGCTCACGGCGAAGCTGACTGAGACCGCACGCAGCGGAATATTCCATCCAGGAGTCACCTGATAAGGTGTCAGTGTCAACACTTGGTTGGTTGCAATCGTAACTCACTCGTAGCAACCAGTTTGACCCAGGGAGCCCACCGTCACGAGCGAACGACCAGAGCTGTCTGCTGGCAGTGGCAACCTCGCTAACACAACAAGACGCAAGTAGAATGATAACCAGGGCGGTCATGGCATTCGTCCCTCCGAGGCTATGAGTTGCGTTGTAGAAGACTTGAATGAATGGCTGTCTGGCGACCGATTCGAAGAGACTGTCGATATCTCCAAGAGTGAAGATCAGAGTCACAGCCATCAGGAAGCCCAAAGTGGCATTCACAGCCACGGACCACATCATCGCGCGGGGGAGCGTCAGAGACGCGTCCCAGATCTCTTCAGCTATACGCCCATATAGGTTAGCCGGTCGATTTCAGACCTGGAAAGCATGGTCGACTTACACATGTGGACCGAGCAATCGTAACCAATCAACACAGAGAGAGGCGTTGTCAGGCCTATCATGGCGGATAAACCTGTGCTCGACCAGCCGCCATTGTTGGTAAACACGAGTAACGCATCATGCGCGTTGGAACGTGGTGCCATGACCCAGAGCGGAATAATGATGGCAAAGAAACCGGCAAAGTGCAAAATAAGAACGATGCCTTCGATCAAGGGCAGCTGCACGGCCAGTACGGTGTTGAAAATAATGGCGAACGAGATGGCGGCGATTGAAAGCAATGTTCCGTGCCAGTTGTGCCAGACGTAGCCCTCAACGTTCAGAGCAATCAGACCCTGGATAACCGTGCCAACCATGAAGCAAACACCAGCTAGGTATACTTGCCACCCAATCGATGACAGCCAGCCTGCGAGTATCCATGTCAGGGAAGGTGAGCACCACAAACATCTACCCGACTTACCAACTATGTAGCTCAAAATTTTCTGTATCTTGGGTGGTGCAAGCTCTGAAACCCAGTGATACGCTCCACCAGCCGTAGGAGACCTGACAATAGATTGTTCAACTCGTTTCTGTAAACCGGACTGCTTTTTCCTTACATGGACGCGACTTCGGCGATGCTTGCATATACCAACAGCATGCCAATGACGACGGCAATAAACCCCCAGAAGAGCAGCGCGGTGCCCCCATCGGTAAGGACGAATGTGAACAGAGGCAGTAAGATCTCCCAGCTAGCCATCACTGTCGAAGCGAAGCCCAACATAGTGATGAACTTGAAGTTTCGCTGGTTTGGGTTAATATGGTTCATCTCATGGTCACAGAGCTGTGAGACCTACTCGCAGAACTTGCTTTCTTCCCATCACACTCATGTCTCTTTTGTCGGTCGCAGTGCCTCTGTACCTGGCGGGCACGCTGCCCGGCTCATTGACATCTTTCTCTCCGGGCTGTGACCACTGGGGTGTGCTTTGGGCTTCTGACAGCACAACAACGTCCTTGTCTGCATTCATGATCGCGGAGATGGTGCAGTAATGGTGACTGCGGAACTGTTAGAGAATCAGAAAGAAACACAAATGTCGAGAGCAGTTCTGTGCAGAAAGGAGCGGCAAGGGTCGATAGGTCTTATGAGGTGCCACACCCAGGTCACCCTATCAAGCCTGCTCTTTGCTCGAACCGAAGCTGTCGATTCCGTCGAGGGCTTTGCAGTAGCTTACAGCACGCTTTCGCAAATGGCGGGCGAGCCTCTGGGCATGAAAAGTGGCATTGTCTGACCAAGAGGACCCCGGTCTCATCAGAAGGATTCTTGACTTTTGAAACGATGTCCTCCTAATCGTGATAGGTAGACGTATCATAAACAATAGCCGTACCCCTCCGCGAGACTGGAAGGCATAACTTTCATGCTTCTGTAACCCACCATCAATATACAGTGTGCATGAGTGACTTGGAAGGGGTGTTACCCCCAGGTCAGACCTCACAATTTTTCTCGCGTCCACCATCTCGTCTCGTATGCTGAGCAGGGCTGTCTGTACCGTGGCATGTGGCTGTCAACTTAAGCAGAGCCAAGACTCTTAGACCGGTGTCCTTGAGCGCTAAAGGGTCCCTAATGGCCGGTCCGGGAGGCCCGAACCATGTCCATGCGCTAGGTATCAAGGTAGCGCAAACCTCCCGGCAAACGTGTATCGAAGCATGGAGTCGCTTGTCAGAAAGAGGCTTCCTTCACATGCCGAGACAACTGGCAGGCGTGCTGTGCATGCATATTATTCGTTTGGCCCAATCATAAGGGTCCGGAAGCGTCGAATCCTCTCGTAAAAAAGCAAGCCACAAATCCCCTCAGGGTGCTTGACGGATCCAATGCTGCAACTGGCGTGATGGCGTTGACTGCTCACCTCTCGTAAACGGTGGAATCGCTCTTGCAACAAGAGATGCTTGAGGGCGTGGCCAAGTCACAAGGACCCTGGTGAACGCGAACTGCTGCTTCAAATCAACACCTTAGGCCCCCCATCTCAATCACTTCTGATCGGTCTGGCCATAACCTGAGTGATAGCGAGCAGCTAAGCCCAAGCCAAGAAAGGTGCAAAGTACTATGTACTGTCATGGAAGGGCTGTCATTTCGAGAAGAGAACGGGGCGAGTAGGGGTTTTTGGCCTGGAAAGAACCCCCTGATCCCGATGTGCATCTCCGCGTGAAAGGAGCGGATGAGACTGTGGCTTCAGGTGAAATGCATGGGTTGGGAAAGTGGTCACACTACGGAGACGTCCTGTCAACCGTAGATCCTCGATGAGGAATTGGCGTGCATCATGTAGTCTCTGGCGAGCGTGGGAGACTATTACAATTGCTTCTCCTTCAGACCTCCTGGCCTTGACACTTGACACGTCGTGTGCTCTCCAGTCTTGCAGCTGCCGCACTTCACAGAGATGGCTGAATCGACGTTGACGGTTGATATACCGGAAGGATATTATCCCCCATTTGCAGTGGTCACCGAGCACGATCACACAGCTTGGATCCTCGTAGCCACAGCACTAGGTCTGTCGTGGTCCTTGATGTTTGGTGCCATCAGAGTCTTCGTCCGATGGACAAACAACCGGAGCATTGGCAAGGACGACATTCTCCTTGCAGTTGCAACGGTGAGCCCAGCCCAACACTTTAATGTCTCGAGCTGTGACTGACTGGAGTTTGCAGGGGTTGACCATCGTTCAGTCGTCCATCCTATTCAAGGCCTGTGATCAAGGCCTCGGGAAGTCCCTAGAGCTGTTGAAGGAGGAGGCGCAGGATGCGGTTCAAAAGGTACGGAATAGTTTTGTTCTTCATACATGGCTGTTGTTGACTTCTCTGGAACAGATATACTATACTGTTCAGATTCTCGTCGTGGTGATACTCGGGTTGTCAAAACTCTCGGTCAGCTTCTTCTTACTGCGCCTGACACAAATCAAGCACCACAGGCTGGTATTCCATGCTGGGGTAGGGCTCATTGCAGCATGGACATTTGCCTCGACTCTGGCTGTTTCCTTGCAATGCAATCTCTCACAGCCATGGCTTCTCGTTGGCCAAAATTGTTCAGGATCAGTGAGACATACATATACCCGAAACTTAGGATAGATACTGACCCCGTCTGTGCGTATAGTTTCTCCGACTTCAAGTCATCAGTGCCTTCGATATCCTATCCGAGATTGCCCTGGTTCTCATGACTGTCATGCTGGTTTGGAATCTCAACACAACCATCTCGAACAAGGCAGTGGTTGTTGGCACATTCGGTCTCCGGTTAGGGTATGTCCCATATGATGAGCGTACTACCTACGGTCTCATGGTTAAATCGTGTAATGAAGCTCGCTTAACTGGGATGCAAAACAGCTGCCGCTTGAATCGGCGAAGCAGCAGTTGGGCACCGCTTGAGCAGGCGGCCCTCCTACTACATAAGTTGACCTTGCTGCTGTTTGTCGTCGAATGGCACCCTAGCGCTATATTACACGATTTACCCATGAGACTGTTGTATGCAAAGGATATGCTCCTGGACTTTGTTAACGCTTCTGGTAGCTTGATCATCGCCATCGGTTTCCGTATCGGCACATTTGACGCAACTGGTCGGGCAGCAGATCCAACCCTGCAGGATGATTTATTCATTGTATGGACACAGACGGAGCTGAATTACTCCCTTATCTCTGCCACCATTCCGACCATCCAGTCATTTGTCAACAATCTCAACACCCAATTCGGTGGCATCGGGACATCCGGCAGCGGACGTGGATATGGTAGTGGTTACGGCCTCGAAACTGGTCCTGGCAACTATCAATTATCGAATTTGAAATCGGTCGACAAGAGCGAGGGAAGAGAGGCGTTTGTGCCGAGTCAACAGGGAACTGGCGTGAATGCAGAACCTAAGTATGGAATCTGGGTGGCAGGGAACGCTCCAAAGGGGAACCATGTGCCCGCGAAGAGAACAAAGGGTGGCGGCGATGCCACCAGCGTGGACAGCAACGACAGTCGACAGATGATCATCCAGAAAGATGTCACTTGGGAAGTCCACATGGAAGACCATTGTTGAGGTCGAAGGTCGAATCCGAGAGATCGGTTACAAATGACTGAATGGTTGGAATGATGGGAGTGATAAGGGAGTAACGAGCCGCCGTACTTACGGTCTTATGGGGTAAATCGTGTAATATAGCGCTAGCGCGTCATTCGACTACAAACAGCAGCGAGGACAATTTGTGTGGTAAGCGGGCCTCCTGTTTAAAGCGGCAATGGAGGTACTCCCGCCCCAGGTACCCGTCAAGGCCGTCCAGGTACCCAACTGCTGCTTCGCCGATCCAAGCTGCAGCTGTTTTGCACTCTGGTTAAGCGAGCTTCATTACACGTTTTGCCCAAGAGGCTACAGTAGTCGGCTCGTCAAAGCGGCATATCGCGTCGAACAAGAATTCTAGAAGGTTGTGGTTGATTCATCTTATCTTCTTTATATTCTTGTACACACTGGTCTAGTCAGACCAACTCTCTCTCTGGTGCGGTCTTCCAAGTTTTCGACTGCCACGCTTTCTGTGCCATGGTCCAAGCCTAACTTGGTGATGCTATTTTTACAGGTACCAAAATACATACTCCGAAACAGGAGCTAAAAGGTGATAAAAGTCCCTCCATCATCGCAAGGCGGACCCTGCATGCCATTTACCTTGCTCTCCTGACTCGATGCTCATCACGTCGTTTTCCTTTTTTCCGTCTCTCTTTTCCAGGCCCGAGTGGGACGTCTTTCATCAACCACGACTGCAGCTTGACCATGTATTCGTCAATGTCATGGAACGCGTCAGCGTCCTTCTGTGTCTCCGCTAATGCCGTCTCGGTCGCAGCAAACGGACCAGGTGTCTGGGCCTCATTCGTCCTCGGAGTCGCCGAGGCTGTTTTGTCCTCAAAATCACCATCATCGGCATGTTGGACTTCTCGGACGGCGACCTTGGCGGCGGCATGATCTTCCTGATCTTCTGCCTGTTCCAAGACGGCAATGTTCGTCTTGTCATTCCCAAGTACTCTATCCATCGCAAGTCCAGCCGCGTCGTCTTCGCCAGCATCCTCAAGCATATCCCGGTAATTGAGCTTGTTCATGTAATCCGTCGTGAAGTCACCTTCCTGGATCACAACATCGTCCAGCATCTGCTTCTGACTGGCTTTTCGGAGAATGTTCGATTCGATCGTATGCTCAGACACGAACCGATAGATATGGACGTCGCGTGTCTGTCCGATACGATGCGCCCGGTCCGTGCATTGTCTGTCCATCGCAGGATTCCAATCGAGGTCGTAGAAGATGACTGTGTCTGCTCCTGTCAAGTTGATACCCAAGCCACCGGATCGTGATGAGAGGATGAAGGCCAAGATGCGAGGATCGTTGTTGAATCGATCCGTCAGAATTTGTCGCTGCTCGATTTTGGTCGCACCATCCAGTCGGAGGTATCGATGTCCATGAATGTTCAGGAACTGCTCCAAAATGTCCAGAACTTTGGTCATTTGAGTGAATATAAGTGCTCGATGACCTCCAGCTTGTAGTCGGCGCAGTAACTTGTCCAATCGTTGTAACTTGCCACAATCATACTGCAGTAGTCGTTTGTCGGGGAAAGCTATGGATAGCTTCATCCTGGCTTGGTGGAAGGGATCGCGTCGCCATGTTGACGGATCTGCTCTGATCGCGATAGCGCCAGCTTCGGTCACGGCACTCATGTTCAGATCTGTAGCAACCACAGCGGGAGTGACACAGGCAAATTGTTCGACGAAAGGTTCCATCTGTGCTGACCTTGACTCAATCGATTGCACGAAATCAAATGACTCCACCGGCATCTGCTTATCCCACCTCTTACTCATGACTTTGAGAGGAGAAATCCTAGACAGCAAAGCATTGGTTGTGTTGACAGTCAACCGTTCAATCAAGCCCTGGCCATACACTGGATGCTCATGATGACGGTATGCTTCGTAATAAATCGTCCGATCAAGCTCTTGAATTCTTGCCTTCCTTCCCACGTTCTCCAATGAGCCAAGAACTCCAGCACGGGTTTCGCCATGCCATCTGGAATCCTGAGAAGTCCTTCGATATTGCGACTCTCGCAATGCCTTCAGAAGGTGAGATGCGTGGCGTCCAGCAGTTTGCATGACTTCTAGCATGGACATGTTCTCGTTGGATATCGGGGCCAGCCGCAAGAAATCGAGATCTAGATCGTTTGAAGCATCCTGTACCAGCTTCCGACGTACAAGAAGATCTTTGATCTCGAAGTTGGCTGCAGCGGATCGTGACATTGCGAATGAGGTGGTGATGGGTCGTGTCTCGAAGAGGTCTGGGTGGTTGCAGACTTTTCGAAGCTGCATCAGCGCGTTGATGATGGACAGATAATTACCAGAGGCTAGGGTCTCTTTTGTCTGCGCTCTCGACATGAAGCCATCGTACAATTGCCGCTGGCGTTTGGATAAACGGCACAGCTCGACGTGTTCGTACTTGGCCGGCATCTGCTTCTCGACATCGGCCTTGAGTCTTCGAAGAAGGAACGGCCGAATGACTTTGTGTAACTTTGCAACCTGTTCTCTGTCTTCTTCATCGAGCACCTGGCGGCCATGCTCCAGAATCGACTCCACAGGCCTCTTGAACCATTCAGACCACTCTTTGAGTCCGGCAAATGCGTCATCCTCGCCCTGGTTTTCCTGTCCATAATGGAGGAAAAACAACAACGACCACAGTTCCGTCAGGTTGTTCTGAAGAGGGGTTCCTGTTAGCAGAAGTCGAGCCCTCGTGTTGAAAGTCATCATCGTCTGCCATCTTTCGGATCGGAAGTTCTTGATGTTGTGGGCTTCATCCAGGATCATGTAATGCCACCTTCTCCTCTTGAAGGAGTTGGCGTCCTGCAGGACAAGCTGGTAAGAAGTGATACAGACGTTGAAACTATCATCAGCCAGCCAGCCTCTTCTCTTCTGTTTTCTTTCCTCGAGATTGCCGTAGTATGTGAGAATTTTGAAGCCAGGTAGAAACTTCTTGAACTCCATCTCCCAATTGAGAATGACGCTGGTGGGCACAACAATGAGATGTGGACCCCAAACTTCATAGACCTCAGCGAGATGTGCTAGTAATGCAATGCTCTGGATAGTCTTGCCAAGCCCCATTTCATCGGCTAGTATACCACTTCTCCCATGTGCATACAAATCTGCTAGCCAGTCAAGACCTTCATGTTGATACTCCCGAAGAGTACCACGCAGCAAGCTGGGGACTGGTGTCTTGATCGATGGCTTTGTTTCGGAAGGCGTGGCAGGTATGACTGCAGTTTCAGCAGATGCATCGATAGATGATACAGACTCTGGTTCTGATACTTTGGTAGCGGTTGTATGTGGTGAAGTGTGTGCGCTGGGCTCCTGGCTTACTGAGTCTTCGTCATCCGTCCGGGACATAGGTGCAGTAAGGGATGCATCGGGTTGTGGACTCTCAAGCTGTTCGCTGGCATGACCCGCTCCAGTCTCATCTTTCCCAGCCTCGGCTTGCCGTGACTCCTGCAACTGCGAGTGGGTTTCCCCATCCTGCATCTCATGGTCTTCCAGCTCTTCGCCTGAAGGAGAAAGAATTGGCTTCGCGTCTTCCTCGACAGGCTCACCATCCTCAGACTGTGGCGCCATGCCGGCGATTTCCTTTTTCGTAAACAATGACAAGAGGCCACCTCGCACATCTTCCTCGCTGCCTTCGCCGGCATTATCATCGTCTTCTTCTTCCGCATCCGACCCGTCGGTATTAAACTCGCTATCCATCTCCGTTTCAGGATCTGAATCTTCTTCGGACTGCTCCAGATTTGTCTCGTCATCACCTTCAGTAAAGGGACCTTCATCGACGGACACATCTGGCAGACTCTCGTATTTGCGCTTCAGTTCTTCGACCGACATTTCTGCATCAACATCCCCGGTTTCGGGTTCCGAATCCGCATCTGTCTCGCTCTCTGACATTTGCTCGCTGTCCTCAGACTCGCTTTCGGTCAAGTCATTGGTGGAAACATCTGTCTCGCTATCGATGAGAGACTGTTCCTGATCGGCCGCTCGACTCAACATTTGATCGGTGCGATCCAGCACTCGTGCAAGGTGACCTTTCATCTGGGCTTGCTGCTCTTCTTCGTATTGTTTCTGGCGCAGGAGGTCGACCTCGGCCCTCACTGCTGCCCATAGCTTATCGAAATCTTTGACAACAGCGCGATAAGAAGCAATAGCAGCCGCCCGCTTCTCCTGCTCTATCTCTTGCGGGCTCTTGACCTTGTCTCGCTTTTGCTTTTCCTCCACGTACTTCTTAGCCTCGTGAGCCAATACCTGTGCCATTCGCCTATGGTCCTGCGTTTCCTTTCTGAGAAGAAACCTAAAACGAGATACATGAGCCAGGAGATGATCAAAGTGGGCATATTGTCGTTTTGGCTCATCTTGTCTGTCCGGCAATGTGTCGGTAAGATGCTTGTCAAAGACCTTTCCACTCTTTAGCGCCTTATAGAGTCTGTTCCTGACAGCGGCCTCTTTTTTGATCAGTTGCGGACTCAAAATGTCCTCACCAGCCCTTGGCTCCAACTCGTCCCGCTCTAAGAACTCTTCGAATGATGAATATTTCTTCGGCGGCGGGATATTTGAAGGTGTTGAAACAGTTGGGTCTGGTAGCCGGACGCGAAAAGTCACTTTCTTAAAGGTGAGAGGGACATCCGGGGCCGCCATTGTGGATTCGGTAGACATGACCGAGGCATCATCGTCCTCTCTTTCCAGCGCGCCATTCGTGTAGGGTTCCGACTCGTCTTCCACTTCGTTGAAGACGGGCGAGTATTGTCGATTGCGGCGAGAAGACTTCGACGGAGGTGCAGTCGATGATTTGAGGCGATCTCGCAGTTTCTTAAGCTCCTCGATCTTGGCCTTCATGTCTTCGATTTCTTTGCTTCGTGGTTTCTCCGCTGAACGATGTTGTCTCTGAACACTCCCAGACTTGGTAGGCTTATGAGGCCCCACTTCACGCTTAATGGAAGGCGACCTGTCAGATCCATGACTCTTGCGAGGACGCCCAGGACCGCGCTTAGCGGGGGGCGTCGGCTCAAGAATTTCGACCTTTGGCTTTCGAGCCGAGACATTGTAGACAGGCTTTGCATGGTTTTCGCGTTCGGCCTTCACCTTATCGAACGCGGCGCGTGTGTGCCGCTTGTTCGACTGCGGCTGCAACTCGAGGGGCACGACATTGGTTCTACCTGACTTCCTTCGACCGCCGTCGACGAATGATGTCGGACCTTCTGCAGCGACGCGTTTCCACGGAGGCGACACGAGTCTTGGAGATGATTTGTGTTCTGCAGTCTTCCGTCTCTTAGATGGGGGTCCGTCATTGTCATCAGGCTCGATCGAAGGATCTTGGTGGCGAGGAGGGGATGAGGTTTTGCTATCACGAACGTCTGAGTCGCCATTAGCCGAAGTTGTTGTTGGTGTCCAAGGAGATCGATGAAACGTGCCTTGATCCTGGTTGTTGGGATGAAAGTCGCCGGTCGGAGGAGAGTCCGGCATTTGCGCCTACTGGCATTGCAAAATTGATCCTCACAACAATAGCAAAAAAGCGACCAGCATACTCCACGAGTAGGAAGATAGAATAGCCCTTTTGCCCGTCGAAATGTTCGAGGAATCGAGTCGAGTCTGCCTACGAAGTTTGAAGCGGACTGCACGCAAGATGACTTGTTGACGGCAAGGTGAAGTTAGGCTGTGGTCGAAATGGTAGGTGGCAGAAGAATATGGTGAAGTTGCGCTTGGGAGAGTCATTCTCTACCCTACCACCCGAGCGCACGCAGCACCCTACCAAGCTCGGTGGTGAGTATTATTCACTCCACCAACGCCAATCAATGCCCAGCACCCGCTCATCCTCAATCATCAACGTCAACCTCGCATTGCACCTCTCAACGGCACTACATGATCTGACATAGACTGCGACACCTGCTACTGGCTCTTTGGAGCCTTTCGCCCCAGAAATCACCCTCGAAATGTTCTCTCGACGAGCCCTGACCCTGGCTACCAGGTCGACCCGGGCCTTTGCCAGACCTCAACCACGCATTCCTAGAGCTCCGTTCTCAGTCGCAGCGAGTCAAAGAGCAGATATTCCGCGCAATGTCATAGGGGACTTCCCTTCCGACAAGGCCGTTGGGGAAATTGATGATCCAGAGATGGTAGTTACGGTGCGCAGCCAAGTTCAAGAGACAAGCTGATGAGACATACAGAACGGTGGTTATATAAATCCTCCTCGGATCAAGAGACAACATCGAGATCCTTACGCCGACTGGGACGACAAGCAAGAACGACGAAATTTTGGCGAGCCCGTGCATGAAGACAACGAAGTCCTGGGCGTCTTTGCTCTGGAAGACTACACACACATGACAACAGGTCGAGGTTTATTGATGTGGGGGTTCTTCATTTCATGTGTCCTCAGCGTGAGCTATTTGGTGACAATGACATATCCTGGCAAACCGAGTACGCCTATGGAATTTCAAGGTGGTCTGGACAAAGAACTGGGAGGTGCAGGGGCTGTTAGGGTAAGATACCAGGCGTGATTGACTTCAGACAAAGTACTGACCGCTTTGTAGGCTTTCCAGGCTGGTGATGAAATTGAAGATGTGTAAACGTTGCCATCGAGCTTGTACATATTCCACGGATTAAGACAAACAAAGCATACATCCACCAACCGTGCACATCAAAAGCTTGCATCTCATGTTTCGTTACATGGGTACAGTCGCTGGAGTTTATGCAAAAAGCGATCAGAAGCTCTGCATCGCCTCAAGGTACTGAATGCTGACCTCTCGGTGGATAGTAACCAGCACCAAACTCCAGCGCAGCACCATCGAAATGGTCATCGAGCACTTTATTCCAGCTCGCAGCAAGCCAGCTCTTCGAGTATACCGAAACTTCCAACTTCGCCCTTAGACTCTGTCCGAGAAAGTTCTCCCGATGACCGTCTGAAAACGGCGCGCTCAAACCAAAGAATGTATCCCAATCCTCGCGCTCTACGTAGGCGTGGACCTCGATCCTTTTGCGAAAGTCCTGCACAGACAATCTAAACGACCTCGACGCCCAAGCCACATCCACGCTCATAAACGGCGACATGCCTAGCACCTTGACGGCGAATGGAGGTCGAACGTCAATCTCAAGATCAGCATCCCTATTCCTGTATCCCAGCAGGTAGGCTTCCATGCCCAAAATCTGCCCACCAGCACAATTGAACCCACGCCCTTCCTCTGCCGAGTATGCTTGTATCCAGATATGCGCGCTAGGAAAGCTATTCGCCCAGTTTTTCTCCTGATGTACCGTCGCCACGCCATGTCCGTCCCGTGGATCCATGACTCCGGGCTCTGGAATGCTCAGAGCAAAATCACACCTCGACGCCAGCGAATGGACGTGCCAATGCAGTGGCAAGGGCAAATACACGAGCCATGACTCGGGTGTCTCCGTGTCATCGTGTCTCGACCAAGGCGTTCTCGTCGTAGTCGTTGCATGAAACGTGAACTCCGGACACGAAAAGTCGTAGGTTGTCGTAGAATCGGGATTGACATGGACACTCCCAATGCCCGGGACATCGAGCACAAAACTATCACGGTTGCTGCTCGCTTCGAAACTCAAGCCGCCTTTCTCGGGAAATAGTTCTCGCTGGTAGATCCTCTGGTCTTGCTTGGCCGGCACATATGTGAACGAGACCATATGCGGGCGCGTGTTGGCTTTGTGAACCGAACAGACAATTAGACATAGCGACGAGCCGGAGGGGAGGATGAATTTGGAGTAGTAGCCTTCAAATGTTGCGTTGGAATGTGGTGCGAAGTGGTCCATCTTGATTTAACCTGGTAGCTTTTTGGTATGAGCCGTCGAGGCTGGGCGCAGAAGCTAGGGCTGCTTGTCGAATACACCAGCAGTAAGTGACAGACTCTCACAGACGCTGCAGACTCTTACAGACGAGTTCTTTCCTCACCTTCTTGGTCTCAGCATATTCCTGGTCTACGACAACATGAGGGCGACTGAGAGCTTTCGGACTGTAAACATTTCTACGTCATCACTTTTCTGACTGATGCCATCGCGAGGCAGTCACAAGAGTATGTCTGTGTATAGATGTACAGTCTTCATGTATGCTATGCTTTCCCTCAAAAACGAATAGAAAGTAGTCGAGTTGCGCTATGCCCCCCCCTTCAGCAAGCAACGAGGCTTCTCAGGGCAAGCTGTGTAAACGACCTAAAACCTTTCCTATCCAGCACAACCTTATGAACGCATCGGGATATCGAAGAAACCAACCTCCCAAGAATCGATACCGCCAGTCGCTATACGTATAAATCCTTGTATTGACCCATGCTCATGTGGTCACTATACCGTCCAAACGGCCATTCGAACTTGTCAAGCTTAGGCAGCCATCCACATACCCAACACCACCGTGGCGATCATGACCCAATAACCACCCATTTCCATCGCGACTCTCATGCCCGCGCTGATCTGGGACTCGTTGCTTGGATCCGTGCCACCACTGGCCGTAGTGCCGTTCGCCAACGACCCATTGATATAAGTCGCTGCACTGCCGTTGCCGTAGTCCACAGTGCGCACAGTACTCGTGTTCACCGGCGCGCCACCAGTGCCATTCGTCACGACCTGATTCAAGAAGGTACTGTTGTCCGTCGGATCGCAGCCGCACACCTGGTACCGCTGACACACGCACGTCACATTGCTCGTGGTGTTGCGCCCGTCGTGGTAGTAATGGTACCCTATGCCGTATGGGTATGCGTAGACGCTGCTGTACAACCAGAGTCCCGGGAAAATTGCGAGCGCCGTGATCGGCAATGCGAACGGCGCAATACCTCTCGTCGGAGAGCGTGCGCCAGCGGTATATGGCACGACGGCACCACCGGCGTATCTGTTCCCGTACGTCTTCGGAGAGCCCGAGCCATCGCGCGTACGCCCGCCCGTGTTCGAGCTCGGGCTAAATGAATATGAGGATGCTGGCCGGCTGCCTGATGAACCGGACCCTCCTGAGCCTGTTCGACCGCCACCGGAGCTGCTGCCCCCTCCACCGCCTCCACCTCCTTTACCGCCGCCGCCACCTTTGCGCTTTTCTAGCGCATTGTAGGATTCGAGGGGTGATGAGCCGCGGACAGAGATGTCGCTGAACTCAGAGGAGGGTGGCGCTGCTGCCACAAAGGAGATGAGGTAGACGAGCGCTGTGAGCTGGAGGAATTTCATTGTTGCGCCGGTCGCAGGAGTAGTAATGCTACACTAAGCGCACTCACTACCTGAAGGTGTACTGTGTATCGCTGTGGGAGGCGCACGGAGGCGGTAGATGCAGGAAGCGAGAACGGCTTGTTTATAATGATGGCTAACCTGCTGAACGATCCATCTGCCGAATGTATGATGTGAGCGATGACTGGTCAGTGGTTATTCATCCCGAGACCGAACCTGAAACGACGAATGCTCAAACAAACTCGAATGCCTTGCCATGCGCTAATCAACAAACGGGGGATGGAATGTGAGAGTCCAACAAAGACTCAGCCTTCGGAATATAGACGTCATTGGAAAAAACCGCTTTACTGCGCAGTGATTGACATCACCAACTGGGTGCCGACCACACAATGATCGAATCAGCCAAGGCAAATCCAATGGTCTACCACAGTAATGATCATGACTGATGCCGAATATCCATGTTTCGCCATACGCAGTACTCGTACGGATACGCCCCCTGCAGCAATGCTGACATTTTCTACGCATGCCCAGACGGAGCCAATGGACTATACAGAGCTTATACACAAACAAGGCGTGGTGCCTCTAGCACAGCCACAACCACAGCCTACCACCCCTGCAAGGTTTGGCATTGTTTGTAAATTTTACGAGTACGAAGCACTGGTAGATATGTTCCGCACTCTATTCAATGGATCCTCGCGTCGTGGCTTCATACCTGTAATATTTTGTTAGCAATCACGATCCAGCCAGGCGGATCACCTCAACATCAAGCACATACCTCTTTCCTCGGAATGCCCAGATGCCCCAGTTGCCGCAGCTGATATCCTGCGGATCAAGGTCGTTCAGGTCCCATCTCAATGACCGGAAGTGATTCTCCCCAGGCTCCATAAGCAAGTCTACCTCGCCAGCACACTTTTCCATAACCCATTGCCAGTCTCGGTTCATGTCCCACTCCGTGTAGCCGGTGCAGATGATCGGACATTTCGTCTCCAGTAACTGGGGCAAGGTCTTTTCCCATTCGTGGGCAGATGCTGGATGCCCAAGTCCGGGATGGTACAGCATAAAGCAGTCAAAGTATGGGTCGTACGGGTAGAAAAGATTAGCTTCGTGGAGTGTGTCGAAATATTCCACATATGTAGAGATCTTCATCTTGGGCGAAATTCGATCTTCGACAATTGCACCGAATGGGTTTGTCGGCGTTCTTTCTGGAAGTGGAAACTCGGCGTCTCGGTTGGCCATCGACTCTGGTCCGATGAAAATGAGGTGGATGAGCGCTTGAGGAAATAGGTATGAGAGCTGGGTCCAGATTTCGCGCGGTAGCGAAGACTCAGCTCGAGCACCAAGGATAAATAGCCGGACGGGAGGACTGGACAATCTTAAGCCCTTGATACCTAGACCTGCACCAGTTTTCGGCGGATGAAGTGTGTAACGTAGAGCTACTAGAGTAAGTAACGGATCCTGCATAACAAGTGCTGAACTTACCAGTTAAACTCTTTAATCCCTCCGTTGTGAGTCTACCTCCAGCTCGGATGCTGTATGGGCTCAGTTCGTGAAGCACACTCGCAAGTGACAGTGGATATGTCAGTAGTCTGGTGGCCTGCCGCATACTCCTGTCTTCGTTGATGGCCTCATGTTGTCGTGTATAGAGATACGTGTCCCAATTCGTCATGTTGACCAAGATCTCATCAATCTGAGGCCCCGGGTATTCGAACTCTGGAAACCACCGACCAGACCGCAGATCATGGTCATCTTCATTGATTTGCCTGAGAGTATCGCAGATTTCGAGATGGGCTTCAAAATCATCTGCCCAATGCTCTTCGCAGCAGTAGACAGGTATGCCACAGTCCGGACACTCGTACTCGACATGAGCTGGTGGTTGTAAACTGACTCCTTTCACTTTTCTAGCTTCTGGATCGTGCGGAGAGATGGGTACTCGGGTTTGCTGGTGCGCCGGATGAGGGCATAGAGCGTGTTGCTTCATGAACCGAGCTCTCTGTCGGATCTCAGGAATAGGCGACTGAGTGAATGGATGAAATAGCTGGTCTGGCTGGAGCAAAACTCGCCCGTGGGCGCGCCATTCGCCATAGTCGGTCGGTGGGATGTTGTGACGTTCAAAGTTATCCTCCTCTTGAGCAGGTGCTACAGCTGAAGATGCCGCCCGAATCGATTGTCGAGAGTTCCGTGATTGAAGTGCATTCGTGGTAAGGCTAGCTTTAGGAGGAGGGTTGTAGAATGCGGAGCTCGAGGCAAAGTTGCGGCGGCCGGATATCTGTCGTGCAATATTGGCGTTCGGACGACATCGTCCCACGCCTGACAGTGCCCTCGCACATCTCAGACAGGTGAAAAGCCCTTCCATGAGCTGGTGAGTTGGACAACTTGTGGAAGTTAGTATCGTCTATGCGGGTCTGGGTCGACTGCGAAAGAAGTCAATGATCAGGCCATCGAAATCATGTTGTCTCACTGCTTCGCCGAAGGAGATCGCTACGGTCAAGGGTTGGATGCAGCGACGTCAAAAAGAAAATATATTGAATTTTTTGAAACTCTTGACTTCCCTTCACATTCCCAAGTATTGTCCACATCGTTCGATAACAACAGAGATCTTGCAGATCTTGACATGCACTCCCTGACTACTCTTCAAATGTATATATAACCCTGTCGTCCTACTGCTGGGCGATTTTCGGATGAAACGCAACTTTCACTTTCCGGCTGCTTGACTCTTCCCACAAGCTCTTCGATTTCGATCGAAGTCACGGCTTACAACACTCGCGTCATGCGAGTTTGTAGGCTAGAGCTGGTGGCTTTTTCACACTCGTTGCAAGAACAATCACGGACCTTCATAGTTCATCCTCGATCCTGGCCCAAAGCCATTGTGGACAGGTTGACTCCTAGCGTGCCAACATTTTACGAACATTGTATAACTACTGAAAACCGGCTCTTGAGAATGAACAGTGAATAAACAGTGATGGTACAGTCTGGCGTTCGAAGTGCCAGTATATATTGGTATTGGTCCCAGATCATCGTATCGTCGTAAACATCATCATCTCGCTCTGAACACTATAGATACAAAAAAGAAGTACATGAACAATCCTCTAGCGAGCTGGACTCGCTCCTGTCATGGTTGCACCAAGATTGGTCTTCTGCAGTAGGTCGGCGACCTGATCAGCTGAATACCCAAAGAACACAGGTCCGTTAAATATTATCTGCGTTCGTGACTCCGTACTGTTCGGGGAAACAGGCTCGTCGTGTATGGGTGTCTTCTGAAGTCGAGGTCGACTTGCCTGACCATGGTCCACTGGACATCGGGCAGGTTTTGTGTCTGGCGACGCTCGAGAATTTTCCGATTTGATCTGCAAGTGACCGACACCATCCTCCGATTGCAAAGCGCTTGGGGGAACCTCCTTGTCAGCTGGAACGGAAATCCCCCAAGGGCGACTAGGAGATTCTCCTACTCGGACTTCTCGGAGAGGCCGTTCGAAACGTGAAACACGAGGCTGTTCGTCAGAAGTCGGGATATCCTGGACAGCGGGTGCTGCTTCGCTGCTCACGTTTTCTGCCCACTTCTCAACACCGTGAATCGCACTTTTGTCTCGCTCTTCGATTCGATCTCTTTCCGGTAGATAGGCCTTGTGCTTGACTCCAAGCCCTTGTATCATATTTACGAGACTGCCGTACTTCGCGTCGAGTTGGCGAGCACTGGCATCATTCTGCTGGTATCTCCTGACACAGATTTCGTGGCTGCGCGGAATTTCATGTTTGTGATTTTCGAAATACTTTGCAACTTCTTCCGGAGAATGCTGATCCAGAAAGCGAATGGGACAATGACCTGGTCTTTGATCATTAGGTGACCTGACGGAGATCTTATCCTGGTGAAATTCTGCTGCGATGGGATCTTCCTCGACGTCCAGGCCCTGTGTGAGCCCGTTCGACATCTTGGCGAACGGACATCCTAGGGTGCCTTGTACGCCTGGAGTTGTAAAATCTCGTTCCAGGTTCTCTGGTTCGCCAGTGTGGTGTGCGACTGGGCATTTCGCCCCATTGGTCTTCGCCATTTCCATGCTCAACGCTCTGTAGGACTGTATCGCTCGCTGAGCCTTGAGGATTTGCGAGGATGTCTCGGGATGGCGGGTAATGGTAAGAGGCGGACGAATCTGTTTCACGATCCGGCTTGGAGAAACAGAAGCTGCAGAAGAACTGCTGCCAGCAGCTAGAAGGTGCTCATACTGTGAGAAATTGTCAGTCCAAACCCTCACCATTTGAGAGGAGAAGAGGTTGTGTAAAGAATGTGATTCAGGTAATACATGCAAAAGTCGCTCATCGCTACATGAAGCAGCTCTGGATCTAGAGCTAATTTGAAAAGGTCTCATCATAATATAAACCGATATGTGTGGGCAGAACAACTCTCATCACTCACCTCATTTGCGGCGAATTCGATTTTCTCCCTCAAGGCCTTCTCACTGTCGAATTGGATGCGCACAATCGACCGAAGTTCTTCAAACCCGGAGATCAGAGACTCGACAAGATGCGGCAGCCGGTCTTCAGAGTCAGGGGACGCGACCATTGGAATTAAGAGGGCTTGAGTACCGCGTGGGTAAGACTTGCTCAAGATAAGGCAGCAGGCAAAGAAGCGCGGATGGAAAATGGCAGAGGCCACCCACGGCCAAGAATGAAAGTCGCAGGCCACCCACGGCCACCTTAATGAGGCGCAGTTGTGCCGACGATCGGAAGCTAAATGGAATCTTTTCCGATCGCTCGACGCTCTCACAGCTTCCAAAACCACGTGACTGACTAAGCCGTTCAGAGATCCAGGCCGACCTCTCCAGGTTAACCGAGGCATCTTCTCCGTCCGCTTATTGTCCCGCCAATGGACTGGTCAACTCCACGGCAAGCATTGTGATATTATGGTATGAGTGAAGATAGATTCCTGCAATGATTGCGCTTTCTCCTCGAACCCCGTCCTGATATCCTCCTGCACCTTCGCCCAACATGAAAGCCATACAAGTCACTAAATATGTGTCCGGACCTCAAGAGCTGTCTGTGACCACGTTACCTACCCCAACTCCCGATCCAACGAAATACCTGATCAAGATCCATGCCTGCGGGACGAATTTCTTTGACCTCCTCCAGATCCAGGGCAAATATCAACATCAGCCGCCCTTGCCATGGATCTCGGGTATGGAATTTGCCGGTGTCGTCATTGCCACGCCCACATCGACCCAGGGGACTTCGGGCGCTGTTGCGAGCAGCCTAGACGGGACCGTGAACACAAGGAGAGACCACTTGTTCAAGGTCGGTGACAGAGTGTTTGGCGGATTCCATGGAGCATATGCAACACATATTTCAGTGCCTGAATCAAACCTGTTTCCTATACCTGAAGGTTGGAGTTTTGCAGATGCGTCCGGCATCTACGTGACCACTCCGACCGCATATGGTGCATTGGTAACAAGAGCAAAGACACAACCAGGCGAGTGGGTTCTCGTACATGCCGGGGCTGGTGGTGTTGGTCTGTCTGCCGTTCAGATCGCAAAAGCACTGGGAGCTACGGTTATCGCGACGGCAAGCACAGACCGAAAGAGGCAGGTTTGTCTGGATTTTGGTGCGGACTATGTGGTCGACTATCGTGATAAGGCCTGGCCACAAAAGGTAATTGAGCTTTGTGCAAAACATCGAACAGGCAACGGCAAGGCCGGTGTGGACGTGGTGTATGATCCAGTTGGTGAGTTGACATGAACTGATGCCGGTTTTAGCCGAGACTGATTTCTTGCTAGGCATGATTGACCCGTCGATGAAGTGTATAGCGTGGAATGGGCGGCTACTCGTCATTGGCTTTGCCGGCGGCAACATTGAGAAAGTCGCCCTCAACCGAGTTCTACTAAAGAATATCAGCATTGTCGGTCTGCATTGGGGCATGTATAGCACGAAGGAACCGGAGACCATGCACACAGTGTGGCAAGGCATCTTCGACATGATCAAGGCTGGTAAGCTGAAGGGTATCACATATACAGACAAGCACTACAAGGGCCTGGAAAGCGTTCCTCAAGCATTGATCGCGCTTGGTGCACGCGACACTTGGGGCAAGGTAGTCGTTGAACTCGGAGAGCATGAAGGCGAAGAAGGAAAGAGTAAGCTGTGAAGCTCGATGATCGCGTATAACTGCAAAAGATCGTTGCCGTGGGATCGAAGTTTTCTATCTCTGGGTAAAAGGCTCCCTCCTTCGTAGACTCCATAAAACTGCATTGATACTTTTTGTCTGTTGGGCAGGTGTTTACTGGACAGCAATGGCTTCAATCTCAACATCAACGCCCTTGGGAAGCTCTCGCACAGCGACACAAGTTCTGGCAGGCTTGTGGGTGAACCACTTCTCGTACTCGCCGTTCATCTCTGAAAAGTGCTTCATGTCCGACAAAAAGACCTGTCGGAAATCGTGAGTATTCAGTGCATGGATACATCCAGCCAGATGATATAAGACTTACTCCGACTTTGACGACTTTAGGAATGCCGCTTCCAGCTTCCGTTAGAATAGCTTTGAGGTTCTTGATGCACTGCTCGGTCTTCTCTGCGATGGAACCTTCCACCAGCTTGCCGGTGCTATCGGCAGGGATTTGTCCAGCGCAAAAGACTTGACCGGCGGCTTTGATGGCCTGGCTGTAAGGTCCAGCAGCTGTTCAGACGGGACAGTCAGCTCAGAAGCTCTCATGCCAGATTACACATGCTTACGAGGACAGGCGTCTTTGGTGAAGACAGGAGTCAACTGAGAGTCCATTCTGGCGGGGTAGGTGTGAAATAAACGAGGGGTTTGTTGAAGGACAACGGAGATAGGCTTGATATATCGTGGGAGTAGAGGACGACGAAGCAGAGTATTCCGAAAGGATATTGACATTCGGGAAAGAAGAAAGAAGTCCGTCACTTATGTGATGTTCCAGGGCGTGCGTTGTGGGTATCTGGAATTTCTTCGCAATGCACTCAATGGAACCACCAGACTTGTTGCCAAGCGTGAGGTCGGCTGCATTATGGTCGTTGACGGCGGTAAATTATTTTAGCTAAGACTCAGACTCTCAGACTCTCACCACGCAGATCTGGAGAGACAAGTCCATCTGGCTATCTACGCCGTTCGATGCGTTCAAAGGCTTTTTATTTGCCCCTTTGAGTCGCCGAAATGTTTGCCAGCTCCCATTGCTAGGTGCTGGCGGTTAGCACAGATCGTAGGGTTCGTGGTCTCACAAAGCTGGCTCCTGTTTCTTCGGTTCAATCAACGGGAGCAACTCGATGGTTGGCATCAGGATGATATCGCTCATGCACTCTCGAATGTACACGAAGCTATTCCAAGGATTGTCCCAGGTGTCAACCACGTACGCAGGAAGATCCAGAGACGTCCAACCAATAATCCCCTTGAGTCGTGCCTGCAATGCCAATATCGTCTTGCCAAATCGGCTCGGATCGGATCCGTCCATCTTGTACTTGTTGATCAAGAGGTCGAGGAGCATCGTCTGTTCGTCTGGCGTTGGCTTGTAGACCATGCCACCAGCTTTCGATGCTTTGAGAGGAGCGTCTTCCGGTGCATCGACTCCCGGAGCCACTACAGCAGTGACGAGATTGTACTTGGGGAACAGCGACGCCATTGCCTTCTGTACGCGAAAGTCTTGATCTGGTGTGGTTCCGCCGGCTTTGTCGGCGCCAAAGACATCACCACCCGTATCCACAATGAGTACAGTGTTTATAGGGTGCGCCGCTTGAGCGAGCACGGCTTGGAACTGATCCTTGAGCTCTGCCTTGTCACCTGCGGGAATATCAGAGGTTGACTCGCCTTGGTCAAGTACTATAAAAGTCTTCCCGTGGTACTGAAGCGGAATGGTTTCGAGGTCTCGTCCCTCTGCATATGTGTCAGTCTTGACTCGAAAAGTCCCAGGAACAGCTCGTCCATCTGCTCCGAGTGCCGGGCCATCATGTTGATACACTTCGCGCTTGATTCCTAGCTTGGAACCTTTCTTGCCCTGTGATCCAGTCGCCCAAGTACGAGTCGATACCAGAAGCTCCATCTGCTTGTTATGCCGTCGTAGTAGATGGCCGAGCAGGCTGGCGCTAATGATATCAGATCCTCCCCCACCTCCAACTCCAGCGTACTCGTGACTAGAGGACTTCTCTCCTGGTAGCAAACTGGAAAGTGACCGAACTCTAGGTAATTGACTGAAAGACATGAGCAGGACGGGCCTCCACACGGCTCTCATGGGGATGTCCTCATTTAAGGTGGGCTCGAGTATGACTTGGTCGTTGATAGCATTCCGTTGCTGGTCGAGGCGATCCGTTAGAGGTCGGAGATCTACGCAGGGGTTGTGTCTGAAACATTCGTGGTGAGGTCGTCCTCTTCGAGCCGCTGCAAGAGTCTTGCACAGAGCCACATGACACTCGTCGTAGACGCGGGCGAGGGTCAGAAAGCCGACTTCCAAGGGCAACAAGCCTAGAGTTTTCACCAGTGCTTCTTCGGAAAGCAGCTTGCACAGCGGCCGCTCTGATGTTGGGTGGACAGTGTTGATATATTGTCGTCGTAAGACCGTACAGACATTGCGAGATGCAGCGGTGTAGGCTTGCTGTACATCGTCGAGCTGGCGTTCGAAGCGGGCTGCAAGATTGCAGCACAGGGCATCCTCATCGGCAGGATCATGCATCGTTGTCGCGGCCCGAAGTAGTCCAGTCTGGCGACGACAGCTGGGAAAGATCTTTTGATATCTTTATCGAAAAGGCGACGACGATCTCTGGCCACTTTCAGTGCCGTCAAATGAGCGACTGGGGCGAATGTGAGGTCTTTCTGGAACGCATTCGGCTTCACAACCGAGTCACCCAGTGACACCCAAGCTGCCAATCCAACGCGGATGCGGTGCCAATCACATTTTGAAGGAGACTGTGGGTTTCTGTGGTGCCTTTCTCGATGACTGTTAGAAAGATGTTTGTGGGAGGATCTTTCTGAGGAACTTTGGTCAAACGGTTGACCCTTTGTTCACTGCCTCATCGCTAGCGCAGGAATGCTTGATGCAGGTGGCCGGGGTGGTGGGATGTCAGCGAGGTGATTCGATGACTGAAGGAAGAGACTCACTAACTTACAGTAGACCCATGCACGCCTATGATGAACCCCTGTGATCCCTCCTCAAGCCCCCCCCCCCCCATGCATTCATGACGCCCAGTGAGCCTCCAGTGGCCTCTGTCATCCGTCCGCTAATGCAACACGTTCCAGGTCACCACCAGTCACACAATCACCCAGTCACCCCAACTTCACAGCCACCACAAGGCCCATGCAACTCCATCCTCTTTGGAGGGAACTTTGGTTATATTCTGGATCCGTCCCTCATCTCAGCCCGGTTTCTAAGCAGTCATCTTATTGCTGCTTGTGAAATGACGCTGCTGGTGATGATTCCCCGGTCTCTGGGACTTTTGGTTCATCATCACTCACATATCTTATGATCGATCATCGATGAGATTCTGGGGTAGAAGACTTCAGAGCTTCGAGCGACCGCATATTTTGTTTTAATATACGGCTCCGCCCGCCCTGCAAGCTTGGAATCCTACCATTTTGCGCTCCACAGGGCACTTCACCATGGAACAAAAAGTCTCAAAGCTTACAATCAAAGAGGATTGGGAGAGATGGCGTCCAGTCTTTACACACCTGTACATCGATCAAGACCATACTTTGCCAGAGGTCATGAAGATTATGGAAAACGACTACAAAGTTTGTGCAAGGTAAGGCTATCGCAGTGAAGGTGACACTATCTTCCGGAGGCATATACCGGTCGTAATCGAGCATTGTTCGCGGCTCTAAAGTGTAACTGGGATGCTTCCGTCAGATAGTGCCGTTTCTTCTTCTCAACACCCACCACCCCAAACCTCAGCACTGACGATCTCTAGCTTGAAGAGATATAAAAACAAAATCAAGGAATGGGGCTTGCGCAAGTACCTCAAGGAAGATGAAGCCCAACAGATTGTCAACGGCGAGATATCTACCACTCGAGCGATCCGCACCGCTGGCGACCCTGAGCAGGCTCTGAAACGGGCCGCACGCTCTCTCAAGCGACGAAGAGCTCGCCGACGAAGTCGAGAAGCACATCAGACTTCAACCGAGGCGTCCGAGCCTTCGAGTCCACCACTTTTGATTTCCTCACCGGTCGAAATAAGCGACAGCATGACTCTCTGGAGCCCTTCTGCGGCAAGTGTACTGTCATCGCCCATTACCATCGAAAGCATTCGCCTATCCACCGGCACCACAGAACAATTCCTATTCAACCTCCGCGCTTGGACGCACGAAGCATGCTCCCGTGGTGTGTGGGACGTGCAACTATCTGCACAACATCAGAGCGGACGCCGAGCATCACGATTACTCTCCTCCTATCTCACCTCGGGCATCACCCTGTTCGAAAATGGCAAGCGGCACCTCGCCTTTGGTCACTGGGATCGTGCTTTTTCCGGCTTCCAAAGCCCCAACCTCTTCAAGTCGTGGTATCACGATATCCCCATGCGCCTACTCTTCGAAGTGGGACGCGTGGCCCACAGCGGACATCAAAACCTTGCAGCGATCCTACTTAAGAGCATCAGGAACTGGGCACTCACGTTTCTCGATGAAAGCGACTGTCGCCGCGCACTCTTTGCCACCTTTGGAGAACTCGAGGTCGGTCAGCTGCGGGATCTGTATGACCGCGCAGCCAAGTGCATGTTCAAGGGCCTCGAGTCTCGGGTGGACAAGCACAATCACTTGCTTTACGAAGTGCGCCTCAACAGAGCCCTGGACATGTTATGGTACGACGCCGACACCGACCTGTCCGAGTGGCTTCCCCAGATTGGCGAGGTCGACCAGGCTTGCGGTCCCAACAACTATTATTCCGTCTATTTCCTCCTGCTCGAAGCTTACCGGCTGGTAGCCCATGGCTCTCAATCCGACGTCGACGACATCTGTCAGCAAGTGGAGAAACGATTGAGAGAGCTGAAGGAAGCCCACGGCAACATCGACTCCTGGCGCGTGGGGCTAGGCTACCGTCGACTTGGCCGACAGCAGTTCATCAAAGGGCAATATGGAGATGCCCGTCGCAGTTACAACACTGCATTCAAATACGTCCGCAATGACCCACAGTTGTCGGACGCCGTGCTCATCGAGATTTGCCAGCGGCAAGTGAGCATGGCCAGCGCCATGCATGATGAAGTAGACGAAATACTCTGGCGCGGCATGTTGACACGGCTGGAACAGCAAACCAAGACACAAGGTGGGGGCGACGCCATACAGAGAGCGTCGACCTTCAGCCATAGCCCAGGCTATATTGAGCCCAATTCTGAGACGACTGTGCCACTCCCGGGAAGCCCGAAACGAGCGATGACTTTATGATATATGTGGGAAAGATCTTTACGATGGTCTGACAGCTTGAGACTGCTTGATGGCGATATGATGACTTATGATGTTAGCAGGGCGTTAAGGTGGTGGATAGCGATTATCAGCCCGAGCCTCAGTAGTGACTCGCTTTCTTCAGGTACGCTTGTAATTCGAACCAGGTCTTCCCCCTGGTATGAATAACATTCCACATCAGATCAATCTTTTGTAGCGTTTCTCATTCTCTGCACGATATCCTGCCTTGCCTACACTTTGTCGGCTACATTCTGTCCGGCCGCGTCTCCTGACATCTTGAACACGATCTTGTGCACCTTCCTCTGCTCAAAGTCCTTGTACGCCTGTGGCGCATCCTCGAGCGACATGGTCTTCCCACACAAGAACGCGACCTTCTTCTGCTCCTTGACCAACACCTCCAGCGCGTCCTCGAAGATACTCCGCACAGGACACCGGCCAAACGCCATGGTCACGTTCTTCCCATAACAAAGCAGCCCATTCAAGGGCAGCATCTCGGTGTGTACGCCGACGGAACTGATCTGGCCCCACGGACGGATCAGGTCGAAAGCCAGCATAAATGCGTCAGAGTGCCCGACGACTTCGAGAACGACGTCTGCGCCACGCCCGCCGCTGGCCGCTTTGATCTTCTCGACGGGGTTGTCGTTCAAATTGATCGGGATGGCGCCGATTTTCTTGGCTTCCTCGAGACGCTCCGGCACAGAATCGATCGCATAGACGGTCTTGACCATGGTGAGTGCACAGGTGATGGCGCAGATGCCGACAGGTCCGCATCCGATGACCACCGTAGTAAATTCGTCCCGGTCGCGTTGGGGCAGATTCTTCAAAAACCGCGACGCCGCGAAGTAGCCTGTTGGGAAGATATCGGCCATGAGGACGAGCATTTCTTCGGGGATGCCTGCCGTTCAACGTTCAATTAGCTCCAAGATGCCCAAGCAGCCCAGAAAGCCCGTTGAGTGCTCATCTCCTGGTAACAACAAGTGGATACGTACCCTTTGGGGTCTTCACAAGCGTGCTGTTCGCCAACGGCACGCGCACATACTCGGCCTGCCCGCCGTCGACCGAGTTCGCGGGGACACTGTTGCCGAACAACTCGCCCTTGGAGCAGCGACTGGCCTGGCCCCTGACGCAGTAGTAACACTCCTGACACGCCGTGTAGAAGGGCACGACGACCTGGTCCCCAACGGAGAAGTTTGACACTTGATCGCCCTTTTCGACGATCGTCCCCACGAACTCATGCCCACAGATGAAGCCCGGTGGACACTTGAGATGGCCGCGGTAGTAGTGCAGATCGGAGCCCTAGGTTAGACACGGTCAGAACCCCGAGCATTTGGCACTGTGCACTGGAATGGACCAAAAAAGGGCATGGAGAGGGCAACAGAACTTACACAAAGAGCGGTCGATGTGACTTTGAGCACGACGTCGGTTGGTTTCTGGAGCTTGGGGTACGGGCGGTCCTCGACGGCGACCTAAAGTTTCGCGGCGCACGAGGTTAGCATTTTGTAAGCTGCTCGAAGAGATCGTTGGTCGTCGGGGCATGGCTGAAAAAATCGAATACTGCATAGATCATGTATACGGACCTCGTAGTCGCCCTTGAGCACGACAGCGCGCATGGTAGCTGGAGGCATGGTGGCAGTCGTAGTCGTAGTCGTAGTCGTAGTCGTAGCCGATACTTTCCTTGCTTGCTTGCAGGGCTACAAGTGAATAGAGATAGACGGAGATAGGCTTGACTTCAGTGGTTGACTCAAAGGGCTGTTATGAGTTGCGAATGTCTACAGATTCAATCAAAGCGATCACACCCACAACACGAAACGAGACGTTGGAGACTGTTCTTTTCTTTCGGCTGGGTTCACGGGAGCTTTTTGTACATGGCGATCGTCTGTGAACCGCCATGACCTTCGTATCACCCCGCTCGTTCGTTGCAGAAAAAGCCGAAGCCGAAACATGCGGGGATTCCGTTCAGCCTTTCAGCCTCGCGGGCTCGTCTTCTTTCTCTTGAGTACTGTACCTACCTTAGATACGATCAAAGGCCGATGGCGGGGAGAAGGGCGTACCAAGGCGCTTCACACGGTACAGTCGGAAATGAAGTAGAAGTAAGACGTCGTATATCATGATCTTTTCATTTCCTATTTGCACATTTTATCCTTGCGTGGGCACGTGGGTAACATCCCTGGGCCATTTTCCCTCAATGGGATCATTCCCCGACCTCGACTCAATCGAGTCGTTTCAATAGTCGTAATCATCATATGCACTTCCATCATATCGTCTCCTTATACTGCCAGCTATGCTACTCAAATCCACACTTTGTCTCTCATCCGGTCGTAGAGAGTTCCCCGACGGCTTCCGGTCGTATGTAGAAGAGTAGGTCAGCGCTTCTTTCGGCAGATCTTGCCTCTCATATGGGGCTTGTCGTGGTGCTCGCACTGGATCGGGCTGAGGGTATCGCGCCTGTTGACTCGGTAACAGGGCCCGCCCTGACGCCGCTGCCCGGACTTGATCGTAAGCTGCAGAAGCCGTGGCCATTTGCTCCCTAGCAGGGTTTCGGGGCCCCGGCGATGCGACAAAATCGAAGCTCGGGACCGAAGCAGGAATCGAGTTCCTGAACGGATTTCCTTGGTCTCCATATGGACTTTCATCGTCACGCAGCGCATTCGAAGACAGAGGTCTTGCCGAGGTCGGTGTCGGGGTTGCCGTGTAACTCGTAGGAGTATTATCGGTGCTATCATTATTCGACGAATATTCATCCGGATTCATGAGCGACAATTTCGGCGGACCTCCTGGAGCCAGGTCGGATTGCGAACTCGCGTGTGAATAGCTTCCAAACTGCTTGTGCAGGTCCTCAGCATCGGCGTTGGGGTCGAAGAACTTTTCATCGGTCATGTAAGGATTATTTCTGTCGTCTTCATCAAAATTCGACGTTGGCATTTCAACCACTCCTTCTGGGAGGGTGTAAGGTCTGTCGGTGAGAGATACTCCAGCATTCTTCTCGGTAGGTGTCGCATCGTCGTAAAGTCCTGTCGGATCAATTTGATAATGGTTGGGTGGCAGAGAAAATGCCAACTCTGGAACGCCACTCGAGCGGTTGACGGTGTTGACAGGTGCATCAGGCTGGATACTGCTCTGCGACTCAGAAGCAACTGATGCTCTGGCTTGACCAGCTTGACTGGGAGTTTTGGTCATGATGCTCACCGACTTGCGTTCCCCCGGGATCTGGAACTGTGAATCTGGTCCATCCGCATCACGAATACCAAATTGAGCAATAGTACGCAACTTGCGCGTCACCCATGAAGCCAGAATTTTCCCTCTCTGCTTCTCGGACAGCCGGCTCCGTGGGAAGTCTCCTTGCCCGACAAAGGCAACAATATCAACCACGATTTGATGTTCGTGGAGAACGGCATTGACAATGACTGGGACAATCGAGGCCAGATAGGCCTTTCGGAAGACCTCAACCACAACCACAACCAGTCCACCAGCTTGGAACACGGCACAACCACCCGGGATGATGTTTCTGTGGCACCTCTCGATGCTGTTCTCAATGTCGATAGGAAAGTGATTGAGGCCATTGATTTCGAATGTCTCACCGATGCTTCCAAGCACAAACAGAATTTGCATCTCGACAGGCTGGTTTCCAGGACCAATAGGCCTCGTCACATTATGAAGAAAGCCCAGATCACCTGTTCGAACATAGGTTTGATTGGGATCGCCACCCATAATGCGACCGTTGAACCTCTCCTCATCGAAGAGCTGCTTGGACATGTAGAAGGATTTGGCACAAGCCTCTGATTGTACCCATATTTCGCCAAACTCGCCAACGTGGCAAAGCTGACATGTCTCAGGGTTCACAATGGCTATGCGTGTTGATACCGGCACCATTCCGGAGTCCTGGACGCTTAGCGCAGTTGGATCCGTGTCAGGGTCGACAGGGTAGATCAGGCCCCGTCGCAAGGCCCGAGTGTCCAGCCAAAGTTCTATCGGCTCTATCGACATATAGCTGCGAGACGCTATCATTGGGTTGAGAACATGGGCATAGATGGTGTTGATGGCAGTCCTTTCAAGCCCGGTCTGAGCGAAATGCGCTCTCGCTTTGGAAAAAAGGTCTAGGCGCGGCCGATTCTCAGCTATGATCATAAGATTCTTAAGCTCGTGCAGTGAAAAGCCCTTGCCGACGACATGCCCCATGGCGAAGTCCAGCATCTGGCTGGTTGCATAAGTGTCTTTGACTTTGTACCTGGATAAAGCTAGGAATAGTGAACCGGGATTTTGAGCAAAGTCAAGCGGCGACATCAGATAAGTGGTGCTGCCATTGTAGACACCCATCATAATGGTGTGGAGGAACCCAATGCCGATCGTACTTCTGACACAAGCAAGTACCGGCTTCGAGCTCGTCATCTGACAGGTTTCTTTTTGGACTTTGCACATACCAAGGATCGTGTCATGCCCCAGCTGGACAGAGACTCGTCGTTGGTCAGGGGTCCAGTAAGTCCAGATCAAGACAGGGTTAGAGGGCGATACCCAGGACCGATTGATTGTAAGTCCGAGCTCCCTGCAGCCGTGCGATTGCTTCGAAGGCTTCCCAGTGTTGTATACACTCGGAATATTGGTCTTGAGATATTGCGCAGACTGTTTGAGATGCTGTGAGACAATCTTTTGCTTGAAGAGATGATCGACATCGGTATTGCAAAGCACAGCTTTCACACCCATATCTGCAACGATGTGAAGATATGCGGGCGCATCCTCAGAGAGTCGGTTGGCGTCCAAGGGCGCAACTGGAATGGCAATGGCCCCAATGACCATACAAGCATAGACGGCGAAGACGTAGTCCTCCGAATGGGTGTACATCAAGACGACATGATCGCTCGGCTTGATCTTCACCTTGTTTCGCAAATACAATGCCACCGCAGCCACTCGTTGATCGAACTTCTTCCAGGTGAGGGCCTTACCCTCTTTGCCTCTGCCGTCGATGGTGCAGTATGCAAGTTCATCTGCTTGCCGAGCTACGCGCCATTGCATCAGATCGAAGATATTTGTGAAGTTGCTCAGCGCTGTGGATGTACGATCGTCAATGACAACTTCTCGAGGATCCACTCCTGACCATTGCGTCTCTTGCTCGTAGAGAAGTTCAGCTCGAGCCGCACTGGCGGTGGCTGACCATATGCCACCGCTGATGTCCTCACCAAACGGCAAATTTTGGACCGCCCGCTCCACGCCAAATTTGACATGTACGCAAGGCAAAGAGCCATTGTCGAATTCTTTGCGACAGAGCATATTACCAATCTCTCGTCGGCCATTCTTCGTCACTCTAGGCAAGATGCCCGGCGCGGTGATGAGAACGCAGTATACTCTGAGGTGATGTTCCTGGTAGAGAATTTCCATGGTCCGTTCGGCCAAGGAATCCAGAAGCGCAATATCAAGCTGCCGAGGAGGGCCACCTGACGATACAGGGGCGGTCGAGGCCGACGCAGACTCCAGCAGGATGATCGGAAGGTGCTCGTCGTTCACAAAACAGTCAAACGCCGAACAGTCATGGATCTTGGGCACATTCTTCATGATGCTGAGGATGAGGTGTTGAACGAAGAAGTAGCGATGTTCCTGCACCGCTAGGCCATGCTCAACCCACTCGACCCTCTGCCTCAAGCGGTCTTCGTACAGCCCGAGTACGTAGATCTTCCCTTCGATCACGCAGCCGAGAAGACCGGTCCGCAGGAATTCAGGATCGATAGCAGTCGGTGTCGGATTGCCTTCCTTGAAGCAGTAAGGTCGAGCGTGGAATATTGTCTCAGTATGCTTGGGCAATGCCCAGAAGCCGCCTGAGAGTGATGGTGAATCGACCCAGATCTCGCCGATTGAGTTCGGGGTGCACAGAAGACCAGACTCTGGATCAACCACCGCGAGTGTGGCATCGGGAATGGGGTATCCAAAGGCTCCGCATCGGACAGCATTGGGGAAGGAACTCGCTTTAGCACGTGCTTCTGAGCCCATTGCGAGGACTAGAATGTCGTTGGTCTTCAAGGCCTCCTTGTCGAGCAGGACTTCACCGAGGTCTTCTGTTGAGCGTTGCTGGGCAGGTTTAGTTGTGCCGCCGCCAATCAAGCTACTGCCAAAGCCGGATTTACTAGCTGAAACTTCGTCTTCCTTCTTTTCTTCGACTTCATGGTCGTGGTCCATCTCATGACTCAAGGAACAGCCCATTCTTTCCTCACCACCCAGCCAGTCTCGCATGCTGATCACCATGCCACCATGTTCAGGGAGACAGAGCATGGGCGCCACGATCTCGCGAGCTCTGGGATTGCGAAGCGGACGCAGCCACCGATCTGCTAGAAGTTCGTGGAACTCAGCGTCCACTGTCAAGGTGTCAATCATGCATAGCTTGACGCTGTTGAAATTAGGCTCTGAGCCACGTTTGTAATTTCTCGTGGTCATAGGATCTGCTTGATAGTTGTACACAGCTCGTTTAAGACCAGGGTAGTCTGCTACCAGAAGTGTTGTCTTATATTTGGTGATCAAATGGGCGTACAGTCCTGGTGTCTCGATACTTCGCTGGTCGATGTAGATTACCGTGTGGCCGCCGTAGATGTTCAAAAGGACACCGAGGATCATTCCAATGCTCTGCCTTGGATCCAAATAACTGAGAGTAATCTCGCCATACCTTGAACCAGTGATCAAGTGGCCTTGCTTGTCGCGTAAAGATGGGTTGAACGTGTCAGCTCTGGTATTGCTTGTCGCTGATGTGATCATTGCGCTGAGCGTAGCCATCTGATGCATGATAGTCTTGTGACTCATGACAACGCCACGAAGGTCGCCAGTGGGAGCAGTCGAGAACTCAATATATGCCAGGTCTGGGACCACCAGGGGATGCTCCTCGCCTCTTTTCTTAGGATGAAAACTGCCGAATTCATTGGTTTTCCACCATTCAACACCACGAGGCCAATTAAGCTTGGCGGCGGTAATGTCTCGCTGGAAGTTCTTCAAGTTCGCTTCGGTGGTCAAGGCGAGATGTGCCTGCGTCGAGGTCAACACGACATTCAACCGAGCATAGTTCTTCAAGTCGTTGATCGGTACCGCAACCACACCTGCAATGAAGCAACCGAGCAGTGCCACAGCAAACTCGATGATCTCGTTCTCGGTGTAGATCAAAGCGACGCGATCGCCCTTGTATAGACTGCTCTTGTCCCGGATGACCTGGGCTACCTTTTCCGCACGACTGCAGAGCTTCTCCCACGTGATGGAAACGATCTCCTTGCCTTTCTGATCGAGCACCCAATACGCTGCCTGCTTGGAATTTGTCTTTGCACGATGCCGAAGCACTGCTGCGATGTTATCAAATATGGACATCTCGATATGCGAATCGTGCGGATCACAAATAGCAAAAGGGACCTCTCGGGGCTCCAAGGGCATCTGATGAATCGCTGATCCTCCGGCGAGCTCGCCAGCACCCAAGAATGGCGGAGCCATTTGGGCTGTGGGAGAGGTCACCTCGCCCTGAGAGTATCTTTGCACATTGCCTCCGTAGGTCTCCTGTTGATCTTCCCTTTGTTGTCCGGCAAAGTCGGAGAAGTAGCCCTGCTGCGAGTCCAGCATCGTAGAGTTGCGCGTGTCTGGACCGCCATAGTTCTGATGGGTCTCGGGCTTGAAGGCATAATTCTGGCTCAGGAGAGTCTGGGTGCGGGAAAAGTCGTTGTTCGCAGTCAAGAAGGTATCGTTTCGATTGTCGTACGTCGAGCCTGATATGGATCCACGCGATGTAGGACCTGCTTCCCGCTCTTGAAATCTCTGAACATGGCTCTGGGGTGTCGAACTCCTTCGAGGATCATCTGAATATTCATCCATGATGATGGAAGCCTGCCGACCCGTCCCGGGATAGTTTTCTGTCATTGTCCCATTCCTCGAGTGCCCGCTCACAGAACGCCCAGTAAGCGCCGCGAGGGATGCTGCTCTGGAGGCATCATTAGAGGCAGGATGGTCGCTGTCGTCGGGGGAATGCACGCGAAGTCCCCGGGATTGCGATGGTTGAGGACTTATGTACTGGGAAAGAATGAGGGTCCGTCTCTTTTCATATCCTTTCCTCGTGATGTCCCCCTCTTCAAGTTCTTCGTCGAGCTTGCGCAGAGCATCCTCCAGCTCAGGATTGACACCGGCCATTTTGGGAGTGCTTTGTGACCATCGAGTCTTTCTACAGGGTTTCAAGCACCAATCCGCCTGACAGGCGATTCGTTGCGACTGCCGGAGCACCTGAAGCCGGAGGTGTTAAAACAATAACAGGGACTAAGCGAGTGACATGCAAAAGTTGGGTGAAATGGTTGTGGATGAGTGGTTAATAGAGCCCAGTTCGAAATGCGAAACTGCCATGGAACAATCGGGGCGCGTGTGGGGATCGAGATTGTCGTCTCTTCAATGGCATAGTTACTGAACATCACCACTTCTATGCATTTTGGCGCAGACGGCCGGACGCATTTATCATCATGCTTTCAATTTTTCCACACGTTCAAGATGATCATCAAGAGGAGCACGGTTTCTCAGCAAGTTGCTCCCACATCATTGGTATTCGGGTATCATTGAAGATTTGATACTCTATCTCTATCTGTTTGTGCCGGACTCCGCGACCCAAATGGTTGGTAACGCCTACCTAGAGGCTATCTGAAGACATTACGTAGAACAAGCAAGGGTCGTCGTAAAAGCTGGAGTGTGCCGCTGATGTGTAGGTGTAATTCACTGACAAGATGAGCCGAATAGCCAACATTGCATCGCCAAATCCACCATGTTGAAAGTCATGGTGAAAGTAGCTGATCGGTTTGCCAGGTCTGGTGATAGGGAGAGTCCTCACTTGCTGCAAGACGGGGTTTGACCTCACAATCGGAGGATTCATAACACCTTCTTCGCAGAGGACATGTGTTGGTTCGATATATTTGCATTGATCAGAAGCTCGGTTGCTCTGGATCAAACCTGATGCGAGAAGCCTGGAGGCTTCGAAGCTGGTGATTGAATAGCGCCACCGGGGTCGGTGATGTCGCGTGAATCGGGTGCTGAAAGCACAGTACAGTTGGTGGAATCACAGCATCTCAGTGCGAGACCAACCATCATTACGCCTGGCTTTCAAGTAACGTATAGACGGGAGCATTGAGTTTGCTTCGACCTTTCAAGAATGTGAGCTCAATGATGAAAATGTAGCCAAGTAACGTCCCGCCACATTTTTCAACCAGAGTGCCAGCGGCAGAAGCTGATCCTCCGGTCGCGATCAAGTCATCCACAATCAAGACTTTTTGACCGGGTTGTATGGCGTCTGCTTGCATGGCAAACGTGTCGGTGCCATATTCCTTTTCGAATGTTGCAGTCTCAATTTTTCCAGGGAGCTTGCCCTGCTTCCTGACTGGGACGAATCCAGCCCCGAAACGCAAAGCCAATGTTGGACCAAAGAGGAACCCTCGTGCATCGAGGCCGACAATCACATCGGGCTTGTTGCTGTGGCCGAAGCTCTCAACAATTTGCAGTTCATAGGCTCGGATGAGATCTTGGTGTAGATTGTGCGAGGAGAAGAGTGGGAAAATGTCTTCGAATAGTATGCCTTTCTGTAGCGAGGCTGTCAGTGATCATCGGTGCCAGGATTTTTCTGAAATGCACCTTGGGAAAGTCTGGGTACGTTCTCAACCCAGCTTTGATGCGAGCTTTTAGTTCTGGCAACGCTTGAGGACCGGAGAGTTGGGAGGCTATCGGGGGTCAGTGAGGCTGCGACATATCTTGGGGCAGAGTGTCAACATACAGGTGGCGGTGGCATGGGACTCTGATCGCGCGGAGCCATGACTGTTGACAATTTCTTCAGGAAGAGTCATGCTGAGAGGAAGCAGTCAGATCTAGGAGGCGGCTGGCAGGATAAATATGGGACGAGAAAAAAAAGATGACAACAAAGTGCCGTTGCACAAGTCGAGCGGCGCAGGACGAATCAGTTGCGCATGCAAGGGCGTCCACAGTAGTGGAGGACGTGGTGGGAAGCTGGATGTCGCTAGGCTCGGGACATGGGAGCGCTATTCCACAGTCGCCTGTGGTCTCCGAGCAGTAACCTCACTCACTGCTCACGCAAAAGCTGTTTGACAGATTTCTATGGTGGCATGTGTTATGTTACAAAGAGCAGTCAGCGTCCGTTCCCAGCAACCTTGGAAGGTTTTGACTGACGTGATTGAAGCCGAAGGTTGCGGGAGAGGGTGAAACTCTCCTCGATTGGGATGTCCGCGACACAGCGGTCTGCGTGTAGAAGCGATCCACTCGGCAGCCTTTCTGATCAAGGCACCAGGCTCAACGGGATGAAGAGAGTTGACCCAGGTGGCCATGGTGGCCGTGGTGGCCGTGGCATGTGTAGGATGATACCCCGATCCGAGGCTTCGAGAATTACGATAGGCGTGGATAGGATGTCGTGACGGGTTCTGTTTTCCCACTCGACAAACCGGTTCGGGCCAAAAGGTGGGATGTCTGGGATGTTCGGTGCCTGGGCTGATAAGGATCTCTGATAAAGCGACATGGGCCGCCACTGATGAAAGCACCAGCGCAAAGGATTGGTTGATGTGGTGCTGCATTTCTACACCCGTGGGTGACGGTTGTTACAGTTGTCACTTCTGCTCAATGCTCATGCATGCAGATGGCCACCAGAGCACCAGAGACAACACCATGCCACCTGGATTAGTGGCTCCATCTCCTGACAAACGGGCCGCAGTGGGGGGGAGGGTGGACGTCCCATATGAACGAGAGGCATTCAAGGCCGCATTATTATTATTGTCGACTTATCATGCGCTGGTGAGCAAGATTATTGTTTGGCAGTTGTCGTAGCATCACTTTGTTGTCTTGGATTCGTGTGTTTTTCTCCGCCGACTTGCAGGCAGTGCCCTCTGGGTGCCCTCAGGATGGCGAATTTGATACGAGCTGGCAAAGCGCCATGCCTGCATTTGACTGAGCCATCACTTTTCTGTGCTACGCGCGGCCAAGCGAGGGCAAGCCACACGATCCTTCTCCATCCAGTCCATCGCATCCAGCCTGACCCGCCGGCTGTCTGCCTGTAATCCCCGTAAGAGGACATGTTCTGGATTGAAAGGATCGGCCTCTGCATCTTGAAGATCATTTCGTGATCGGCACAGGCTCACAAAGATCAATGCTTGGCCTCGAAGTTTTGTTCAAACTCCCAACTGAAGCAAGATTTCCCGTTCACATGGTTTGGTGATTGATGGAAGTATTTGCTGCATGGAAGTAGCGGTCACAAACAATGCAGCTGTCATCAAGGGTTCTGCCACGAAGCTACTGCAAGCCTCTTCCACAACATTCATCCTTGACCCTGGGCCATCTCACAAGTTCCCATTCCATAGACCTTCGTATGGAGTACTGTCCAAAACTCATCCTAGACAAGAATCTGTCCCAAGAGATTTATAGAAACAACTGGACCTGTTGTCATGCTCCACAGGCATTAAGACTTTTCCTGTTGTTTGAAAATAATACCCGCTCATCCGTTCATGTTCGCTGCAACGTCCCGCGGCACAGACTTACCATACGACAAATCCAGTAGTTGTTCGAGTCTTCAAGTAAGTCACAACGCACAGATGTACAAGCGAGTAACTTACGATCTTTAATCTCTTTGACAAAGAACCTGCTCGTTTGTCCACCACCACCACCACCACCACGATCATGCACATCTGGATTTGCTGAACCCCTTAGCTGGAATTCAGGTTCTCCTACTCGTTACCTAGTTCTGACCACCCTTGCTGGATTTGCTTCCATCTTCGTTCCTCCTCACCGTTGATACGTTGTCTGAGCACGAAATCGATATCTGTCATGCCTTGGTGGGATACGTGGATGAAGGATAAGACTTGATGCATTGAAATTCTAGTCTCAGATGTGGCTCAACTCTGGGAAGTCTTTGCAACCTGGGTAGCCATAGCTAGCTACATCCAATATGACAAGACACTGTACCTGAGGCATTTGAACGAATCGCTCAACGAGTACTCCGTACATCAGAAGAGATACTTGTATGCGATCTGCAAGTCATGGGCCGCCCAATTCGTTCCAGAACGTTACCGCTTTTGGCGGAAACAGTTCTCAGAGAGACTCGCCGGCACTTGAAATGAAAGCCGAAGTTTATCCGGTCCGCCCAAAAAAATAATCCTACAATTCAATTCGAAGACATTTCCTGTCACATTAAGCGCATACACTTTCTCAACACAAAATGGTCCGTTCCAGGGAAGAGGACGAATTCGTCCTGACTCTCTCCGACAACGACGATGCCCTTCACAGCGACCCTGAGTCCGATGGCGACTCACAATCTCTCAAACGCAAGCGGGATGTGCCCAAAAATGGTGCTCAAAGCAAGAGACGGAAAACTCAGGACAAGAAGAGCAAGGCCCAGCCACTTGCCTCACCACCACAGAGCGAGACTGAAAGTGATGATGATCAAGGCGTCAACGATGGCGCTATAGACTCTGATTTCGAGTTTGACATGGGCGCCAACGCAGTTATAGAAGACCTCGAGGAGTTTGACGGCTGGGGCGAAGGGGCAAACACGAACGGCAACGCAAAGAAGAAGGGTGTCGACATTGACGAATTGATTGCTCGTAGAGCGGCGAAGAAACACAAACCACAGAATAACGGCACGAAAGTCACCGGGGACGAGAGCGAAGAGGCTGGAGAAGATCTCCCTGAGGAGGAGGAGGACATCGAAGAAGATGGCGACGAGATACCAGACTTTGATGACGATGGGCTAGTAGCAGACGACACTTTCGGCGCAGGTGCAGCATCCGAAGATGAAGAAGAAGGATCAGACAGCGAGGAAGAAGCCGACGAAGAAGCATCCGATAACGACTCTGTTGCCTCACCAGTTGCCCACCCAGACGACCTGGCCTCTGACAGCGACAACTCGGACGCTGAATCAGATGCTTCGGCAGACCCCGAAGAACAAGCGAAGCGAGCAGCCTTCTTCGCTCCTGAAGAAAAGGCTGATCGCCCGAATATCAAATCTGTATCCTCATTCCAGCAATTCTCCTTATCACGCCCCATCCTACGAGGTCTGGCCGCATTGTCCTTCACAGCACCGACACCAATCCAGGTCCGCGCCATTCCAGTCGCACTACAGGGACTGGATGTCGTCGGCTCCGCTGTCACGGGTTCCGGCAAGACCGCGGCATTCTTGCTCCCCATCCTGGAACGCCTCCTCTACCGTCCACGAAAAGTCCCAACCACCCGTGTCGCTATCCTCATGCCGACCCGTGAACTGGCCGTGCAGTGCTACAACGTCGCCACAGCACTCGCCCGCTTCACCGACATCACATTCGCCCAAGTCGTGGGTGGATTTTCGCTGCGCGAGCAAGAGACCATCCTCAAGAAAAGACCCGACGTTGTCATCGCTACCCCCGGGAGATTTATCGACCACATGCGCAACTCGGCGAGTTTCGCGGTCGAGAATGTCGAAATCCTCGTCCTCGACGAAGCAGATCGCATGTTGGAAACAGGTTTCGAAGACGAACTCAACGAGATTCTGAAGACCATCCCGAAGAGTCGACAGACCATGCTTTTCTCCGCCACCATGACCGACAGCGTTGACAAGCTCGTACGCGTAGGCATGAACCGGCCAGTCCGCCTATCTGTCGACGCGAAGAAGAGCACGACAGCCGGGTTGACGCAGGAATTTGTGCGTCTCAGGCCCGGTAGGGAGAATTTACGCCTTGCTACGCTATGCCTCCTGTGCAAGAATGCCTTCACGGAGCGCACGATCGTTTTCTTCCGGCAGAAGAAAGAAGCGCATCGGGTCCGCATTATTTTCGGCTTGCTGGGAATAAAGGCGGGCGAACTCCACGGCAGCATGTCGCAGGAGCAGCGAATCAGCGCGGTGAATGCGTTCCGAGAAGGGAAGACAACACACCTCCTGGCGACGGACCTGGCAAGTCGAGGTCTGGATATCAAGAACGTCATGACGGTCGTAAACTATGAGGCGCCACAGTCGCATGAGATCTATCTGCACAGAGTTGGGCGCACGGCGCGTGCAGGCCGATCTGGTAGGGCTTGCACTATCGCCGCGGAGCCCGATCGGAAGGTCGTCAAGGCTGCGGTGAAAGCTGCAAGAACGCAGGATGCGAAGGTCGTGTCACGGGCGATGGATACCAAGGAGGTTGATGCGATGAATGAGCAGATTGAAGGCATGGAGCAGGATATCGAGGATATTCTGCGAGAAGAGAAGGAGGAAAAATCGCTTGCGCAGACCGAAGTGGAGATTACCAGAGGCGAGAATCGGATCAAGCACGATGCAGAAATTATGGCACGTCCGAAACGAACGTGGTTCGAAAGTGAAAAAGAGAAGCGTGAGGCGAAGATTAGGGGATTGACTGAGTTGAACGGGCCGAATGGGGTGGTGAAGGTGAAGGGCGAAAAGAAGAGGTTGAGTAATAAGGATAAGAAGAGGTTGGATCTGCACAGGGAGCGGGTCGACGGGAGAATGTGGAAAAAGGGGAAGGGAAGCGAGGAGGCCGCCATCAAGGAAAGGAGGGACAGAAAGAGAAAGAATGGTAATGCGAAGGCTGGGCCGAGCAAGACGAAGAGTTTCAAGAAAGGAAAGCCCAGGAGATAGCTTGGGCATTCCACATACGCAAAAGCCGACAGGCTCGAAATGAAGAATGACGTCCTTCAAGAATGTATCTTGACACAATAGTCGGCATCCGTTTTCACTTCTGTCCTGGAGGCTTCAGTTTCCCCTGCTTGATCAGATCATCCACTTTGGGAGGAAGCACAAGTGCACTTCTATCGTTCCGCCGGTAGAAGTCTGCCACGACATGTGCGGTTTTCGCAGGCTGATCTTCCTGAATGAAGTGGCCACTGTCCGGAAAGACTAGTAACTGATATTTTCCTGTGAGGACGAGAGTCAGTATCAGTGTAGAGACACCATAGTGTGCTTGAGTAGTATCCGGAGTGTACGAACCTTGCATCTGGCCAATCATCAACTCCTTGTCAAGTCTATCCGTGCCGGCAAGGAGCAGGAGCTTCCCTCCTCGAGACTCGAGAAATTTTTTGGACAGGCCGACGAACCAGCCCTCCCAGAAGGGTTTCGTGGCACCTAGATCTGTCCGCCAGGTCCATATGTCTTTAGACTTGGATTCGACGAGGAGTGAAGGCACCGAGACTCGGGCGGAAGTCGTGTTCCTTATGGTTCTGGACTTGAGGTGCCATTCGATTCCCGAGGCGAGGGAAGGAAATGATCTGGGCCGAGTTGAGAGATAGGTGTCCATGCTTGACAGAGCGTCCATGGCTGAACCTTCAACAACGTCGAGCACGCCATATGCCAGAAGGGCGTTGCCAAGGAGTCGTTCGTGGGCTACTTCGGTGACCACGGCGCCACCAAGGGAATGGCCGATGAGGACGATGTCAGGCAACGCGGACCATTTCAGCTGCGTCTTGACCGCGTTGACGACGAAGGCCAAGTCCTCGGCCAGCGTGGAGAGACTGAGGTCCTGAGTTGGTGGAGAGCCGCCGGACGTTGTGGTGGTGGTCGTTTGGCCATGGCCTCGGGCGTCCAGGGACAGCACCCCAGCGCTGGGAAGGAGTCTTAGAAGTTCAATGGTAAAAGCCGCGAATGATAGGCCTGATGATCCTGCGCCGTGGTGGGTGACGATGAGGGGACCAGTTGATGTTGGAGGGGTGAGGTAGACATGGTGGGTGATGATTTCGGAAGGGGTTCTTTGCTCAAATGATGAAGATTGAGAAAAGAAGTCGTCCCAAGGGAGAGGTGATGAGCGAGATTTGGCAGAGCTGGGGGAGTCAGTATGGGGGTACGAGACAGGGAGGGATATTTGTGTGCACCCTCTAGGTCGTTCGAATAGCTTTCGGCTTGGGGACGGGACTATTGTGCCGGTGGATGATGTCGACGAGGCTGAAGAGGATGAATCGTTCGGAGACTCTGGTGGGATGCCTGACACTTCATCCTGGTCTTCGTCACGCTCGTCAAGAATGGGAGGCGGAGGGTGAGGGGGAGCTTCTGGTGGTAAGCGAGACAGATGAGCTCGAGCAAATGCTCGCTGAAGGTCACTCATAATAGGGACAATCACAAAGTAAGAAGGCGGAAGGGATTTCGGGACAACAGGCTGAACTGCGATAAAACCATTGCGGTGGTGTCTGCTGATGCTGGCAAGCACCGAAAGGAGGGGTCAAGTTGCAGTTGGGATTGGACAAAGACACATGGGCAGGGATACAAGCTCGTAAGAGATAGGCGACGTTAGCTGGCGATCCGCCTTATTGAGACTTCTACCTGGAGTATTTTGAGGACACACATTCCCTCTGAGAAGCAGTGGACAGAGGGAGAAGGAACAGGACTCAAGGAGGATTGCTCAATGCTACTCGTAGTTCGTAGCTACGAACACCTTCTCCAAGAACATCTGGAACCTCGAGACACCAAGCCTTCATGTTTGTATCCGTATGGGTATGTGACCTACGAGTAGCAGTGAGTGCAGTGCGTAGCCTTGGGCCCATCATGACCCATGTCGAGCTGGACGGAACCACCACGACTAGCCCATGAGTGCCCATGATGGCCGTAAGCCAACGCACTAACTTAAGCTCTGTCCCGCTTATGACGTCCTCTGAATAATTTTGATCCAAGCCCGCAGCTCAACCGCGCATCGAGGCGTCTGGCCCAGCTTCCACTTCGTCACCACAGCTTCCCTGCCCTACCTTCGACCTGCGCATCTGGCCATCAAAAGAAATCGGGCTCGAGAAGAACTGTGACCAGTTCAAGCTTGCCAACATTTCCCTTGCATAGTGTCCGGCGACCCGTCTGCCTTGTGGAAGAGACAACCCTTCTTCCCCGCCGTACCACAGCACTTCATCCGACCTCCATTTGCAGCACAGATTCTGCAGGCGCCTAGTCCGACAATGGTGTCCCTCTGGGGAAGCAAGAAAAATGGCGAGCAACAGCAACCAGAAGAGGAGGATCAAGATCAAAGAGCCGCCTCTTCTCACAGCCAACCAAGCAGGCCTTCAGACGAGGCAAATGAAAGAACAAGATTGTTGCCTCGCCATGAGCATGGCGTGGGCTATCTGAGTCCAGATGATCCTGCAGTAAGTAGCTCACTATCAGGAATCGCAACCAGCTAAATAGCCCGCAGGTCTCTCCCTACAATCTATGGAGTGTCCGGGCACTACGATGGTTCGAGATCCTCTTCCTAATAGTCACCTGCTTCTGGTGGGTGTTGCTATTCATATCTATCTTCATCAGCCCACCAGGCATGCATTCGCGAGGGTCCGGCTTCTTTGATGTCGCCTATACTACTCTTACCATTGGCAACATCCTGACAGCCCTCTTGTTCTTCGCGACGCCTTCAACTGCCATGAGCATCCTCCAGATGGCTATTTCCGTCTTGTTGCTCATCGACATGATCATCATTCTAGCAGTGCCGCGGATCAGAGTTGAAGAAGGCTGGATTGGCGTTGCATCGGTCATTTGGGCTGCCCTGATCGGAGCTTACAATGTCATTACGAACAGGACAGTCAAATGGGGCAAGGCAGAAGAGGAAGAGCGCCTCACTGGTCGCCAGGAGACCCGACGCTCGCTACGGGAATGGTGTGCTGTCTTCACAGCGACCTTTCTCATGGTCATCTTCGTGGCTATCACGGTCCTCCTCACTGCGACACTGGTCCTGCGATCAAGAGATGCAACCTTGCAAGCTCCCGGGAAGCGGTATTTGGTAGACGGAGACAAGTATGCCGTTCATCTGGCCTGTGTAGGCAACCAAACATACGACGCTGATGGAAATCCAAAACCTACCGTATTGCTTGAGGGTGGATATATGCCTGTCGAGTACTCGTTCGAAGAATGGGTCTATGATGCATACGTCAATGGCACAATTGATCGATACTGCTACTGGGACCGACCTGGTTTGGCTTGGTCCGACAACGCCCCATCTCCTCACTCGGCAGGAATGTCTGCCGACGCCATCTCAGAGGCATTGGCAATTGCAGGAGAAGACGGACCCTGGATTCTCGTCTCCGCTGGCATAGGCAGCATCTACAGCCGTGTCTTCTCCGCCAGACATCCGCGTGACGTCAAGGGCATGATGTTTATCGACGGACTCCATGAGGATCTACTCTACAAAATTGCAAGCCCTGGTCGAGGCTTTGTCTTGTGGGGACGTGGCATCATATCGCCACTCGGTTTGGACAGACTTGCCGGAGCCCTATTCAAAGGCCGTACGAAGGAGGACCGAGTCTTTGGCAGATCATCCTACCAGGGCGGCAAGTTCATCAAGAACAAGCTACAGGAGAACTTGGTGGCCGAATCATTCACGAAGAATGAGGTCGTCAGTGCACGCAATATCCAAGATCCCAGTACGCCATTGGTTGTTGTTACCTCCGGAGTTCATCTCAAGCGCGACAAGGACTGGGAGCGGAAGCAGCAGGATTTAACCAAAGTCACGGACAAATTGCTGGCCTGGGATATTGTCAAGGGCGCTCCGCCCGAGGAGGTTTGGAGGTCGGAACAGGGGAAGAAGGTACTGGAGAAGAGACTGGGTCAGTTATACAAGGGGACATGACCGACAAACTGCCTCTTTTTGGAAGACGGGGTTATGATCATACTGTTCAGCAACAAAATGGCGTTAAGGAACAGGAATACGCAGTCTGTACCAGCAGAGTCATCATTAGCCAGTGGAGTTTACATCACAATCTAATAATCAACTGTGTTTTGGGTGTGTGCAATTGAATAGCCCAATGTTGTTGTAAAATGACGCGAAGGACGCTGCAAGGCTGCGGCGGCACAGAAGATGACGCCATAAAGTGGTGCCTGTGAATATGAAGCGGCGACGTGAAATATGTCCGATACCGATTGTCTCAGCAATAAGGTATCTAGGACACTCAACATCATCTCATGCCTGTTTGCTACCAACTCTTCGCTTCTCTTCCCTTCTCTTGTCACAAAGTCCCTGTCCTCTTCCTGCCTTGAGCCTCCATCCCAACTTGGCGTCTACCTAAGCCTTCTGTCATCTCACATCCTTGCCTTGTCCGCAACAGCTACTCACACCTTCCGGACCGTACTTCTTGGACCCATCCCCACGAGATGTTGTTGCGATTCGAGTCGAGATGGGGACAATTTCGTTTGAACGTCGAGCCCAATCAGCAGTTTTCATCCCTGACGAGCCAGGTAAGAAGGCCACTCTCGCCCTCGTGGCGGAAGGGTAACAGATCCGCAGATACTTGACCACCTCCCTCCAAACACGGATGCTGCCACCCTTGTTCTCAGCAATAAACCAGTCGGATCCAAGCCAGACCCTGATCGAGAACGACGGCTTGCTGACCTGCCGGGTGTGGAACTACGGCAAGTTGGACTCAAGTATATATCTGATATGAGGCGACATGAAACTTAGACTGACGGCTTCTGCTAGACATGGCGACAAGCTCTTCGTTGGATATCAGGAAGTTGAGAACTTAGCGAATGGCCACACCAATGGCGATGCCCCCTCTGCTGCTCGACGCCTGAATGGCACCATAGCCCTACCCGAGCCCAGCGAACCGATCGCCGCACCCACCGTCACCTCACCTACCCTCGTACGAAACCCTTGGGAAGTAATAAAACAGTCTGCCCTGGACGATCGCCTAGATAAGCGAGATGGGAAAATATCTCGGCCTAGGGATGCTAAGATGTGTCGGCATGGACCCAAGGGAATGTGTGACTACTGCCAACCGCTCGAGCCCTACGACAAGAAGTATCTTGAGGAGAGGAAGATCAAACATCTGTCTTTCCACAGCTATTTGCGCAAGATCAACTCGGCCACCAACAAACCAGAATTGAAGAGCTCATACATGCCGCCGCTGACGGAACCATACTACAGAGTGAAGAAGAATTGTCCTTCAGGACATCCTCCGTGGCCCGAAGGTATTTGCACAAAATGCCAACCTAGTGCGATCACATTACAACCACAAGAGTTCCGTATGGTAGATCATGTCGAGTTTGCTTCGGCCGACATGGTGGACAGACTGATTGATTTTTGGCGAAAATCCGGTTGCCAGCGGCTGGGCTTTTTGTACGGTCGTTATGAAGAGTACACCGAGGTCCCTTTGGGCGTCAGGGCCATTGTTGAAGCCATTTACGAACCACCTCAGATGAGCGAAGTCGATGGGTTGACGCTACTGGAGTGGCCCAACGAGGGGGACGTCGACGAAGTGGCACGACTGTGTGGTCTGGAGCGCGTCGGTGTCATCTTCACAGACTTGATGAGCCCTGAGGAAGGCGAAGGCCAAGCTGTGTGTAAACGACACGTTGACTCGTACTTCCTCGCGTCGTTGGAAATCGCCTTTGCCGCACGCTTTCAAGCGCAGTACCCCATGCCTTCGAAATGGAGCGAAACCGGCAGATTTGGCTCCAAGTTCGTGACATGCGTTGTCACGGGAGATCAAGATGAGGCCATCACCATTAACGCATACCAGGCCTCTAATGCCGCCGTTGAGATGGTGCGGGCCGACATTGTCGAACCTTCGGCAGATCCTTCGGTAATGCTTGTGCAGTCTGAAGACGATGAAGGAACCGAATCCAAGTCACGATATATCCCGGAAGTCTTCTATCGGCGAATCAACGAATATGGTGCCAATGTGCAGGAGAATGCTAAACCCAGTTTCCCAGTGGAATACCTGTTAGTGTCGCTAACGGCAGGCATGCCAATCCAACCCACCCCTTTGTTCCAAAACAACAAGTTCCCCATTGAGAACCGAGAAGCTGTCGCAGAAGGACAAGATCCTAGAGACGTCGCCAAGCAGCTTCGTTCGTCGCAGTCGGTGGATGCAGTTTCGGATTTCCATCTGCTGTGCTTCCTTCATGGTATGGGCGTGTTCAGCAAGGTAAGTCCGTGTACGATTTGCGGCGTACTGTCTGACGGTCACTAGGATGAAGAACGGTTACTCTGCAACGTTGCAACGAAGCGGGATCAGGTTGATGCCATTCATCTTACCGACTGCTCAGGATGGGGAACCTTGATGGCGATTCTCGAATCATATGGTGAGCGGCCCTTGAAGCGTCCGTGGCCTTTGGAAACAGAACAAGATTCTGGCGATGCTGGCAGCCCATCAGAAACTCTGGCTAAGCGATTCAAACAGGCGGCTAGCCTCGAGCGCTAGGTGTCGAGCACCCAGGAGTTCGAACGGCGGTGACCCTTGAATGATTTTTTGCATAGCGACCGGGACCTGAGGTTCTGCCTACATTGCCCGGGGGAAGGAGCCGTGCGTGGGTAGAGCAACAACGGCTATTGTGGTAGGGACGTGCGAAGGGTTTGACCAGTGAGCGCCAGAGACAAGGTATCTGAACCCTAGATGGTGGGGAGGATGAGAACTGGGGGGCAGATGATTTTGCTGGTGATCAGTCTCGATTGATGCACGGGCGCCGAACAGAGGAAGGAAATCCATGTCAGAGCGGGATCGACATGGCAAAAAGGCATTGATCGACAGAAGCGAGACCTGGATGAGGCGATGAAATGGGCATATCAGTGAGATAGCCCAGTCAAGGAAAGAGTGTAATTGATAGTATACGCCAGAGAGACAGTACTTGGAATGATCAAGGCTTGACTGGGCTCCAGAAAGAAAGCAGACGACATGTTTGGGCGATGTCTCTCGTTGTTTTTAAATTCCCGTTAGAACGACATGTGTCAGTAAAATGAGGGCCACACAACCACCTAGGAAGGCTTCTAGAAGGTCTTGTGGAAGCGTTAGATCCTGGGCAGCAGTGAAACAAGATCAAGAGATAGGCGCTGGAGAGCCTTGGAATGAGGGGAGCTCGGGGACGTGTCTGACAGTGGGCTTTCTTTTGAGCTGGCCGCTCACTCCTGTTGTAGATTTATTCTGGGAGTGCTGGGGGAAGTGATTTGGCTGGACTTGGGCAGGCCAATATCTGATGTACTGTGTAGGTCATCCGGAGAAGTATAGCAGTTCAGGTCTTTGTGTCTTAACCTTTAGGTAAGGGTAGTCCTTTCTAGAGCCGACCAGGTATACCTGGGTAAGGTAAGGTAAGATTCTGTCAGTCTGACATTTCGTGATTTCATGTCGAGTCATGCCTAAACTCAGAGAAGCAGGCCCTGCCGTCCGGTGGCCATCACGGCCACACTAGGCCTAGTGAAGCCCATTCGTGGTGTGCTGGGTCGCCTATTGGGCACGCTCCGCATTTTCTGCTTGTTCTTCGAGCCTTCCATGGTCCCCAATCCACCAATTGCTGATCCCAGCTCCCACCAGTAGCCTACCGCAGTCCTCGTCTCTTTTGCTCGGCCTCTCGTTCCCTCAATTCAATTCTTTGCCTCTTGTTAGTGCCTGTGTATGACCACAATCCCATCCAGCTCAACCTCTCCGACTCCAGGCACACGCACGCTGCGCTTCCCAGAAATCACAGCCCTCGCTCGGTTTGCGCCCGCATCTGCCATCTCATTTGTCTTTGTCCATTGCGGCGCTGTTGTGTCTCGTCAACCTGCAGCTACCTCGCTTTCTCCGCCGACACCTGCGACCACCCGACAACTCGAAGACTTGACAGCTGCGGGCTGCCTTTCTTCTTCCGGCCGCATCCATTACCTCGACTTCGACAGCAACTGCTCGCGCCTGAGGTCTCAACCGGTTTCCCTTCACCATCCCACAGCGCATCAGCAACCGTCCCTCATTGCCGCATGGTCCTCACCTCAGCCGAATCTACCTCTGTCGCACCTTCGAGGAAAAGAGAACAAGACAAGCACCTCCCACTCAGCGCGCAATGCTCCTTCCCTGACCACCCCTCAACTGCCGACAACCTGCTGACGGAATAACCACTGTTTGTCTCGAGTATCACGACCTTCCCGAACTTCCACAACTACACTGGTCGAACCGAACGATCCTCTCGATCGCATTATGGGCCCCTAAGGCCGCGAAAAGCACGGTGTTTTCCTTTCATACTCCAATCATTGCAGCACACTATGGATCCTGCCGCCTGTCGAGTCATATACATTGATGAGCGATTCAACACAGAAAGGTGGATCTGTAGAGACGGGTTGACGCCCCATACACCGCAGAGAGCAGGGTCAGAAGTGGAATTTTCGGAACTACCAGTGGACCTTCAATCTAATGTTAATGCGTTCTTGACTGTCTTCAATCAAGGTAAAACCACTTTCCAAACACCCATGCACCTAGATGCTGACCGAATCTTTTAGTCTATGTATGTAGCTCTGGAAGAGCCTTTTCCACGAAATTGTCCGAACTCCATGATCAAGTCAAGCTCGATTGTACGCCTATTCTCGCTTGTTTCGACGTAGGATCCGAGTCAAAGGTCGAATCGGCGAGAACCAAGTCCAAGTTCTTTCCTCCACTGGATTCTCCGCTACCATCTCCGAGCCTACTTCGGAGGGAGATCACATTCTCGTCCGAATCAGACGAGTCATATGGTCTACAACTCCTGTCGAGAATAGCTTCAGATTTACAGGTGGATGAAGGTGTCAAACTCATCATCCCCGTGGCTATTGTTCAACCCAAAAGGAAGGACTCGCACGATCAAGCTCTCGAGGATGTCCGCCCCATCGAAATCTCCCGGGCTCCATATGGTCCTGAATCCAAGGCTGTCGAGATCAGAGATAACTCTGACATCATCGATGCACAATTGATGCTTCAATGTCTGGACGCAGGAGCCCTTGATGTGGTCAAAAGTCCCTTGAACAAAGCAGGCATCATGGGCTTGACAGTCCACGCATATCGCATATACAAAAATGCAATGAAGGAACAGTCCGGCTTCATGGGCATGACCAGAAAATCCCGCAAGCAGTCTTGGGTTGGTATGGAAGAGGAAAAACCTTACGCCTATCTTAGGGAAGCAATGGTGAAGAAACTCCTCAAAGGCATTTGCGAGCCGCAAACACTGATCGAAGACTATCAATATCGTGATCTCTTCGTATTAGAGGTACGAAAACCTGTCGTGGCGCAGGCTGTCGGCAGTTGGGGGTTTGATGCGCATGACTTCACTGAAGACGAATTGGTCTATGCTGGCTACTTCATCCTCAATCATGCTCTGGAGAACCTCGAATCGGTGGAAAATTGGCGCATGAGTAAAGGTATGCTCTAACTCGGTCACGGTCTGGAACTGCCTAACCTTCTTGTTAGCCGACCTCCTCCATTTCATGCAAGGCTGTCGCATTGCCTATAATTCGTTTGTTCTCTATCACAACTTCAGACACGCCGTCGACGTCCTCCAGTCAGTCTTTTACTTTCTCCTTCAGATAGGCATCCTCCCGCCCTATCCCGCCGGTTCCGAACCACCGCCTCTCACGGACAATAAGACACCTATCGCACGTCTCCTGGGTCCTTTTGAAGCGCTCACTCTCCTCATATCTGCGATTGGACATGATGTCGGCCATCCTGGTGTCAACAACATGTTCTTGGTCAAGCTGAACGCCCCTCTCGCTCAACTGTACAACGATCAGTCTGTCCTGGAAGCCTTCCACTGTGCTGCTTACTCTCAGATATTGCGCCGTCATTGGCCAGCGGCGTTTCAAGATAAAGCGCTTCGGAAACTTATGATTAGTACAATTCTAGCCACCGATATGGGCTTACATTCCGACTATATGCAACAACTCGGCAATCTGCAGGAAAAGATCCACGCAACCAACGTTACGGATGCATGGACTCCGAAGGATATTGAATGGGCGCGTACGCTCGCATGTGGCCTGCTTATCAAGTGCGCCGACATCAGCAATGTGGTAAGATGTGCTGGTACCTGATTTGTGAGTCTGCCATACTAAGAAGCGTAGGCGCGACCATGGGCGGTAGCAGAGAAGTGGACGGACCTCCTGCAAAAAGAGTTTGCTCACCAGGGAGAGATGGAACAAGCCGTGGGCATGGAAACAGCCCTTTTCGGTGGCCCTCCTGAGTTGGGCAACATGTTGAAACTGGCTAACGGCCAGATTGGCTTCATGGCCATATTCGCTCATCCTCTCTTTGCCAATGTCGCCGATGTCATCCCAGCCATGCGATTCGCGGCTGACGAGATCCTCACCAATAAAGGCGTATGGTTCACCCGAGCCGAGCATGAAAAGAAAATGCAGCTTCTCAGGAGAGGCGCCGGCGCTCGTGAGACAGACCCTGTAAGTCCTAGAACGCAAAGCCCTGCTGGTCGAAAACCTAGTCGCAACGAATTGCCAACATCACCACTGCGAGGTCGAAACGATTCACCTGAGTCGGCGGGTAGAGGATCCGACGCCCGAAGAAGCAGCAACAACACGCCTCAGAATACCTCCCGTCCGTCGTCGCTGGCAGCAGCAGCCGGCATTGCCATATCTGCCAATGATTTCACGACCAAGACGTCAGGATCCACGAAAAGTCATGCAGACTTGAGATCATCAAATGATCCACGAAAGTCAGGAAAGCTGGTCGTTAACGGCGATCATGGTCTCAAAAATGAAGGATCAAGTGGTACACATTGGAGAGAGAACAAGAACCCCACTGCTAGCAGCACGCCTAGACAGACTGCTGCTGCCAATGACTTGTCCCCAGACTCCTTGAGTGCTCTTACCGATACGCGCAGGGACGAGGCTGTGTCTATGCGTGCTGGCAGTGAGGCCATCCCTGCTGAAGCTCTGGAAGTCGAGAAGAAGCAGTTGCCCACGATATCTGATGCATCCAAGTTCAAGTTCGCCACGTCAAGGCAAGACGAACCTGTGCGAACGTACACCCCAGGACTTCAATATTCGGCTGCGCATGCCAGCGCTAGAGCCAGTGCACCTGCAAGCGATCATGAAATGAAACAGCAAAGCAAAAACCTATCTGATGGTCCGCAGCCGTCCAAGTCGGCACACAGCGAGACAACCTTGAGAGGTGGGGATGACCGGACCTTGACTCCAAGTATGAGTATCGGAGCGACCAGCAACAACACCTCGGAGCCAAACGACGACATATCGCGGAATCACAATGGCTTCCACGACATGCGCAATCGTGCGGTTACTGCCCCAACGCAGTCGCCCAGTCCCCGATTGAGGCCCAGTTTCAGTATGGGAAGCAACAGCGCCACAAGCCGGGAGAGCAGCAAACTTGATATCCATACCACGATCTTGCGCAATGGCGAGGTTGACGACGGCAGTGCCAGAGATCGCAAGATCAACACGAGAACTATGGGTCGAAAGAGAAGTAAGCTAAAGCTAGCAGGACTTGCTTTCTGGAAGCGAAGTCGCAGTGACAAGAGTGTGGGAGGTGATGAGCGTCCTGACAGTCAAGGCAGTTAAGAAGAGGAGGACGTCCCCCTGTTTTTCCAGGAAGGTTGTTTGTATTCATGTTCGAATTGCGGCGTTATTGCATGATGTTGGGATTTATTGTTCGGGCGGTCTTTTATGGGGTTCTGTAACGAAGGCTATCAAAATGGAGTGGCTCGAGGAATTGGCGACTCCACTCTATGGCGGCATTTGTGCGATGCAGATTAATGTTGTTTGGACTACGATGGACAATTACGGCAATGGACGGTCCGGGCCCTTGAGGCGCGGTTGCGGTACGAGTTGAAGGCTTTTCGATGGATGATATGTACGGTGTCGACGAATACAATGTGAGTCCAGGGACGTGGGCGCCACGATGAGGACCGACATGAAGCCATGAAGACTCGAATGCCTCGAACTCGATTCGGACTTGAGCTTGAGCAGAGTCGGACAGGCAAGACAGGGCTTATGACTATAGCTGCAAGCGTATATAAATGTATTGACTCGACCATAATGTCTCGATTGAGCCTGAGCCTGAGCCTGACCTATACAAACGTCTGAGACCGTATTGGTGTTCGTTTTTGTATCTATCCCAACGCATTGCGGAACTGCTTCAACATGCCATTGTCCTTTCTCCGCCATGCTTCGGCGACAACAGTCTCGGCGCCGCGCTTTTTTGGCTTCTTCTTCTCCTCCTTCTTTTGAGTCGCGATGTTGTGGTCCGCGTCCCCATCGTCGTCTTCCTCACTCGTCCCATCTACACCACCGAACGCCGGTTTCCCAGCATCCCACTCTCTTTGCTCGCCTGTTTTCGACCATCGGACCTCCCGTAGTTCATCTCCGTCGCCGTTGCCATCGCCGAGCCGAGTCTTCTGCGACGATGTAGTTTTCCACCGGTCTATCTCGTCCTCGTCAAAGCCAGCCTCGCGCAATCGATCGGCTTGTTTGGCACGCCATGCTCGGCGATCCCGTAGCGCTTCGAGCGCATTGTCCCAGTCCGCTGCGTCGTCGGAGGAGTTTGGGTCGGCGTCGACGTCGAGGGCCGGGTTGTAGTTGGAGGAGAAGTGCGCGTCGATGTTGGAGGATTGTCCGCCACGGGCGAAGCCACGTCCTCGTCTTCGGGTGGTTATAGGTTTGTCCGCGGGGTCGGGTCCTACGATGGAGGACAATGGGTCTGATGAAGTCGAGGAGACGCTCCGGTTGCGAGGCTTGTTTCTGTGCCGTGGTCTCTCACCGTCGTCCGCGTCTCTGTCGCTGTCTCTCTTGCTGCGATGCCCGGCGGGAGACCTCGATCTAGACATGGACCAGGACCGGGACCGCGACAGCCGTGAGGACTTTGGATGCTCGGAGCGTTTCTCGCGCCTTGACGACCGCCTCTCCGCGTCACTGTCGTCGTGTTGCCTCTTGTCTCTGCGCCTCCTCTCCCGACTCCTACTCTGCTCCTGCTCGCGGCTTCGACTGCGCCGGGACTTTCGCGATCTCTCGTGCCGTTCGCGCTGTGCTCTCCCACCGTCATATTCTTCGTCATCGCTCAGACGCCGCCTCTTCCTGTCATGCCCCCGTGCTTTCTGTCTTTCCCTTTCCTTTTCTCGATCTCCATCCCTGTGACGCCCATGCTCGCTATGATCTTTGCGGTCCCGATCGTTGCGGGATCGCTTCTCGTCCTGAATGCTCCTCAGACGTGCTCTGGCCTCGAGTTCCTCCCTCTTCTTCAGTGCGGCGTTGTGGCTGTCTACTTCACGCACGAGTGTCCTTAAGAAGCGCGTGTTCGGCTTCAAGCCTGAGCCCGTTGGCCTCCTCGGTGGCAGAAGCGCAGACAAGCCCTGGGACGCATAATTGGTCGAACTCTTCCGGGCGTCCTCGGCGAGGAGTTTGGCCACATATTCGTCGTCGTCCAAGTCTGCTGCTTTGGACATGTTGAGGAAGTCTGTTGAAACATTAGCCCGCCGGTAATACTAGTCTGGCGGTGAGTATAACCTACCTGCAGGAGGGGGAAATAAAAATGACATCGACGGGTGTCGGCTGGCCAGACTTGTCCCCCACGGAACTGGATTTCTCGGCGCAGTTGCCGTTGACGGAGATATATCTATAAGAAACGAGCAGAGCGCAAAGCAATAAAGACTCCGGCCACAACCTTGACGATGAGTGTTCGAGCTGTATAGAAGGCTCAATATTAGAGCGAATAGTGATACCATTACCGTTCAAAAAATGCTATCTCGACTTCTACGATACATATCCGTCCCTCCCCTTCTCAACACTGGCTCCGTTGCCCGTGACCTCCTGGCATCAGAACGGACGTTTCTTGCTTGGGCACGCACTGGTCTCGGGTTCATTGCACTGGGTGTCGCGCTTGAAAAGGTCGAAGCATTCGCAGCTCTGTCGCCTACCCTGCTCCATTTGTCCGACTCGAGGACGAAATTTGCGGCGGGTGTCCTCGTCGGTAGCGGCAGCCTCTGTGTCGCACACGGCACATATAGATACTTCAGTACGTTGAAGTTGATTCAGGAGGGCAAATTCAGACCGAACACCGGCGGAATCAGCCTCATGGCCATGACGTGTATTGGCATTGCACTGGCAGGGAGCATCTTGGTCGTCCAGAACGAAGCCGAACACACGAAGGAGAAGGACAAGGAGAAGGAGAAGGTGAGGAAGAAGATATGATATGAATACCTGTGCGACAAAGAAGCCGGTATGGATAGGAGATTACCAGGCCCTGGGTGGGACTACGGGATCTTCGCCCGTGGCTTCAATCTTTCCATGAGACCATCGACCCTCTCCTTATCCCATCCTTCATTCTTCCGCCTTTTCCAATCAGGCTCTTGACGGGCAAGCTGTGCCAGATCCAGTGCGGTGACACCTGTACAATCCGCCCTTATGTCTGTCACTGCTCCTCGATCCAGCAGTAATTCGACGGCGTCCCAGCATCCTCCCTCGGCCGCCCAGTGCAGAGGCGTCATCCCGTCGTCGTTCTGACTGTCGATGTCGGCTCCAGCAGCAAGGAGGGTTTTAATCTGCTCCACTCGGCCGCTGGACGCTGCTGAATGAATAGGTCGGCTCCCGTTCAAGAGCCGCAGGTTGATGTCGCCATTGTACTCTTCAAGGAGGAGTTTCAAAACATCTGCGTTGCTGCACGCAGCAGACTTGTGGAGAGCGCTAAATCCCTCGCTGTCCTGCCCATTTGGGTCTGCGCCAGCATTGATTAAGAGACGAATCATCTCTTCGTTGCCGTGTTGGGCCGCAAGAACAATCGGAAGAGTCGGTTTGCCGCGGCTGATGAATGTCCCTTGTTGATTTGCATCGGCCCCCCGAGACAGCAACTCCCTCACGAGCTCCACCAACCCCTCCTTCGCTGCATATAGCAGCGGTGTCCCCGTTGTTGGAGGGCTCTGAGGCGCAACCAGCGCACCGCGGTCAATGAGTAAACGAGCAAGCGCCTCATTCCGTTCTTTGATTGCACAGGATAGTGGTGTTTCCTCAAGTGCTGGCGGTGGCGAGTCCCAGTACCAATTTAGCTCCCAATCAGATGGATTGTAAAATTCAGAGCATTTTGCATCATGGGCAATTGGCGGATTGACGTCGGCGCCGGCTTTCAGCAGGAGCTTGGCAATTTGCCAGCGATGACACCGGATAGCCTCAGTCAACGGACTGGTCTCTGTACATTTGTCGTAGGGACCTGGCTTGTGGCCAGTTTCGAGCAAATATTGTACGATAGGGCTGGATCCCCCGATGGTAGCGGCTCGAAGCATCGACACAGCGTCTTCTGGTCTTCGTAGGGCTGGGTCAGCACCAAGCTCCACCAGTAGTCGAAAATTATCGATGCTGCCTGTTCTCACAGCCTTGTAAAGTGCCTGGTGTGTATCGGCGCCGTTCGACACCAAGAACTCAATTAGATCTCGGCGTCCTTGATCCACGGCCTTATGCAACGGCATCGAAGAGTCCTCGTTCACATCAGCTCCTGCGTCAAGTAGCCTCTGTGCGATCTCAAGACTCCCACCTTCTACTGCGGACGTAAGAGCACTGGATGGATCAGCTCCGTTCTGCAGTAGCAATTCAACGAAATCCCGGCGTCTGCTTTCGGCGGCCGTCTTCAGTGGTCTCGACGACTCCTTCTCATTCACACCAGCTCCTGCGTCAAGTAGCATCTGTACGATCTCAAGGCTTCCGCCGTGTACTGCGGATGTAAGAGCATTGGATGGATCAGCTCCTTCTGACAGTAACGTCCGAACGGTGGAGATGTGACCGCCGATTGCCGCCCCTTGAATAGCCTCTGGGAAATCGAAATCATACTCATACACACAGTCTTGTTGATCGGTGAGGCGTGCTCCATCTCTCAGTGACTGTACAACGGTAGCTGTGTCCCCTGCTCTCGCAGCCATCTTGAGTTGTCTTGCTTTACTACCGTAAGGAAGCAATTCCCGAACAAGCTGAATGTTCCCCGACTGTGCTGCTGATGGCTGGCTGGCGATGATCAAGTCAAAATCCTCTTGACGCTTTAGTAGTACCCTGACAATATCGAGACGACCGATTTGGACAGCAGCTTCGAGAGCGGAGCCTGGGTCTCCTTTGATCGAGAAATCGTCCTCAGCACCATGCCTTAGCAGCAGCTCACAAATTGCGCAATGACCATTGATCGCTGCAAGGAACAATGGATCCCTGGTTCTGGTGCCGAAGGTTTTACGAAATGGTTGAACGCTGGCCCCAGCTCCTATGAGCACTACCACCACCTCTTCGTGGCCTTTTGCAGCTGCAGCTGCAATAGCCGACCCATATCTGCCTCCTTTGTGGTTGACATCAGCATTTGCTTCAAGCAACGCGTGGACAATCGACAGATTACCCTGTACAGCAGCTGCCTGGAGGGGGAATCCGTACAGTCCACAGGTCGCGTTTGGCGTAGCGCCTTGATGAAGCAAGTTGTCGACGATACTTCCAAGCCCAAGATAAGCAGCACAATAGAGGCGGTCGTAGACTCCCTGCTCCTCCTCAAGACCACGGTCTAGCCAAGGTTTGTCAATGCAGGACGTGTTCTGCCAGTTTTTGTAGTAGACTTCCCTGTCATCGAACATAGCCTCAAGCATCCACTTCAGGGGCGGACCAGTCCAGACTTGCGTTCCCATACGCAGATGCTCGAGCCAGAAAGAAGCTGCGTAATGTAAGAAGGGATGGGCGGCGCGCGCATCATCAGACAGTACTTCGGGTATATTCTGAAGGTATAGCAAACATGACTTGGCCAGGCACGAATGAGCAAGCTCTCTTTCCAGAGCAAATGTGGAGCAAGCACTGTTCTGGATGGCCTCGGACAGCAGGAACTCCTTGACAGAGAAATGGGCGAGCTTGACGTAGACACGATGGCCGCCACCCGAGTCCAAGACGCCACAGAAGGTCGTGACAAAAGTCGAGAAGGAATCAAGAAATGTCTCCATGTCAAGCGGTTCTAGCTCCTCGTCGAAGTATGGGAACTCATGTCCTTCATTGTTGATTGGCATTGAACACGCTAATTCACCAACAGATAGCTAGTGTGTAGTCAGCAGGACCACGGCGTCCTCATTGCTTTAGCAACTTACCGGGCGCAAGCTGAACGCAATCCACTTTAAAAGGTTCCTCACCAGTGGCTTATTTGCTTCATGGACATTCTCGAGGTCTCGCCTGTAGTGAATCTCAAGGGATTCTGGAAGGTTATCTAGGACCTTTCGCACCGCTGCTAGAGTTGAACACTTTCTGAGGGTTTGTAGTTGACATTCCACCCAACGAAAGCTGAAATGCATTGTTAGCAGGGTCGTGGTGGCTACAGTGATAAACTCACGAGTCCTGTGCCTGCGCTGACAAGGATGTTTCTATCTCTGACTTGATTGCCGTTGGCCATCGAGCAAATTGAGGATTGTCGGATAGTTTGCTTCGGACCGTTCTCTGTATGTCCGACTGGAGTGGTTCGTCCTGCATCACAATACGCCGCGCTTGAACGGCTGCGACATTTTGTCGAATCACCTCGAGGTCTCTGCTTGATATAAGAATATGCAGTCTCTGATTTGCGTCGTTCCGCAGGCTCTTCAGCAAGTTCATCAGGGCATCGATTCCTACGGACTCCTGGCACTCGTCCACACCGTCGATGACGAGGTATATATGGCCAAGGTGCGCGAACTCCTCACGAAGATAGTGACGCAACCCGTCCTGCAACCGATGCCCTCCGTTGCCGTGCGAGCGCCACAGGTTTGCAAAGTGTCGCAAAGTGTATGAGAGATCGCTCCTGCGAGATGCAAGTTGCCCGGCAAAGGTTTTATACAAGCTCCCGATGTCGAACGGCCTTTGCTCGGACCCGTCGATGAAGAAGTACAGAACGGTCGCATCTTCGAGCCCTTTGCAGTGAGCGTCGATCGCCTCGATGACATTTGCGCTGTCAACATCAGCTCCCACTCAAAAACGGAAATTCCAAAGGTGAGACAGTTGGTCTCTCTGGGCTATGCCATTCTGTCTGTGGATAAGGACAAAATAACTTACCACATGACAGACTTCCCGCAGCCAGCTGTGCAGACTGTTAGCTTTAGGCGGACAAATATGTCAGACAACTCACCAATTCCACTCAGCCACAATATTTCCCCAAACTCATTCTTCCATTTCAGGTACGACTCGTGTTGAAGAAGCCATTCGCCAGTGCCTTCAACTCGTTTCTCGAGGTGGTCTCGATACTTGAACGCTTGTTCGTCTGCAGCGAGCCAGCGTAGTATCTGTTCCCTTTCGTTGTCTGTTGGATAATGTCAGTACCGAGGTAGTATCAGCAGTGTTTCCCATAGAACTACCTTTCGCATTTGTTTCGATCTGCGTCTTGAGAATACCGAGTGCCTCCTCAATACGAGGTAGTGAGCGGGCATTGTTAAGAATATCGACAATATTCTGACTAAGACAATGTCACCAGTGACGATCTTTGGCTTGCCGTTTGACTTACGCATTATCTGCCGACACCGCAAGCTGCAGCGTACCCTTGATCCTGGCAATAGCGTCCAGACGCTTCTTCACCTCGGCCCGCCGGAGAGGCCAGAGCAAATTGGTACTGTTGAGTTTAGAGTTCTTGTCGGTAGACTTCTTATCGGGCTTCAGGAGAGCCTTCAGATTCAAGAGCTCTGTTAAGCACTCTCGCAATGGTGAAGCTGGCTCATTCATGGACTGTAGAGTTGGCAGGTCAGGATTGGTGTCGGCGCCTGCAATCTTTAGGAGGGTTTCGACGATGTTGCGAACATCTGTCACTTCGCCCAAACACTGTGAGATTTCTCGAGGTGCACCTTTGACACCATTGTGGTAGTCATAACACAGAGAAACGAGCTTGCCAGATATCTGGACGATGGCAATGAGGGTACCAACAAGACCGATGGGTTCAATCATCATGTACAAGGCAAGAGATGGTCCGAAGGTTTTTCAAGAGATTACCGTAGGCAGTCGCGAAGAAAGCCGCATAGAGCTCTTTCCAGCTCGAGGACAACGATAGCGAACGCCAGACATAATATGTCCGTACGGAGTTCTGGTGGCAGACTTGATAACCACCCTGCGGCTCGGATTGAGGCACAGCCGCATCGCGCTGCGGTCAAAGGCATGGCTGGACAACAGGGGCACGCTGCTGGCATGCTGTAAGTGGCCGAGAGCAATGGTGCGCAAGGGTGTGAAGGGTCTCTGTGGTTGCCTTTCCGTGGGGTCGAAAGAGCAAGAGACCTGCGCGGTGCTGCTCCCACCTCGCCAGCTACCAGGCTTGGCGAGCTGAGGATGCGCTTGGAGGAGTAAGAGAGAAGGTTACGCAACACACCTTGATTGAATTCAGGCTGTACACTTGCAAAGCTGAAATTCATATCCTGAATTCGGTTTCTATCTAGCAGTTATTCCTGTCGACCTATGTAGCAATCGAGCCATAAGGCTTCGACTTCACGCTCTCAATATCGACATACCCGTAATTGCTGGCATCGCCGCTACTCATCTTCTCGCCCCATTTGCCCATGTCCTTCATGAAAAGGTCCACGTTCTCCTTCACGGACATGTCAATCGGCTCCTGATCCTTGCCGACTTGTCGAATTTGGGTTCCGGCAATGACATTGGTGAGGCCGAAATTGTCTCGGTCGACTTGCTGCTCGATAGCGCCGCTGATCTTTCCTTCCAACATATCTTTAGCCAGGTGTGGCTCTTGACAGACCGGTCTGGCAAGGCCAACACCATCCACTGACTTCAGAGCGTTGACCATCCCGTCGAGGGTCAAGAATCCGCCAGTGACGTACGTCTTGGTCTTTTTCAGGCCGGGGGTGATCTTGTCGGCGAAGTCCAAGAAGAACGCCTCGCGTTTCCTGGTGCTCTCGCGCTTGTGTGCAAAAGCGAGCGATTGGTACGTCCCACCGCTCAGTTCTACGAAGTCGAACTCTGCCCTTTCCAACATGGCGCAGACTTCCTTCGCTTCCTCTGTTGAGAAGCCACCCTCTTGGAACTCGACAGAGTTGATCTTGATGCCGATAATGAAGCCTGACGAACCAGGAAGTTTCTGCCGGATCGATTGTGCAATCTCGAGAATGATCCGAGCACGGTTTTCAATGGAACCCCCGTATTGATCGGTCCGCTTGTTCGTCGTCTGAGACAGGAACTGAGCAAGTAGGTAGCCGTGGGCACCATGTAATTCAATGCCGTCGTAGCCAGCCTGGTGCAGGTACTCGGCCGCATGTGTGAAGCGATTGATGATGTCCTTGATCTCGTCCAGCGAGGCGGCATGAGGTTTCGCAAATCTCATGCCCATGACCTCACCCTCGAGCTGAACATCGCTGGCAGAGATCGGGTCTGGGTTGATCCGCCCTTCGACTTGTCGTCCCGGGTGACTGACTTGTCCGACTGTGAGACTGCCGTGGGCTTTGGCCTGCTTGCCCATTTCTTTGAATGCTTCGAACCTTTCCCCCTCGAACGGGGCTTCAAGCGGGATGATCGGATTACCCGGCGCCTCCAACTGATGGTAGTCGACCTGTCATGGTCCGTCAGTACAGAAACTGAGTATCAGGGCGGGAACCCGAGGGCCTAACTACTGACCATGATGTTGCCCGTGAGTATCAATCCGAGTCCGCCTTCTCCCCAACGCTTGTACACATTGATGAGCTGTTTCGAGGGCACACCTCTCTTCTCTTTATGCTCAGGATCCCATGAACTCAACCGTTCGGTCATTGCTGCCTTGAGAAACCTATTCAGCGCTGTCTTGCCGCTGAACTCGAATTTGAGAGGCTGCCCCAACGGCGAGGCATCTTTGTTGTCTGAGTGGTATCGTTTGCTCATGATGACTTTAAGATGGTGCTCTAACGTAACCTCTATATCAAAGAAATCTATATCAAGAGGGGAGTCTAAGGTGTACTAGTATATTGGCAGTATTTCTATATGTAATTCGAGGCTAGGAACGATGTGGTCTTATATTGCGGCATCACGCGGCATGCTATTGCATTCGGAAAACCCCCGTACCACGAACAAAAAATTGTTTACAAATCAACGTCATGATTCAATGCCCGAAATTCGACCACCTTCCACGTCATGATCCTCCACTGGATCCGTGTCGAGCACATCGAGTGACATCTAACCGGCAGTTGGATGAGCGAATCCACACAGATCCAGAATGACAACCTAAACGGATTCTCATTCCCGCGGATCTCAGTCCATGGATCGAGAACTATCACAGTATGGCGTTGTCCAGCCGTAGGAGCCGCATCTCAACTGCAAGGCTTCCTTCATTGCTACTTCATTGTTGAATATCGTAACGACAGTATATGGGCGTCCATCTTGCATTCTGCTTCAGTCCCTCGAGAGATCGTTTGGCACAGTAATGAGGCCTCAACATATTCCATCTTGCGCTCGTCCTTCGTGCCTTGCCTATCCTGTTTCAATCAAAGACGCGACTCCCGTGCGTTCGGCTTCTGCTTCTCCTTCTTTTCCACAAGCCTTACCATCCAGAAATCACTCGTGGCCTCGAAATCCTTGATCCAATCATATCCGATGTAGAACAAAGGCGCGCCGTCAACAGATTCTCCCCATGAATTCTGGCAAAGGATTCTTTTCCCTTTGTCATCGAAGCCGATGGCGAGAACTGCATGACCTCCTTCGTCCGAAGCTGGCCCGTTCTTTCTGGGCAGGGCCGGCAATGTCCAAAAGCCTGGCTTGTCCGTCTTCTGGAAAGGTGCATATTTCCAGTAATACCGGAAACCGAAAACAACTGGATGCCCTTCTGCGAGGCATTGGCGGAGACGAAGCAGTGTCATCGCCCCAATGATGTCTTTCTCCTCAGATGTCATGTTTTTCTCGACGCCTTCGGGCTGGTCTGGGTCAAGCCTGGAGTATTGAATCATTCGATTCTCAAGGGCTTTTTCAATGGCATCCTTAGTTGGTTGCGTCGCAAAGTGCTCATCGTCATACGTCCAATCATTTTCAGCGCAGACTCCACGTTGGTCGAGGGCCTTGAATGCAAGTCTGATATATGAGCCCTGACCCTTTGGTTTCTTTGATTTTGGATCATCCCATGGATCTTTGGAAGCTTCAAAGTCTATCTGGCGAGCATTGAAGTAGATAAAGAGCCGAGAAGCGTCAACGGCTGGAAGACCGGCCCGCTTCCACTCGTAAACAAAAGCTGCAGCAGTGGCGTTCGCTACACATGTACCCCAGCAATCCCCGTTGAGTTTGGTCTTTGCTGGAGTCTGATCGTAAAATGTCTTGGGAAAGAAGGCACCATACGTTTTGTGTTGGCGGAGATTCAAGGGGCTGACCTTTGTCAGATCGAAATATTGCTTCGGAACGTAGTATTTGTCTCTATCGTCGAAGAACTCTCGTCTGGGCCACCCTGTGGGTTGGTCTGGAGCCATGGCGTCGGGGTCGGAGGGCGCTGAATTGATCACGGCAATCAATCAGCGCAAGACAGACTCTTGATAATTTCTGGAATTTGATGGAGAGGTCCTCAAAGCTCAGGCGCCTGGCCACCTTTTATACTTGCTATGTGCCCCATGCTCTTAGTCCACGGCTCTGCTGGAGGTGCCTAGAAGCAAGACTTTCAGCTGATTCACAATGCGGACCCAATGAGCGCCGTCAATGTATGCATATCGCCTCAAGAGAGCGTGGCGTCAGACTTTTGTGTGAGTTGGCACGGTTACTAGCCCTGTTGTTTGGTGATTTGCATACGCCTAGAACTCATGCAGAGACTTGCAAGTCTGGACCGCGAGGGGCTGGCTGAAGGACATTGCGCTGTCGTCCTCATAGGATGTTGGTGCTACTAATGGTGATACACCCAAGCTCTGGATGCGCTTCGAGCTTCGTTTAGCCACCGCATCGAAGAGTCGTGAGTTTGACATAAAGGCTGCATCGAAGTCGAAGCAGGTGCGATGCGGGCAGGTGCAGGAGTAGGCACACCCTCCTGGGGGACTGGCAAGGACGTGCATGAGCTGATATGCAGACAGACTCAGGTTGGAATTGACATTCATAGTCGACTTCGAAAGAGGTGATTAAGCAACAACTTCCCCCCTGGTCCCTTCCCGTCTCGGCCCCATCCCCTGCATATGTTCGGCCACTAGAAGCCGGGGTAAGCTCAAGCACAGCCGAGCACATTCGTATTCATGCAGGTAGGGGAGAGTCCAGACCTCTCCCCACCGCCACAGCCTTACCGACATATCATGCTTTTAGGCGAGCGACACGTCTGGGTTTGTCAACGACACGGTGGTGAGCTGAGGTCTGTCTCTTTCCCAGTCGATTCGAAGGATTTGTGTACACGAATGTGCTCGGCAGGGGGCAAGGTAAGCGTAATTCGCCCTGTATAAGTGACGGCCTCGAAACTAATCACAATGCGCAAAGTCACGGCCGCAGTAGACGTGGCTAAATGGTAACACTCACATACCTGGCCCAGATCTGTCTTCGTTCAGCTGAAACTATGGGAAGGAAGGCGAGAAATCGATTCGTGATGCCCGATTCCGTGTCTCACGTAACATACGGAGCGGTTGACTGGCCTCAGTGAACGGATATCCGGAAATACCACAACTCGTCGATGGGATAGCCCTCCATGCACAGATGGGAAAGGGAAGCTGAGGACATGCAGATTGCTTTGCTCGATTGAGAGGGATCAGCTGAAAATTTAGTCCGAATGTAGAATATACGTCCTGAAATGAGTGCCTTAGGCACTAGACCTGTCATCAGTCAGCAAGATCTATGACAGTGTTCGTTTGTTCGTCTTTCAAGGAGAAGGACACACCGCCAAGTGCCTAACACATGAAAGCGTGGGTTTCTGAAATGATGATCATGTACTCGTTACATTCAATACAGTATATCTTGCACAGGGCGACTAGAACCTAGCCTGCACCTTATTCTGTACATCCTGCACAGCCCAATCAGAGAAGGACTTCTTACTGAGCACTTGCTTGGCTTGCTCGAGCGTGAAGCCCTTGGCTTGTGTCGCCGGGTTATATCCCAAGTGGTTTATCTTGCCAACCTCCTGATCAGGCACCGGTGTGGCAGGCTTGCCGTCGGCGCGTTTGTAAACAGTCACGACCACAGCGCCACCGAGACCCAAGTTGTGCTGCAAGCAGTATTTAGTATCCTTGACGAGACGGTTATTGGCCCATCCTCGCAGATGCCAGGTGAGCTCGGCGCACTGAGCGAGACCAGTCGCACCTGTTGTATGTCAGCTTGCACGAAGGAAGATAATACGAAAGTGCGGTCTTACCAAGAGGATGACCCTTGGAGATCAGGCCTCCGGAGGGGTTAATGACATATTTTCCGCCATAAGTGATATCTCCTTTCCGCACGAGTTCATGTGCTTTGCCTTTCGGACACAAACCGAGAGCATCAATCACGCACATCTCATTGGCGCTGAAGCAGTCGTGTAATTCCACAACACTAACGTCGTCGGGAGTTATGCCTGCTTCCTTCATGGCTTCCTTGCCGGCAAAGGCGGACATTTGATAGCCCACAAGGTCGATTGACGAGCGGCTGAACAGTTCTGTAGAATCGGTGGCAAGCTTCTGACCAGCAATCAGAACGGCCTGAGACTTGAGATGGGGTCGCTTGTCGAGGAACTCTTGAGAGACGACAACGGCAGCAGCTGCACCGTCGGAAGTAGGACAGCATTGGAGTTTTGTCAATGGCGGGTGGATCATGGGCGACTTCAAGATTTGTTCTAGGGTGTATTCATCCGTGAACTGAGAGTATGGGTTTCTCTTGCTGTGCTCGTGGTTGACACGGGCGATTTCTGCAAAATCCTCTGCTTTTGCCCCATATTTCTCCATATATTCACGGCCTGCGTTACCGAACAGCTGTGCCGCGCCGGGCGCGTTTGTAACGCCTCTAGTAGCTTTCAGCATGGAGTTGGTAGTACTGGTGGGATTCTCGCGGTCGTTGAAGTAGGCTTGTAGACTGCCTGGGGACATCTTCTCGAAACCGACAACAAGAACGCAGTCAGCGGCGCCGTATGCGATGGCCTGGCGGGCCATGTTGAGGCCAGTACTGCCTGTTGAGCAGTTGTTGTTTACATTGTATATAGGGATCTGGGTCATGCCGAATTGGTAGAACACGCGCTGACCGCAGGTTGAGTCACCGTAGCAGTAGCATGCGACTCCTTGGTCCACCTCGTCGTAGTTAATCTGTGCATCCAACATCGCCTTGACACCGGCTTCGAAACCGAGTTCATGATAGTCCACTTTTCCACGTGGTTTGATGAATTTGGTCATGCCCACGCCGAGGACGTAGGCCGGTGCTGGTTTGCGAGGCATGCTGGCGGTAGTGTACAGGCAAGCGAAGTTCGAGAAGCGTCGATGCTGGGGTGAGTCCGAGGTCTATCAATGTACTGGACCGACTGATATGAAAGAGACGTGAGAGAAAGGTGCCTATAAGAGAATGATAAAATGTTTGGTAGACATGGTATGGGTGAGATCTCACCTCTCTTTATCGCCCGAAGGAATAAAGCCGACAGCCTCGGCTGATGATTTACAGGGGCCGAGAGGCCCTCCAGGCATGCCCAGGCTTGTGGTCTGGCTTCGATGCGGGGAAACCGAGGTTCCAGCAAGCAGCAAACAGCAAGCATGAAGACAAGTGGCCTGCAGTACACCGTAGGAAGTCCACGGTCGAGCATTGTGCTCACTTGTCACATCCTCGGCATTCTCATCATTGTGCTGTGGTGGCTGTCCTTGCATTTCACACATCTCATCACTGACCGCCAATGATCGTCCTAGGCCTATGCATGACACACAATTAGGTACTGGCACTCAACTGGCCCATGGAAATATTTGAATCATGGAGATTTTGAGATTAGTAAGAGTCTAGCCTGGACGAGACCGTCAATTCAATCAGTCCAACCAGCAACAGATCAGTCCCCGGCGCATGCCTCCCGACCAATTAAGACGTTGCCCCCTAGACGAACAGGTTGTTGTTTCCATTAGGCCCTGTTCTGAAGCCTGGAGAAAGGAGGGGCAGCCACATTCGAAGCGACATGGGCATCGACGTCACAAGGAAGATCATTGGCTGTCTTCATCAAACCCCCACCAATGCTTCTTTGACCAGACAAAGCACAGAGACAAGCCTAATTCTTTCCTGTCCATCATGGCACATGCAGATAGCCCACAACCTCCAGGTGCTTGCTGCTGGTAGACGCTGTTGTTTCTGATCTTCCTCTCTGGCTTTGTATTGAGATTGAACCCCCCTTCCCTTCGCCCAAGAAAGAGCTCGCTGTCGGTCTTGATCTCCTGTATCTTACGTGTATCCCGATCTCGGTCGACAGACATCTCCGATACTTTCCCATTCGCAGCTTCAGAACTTGACGATCTGAGCTGCCTCAGCGCTACTCTGGGTGAAGCTTGCACGTTGAACTTCTGGGCAGCCTCAAAGTCGTTCAACCAAAAGCAGAAAGAGAACGTAACATTGGTGGAAGAGCTCCATTGACAAAGAACCTACCTCTGGCCATTCGTCCAAGCACACCATTCCCTCCTGAACGCTGCGGTGCCGTTTCAAGGAAGTGGTCTTGTGCTTTGATGAAACAGTCGTCCTCTGTGACTTCTGATCCAAGAACAACTTGAAGAATAAGGAGGTGGGAATGGAGTGTGGAACGCGGAGGGATCCTCTCATTGTGAATGAATGAGAGATCTTCTTGCGTTCCATCGGGTTCCGCAGCCCATTGTGTGTGTGTCTCAACAATAGTACAACGACATCATACCTCCCTGCGGTCACCTGTGTTGACCTTGGTTGTCGGGAGCGATGAACCATGCCCGCAAAACAAATCAGTCGACAGTCTCTCGGGATCATGAACCAGATCCAAATTCCACCTCCATATTGCCCTCGAAATCGTCCCAACCACCGATAGCCATGTCCTCCCAATCGAAGATGGATACTGGTTGGAAATCTCCTGATACTCGAATCTATTACGCGAAGAAGTACAGACAAGTTCTTTCTTCCGCTCCGGCGTCTGCGTTGGCTGTCATTGCAGGGGTTAGTGGTCTCAGAATGACATTTTCGAGGAGGAAACTGACAATTTCAGGCCCCTTTCGAAAACGTCAAAGTCCGCATGCAATCGTATGTCGTCCTGGGCGAAAGACTCAGCAGGGCGCTGACAAGAATATAGGCGTCACTTTCCAAATGCGTGGCAGGCGACCAAATACACCTATCGCACTGAAGGTCTTCGTGGGTTCTGGGCCGGTAAGCAACAAGTGGAAGACTGAAGTCACACAATACTCATACAACTCTTCAGGTACATTGCCCCCGTTAGTCTCGATCACATTCTCTCGCGCTCTCGGTTTCTCCATCTACCGCAAGGCCAAATACACGTTCGACAGCTGGATCGAAAAAGCTACAGGAACATCCCCTCTTCAACATGTCAACAAACCAGGAACATATCCCACCATCTACACCCTCGCCTGCTTTACTGGAGCTGGAATGGTCTCGGGTGGTGTGACTGCCGTTGTTCTGAGTAGGCTTCTTCCCGTGAGTTTCTGTTCATGCTGCACGCTCTAACAGACTCTGTAGCTCCCATTGAACTCATCAAAAATGCTACTCAAACCTCTGTTCTCATGGCTTCTCAAGGCGATACCCCGAAAACTCACTCTCCTGGCGTTAAGAATGTTGGCCGAGTCAGCTCCTGGGGTTCCATGAAACTCATCATGCAACGACGAGGAGCTCTAGGTCTCTGGACCGGCTTTCGTCTGCATATGCTTCGCGATCTGGTTGGCAGCGGCATCTACTTCGGCATCTACGAGACCACCAAACAGACCCTGAATTCGTACTACGGTGCCGAGAAAGCAAATTCAGCTGGTGCCATCGCCGTTGCTGGCGCTCTGTGTGGCGTTGGTGCTTGGTGTGTTGTACGTGTCCATGCGTTTCCCTGTTACAGTCTTTGCAATCTGCTGATGCTCGTTTAGACCTATCCGCTTGATACGATGAAGACACGGACTCAGAATAACCTCGTTGGCGCTTGTTCAGTCCCCTCCACCACCTCCAAAGCCTCGGCGTCGCTTTCGACGGCTCTGGACACCGCTGCGAAGTCGGTCGCGCGCGTCTCGAAGTGGAAAGGCCTCGAAATGATCATCCTGCGCTCGTCGATTCAGAACATGATCCAGATGTCCTTCTTTGAGCAGGCCAAGGTCGTCATTGACAACATGAGCTTTTCCGATGGTAGCCTCACCTTGCCGCAGGTGGAACGGCACTTTGGCCGTGATTCCAAAGTCAACAAGAATGACAAGTGTTGAATGGTGGGCACCATGTGTGTATCGATGTGATTTTTCTACATAGCGAACAATGAACAATAAACAAACCAGAAGTGTAGTCATGGTACGGTGTGCTCTTGGTGATATCATCGTCGTAGTCAAAGCCCATTTTGCAGATGTGTATTTTGCCCCTATCAAGCGCTCTACTGTTGGCTACTCTGGCAATGTGACGCCCACCATCAGCATCACGATCGCTAGAGACAGCGTATCCCTTATGTCCATTGCCAGCAGGTATATCGCGCTGTCAGCGATCTCCTCTCCTCCCTCGGCCCCGTCGTGAGCTTTAGTCCAAGCGAGCTCCTGGCTTCAGTCTCTTTCCACTTATCACTGTTTACAACGAGCACGCCATGGACATGATAGGGGCCCTTTCTTTCAAAACTCGTGTAATTCAAGGGGGGGGGATCTTTATACACCAGCACTATAATTCTAGTCCTTTTCCAGTTTTGATCATGTCCCAGTCACACCGCCGCTAATAATATCCCGAGTCGCCGTCAATTGGGAAAAGTATGCAAAGCACGCTGGACCAGCATTCACCGTTCAGCATTCAGCATTCAGTCATTCCACCAACTCAAGTCCCTTGCTCTCAATCATCAACCATTAGACCCGTGTCCTTGGCCGTTTCAAGGTCAACGCTCTTCTATCGTCTTCTTCTCGTCCATCAATTTCTCACTAACTTCCCCCAGCGTTGCTGTAGTCGTAGTAGCAGTATTAGTACCATACTGACTGGCCATCCCGGGCTCTTCGGTCAATGGACTCGTCGGTGCCGTGACCATCCCACTTTCTCTGTCTCTCTCCCTATCCTTATCTCGATCTCTATCCCTGCTCTGACCAATACTGCCACTCATGCTATCATTTCGACCATGTCCACCTCCTCCGCCTGCACCCAACAACCCACTCCTCACGCTCGCCGCATCGCCGTACTTGCTCCCAATGTAACTATTTCGCTCACTTGCCAACGCCGGCGCAGTCACGCCGGACGCGCTGATCAAACTCGCCCGCTCCGCGTTCAAAGCCGACCGTGGATATGCGGAGCCTTCGCGCAGGGACGCGTTATCCGCCCCGGGATGAATCGCTGTGCCGGATAGGACGGACAAGGGTAAGCTCTCGCGACTGCCTCCGAACATGCTCGCCGGAGCAAGCGCTTTCATGCTAGCGTTCGTATCGACGGAGTTGCGACGGCGGCGCTTCGATGAACTAGCGAGCGTCAAGATCGACGCGTCGTCCGTGAGCATGTTATTCGCCGTCGCAGACTGATAGGTCGTTGGGCCGTTGTGGGGGGCAAGGTGCGCAGGTACAGCGGTGGCGGGCTGGCCACTGTAGTGTGAGGGCGTGTGGCTGAGTGTATGGGGGTTGTGGGTATTATTGTTGTGCGTGGTAGCAGCTAAGGACTGGACCGTCGTAAGGGTCGTGGCCATGGAGCGTATGGACGGGGCGGGAGAGGAGAATGTGCTGTCGCGGCCACCATCGGTACGTGGCGCCGTCGCGCTTGTGCCTGCGCCGGAGGGGGCGAGTTCGGACAGAGCGGTTTCTGCTTGTGTGGCCAGCGTGGGCGCTCTTGATTTATTGCCTGTTTGGCTCTCGTGGGAGATGGACACTGAGTGTTTGCTTTGGGAGAGGGAGCTGTGTCGAGAGCATTGCGAGGATAAGTGAGTAGAGAACGATAGGTGCCCATTGTGTTGAGACTCGGTTCGCGATGAGAGAGGGTAGGGATTGTTCTTTGCAATATTGCCCTTCTTGGACTTGCTGCTCGTAGGGAGGTTGGAGCGGCGTGGACTGGTGTTGGTATCATTCGAATCGACGTGGAGGGATTTGAGGTTTGCGAGACGTCGCATCCAGGTTGTGAAAGGTCGGCGTCGCCCATGTCGGTCTGCGAAGTGTTAGTAATGTCGAAGTGGCCTGGAGGCGGTGAAGCTTACCATGTGCGCGAGGTGGCGCTTCTGTTGAAGCCATGTAGAGAAGTTTCAGCTGCACAAGCGAGGTAGGGACGTATTCAAAGAACTCAGGTTTAAGTAGGAGAGCAGTCAGTGCTGGGTTGGATGGTAGCAAAAAGGCGGCGAGAGCAAGTCTATTCACGGATGTTGGCAGTGTGCAGGAAGAAGGCCAGGCAGCAAGCTCGGACCACAAGGAGCAGAGAATAGCAAATCAAAGATGAAAAGCAAGATTGATGTTTCAAGCGAAGGTCGTTAAGAACAACATGAATGAAGAGGGAAAACAGGAACGGGTGAAGTGTGTTGGCCCTTGGGTATGGCTTGTGTTTACGGAGAAGAAACTAAGGCTGCACCAAGGCCGTCGACATGCTCAGCCTCAGCCTAGTTGAGCCTGGTGAGCCTAATGAGCCTTCATTTCCACGTGGCTTCGCACCCTGAAGTTAGTGCCATCATGGTGCGTTTCTTCCTGAATAATACTCCGTACGGAGGATCTATCCACCATGACGGCCCCCTAATGGGAGACACGGGACATCCGCTGGGTGTTGTCCTTATGATGGTGTCCTCTCTTCGAGGCCACTGTTGACATGCATACTAAGGTATATGTACCTTACCTACCTAGGTAGATGCATAATACTCATTGGCCTGGATCCCGTGCCTTGTCAGTGCTCGTCCCAAACCTCAGCCTTCTACATAAAATCGTCCTCATAGAATTCAGCATCACGATCCTGGTTGCTCATCATATTCTCTTCCCTCATCAGGTCGTCATATGCATGATCCTTCTGCCACCGTAGTTCCTCGCGTTGCCTTTTCTCCTCTCGATCTTTCGCTTTCTGCTGTTCTCGAGCAATCCTTTCCACCTTGCGCTTCTCTCTTTGATCTGCTTCCCTTTCAGCTCCTAGATCGGGAAACTTTTCGACCCGAGTCTTGTTCAATCGGTTGACAATAGGGTTCTGCCGCACAGCCACATGAACTTTCTTGACCATTCTTTGATCATGGAATGACACCTGGCCCGTCGCCATTGATGCATCCTTTCTCAGGTTCGACCACGGCGTATAGATGACCGTGATGTTGTCCTTTTTGTTGCCTGGTGACCATTGTCAGGATCAAAGGACCCCAATGTTTCTGCTCAACTTACCTTCGATCGAATTGGCTTTGGTCAGTTGGGCACAGTCTTCGAGTAATGCCTGACGTATCGATGTCCATGATTCGCCAGGCTTCAATCGAAGGTAGACGTGTGCGCTGGATAAGTTGTCCACGTGGAACTGACTGTTGTCAGTGATCGAGCCCCTTAGCCTTTGGTTCTCATCGTACCCTGGCTACCGTAAGCAATGAGCACACACCGCGCGTAATTAGGTCTATTCGTACCAAACGTCCTCATCCCAGCCATACTTGATCAAGTCTTCATCTGTCTCGTAGTCAGATCAGGATCAAGATTTCGCTCCATGGTATGCCCACTTTCGACTTTATCTTTGCCCACATATAAGAATGCGGGAGGATCCACCGTTGTTGATTGGAAATAGTAGACCATTAGAATATCAAGATGAAAAGTGCCGACTTGGTCAAAAGTCGGCACTTGGTGGCGGAGAATTTTGTGATTCTCAATGAAACGGTGAAATGCACTTCTCGTGCTTTCTGTACCTACAATACTTTCCTCGGGCAGAAACAGACTGATCCTGATCAGTGTGGTCGAGGTACAAGAAGCCAAAATCAAAATGTTCGATGAGGCTGGTTCATCTTGGAGGCTTGGTTCACCGCACAGAAAGGGTTTGATACGGAGAATCATATTGGGATAAATAGTAGTTTTAGGCCAACCTCCTTCCGCCGATTTCCATCACATCTCGAGAGGTTATCACTGAATCAATCCCTCACGTAACGCAGTTTCCTCACCCCGCCTTTCGTACCGTAGACCTTTCAAGAGGCTTTGGGCTCAGGGTAGGTCGTCATCGCAGAAGAATGGTGGCTGAGGTGGACAAACTCCTCCTACTCCCATGTTGAACAAAGGGCCAACGACCTCACATGACATCTACTACAAGCAGTGTGAGACGGCAGATGTGGTGGATTGGGTGCAGGGAATTTCCAATTGCTTTTACACCCTACTACTGAGGTCGGCGGCGCAAAAGTTCAATGTCTCAAGGTGCCGTTGCTTGGTAGGGCGGTGAGTGACAGGGAAATGTCACCTCGAGGGAGATTGGGGTTGCAAGGAGCCCTCGAAACAGCAAAATGTTGACTCTGGCAAGTGAAGTTCGGTACCACTCTCCTACACTTCCAGTGTTCTTTGCGTTGGAAACCGTACCATCTGGCACGCCGACCATGCCTTTATGTGGCGAAGTATCGTGTGCTTCATGAAGCAAATACCTTGTTGGGCAGAAGGAGATCAATGATGACATGTTTGACAAGTGATGTGACACGAAAGGAACTTCCCTAGCAAACGCCCACAAAAGTGGACTTTGAAAGTCATTGCGAAGTCTTACGCAGTAGTTGTACCACAGTACTATTGTCGAGGAAAAGTTAAGTTATGGGCCTATTGACCGACATGGTTAGTTAATCAGAACGTCAACCATCGCTGCTATGGGGTTCTGATGTCGTGGATGTGCCCGCGGTAACCGTGGTATGATGGAAGAGGCGTGCCCGAATTTTGGCTCTTGAATATACGCATGCCCGGAGCAACCACCCTACTGCAGGTAGGGTTGAACGTACATTTGTCGTGCGTGCAGGAGTCGAGGCACCGCCGTGCAAAAGACCAATGCCGGTGAAGGGACGATGGTTCTTCCCACTGTCACCGTGGAATGTTCATTGGTCTCCCATTTCTCAAGTGTCACGGCAGACAAAGTTTTCTCATGCACCTCGACTGTTGGGGAGTGCCCACCGTCTGAGGACAAGTCTCGGCCAAAGTTGAGACTCTGGCGATGCCATGGTAGCAAGAATAATAAGGTTTGATGACTTCGGTCATGGCGGGATGCAAGAGTCCCGCAGAGTTGCTCGGAGGAAAAACAAATCCGCACAAGGGGCGTGGATGAAATCCGGTGACTCCGGTGGTACGCGTGCAGGGCGTGTTGATTTGCCCAGGATATGAAGCCTGCAGCGCTCCCCAGGCTATTCATGCAGGAAGCCTCTCCTGGAAACCGGTGCGCTTTGATCTGATTCGTACCGTACCATAGTAGAACGTGGCCGCCATCAGCCGCTTTTTGTTTAGCTGAAGCTTACACGTTCGGGTGGCATCTTTATATTCTTCCGATTCGAAAACCACTCGATAGGAAACGCCGTATATATGGTGTATGGTGCATGAAGTCCGTCCCGGACCGTAGGTTGTTACTGATTCTGGACCGCCTCCGATGCAGCAGCTTCAAGCATTGGCGACTCGTTCGAGCTGAGCCTGGCGATTTTGGCGAATGATAGATGGTCTCCCGCTTATCATTGTAGAAGCGAAGCTCTTGCCTGAAGGAGACTACTACACCTCATCTATCCATCTACAAGTACAACCCACTGGTCCTTGTTGATTGCTGGGATGTGTTGTTCTGGGTGCAATGATATCAGTGGTCGATCAGCAGCGATGTCGATATGTACCGCAGATCTAGATGCCGGCTAACGTTGAGCATACTGTCACGTTCCACACTTTCTCCATATTGTACCTCTTCTCACAACGCCGACCTGTCGCATCCTGCTTGCTCATGCAGACACCTTCAGCCATTATGACCACGTTGTGTAACCACCACTGCCATCGTTTGGTGACCCAGCCTTAGCATCGGAGGTCTTGTCTTGCCTGAGATGAGCAATGAGCATGGTGAATTTCAACACCAGTTGGCATGTCTGGCTTGAACACAACAATAATACGAGCACTCGTATGCATTGGCCCTTCCAGGACAAACTCTATTTAAGACCAATTCGGCTAGAGACTTTCAGTCTAAGGAAGCATGGTCCCGCGCTTCTGCTCCTAGAGGCTGCGAGTGCTGGAGAGTGTGGAATAGTACGAGGACATACCAAGGTAATGTGGCCAGTGGCTGGAACAGCTTATGATGGCATTCCAGGACGGTTCCGAAACCGAGTGAGGTGGTGAGTTAATCCTACCCCAAGGCGCCCAGACTGAGTATGTTGACTCTTTACGAGGTAGACTCCCACCGACTCCTAAACTTCCGGAAACTTTCAAGCCTACAACTTCTCATGTTATGGTTTTGGTGTGAACCTTGTCCTTTATCGAAGCCTCTAAAACCGTTCTCAACTTCTCACTGGCAAACTGGCCCACGCCGTGGGCGCCTTAGCGTCTTGGTACTGCTGCAACACCTCATCCTCTCGGTTACCTAGGTACTTGGGACGTGGAAAATAACAAGGCAATACACAGTACGTACTCGTCCACGCACGTCCCGTCCACAACTGGTTCTTCGGGCCTCGGTTGTTTGGACCTTTTAGGCAGAGTTTTGAGTATATTTGTATGTGCATTCTCCCGTACCAGGGGCTTTGATCCTGCACGGGGAAGCAAAATAGGCTGCTGCTGCCAACCTTAGTGGTCGACTGACAGACTTTTGACCTTGAACTATCTTTGCCGCAATATCCGTCACCTATGTACGAGAGTTACTCAAGCTTCACCCCTGTCTGGCCGTCCAAATTCAATGTGTGTCGTACGGACAAAGACAGTCAACGCAACCCCCGCCTGGCACGTTGACATCGCAATCTGACCCTGTGAGGAGGTGCATCCGCTTTGCTCTCTCCTCTGGATCATGCAGCACATGCATAAGCCAATGGTACCAGATGGTATCAGGAACCGCAACGTGGTCTGGGAGTCCGTGGACGAGGACGGAAGAGCGCCACTGAGAATTCAAGGCTGCGGTGATTGATCGACCTCCACGTCGAAAAGTTTACTTGTTAGTCCCCTCTTCGACATGGGGTCAAGGGCCAAATGATAGACGGCCAAAGCAAAAACCTTTCTGCTGTTTGGCATCTGACTGACCTGCAATGACACTGCAAAACTGGTGGGGCTGAAGTATCTTTATCTGTCTGATGCTGGGCAAGTCTACCTTTCTATGCACCACCATGGTTCTGGGTTGGGGCCTTGTTTCCTTGGTCCGACCAAAGTTTGACGGTAAGGACTTTGATATCAGTGTGGAAATTCCAGCCATGAATTTGCGTCTTCCCTCCCTGCCCTTTTGCACGACTGCCAAAAAGTGACCAGCAACAAATCCCACCTTAAATTTCTCGGCTTTGCTTTGGCCTCAAGGAAAGACACTAGATATCAAGATATGTCGCGTACAGTAGAGATCACCACCCGACAAGCCATCCAAATTGCGCAAAACAGTCAAGATGGCCATATCGACCCGCGAATCCTCAAAATTCTCGAGAACGCGCTATGCTACGTCTGGCGAAACATCCAACGCCAACCGAACACCTATGTCATGACCCATCTCGAATTCGCCATCTTCAATTTCTATCGGGCACTTCCCGAATTGCAAAATGAAACGGCACGCAAAGCTGTTTCACGATACTGGAACAACCCAGATCTCACTAGCGGACTATGAAGAGACATGTCGAGGCAAAGCCAAAGCCATGATGGGTCCTCTCTTGCTATTCTTAGGCTGCCCGTTCTCAGGCTACGGCGAGGCCTTTTACCATCATCAGAAATCGAATCCTCACCAACCGTTTCGGAGTCCTCATCTCAACTGCTTTATCTTTCGAAGCTGAATACAGAAGTACAAAACCTCAATGAAGCTTGATCCACCAAGCGCTTGGTCAGATTTCCTAGCCCTATGCGTGGCCATGCGGCGAGGCGGTCACTCCCCCACGAGCAAAGAGTAAACTGGAGACATGGGCACATCATCATGCCGCATATTCCGAGCCTCTGGAGAATAGGGACGGGCAAGAGGGCCCTGCCGAAAAAGACTTGAAGGTGTTCGGGCTGGCTTCGCTTGGACTATCCGACCCCCTGCCGTCCGCGAATAATGGACGGCTGTGGGCGCGAATCCACTGGTTGGCTCCTTGCTGCTTGCCTATAGGTACTCACAAGCTGAGACCTCCTTGCCCAGCCGTGCCAGGCTCAGCAAACTGCAGTCTCCCTGCCAGAATCACCTTTTCCTCCCTTGTTGTTCTGCACTTACTGGTATTGGATGTTATGCTCAATTCCAAGTAGCACGTCTGTACAGCTTGCATATACGCATTTTCTATCCCATATACTTGCTCAAACAGACGAAATGCTTTAGCTATGAAATAGTTCTCATGTTTTCGACTCCCAACAAGATCCCGCTGCTCCTGCAGCATTCCATGACGGAGTCAAACATCGTGACGCATATAATGTCACCCTGATGGAATCGTACACCATCAACTCCTATACCCTTTTGCCCGGCAGACTGAGAGAACGATGACAATCGAAATGGAAGAGGCACACACTGTACTGCGCGCTGAATGTGCACAGTTGTGTTGTGTATGAAGCTTCTCTTCGAGCAACATTCCAGTGCTGACGAGAATGCAGGACCGTGCAACCACAACATCGACTCAGGCTTTTGTAATAGACTGAAGATGCGACCGTCTACCCTGCTCCCTCCGGCAAGAACAAGATGTATTTCCTCCTCGTTATCGTGGTTTCTTGCCTGCTGGCTGAGTCGAAGACTGCGCTCGCTGCACCAGACATCAGAGGACGTGACCTGGGGGCAGCTGGCGCCAGAGACAGAGCATTTCATGAATCCGCCCGGCACGAAAGTTTTGCGAGACACGCCTCGAGGGTACGTTTCCACAGTACAACCAATACAGCGTAAACTGACCTTTACAGCTCCTGCCTCGACAGACGGCCCCTCTTCCTGTAACGACAGTTGCCGAGTGCGACACATACGACGGTTTCTTTTATATCACCCCTGGGAATTACACCTGGCAGCTGCAATGCACGACGAACTACGATGGAAGCATCATTTCTCAGAGCGATGCTGCCAGTTTGGCCGCCTGCATCGACGCCTGCGTCCAGTACAATGCTGCCACAACGTCAGGGGCCTGCCTGGGCGTCAACTTCAACGCCGCGAACCACGCAGCTGCAGGACTGTGCACGCAGTATTCGGATGTACAAGATCTGCTCCTCGCGAGTGAGGAAGGAAGTAAGAGAGCCCCGACATCTCAATACCACGCTTTGTCCGTGGATGTTGTCCCTTTCAGAGGAGCGTAGCTGCCACTTATAGACGAGACCCTGAAACGTTATGCAAAAGAAGGAGGGCTGACAGACCAAAAGATGTACAGGACTCTGCGCTGTTGATACTTGGTCCGAACGGACAGATTTTTGCAACACCGCAGCCGGAGCCGACTTTCTCTGGAGCGCCCAGTCAGCCACCATCTGTGGACCCGGTCCCGACATTGACCACAAGCACGTTAGATGTCACCTCGATAGCACAGCCTTCAGTCACTACAACACAGTCGACGAGCAGTGGAGCCGAAGGGCCCACTACGACCACCACGACAATAGTTACCAGCACCATGCTCGTCGTTTCCTGCCCGGTTGGTGCTTCTGCATGTCTCTCCTCTACTTCAACGTCCTCAGCATCGACGATGAGTGTGGGACCTTCGCTTGGAAGCAGTACCACGAGCATGGGTAGCGGCACATCATCCTCGGCCACCCTTCCCAACGAATCAACCACGACCCAAGCGCCGCTCACGACGAGTCCAGCGTCGAGTACCTCGGCGAGAGCTCGGACGACCACGAGACCAGGAGGAGTCATCGTTGACGCTATAACTACAGTGACCATGGTGATGCCTGTCACAGAGTACCGAGTACAGATTGTGGAGATTTGTGCGGCCACACCAAGTTCATGTTCTCAATCGACCGTTACATCTACTAGTGTCGGTTACAGGACAGAAGTATCGTGCACACCGAGCGAATGTTCCGATATAGCGACTGGCGTGACGGCTAATGCTGTATTTACTGGGACATGCGTCATTCCTTAGCACTTTGTTTTCTTGGTTGGGATACTAGTATTGAGCAGATGCGAGCCGGCCCTTCTTCTTTCGATTGCTTGACCGAATAACCTGAGCATTTTATTGGGGATTCCATAGTAGAAGGATTCTACTGAGCTGTATCCCTGCCTAGAACGTTGACATGAAACTCGAAATTCTTATTTTTTTTCACAAGTTACCTGAGTAATGAAAAATTCTTCCCAAATGCCACTGCCGCTGTCGAGCGGGAAATGGTGCCACCCATTCTTCGCCTGGGTGGCGGAGACACTTACTAAGTTAGTACACTTGTCACTTGCCGTAGCCACCACGAGCCACCTAGGTGATGGCTAGGTCGTAAGGTCGGTGGTAGCTGTAGAGTTTACGTGATCTGCACTAAGAATCTCGGATGTCGGCTCCGGAAGCAAATCAATGGTCCCCATGTCGCCAAGGGAATGCTGGGCGGCGGCTCAGTTCTTCCGTTCGCAAAAATCAGGCAGTGCCAGGACTCATTCTCCCTTCGGTGTCCCTTCTTAGGGCTTCTACTCTTACAATATACAGGTAGGTGCCAGGTATTGTAATGTATCTCGAGTGCTCGCCAAACACCATCGAGGGCGATATTACAGTACCTAGTATACGGCTCTGTCGAACTTTCGATTCCAACGTGTTTTTTTGCCGATGCACGACCACGAGTCTCTCTAGTTACAATGAAAGTGAAGAAAGGTGTGGCAGTAACTTCTTTACTCTTCACTGCCATCATCATGCACAGGCAAGAGAATTGCTCCTTTGCAGTCAATGAGCAAAGCTGGCATTTGGGAGACCATTCATTGTATCGCGCTGGAAATAGGTCTCTGAGCTGGCGCATGCGGACTTTTCATTATTTCGACCTCTTTGTCTGTACCCAGCGGCTGTAGCAGGTCAGGTAAGTCCATGCATGGGATGCTTTCATTGTCTTCACCTCCAAAACAAAATTTTTCTCGTATTTTCCGTCTCAGATCCCATCACTTATTTCCGCGTATCTCGAGCAATCAACCTGCAAAACTACACGTTGAGAACATACGTCGGTACCCGTCAATATTCGCCATGGCGAAAATTACTTACTTCAATGCCATCCTGGCTGCGATAGTTATCGCCGTTGACATGGCCAACGCACAGTGCAATCCTATGAATGGTCAGCGACAGCCCCGATGGCGGTCCTGCAGATGCTGACGCTTTTTAGGTCCATGTCCTGCAATTCCAGGTCTCCCAACAAGCACCTATTCTATCGATTTCACCCAACAAACCGGATTACCATCTGACTGGATCCAAGCCGAGGGAGCCCCTGTCACTTTCGGCGCGAGTGGCGCCAATTTCACCGTTGCCAAACGCTACGATGCGCCTTACATCTGGACTCGCTTTTACATGTTGTTTGGCCGTATTGAAACAGTTGTAAAAATCGCGCCAGGGACCGGCATTGTCACGAGTGCAGTCATGATGTCAGACGACCTCGATGAAATAGACTGGGAATGGTCAGGAAACAACTTCGCGCAGTCTGGTGGCAGAGTCCAAACAAATTGGTTCGGTAAAGGCGTTCCTGGAAACTACGACCGTGGTTCCCAACCCGCCGTGAATGATCCTCAAGAACTCTTTCACACATACGTATTTGACTGGACTCCAGACGCCCTCACTTGGTCAGTCGACGGGACTAATGTCTACACGGCAAAGAATTCCCATCAGACAACTGGAGCATATCAATATCCACAGACGCCTTCTCGCTTGCATCTCGGTGTGTGGGCAGGTGGCGATCAAGACAATAACCCTGCGACAGTCTGGTGGGCAGGTGGATATTCAAACTTCAGTCTTGCCCCCTTCAGTGCCTATGTCAAGTCCGTCAAGATCACCACCTCGAATCCTTGCCCCAGCTGGCAATACCCAAACCCCTTCAATGGCACCTACCAGGCCGTGGTATGTACCAATCAGACTCTTACTTTGCCGTGTACCTACACGGTCAAAGCAGGAGACAATGGCCAGACAATTGCAACTGGCTTGGCAGCCACTTTGGATGCTCTCAAGGCTGCAAATCCCGGCCTCAATTGGGATTTATTGCTTGAAGGGCAGACACTCAATGTCCCTGGTGGCCATTGCTCCTCCACAACTTCATCTGCCGTGTCGTCTACCACAACCTCGCCAATGGGCTCGAGCTCCACCACCACCACATCCTCAATAGTGTCCACGACCGACTCATCACTCAGCTCTGCCACTACCTCGACTGTCACGATGACTTCCTCGTCCACGTTCGCACTTAGTGCGACGTCGGCGTCATCGACGCCTGCCTCAAACTCGTCAAGTGCAGCCCCTATCAACACCAGCTCCGCAAGCCCCACATCGGTGGCTCCTTCAAGTTCTGGCTCTCCTGTGAGCTCAAGCACATCTGGCTCAAGTATCTCTCTCTTGAGCACTTCCACAAGTGTGTTCACGGGCACTACAACAACTCCTTCAGCTCAAGGGTCTGTTGCAACTACATATACTGTAGTTACTGGCGACTATGGCTGGCAAATTGCTTCCAAGGTTGGCTGCAGTTTTGATGCTCTTGATGCCGCTAACCCTGACGTTAACTGGGACAATTTGCAGATTGGGCAAATCTTGAACGCACCATGCGCCAGCTCAAGTGCGGCACCTGCGACCACAGGAGGTCCAGGTGCTGTCCAGACTTCCAATCCTGCCTCCGCCTCCGATCCCGGCAGTCCTTCTAGCAGCTCAAGCCAACCCTCGTCTGCGCCAGCGTCTGGCTCTAGTGGTGCAGCGGCTACTACTGCGGCTTCTGTGACATCAGCAAGCTCCCCAGTCACGTCGTCAGATACTCCAACCTCTGCGAACAACCCCACCCCTGCATCAGGATCCAGCTCTCTAGTCTCCGCAACAGGCTCGACAACCACCAGCTCGTCTGCCAGTCAATCCACCTGGAGCTCGGCGACCGCTTCCAACAGCATCTACTCCGACGGCGACGATGATGACGATGCCTATGCTTCGTCTGCTCCTCCATCAACTGTTACTGTTGGCGGGACTATCATGACAAGCACCAGCTCGACTACCACAGGCCCGTCCCCGGGCACAACTAATCCTACTTCGACCACGGCAGCCATATCAAATCCCTCTAGTAGCCAGGGTATTGTGGTACCCACCACCTCACAGAAGACGGTCAACCCTATCACTGCAGCTACTCCCACCAAGTTAGTCTGCAACCAGGACAACTGCTTGCGCAATATGATCGATAAACGATACTTGTCGTCAATGATGTCGTTCTGTCCCGCTTACACTACCGTGGCTTCCAACTCGGCGCCTCTTCCCACGTACTTGACCGGCTGTTCTCAGGACGTTAGTAGAGTCAGTAGTGCTTGCAGCTGTTTGATGACCAGCTTCGCATCGACTCATTCGTCATCTAGCACTCCGGCAATGACTGGGCCTGCGCAACGAGCCGGAACACCTTCCTGGAGACTGAAGCGGTCGCCCTTGAGATGGGAGCGATTCGCTGCATGATGACCACACATTGATGTTGGAAAGCCGTTGCACGCTGGAAAGCGAGGTAGGAAACAAGCTGCTCTTCGAACATTGGTTAGTTGGGGACTAGGTGAAGCTTGATTTGCACAGAGTAGAGTTCGAACCTTCCAGCACAAGCATTATGTCTGCGAGAAATAGAGCAGAAAGCATGTGATGCCTCAATGATAGTGCTGAATGGATCTTGTTTGAAGAAATGATTTCGCCCGCAAGGCGGAATGTCTGAGCCAATCATTGAGCGTGCATCTTCTCGACGAGGCTAGATTACATAAGTCGTCCAAAACTCCGTCCGTTCCTTGGCATTTTCTGGCACGGCAGCCTTGGCATCGCCCACAATGCGCCGCAGTCTCGAAAGTTGCTAGACCGAACTTCAACACAGTGTTCCTCAAGCAACAACCATTTCCGTACGATTGACCCTGCTCGAATCCTTCGATCCACGACTGACTTCGTCACAGCCTTGTTCTCGCCAACCTAAACCGTCAAGATGACCAAGGGAACGAGTTCTTTCGGAAAGAGTGAGCGACGACACGGATTGGCGAGAGGGAATTTTTTCTGACGGGCTTCTGAACAGGACACAACAAGACGCATACTCTCTGCCGGAGGTTCGTAACTGGACTTTCATGCTGGGGGTGATTTCAATGCTGATTCTGTAATAGATGCGGTCGCCGAAGTCTGCACATCCAGAAGCACACCTGTGCCAACTGCGGAGTATGGCTGCCCTTTACCCAACCCTTGCCCCTTTTTCCCGCGAGATGGAGCGAATTTCGAAAATGATCATGGGAGCTGACTTGTCTGGCGTGAACAGTATCCTGCCGCTAAGGTGCGAAAGTACGAATGGAGCGAGAAGGCTAAGAGACGCAAGACTACGGGCACTGGTCGTATGAGGAGTCTGTCACTCGTTGCGAGGTAAGGAAGTTCCCCTTTCCATATGTACCAAAGGGGGATGCTTGTGGAGGAATAGAGGTCAAAGAGGTGGAGGGAACTCCCATATCGGTTACAGAGGTGAAGGCCTTGCTTGTGAAGTGGAGAATTGGGACATATTGATGAATGTCTGAAAGAGAAATGCATGGCTAACACATCATCTTCGCACAGGAAATTCAAGAACGGCTTCCAGACTGGTACACCCAAAGGCGCTCGGGGACCTGCTAAAGCTTAAATGGAGCAACACGGCGATGTTGCGTTGAAGTGGAATAACGTTTTCAATGGGTCGAGCGAGCCGAGTTGCGCATACGCATGGCGTATGAGGCATGGATCAAAGCAGGACAGCGTAGACTTGACGACGGTCGAACTTTGAGGTCTTGAACACAGGCTATGAAACCTTTCGGACGGAATGCCAAAACTTGAGAGAACATGTTACAGCATGCGGCATTAGAAAACCTCTACCAGCATGGATTGCTGATCCTGATGTCTATGGATTGCAATGGTCACTGGGACTAAAATCATTCACAATGACTTCTGAAATCTCCATCTGTTGTTTCGCCTGCAATATGTAAGCCGCCATTGTGACCTTAGATTTCCTTGGTTGTTGCGTACTTGTAGGTACCAGGTAACTCTTCAATATATACGGAGTGTGATCTTGCGGAAACTTAGCACCTCGGGACTGCTATCCCTTTCTTGAGGGAGTACTTTGTCTCACTCCTCCAGGGATTGGTCCCTGTTACCCTGGCCAAATTTCTACAATTACTAGTATTCATTTTTTTACAGCTTCGTCGTAACACTTTCCAACAACATATTAGCGAACCACCGCAATGCCGTCAGCCATCCCACCGTCCCTTGCGTCTTACATTCAGGCTAGCCTCGACTCTCAATCACAGACGCTTATTACATCCGTTCTGAGCACGCCGTCGACATGGCTCGCACTCCGAGTCGTGTATGCTGCTATTCATGGTGTCGAGGACATATCTCGTGGTCATTCCCTCGGCCTCGGCTCGTCACACAATGCCGTCGAGTCAAGACCAGTCATTTTCGTGAGCCTACTTCGACCACTGAGTTTATGGAGTGAGATGGGTAGGAAGATGGTACGTCTATCTCACGTGTTTGGCTTGCATTTCATGATTTTCGCTGCAGCCTTTGCGCTTTGTACATCCCTTCAAAGGCGTTTAGGGCCTGACATGATTGATACCACGATGCTGGATGGCTCTGGACAGAGAACGGACAGTAGCCATGTGTACAGTTTGCGGAACCAACCTGTGACTGTGGCTGACGTTATACTAGGGCCTGGATGTTCAATCTCTACTCAGAAGCAAGAAGATAATGTATATCGACTGTCTTAGTCTTCCTTCTGGCCATCCTTCATCACCAGCAGATGCCTTGGTCCCACCAACGATAAAGTTGAAGTCCCTTGCGTTGAGCGCCGTCCGAGATGCTGTCGACACTGCTTTGAAGTCGATGGCTTCGTCTTCCGCTACAGCTAACGCTACCGCTACAGCTACGTCTTCTCAGTCACCATCAATAATGACAGCATCCTCATCTGCGATACCGACTCCTCGGATGCCTCCGCCTCCAGCTTCACGGCCACCAGCAGCTTCTCCCTCCACACCTGTTCCCAGCACAAAACCGGTCATCCTGCTCGATGGAATCGACTTCGTGCTGTCTTCTCAGCCGTCATGCTCGACACTGACTCTAGACTCATTCCTTTCCTCGCTACGGGCGCAATGCCATGCACTGGTGGTCACGGGCAACGCTGACGCGCCTTTGCTCCATACTGCTGGATCAGATATCTCTCCAGGCACACCTCTGGAACGGAATCACGCTCACTTTCTGACGAGCATGGCGCATCGATGTCAATGGGTGTGGCAACTGCGAGGGCTGGATACCGGGAGTGCAAAGGACGTCACAGGTGTGCTAAGAATGAGTCGAGGTGGAGACCTCGGCTCTGAAGAGGACGAGATTGGTCCTGAGAGATTGCCAGATGCAGAATGGCTCTACCAAGTCAAGGGCGATAGCTCTGTAAGAGTATGGAGTCGTGGTGAATGAGCCAGTATGGTGGTGGTTGATGGCCGCGCCACCGCTGTCGCACAGGACTAGGCCCTATCCGGGGATTAACGTGGTCTGGTGCAATTCTGCAACGATGCAGCGATCATTTCATATATCTTACTCACCACCTGCGAGATAGTTGGGTTTTCATGGAAGATGAAGTCGGCCATGATTGTTCACAGTGAACAATACATGAGGCATTTGGAGATGCCGGAAGTACTTCCGCCCACTGTTGTTTTTTTCGCTGCCGAGCTAGATGATGCCATCCGTGCTTATTCAACGTTGGTCCGGGCCTGCTTGACGAGGTAAACCTCTCATCATTCAATAAATTGCAGATAAATGTTCATTGCTCTGTCAAAGTCCTCATTCTTGTTGGCTAGGAGGCTTGCGTAGGTATACATTCATCCGTCGCATTTATTTCCAGCGCTGGTGAGACCGAGACGAGCTTGTTTCCACCATGTCAGACTCCTTTCTTTACAAGTTCCCTTCTCCGCTCGAAGGGTATGAGAATCTTCCCCCTCTTCCTGATGAGTTAGATGAAGACGGCAAATCATTCAAAAATCCCCAGACGGGAGTGCTGAGCCCAAGTTATGAAAAATTCACATCAGGAGTGACCAATGGGCGGCGAGGGGGGTTTGATATTCACATTTATTACCACTACAGCAACGAGGATCAAAGGGAGTTTGCTCGAGCACTATGGGAGAGAATTCGAAGGGAGTTTCCCGAGCTGAGGTGAGTACAGGGAGCTTGAGGAGATTGACTAGGATTTGCTGAGGTTGGCGAACAGGATATACAGATTTTGGGATCGTCCTGTTGGGCCTCATACTATGGCAATGTTTGAAGTCAACGTCTTCACGCCTGCACAGTTTGGGGCGTTTATACCATGGCTGGTAATCAATCGCGGGCCCTTGTCAGCTCTTGTCCATCCCAACACAGACGATGGCGATGAACTGAGAGCACATAGTCAGCGGGCAACATGGCTAGGGGAGCGGGTCCCGCTTGATCTCCAAATGTTAAAGGCATTCATGGACAAGAAGCAAAAGCAACAAAACGGTACAGAGGGATAAAAGCTGTTGGTGGGAGTGTGCATAGATGAAGGTAGTGGTCGGGGGGCCAGGCACCTTCCCTCATTTACGCGTCTGAACGTGTTCTGGCTTTCAAAGGTTCCTTCACTTTGCCCTCTCCACAAGACACCATTCACTGCCACCAAGCACTGCATCTCTACTACTTAACAGGCCTTCTTGCTTGCCTATCCGACTGCGGCTCGTGCTCAGCCGCGCGCTACCGCCTGGTCGGCCACTTCGGTGACCACCCTCATCGGTGCTGCCTTGCCGACTTGCGAACATTTACCAATGATGCCTTCGTGGAGAGCAGTCTCCGGTCATCTATCACCGTATCAAGTCTGTGACGAAGTCAGATACGAGCCCCCAGCGCCGAGTTTCTCTCCAAGTCCTCCTACCGCTCACCTCACTCAAGACCTGATTGGCGAGGTTGACATCATGCCTCCGCAAAGTCATCAGCCCCCTCGAACTCGAGCGATTGCGGACTCCGACGACGAAAGTCTCAGTGATGTCAGCCGAGCGCTGGTGCGTGATAACGACAAAGAGGAATCAGAAGAACCAGACGCCGAGTCTAATATAAGTGATCAGCATCCGAAGCAACCGCTTACTGCTCGCCCCTCCCACGCTACCAGTGTCCGGAATCAAATCGATTATACGCCAGGTTCTCACCGCTCTAGAAGCACCTCTTTACGTGGTACAGGCAGACGTGCTCCAACTCCTCACATCCTTTCTACCCCGATTACCGAATCTAGGTCCGCACCAGGACCTCGAGGTGGTGCTGGTTCGGTCCAACAGGGATTTGAAAGTCCGACCCAACGAAGCGTCACTCTCAGCGCAGAGGGTAGTAGGCCACAAGAAGAGGCAGAGGAATTTGAGACAAACGCATTCACCACCTCGGACTTCCCAATTCGCTCACTTCGCAAGCGCAACGTGCGGCAGACAAACCCTTTCAGATTCGACAAGCATCAGCATAACCTCACCAACAAGACTGGTAGAGCTGTAGATGCCGAAGACATCGAAGAAGCGGTGCAGGAGGATATTCACAAGGCCCAGAGGCGAGTCTCATCCACAAAAGAAGCGAGAACATCTACTGGAAGCACAAAACGTAAAGCAAAGAGCTCCACATCCAAGCAAAGCAATAAACGACGTCGTTCAGATTCAGTCACTTCTTCTGTCTCACATGAAAAGGATAACGAGGCCATTGTGTTCAACCCAGCGAGTGTGACCTTGAAAGTCTGGCGCGATGGTTTTCCTGCGGCTGCTGCTCCAACAACGCTTCAAGCTCGCGATAACATAGACAAGTTGTTCGACTTCATGACCAAGTCGTGGGGTTGGAGTTTCAACAACGACTCTATTCGCTACGCGATCATCTCTTTCCCATGGCTGACAGAGAGCTCCAACATCTTACTCCGGCCAGAACTGAAAGGAAGCTTCGACAAGATGGTAGATGAGGCCGAGAAAGCACCTGTCTGGCAGAAAGGAGAAGCTGAAGCATCATGCGAAATCAATATCACGGTGTACCTGTAGCCGGGAAATCTGGCTTCACAATCTCGAGATTTCTGCACGATAAGGCGTGAGTGTTGGCGCAAAGGGTGTGTACGGAAGCGGAATAGTAGGAGCATGGCAAATGAGAAAGTGGTGCTGCACCAAAATATGGAGTACTGTACACTGCGGGACGAAGGCATTTGACTAAAGCAAGGCGAAGAGGAGCTTGATGAGTGGTAGAACAGTCGATGGAACGATTTGAAAGTCGCTTTTTCTGCGCAGGGGCACAAGCAGCTCCGAACTAATTGTCGTGCTAGTGTGACAAGTGATATGAAACGGAGCTTGTTGGCCAGTAAGCCTGTAGGCTCAGGGCCACTATTTCCCCTGAATATTCTTTTGAAGAGACGAACCGAAGGAGAAGATGGGCAGGAGAACAGCAGGATCGATCGCTTGCGACGCCTGAAGGACTGGTCTGGAGTTTTTTACACAATCGATATTCCTTCAAACACCTAGCCTCCGTCGCCGTTCTCTATCCCGTCATCGGGAACTTTTCATCTGCCCTTTGACTCGTGGTTAGGACGATGCGTGATTGACACTGGCGATCAGTGGCTCTTGCGACAGTAGAAGCCTGCACGAAGCCTGTCAGAAGCGGGAATCGGAGCTTTCCATCCAGTCACAGGCGCAAAAGCGTGGCCTCTAACCGCAACTTGATCGACCCGGACCTGAGTACCCAGTACCCCATATTCCCTGATTCGAAGCAAACACAAACCATCTTCCCAAGTGGTACGGAGTACGAGAACTCACATTTCAACCCATCAAGGCAGACAACAGGGTCTTCAGACATTGTGTCGACAATAAGGCCCTTCTATCCTTGATCGCCCCAAGCTGACCGTCCGGCGAACACACACCCCCAACTCGAAATACTCTACGGAGTACCTGCATCTTCATTCACTGCTCGGACCTTACCCTGCGCTGGTCGCCCCTGCTACATACTGTCCGCGTCCTTACGTCCACTTCCTCTTCGATTGGCGAATGATCAATCATCGAGCAATAACGACCCGCGTCCCTATCTCCTCACGTCAGCGACTGCCTGCACCCCTACAATCCCTGCCTCCGAGTTGATTGTCCGGCAAGCACCTACGCTGGCCCATCTCACTCTCACTCTCACTCTCACCCCGACACCATGACCTCCCCGCCTCAGATTGCCCGGAATGAGTCTCAGGCCTCTCGGAGAAGTACAAGTCTGGGCTCTCGACTGTTTCGATCCAAGAGTGGGGAAGCACTGGGTGAACGGAAAACGTCTGGGAGCCGGCTGAAAAAGAAGCATAGCGAGATGGACGAATCTGCCAAAGTGACGGCCAACTCTCCTCCACGCCTGCCAGGCTATACTCCACAGCCCTTGGGCATACAGTCGTTTGGCGGCGAGAATTACAAACCCCAGTCCAATTCCAGAGAGTACACAAATGGGGCAAGGAACACTCCTCCCGTACCTCCACTACCAGAGTACCTCGAAAAGGAAGTGGTTGATCCGTATGCTCGAACCGAGAGCATGACGCACCGTGAGTCTTGCACAATTTCCAATTGCATCCAATACTGACCCCTATCTCAGGTGGCCGATATTCCTATGCTACCTCCACCGTGTCCACGGTCAATTCACCTCGCAGAGTCCGACGTCGTAAAGATCCCACTCCATACAATGTCCTAATCATTGGCGCTCGGAACTCTGGCAAAACCTCTTTTCTCAATTTCCTGAAGAGCTCTCTGGCCCTCCCACTAAGGAAACAAGCAGCTCGAGCCCCTGATGGTGACACGCCTCCATCCTCAGCTCGACCCAACCCACACTTTACTCACCACTATCAAGAGATCGAGGTTGACAATGAACGAATAGGGTTGACATTGTGGGACTCGCAAGGCCTGGACAAAGGCGTGGTTGATCTTCAGCTGAGAGACATGGCAAATTTTGTGGAGAGCAAGTTTGACGACACCTTTATTGAGGAGATGAAGGTGGTTCGTGCGCCTGGCGTCAGGGATACCCACATTCATTGTGTCTTCTTCATTCTCGATCCTGCCAGACTCGATGCCAACATCAATGCTTCGCAGGGAGGAAGCAATGCCCTGGAGACTGGTCGAATTGGAAAGCCACCTCGGATTGTCGGGGCACTTGATGAAGATTTTGACATACAAGTCATGAAGGCGCTCTCTGGCAAGACCACTGTGATTCCTGTCATCAGTAAAGCAGACACCATTACAACAGCCCACATGGCTTTTTTGAAGCAAAAGGTTAGCAGGAGCCTGAAGAAGGCTGGCCTCGATCCACTTGAAGCATTGAACTTTGAAGCCGAAGAATTTGACGAGGATAGGCTCGACGAGCGTGATGAAGATGACAATAGCAGTGAGGCAGAGAGTGGTGCAGGGTCGGCGAGAAGCGATGATTCCGAGGCCAATCCCACTACGTCAAACATGAAGCGCCCAGTCGTCCACAAACGTCAGTCATCAAACATGTCCATGGGTGATCCGACCCTGGACAGCGGATATGTACCTTGGTCAATTATCAGTCCGGACAAGTATTCATTGGAGGCCAAGGACGGTCCAGTCGGCAGAGAATTTCCCTGGGGATTTGCCGATCCGTACAATCCAGGTCATTGCGACTTTGTCAAGTTGAAGGATGCCGTCTTCGCAGAGTGGCGTTCTGAACTGCGAGAAGCCAGCCGTGAAGTGGTAAGTTTCGTTCCTGAACCGACACTGCAGTCTTGACTAACATGCGATAGTTTTATGAACGATGGCGAACGAATCGCCTCAACCGTCGAACGTTGCCAACAACCAACGGACTCCCGTCAGGACCTCGACAAAGTGGTGGCATCCCAATTCCTCTGCATCCTCGAGGTCGCTGACAGTTGTAATTTTGTGCGATCGGTGTACTTCAATTTCAATGGATCCAAAAGTCGATTCAAAATACACACGAAACTGTCGTCAAAAAGCATCCTGAAGCAGAGAGAAAGATCAGTGACCGAGTGAGGCGAGTTGACACTACTGGCATTATTATTTTCACCCCTTGCATGGTAGTGCTCTTCTTGGGCGTTGGAATGAGTTCATTATGACGCCCGCTTAGGGACAGTCACGAGTCATGACACAACATCACTTTTTCGTGGAGGCTACGTGTACCTAGACGTGGTTCAGTTTTATTTTCGGTTGGGTGTCTATGGGACATTGAGAGGATTGTGAAGCGCGAGTTTTGATGCCGAGCTGCGCTTGGTGTTTGTATGATTTTAGTGACCCTTGTAGCACATTCAGAATACCCCCTTTGCCTCGTTGACACTGTATGTACTTTGCTCATTTCTTAGATAGACAAACCACAAACATCTTGTATTTCGTCCTGCAGGCGTATCTGGAAGCATAGCCCTTCTCGTTGGCCAGTCACATGGCCTGGTTGAAATCTCCCTGCGGAACTCACAACGGGTGGCACCCTGGATGAATCGGTCTTTGCACAGATAAGGGATTCCCATCGTGGACGGTAAATGAACATCGGTCCAACTGTCGGTCCATCTTCCACTCCTCTGCCTTACCTAGGTAGGGAACAATCTGCAAGTGACGCAGAGGTGCACTGACATGGTACAGCAGGTCCACAAGCATATCAAAGGCCTTTGCCAAGGTTGCCTTGCTGGGTGCCTTTGTGCAAATCATCTCCTTAGTGGCCATCAACGTCGGATGAGTTACATCGCCAGAGTGACTGTCGCTTTTGATCCAATCGCCTGCTTTTCTCTGGTGATCCTACCTTATCATACACTTGATAGCCGCTTCCCAATGGTTCGAACTTGCCTGAAGCAATGGTGGGAGACTCTGACAGAAAGCCGATATCATGTCATACCAGTCATATATGGTAGCAGCGATGCCAGCGAAGATCAGAAAGCGTTCTTCTCCTTCAAGACCGATCCATCGTATTATTTGACGTTGCCCGATTGAAAAGGACGAATACAGAGCCAGAGGCAATCTGGGAACACTGGTTTTACTGTGCCGCTTGAACACTTCACACGTAGACAGCACCATGGACGCAGACGCTCACTCAAGGTCCAGCGACAACCCCAAGGTCAGTATTGACGACAGCAAAATCCCCGTTCTGGAGGATGGCGTCGCAGCTGAAACACCCATGGGCGAGCGACGGATTATATCTGCTAGTACGGCCATCGACCCTGCCGCTGAGAGACGGCTGGTATGGAAATTCGATCTTCGAATCTTGCCTGTTTTGGCGGTTATGTACCTGTTCAACGCGCTGGTGAGTGGCTTTCTCTCCTCTGTCGTATTCAACTTGCCGGCCAGCCGATGGACAGAAACTGGCATTAGTTTCCTGGGAAGCACGCGGATAAGCAGCGTGTGTCTGATGCTCCCCAGTGCAGTTCGACACGTCCGGCTGGTACCCTCTTGACCATCATAGAGGGTGTCAAGCTCGACGACACGCTAGGCATGCCTGTCGAGCCGATGACTATCGCATATCCTACTGGGCCGCCTACTGCCTTGAGCCCAGGGCAGGACTGCTGATGGAACTGTTCTGTCCAGCGCCTACCACCATGTTCCACACTTGTCGTCCTTCACCCCTGCTTGAATATACTATCATTCTAACCATTTTGATGAATGCCAGGACAAAGGTAATCTTGGCAACGCCAAAACCGCCGGCCTCGAAGACAGCCTCCACCTGAAAGGCGACGACTACAACCTAATCCTCTCGATCTTCTTCGTCCCTTACGTCCTGACAGCGCCAGTCCTAGGTATAGCCGGCAAGAAATTCGGCCCAAGTCGTGTCCTCCCGGTTATGATGTTCTGCTTTGGCTTTTCGACACTTATGATCGTCGCGGTCAAGAATTTTGGTGGATTGATGGCTTGCCGGTGGTTCTTGGGCATGGTGAGTCCACCACTATCCGCTCCCCTAGGTTTTCTCCCGAGAATGCTCTTATGAATGCCGCAGCATCGTCTGCTCCACGGCCTTGCTGTCGTCGTACGAGTCGCCAGCTGATTATCCGTGTCTCATGTAGGCTGAGAGCGCATTCTTCCCGCTCGTCATATACTATCAAACACGTCCGTTTCCCGTTTGTTGAATCGACTCCCCAACGCAGAATGTTTACTCCTCTGCATTCCCTACCGGTTTAGCTGACAGGCTGGCATGACAGTCTTCTACCGCCGTGGTGAATTAGCTCGCAGACTTGCCATGTTCTACGCGGCCTCAAACATTGCCAGCGCGTTTGGCGGCCTGCTCGCATTCGGCGTCTTTCAAATCAGCTCCGGCTCCCTCGCCAACTGGCGCTATCTGTTCGTCATCGAGGGCGGGTGCAGTATGCTCTTCGCCGTGTTCGCGTACTGGGTGCTCCCGTACAACGCATCGTCGGCGACGTTTTTGAGCCCCGAGGAGAAACAACTGGCCTACTATCGCATTCAGGTCGACAGTTCGGCCATTGTCGATGAGAAGTTCGACCTGCGCACCGCGCTGTCCATCTTCAAACACCCGACGTCCTGGATCATTCTGGGCATTGAGATATGTCTGGGTGTACCCCTGCAGAGCGTTTCGCTGTTCCTGCCTGTCATCATCAAACGGCTCGGGTATTCGACCGTCAAGACGAATCTTTATACCGTTGCGCCGAACGTCACCGGAGCGGTCATGTTACTTGTCCTTGCCTTCGCAAGCGACTACACGAGGTTGAGGTTCCCGTTTGTGGCGCTGGGCTTTGCCTTTACATTTATTGGCTTCATCATCTACGCTTGTGTTGTGAGTGGCTTCTCCTTTTCTTTGCACGACGATGCCATGCGATGCCATGCCGTGAAGGGAAACCCTGGCCCCAAACTAGGCATTTCAATATTCGATTGGGGTTTAGGACATTATTCTGACTAGTGAGTGCTAGGATGTGCACACGCAACTGCACGTCGCATACTTCGCTTGCTTCATGATGACATGGGGAACATCAGCCCCGAGCGTCATCTTGGACGTCTGGTACAACAACAACATCGCCGACGAGAACAAGCGGGTTATGTTGACCAGTGTGGGCGTGCCGGTTGCAAACTTGATGGGTGTGGTTAGGTATGTACTCACTCTCGCTCCCGCTCACACTCTCACTTTCACACTTTGTGACCGGCATCTGCCATCCTGACCCCCGTTCCTAGTGGAACCCCCGTATTTCGAGCTTAAGAAGAAATCCCCCCAAGATGTCTAACTTGTTCCTAACTTGTGTTTTCCCCTGTCGTCTAGTTCGAACATTTTCCAAAGCAAAGATGCGCCGAAATACTTGCCCGCACTCGTGACGACAGCCTGCTTCGGCGCCGTGGGGTGCTTGCTGACGCTCCTGCTGGGCGCGTGGATGGTTGTCGATAACAAGCGGCGCAACATGAAAGCCGGGAAGGTGATCAGAGCGAAAGATATCCCGTCTGAGTTGTTGAGAGATGGGCCGAGTGTGGACGAGTATAGGTGGTTCTACTAACTTACCCTACGGACATGCACATTGGACGGGCCCGGAGACACAGCTGCTCGGACTGAGGCTGCAAAACGTGTGGAGGAGGGATGTACATGGACAGTCGACGAATGAAAGCGTGCTGTCCGGTCTTAGTGGATTGAGATATGATGAGACTCAGCCTTGGGGAGACGCTCCCGTCTTCGCTCTCTATGGACGACGTTCCAGTCTACATGCATTGCCTTGATGGCGCTGACGTTTTTGGCCAGTGACTGGACGATGCCGTCAGTCAACATTCAACGTCGACGTCAACACCAACGCCTAGTCAGAAATAGCAACTTGATTGTTTGAGCAAGATTCGGATTCGTCTCAACTCGACCCTAGAATGCTTCTCCTCAAGTGTTTGCTGCTAATGCTAGCTACGTGGTGGTTGCAAATGGATGAAACGAATGTCCAGTCTGGGTTGTAGTCGTGCACTTCGTGTCGGTAACCTGACAACACCTCTTCCATGCGCCAATGCTAAATCCCAACCTTGATTCACCGAATCTGATCAATGTCCGTGTCCAGAATAAACCCGAATACCCTCGACGCCAGTCCCGTCCCGATCCCCCTACCCTACTTGATCCCCCAACGATGTCGGCAAATCTCGTTATTCCCGTGCTCTGGCCCCATTTCAAGCTCGAAACATCTTGACCACTTGTTTCACGTTTCTCCGGCAGATGGGACAAATCTCGCACTGCCTGGCACATTCGACGCAGGAGCAGACGTGTCCGCAATCGAAGAACAAGGCATCAATCTCCTGACTATAACAAATCTGGCAGAGATCAGCCTGTTCGTCCGCGACTCGCCAATATGTCGTTCCCATGCCCCAGCGCTTGCCATACTCGAATCCTCCAACATATTTGTTGCCCGTTCGGTGCTCGACAAACGTGCCTTGTCCGTGTCGCTCATCATCCTCCCAGTCGCCCTCGTAGGTATCTCCGTTCTGGTATGTCATCTTGCCTCCCTTGCCACATTTCTTATTGCACACCAGTGGTCCTTCATAGGTGTGCCCGCTGGAGCTGATGCTTAGCGCGTGCTTGCCGTGCATTCGTCCATTGACAAGAGGACCTTTGTAGTAATCTGCACCGAATTCTGCCAATTCAATTGGCTCGCTCGTAGTCAAGGACAGAACAGGATGCCTTCGGTCCACCATTCGGAGATATTTGGACAAGTCGAAAGGGTTCGAAAATTTGCCCTGTTCGTGCAGCTGCTTGATCTTTGCGTCGGAGATGGGTTCACCAACTATCAAGTCACAGCCGTTGATGAACCGTCGGTCTCTGAAAGTGTCGTCGTCTTCCATCGCTGCGCCATCAACCACCGACTCACGACGCCAGATGTCGAATGCTTTGTCCGTATCATAGCCCATCCGCTGTCGAACGAATTCCTTGATCTTGTCGTCGTACTTGGCAAAGAATGCCTCTCGGACGTAGAAATTCTGATTATCGACATCGAAGACCTGAATAAATCCGTACACATTGTCCACAGGTCCTTGTGATTGCTCGGCTGATATATCTTCGGTTTGTGGTGTCTGGGTAGTCTCCTGGTTCGAGATTGGGGCAGAATCCAGGGCAAAGTCCATAGCTTCGGCATCCCGGGCCACGATTGAGGCGATCACAGCTTCCTCAATAACCGACATAGCGCTCATGGTCTCAGCCGAGATTTCCTGAATCGCTTCTTCGCTGGTTGCGGTTTCTGCTTGTGGTGGATCACCATGCGCAGCTGCATCGATGAGGTGGCCGTGGGGCACATTTGCGGTCAGACTGTCTTCAGCACTCGGAGGCGACATCTCCAGTTGCATCGCACTTTCAGGATCTTGAGACTCCACTGATTGAGAAGAAGGCTGCTGGCTTCCTGCGGTGATTAGCTCAAGATCAGTAGCTATGGCTTCTTGCACCGAGGCTTGCTCGGCATCAGGAGCTGCCACATTTTCTTGGTTACCTTCCTCCAACGTCGCTTCATTGGCATTGTTCGAGCCGTCTTCCGGCTCTGGGGAGTCTTCTATCTGTTCGGTGGACTCTGTTCTATCAGGCACACCGAAAAGTTTGACTGCCTCTTCCGTCTTGAGGATGGAGAACCACAAGCACAAAGGCTGATCCGAACGCATGGCATCTCTGGGGAGATCCATCATGTCAACCGCATGCATCTGTGCGCTGGTATAGTGGCCTAGACCAGTGTAGCTCATGAGGAAGAGTCGGATTTCTTTTGGGTCATTGAGCTTTAGCTTCTGTGCCAACTGCATCCTCAGGTCTTGGTAAGTTGCAGTTTTCGGAACGCTAATGATGTGGAATAATCCTTTGTGGTCGGATTGGCGCTTAATGTTGAACATGTCAAGCAGTCCTTGCCGGCCGATGATTCCTTCATCAGAATAAAGCTCAACAGCGATCTCGTCTGAGTTGTCCAGAGTGGGGGTTTCGGTGAACTCTCCACCCTGAAAATGTGATTCTAGATGAGGTAGAAGTGACTTGGGTAGTTTGTACGGCTCCAATTTCCCAGGTAGATAGTCACCGAGACGGCTCGTCTTGATATACATTGCCATATATGCAGTCTGTCGAGTAGACGTGAAATCCTTGAGTGCCTGTCCTTCCAGGCCCTCGAAATCTTGGGTTCGCTGTCTTGTGTACGAGAAAACCTTATTTCCGTCGCCGTCTTCGAAAGCCAGCCACTTCGTTTTGGGACCTCCAGGGCGTAGGATACTATAGAATTTGCCAGAGTTCCGGTCGCCAACGTGTACCACGAAGCCGTACAACGTGTACCTGCTATGTTCGAGATTAGTAGTGAAGTTGGATAGATCGAGCTCTTCGTTCAGAATAACTCGGTCATGAAGTAATCCCCACTCCCTCTTAGTCTTGTCGAAGAGTTGGCGGGCCAGTGTCAGGGGCAAAAAGTCCGACAGCTGTCCCTTGAAGCTTTTGGTGCGAAGTACTTGCTCAAGACTCTGCTGAATGTCGCAGACATTCTCAACGGGCAAAGGAGGCAAGGACAATGGGCCGCCTGGCATGTCGAATATTGCACTTAAGTCTTTGAGAGATTTGTCGTCTCCTTCCAACTCCAGCTCAATTGTCCTCCGGAACACCTCCCAGAACGTTTTCACATCGTTATATTCATCTCCAAGGTCCCTAATTGCTTGAATGGCAGGATAGAGGTCCACATAAGTCTCTCGTTCCTTCCGTAGGTGGCGCATCAGAAACAAGATCATCTGCAGGTGGCTGATCACTGGCTTCGGGCGAATCTGAGAGTTCTGGCGCCAGTCGACAGTACTGACCTCTTGAAGTATTTTTCGAAAAGGAGCGAGGAGCAGCCAGGCGGTCATGCCAGCCACTGCGGGGCTGTGGTAGAGAGGCGGTGTCCCCATGGGAAAGTAGCCTGCAAGTGACTTCGAATCCCAGTGACACTCGGCGTCAGATGTATGCCACCATAGTGCTTGAGTAGGATCGTCGAAGATGCGGATGTAAGCATCAATGGCGATGGTGTCGTTCTGCAATAGTGGCGCTCTCTGAAGATGTCCACGGGTATGGATTTCACTCCAGGGTCCGACGAAGTTCGTCCATCCCCAATCGTCATTGGTCTTCGCAAATTGATGCTCAGAAGACATGACATGGCAGGTGCGTGGCTCATCTGGGTTGTACATGACCATACCTAGCTGTGCAGCAACTCGCCAATCCTCCTCCCCTTGTGTCTCTTCAGAAGCTACGTCTCCTGTAGATGCTCCGTCATCAGTATGTGCACCTTCTGCATCTTGGCCGCTGGTATTCTGCTCTTTTTGTGAGTCTGTCACGGTCTCAGAGGGTGTGGCAGTGTCCTTGTCGCATTCAATTTCCGTACTTTGATTGTGAATCGTCTGAATCGGAGCATCTTTATTGCTGAGATCGGCATCTGGAGGACCTTGGAAGAAGGAAAAGGTACCATTTTGGTAGTGTGCGTCCGGCTTCGGAGGATGTCTGCTGCACCTGATGTAGGCACTGAGGGAGACTGATTTGTTTCCTCGAGGGTAGAACTTGATTTGCCAATAATTACCATCCACGTTCGCAGGCGGAGATATCAAGACTCGAGCATGATTTGGTTTGTCTCGCGTCCCACGAACACCCTTGATGATCCAGCTCAAGCGTAACTTTTTGACTGGCCGCTGCTCCGGATCATCCACATCTTGGTATATACGCTTCTCCACGCTGGGAACGTCCAAGGCACTCAATTCCTGACCTCTAGACGCCCTTGATGTCAATTCTGTCATTTCGTCTTCGGTAGGTGTAGATAGATCATCATCCCAAGTCACCCATGCGGGAGGGTCGTTCCGAGGCTGTTGCACTACAGGAGGAGGTGACAGCTCTCCGATGTCTTGAGTTGATGTGTCGTTGGCAGGTGGTGGGACTTGTTCAATTCCTTGAGGCACTGTTTCAGAGGAGGCCACAGCTTCCGGCTGCTGCAATTGTGATTCCTCTCCGGCATTGTTTTGTTCACCGTAAGATTCTGGCTCCTGCTCTTCTTGTTCTGGTAGAGGAACATCGACCATGACCGTGTCAGTCATTTCGGAAGTCGGTGTTGTGGGCTCACTGTCGCTAGACGATTCGTCCACAGCTGGCTGCGGCCGGGCTGCAGCGGGCTCTTGAAGAGGAGAATGATCGGGGTTGAAAGGTGAGATGGACACAATCGTCACTTCCGGAGACAGTCTGTGAGGTGGCGAGCTGTGCTGGATGAGGACCGGGCTGTTCTGTGAGCTGGCCATAGTGACCGATGAGTATGAGTGACTGATTGTCACCCACGGGGATGAGTCAGTGAAATGAGCGATGAGTCACTCCAGGTGATGATGGCGACAATGATCTCGCTGCGGCAACAATTCAAAGTAAACAAAGTTCAAAACGTGCTACATGATCAAAAGCCGGTCGACGAGTAAGCAGTGTGCAATGCTGCGATCAGGTTGGGTTGGCTTGCTTGTTAGAATAGAGCAAACAGGATGCGGAGAGAGATACGGACGAAATATGAGGCACGACGCGAAGATAAATGCTGTGTACACAACTTGACCACAAAGAGAGCAGCCTGTAATTCCGGAAAGAATATAGCAGGGGTTGGTCGAATATCAGTCTTGACCGGTTCTGAGTGAGTCAAGGACAATGCATACGGAAGAGTCAGGCAACGCCGCAACATGCAGATGGAGGACGCAGGCTGAAGGAATCGGGCATCTTGACTGGCTGAGAGGCTTCGCCTCGCGGGCCACACTTTGGTGCATAGGCAAGTGCATGAGCCTATCGGATAGAGGTCACAGGCCCATCATGGCCCGGGATCCGCTCGACTAACCCTCCCCCGCGCCCATGTCAGTGGTGCTTTTGCAGCCTGTCACGCCTGTGAGGCTCAGCAGTCGTCAGACGGCAATTGTGCCCAGGCATCACTTCTTCCACCCTGACGCATTCCCTCAACTCATTGGCCTCAATAGTACCGAGTAAACCTGATAACAACCACCACCACCGATTCCACCCGGAGTGGACTCTTCATACAGTATCAGCCTGGTGAACGTGGTGAGCCTAGAGTCACCGGCCAGCTCCACAACGAAGATGTCTGAGACTTCAGCCGATCGAGGGAGGACACCACGTCGACTTCCCCGCAATTGCACCTGCAGGTCCGTCAGGGCCTTTGGAAGGTTGCTGTTTTGGCCACCGAGCCACTTCCTTCATACTACAGTAGCTGGGTAACCTGCCAAAATCCCATCATGAAAAGCTCCCTGTCAAGATCATGTCACGAATCAGGTTTGGCAAAAGTCCCAGCCACAATAAGAGGAAAGGCAACGGTTGCCTCCACGTACACCTACCCTTCTAGTTAGTTTGAACATATGGGCGAATGGGAATGTTCTCTCTCACCTTTACACTGTCGCCATCGGCTTTGATTTTGCCCCAGCTTATGGCCTCATCTGGTCTGGCACCGGCGTCGCTACCGTCAAATTCCTGAGCGGTGTTGATGTACACCGCACTTTCGGCGCCATTCCTCATCAGGCATGCATTTGCTATGTGGTGCTTGACGACGCCACCGCCTAGGATAATCATGCCGGCCCTTTTAGCCCGCACTGCAATTGTATTGATCTTTCGGATGTCTTGACCGATATCGATGCCGAGGTGCAGAGGTGAAGCTTTGAAAGAATGGAAATAAATCATATCACCAAGACTTCCATCTGTCAGGGCCGGGCAGAATACAGGTATGTCGTTTTTGTAAGCCCAGTAGTACACCGAGCGCTCGTCGTTGATCTCTCTGCCGAGTCGACGAATTATTCGGCTTGGGGTCCACATGAACCGCTGGCCAGTCTTTGAGAATTCCTCTTCCTGTTCCTCCAACATTTTATCCAAGATGGGAATGAGCCAATCCTCGAATGCGCAGTAATTGTTGTTGGGCACAACTAGATTGCCAATGCGATTGAGACCCTTTGCTCGCAAAGAAACTCCGGGAGTGGAGAACGAACCCAGGTATGTGGGAGCCAAACATTTGATGAAGTCCTCTTCGATACCACCGGCAGTCGTTACAATGGCAGACACGTGGCGGTGCTGTACAAGATAGCGAAACGTCTCGCGTAGGCCCGAGGAGATCATATTGGAGGTGTAACCCAGAAAGATAGTCGTCCTGTCACCCGTCTCGGGATCTCGCCACGATCGCTACACGCAGTCAGACCTACCTGAAAAAGATAAATTTTCGAGAAGAGACCAACCATGTTGTTGATGATTCGTATGGCATCGCCTATCGAACTTGATTGGAAGCCTTGTCCCGTGAGTTGATCGACGAAATTCGAGATTATTGTTCGTTGTTCTGCAGGCAGGGACGACCAGTCGATACCCTGGACTTGCTGGACACCTTCTGGCACGGGTTCTGAAGCGACCAGGACTGCATCGGTGGCTTTGGTCGGTGGTGCAGACCCCATACTGTTTATCACTTTTGATATCAACAAAAGCCAGTCTGCAAGAAAATTATTTCGGAGGCCGATGTCATCTCCCGCAGGGAATAAAATAATGTGTCCGTCGAAGTACTCAGCCATGAGAGTTACTATGGCGGAGCCAGGAGCCCATGTACGTACTCGGCAAACCTTCTAAACGTATGCAGCCTTATATTGGTCGGTCTGACCATCAAATTTAACCTTTCACACGCCCATAGTACTGGGGGATTTCCCCTAAATGTCAACAAACACCTTCTGTCATGATCCAATGCATTAATTGCTAGGCTTTAGAAAGAGTTGTATCCCTGCGGGTCGGCGACTAACTCTCTTCTTCTCAAGCGCCATTTTTGGTCGCCTGAGTTCTTCTTCCTCCTGGTCACTTCTATCATTCTCTTCAAGAACGTATCCAACGGCATCCCAAAATCCAGTTCCCCGCAGCCGCGTTTCATTTGTTCTGGCCATGTGGTGATGCGCCATTCATTGTCAGCACCAACCACGATTTAACTCCAGGAACCGCACCAGTAACACGGTTCTTGTCTTCAACGAAAAGCGTGTCATTCTCTTCAATCAGCATATCCAAACTTACACGCCACGCGCCGAATATTCGATCAATCCGCCGAAATCATTCTGTCAATCAGCTCACTATCTGACCAGCACGCGAAAAGCTCAAAGTAGCAAGTGCGCCAACATCGTCGACGTGTTGAAGAACCAATCTTGGTCACTTGATTGTAGGAGGGACTTTCGGCAAAAACGATCGGCCACTGCCTGGTGGTTGTAGACGGACCATTTCAGCTAAGGCGCAAACTCATTTCGAGGCAACGACCAGGGCGAAAGCTGCAGGTGAGTTGGGTGTGGGTGTGGCTGTCGGGCATTCTTTTGGCGTACATTTGTGGCAGCACGAACGAGCAAGGACGAAACACTAGCCTCATCTTCTCCATTTGCAGGGCATTTTCGGCGGCGAGTCAGCAGAAGTGCAAGCGTGGCATTTGCGGCACCGATCGAATCGTCTGCGCCCAGACCCTCCGACGGACTCCCTGCAACGCCACACAGACCAAGATCAAGGCCCTAGTATCTGCCACATCACGTGATGTTGGCTTATCTGCTATCTTCACATGTCTTCAAGATATCCGCCCCCAGCCAGAGATCGCTCTCCACCTCGCTATGATCGAAGGCCATCAGCTACCTACGGCCCCGTAGGCTCATCCTACCGGGGCCAAGCAGAGTCTGGTCCACCTTCATCCGATCGTCCGCCGCCTCGCGGGCCCAAAGCGGACTTTCGAGGTGGTGGCTTTTCTTCCTTCTCTCCTGCCGGTCGTGGACGTGGCGGGTTTTCTGCTCGTACTGGCGACATCTGGGATAGGGAACGTGACAGAGATCGCGAAAGAGACCGAGAGCGGGATCGTGATCGAGATACTCGTCCAGGGCCCCAGTCTTACCGCGGTCGCGACGATGACAGGCCGGATTGGTCGCGGCGTGACCGTGACTTTGGCAATGCTGACCGAGGGAGGGATCCTCGGCCTTTTATCGGAAGGGATCGATCTGCCTCGCCAATCCGTGCGCGCAGGGACTCACGCGAATCTCTTCCCTCTACCTTTGGACGGGCGGCGGATACACCATCATCGTATTATGCCCCTGCCGCTCGAGGCGGAATAGGTCGAGGCAGAGGCAGGGGTGACTGGGACCGAACCAGAGGCAGGACTTCTTTCGTTGGTGAAAGAGAACGAGATCTGTTTCATCCACGAAGTGGCTCAAGAGACAGTTGGAGGGAACGTGACCGCGATTTCGAGCGTGGTCGCCCTCCTGTTGCCGACGTCGATCGATACGAGCGACGAGACTTTGACCGCAGCAGAGAGCGAGATGGCCGAGGACGTGACCGTGAACACGACGTATGGCCAAGAGAGCCTTCTCCGATCAAGAGCTCAGTGTCCAATGCCGGTCCACCTGCTACGACACCCTCAGCTGCCATCTCTGATAGAGCAGCGAAATTGGACATCGATGCTGGCAAGAGGTCTAATGTATTGACCACTCCCACGACTGCTCTACGTGATGGCCGACGCGACGGAGAGGAATCAGACTATTTTGGCTCAAGAACGGACCTGGCACGTCGTGACCCACCTCCCAGCGCGCAACAACCAGCTGCGACGGGTGGGCTCGACTATGGTCCACCACCCTCACTTCCACCTGCCAGTGCACTCGCAATCGAAAAGCCAATCCCAGGCAAACCACAAGCTGCCAAAAACGAACCCCCTGCAAGCTCACTGACGACCTTCCAGCCCCCTAGCGCTCCGAAAGCTGCAAGGACAGCTTTGGCTGCTAATATCGGTCAAGGTGCGAAGACAATTCAGCATCACAGTACTTGGCAACGTCCCGAACCTACCTTGCGCTCAGTCCGTCCCCCTCAAACCCCCACAAGCCACATACCCAGCGATGTGCACGCGAGAAAGGACGAGCCCTTTGAACAAAAGCCTCCTGCTGCTCCGGCATCCGACCGTCAGATGCCCCCAAATGTACCTTCGGGTCCAAGACTCAGCAACCCGCCGCCTTACAAAGCACGACTTCCCTCAAATGAGCCTGCGGGTCCTGCTCAGTTGTCCAGCGCACCAAGGGAATCCTCTAAGCCTGCAGCGTTTGACAACAGAACCTCGGCCATTCCAACTGGGCCGCGTCTTGACAGAGAAACATCCAGACCACTGCCAGGCTCAGGCACTGGCTCCAAAATATGGCTGTCGCCAGAATACAAAACAAAGCCATCGATCATGAATGCCTTGAACAAGCCATACCACCCGGATCCACGGGACCGACAAGCATCAATCCCGACTGGACCGAGACAGGATGCGAGCTTTCACAGTCCCACACAAAAGGCACGCTCGCTACAGACATCTCATCCTTCCATCATTTCCGCACCGTGGGGACCTAGGGCAATGTCAACAAGTCCTAGGATCCAAGACTCACGGATGTCTGTGCCCCAAGTGAAGCAGTCTATCGAGGAGCCGCTAGCTTCTGAAGACGTGGAAATGTCGGTCCCTGTCTCGAGTGAGGATGAAGACGAAGTAGAGGATGACTCCTTTGATGAGGACTACTTTGAAGAGTCAGAAGAAAGACACAGAAAAGAAATGAAACTTCTCGAAGCAAAGAAGCCTCCCCCACTGTTGGAGGATGCAAGTATTGTCACCTTGTTGGTGAAGTTGCAATTTCTCGAGATGATTTCGAAGGACAGCGCTCCGAGGCCTGTTTCGCCGATTCAAGTCGCCAAGGAAGAGCCCTCGACGGTAGCGGCACTTCCAACAGGTCTGCCATCTCCCGACCGAGGCTCGCAAGATGTCGAGAACGGAATGTTGGAGGCGGTTGAAGACGAGGAAGAGAAGCAAAAATCACCTCATTTGAGGGGAAGGCCACTCAGACAGCCGCCTGTAAATCCTATTCCCACTCCGCCGATTGAGGACTTGCCGTATCTCAAGCTAGAGGGTCCAGAAAGATTAGTGTACGAGGATTCTGACAACGAAGTCGAAGACGAGGCTGTGGCCACTCTCCTTCAGCAGAAATTTGAAGGCGATGCCTGGGATTGGAGAAGTGAGCTTGAGGACATGCACGCAGATTTCCGGCGTTACTATCCTATGTGGAGACAGGAGGTGTCATGGTTGGAACACCAACTGCGCGAGCAACCAGCCAGCCCTGCTCCAGCGTCTCCAGCACCCTCTGCCGCCCCTTCAGTGACGCCGTCCTTGACACACGAACGGACCCGGGGGGCTCGGAATACCACCGAGGCAGATTTGCAGGCCGCGATCTTGATGTCCCAGCAGTCTCTCAGGGAAGAAGAAGAGAGGAGGGAGCGCGAAGCAGCTTCCAGCTCTTTGCCCAATTACGATACCGAAGCTGTTGTGCCTCCAATGCTGAAGCCTGCCGATGTCGAGCTCTCCGAATTCAAGGACACAAATCGCAGGGTCCCGGATGAGCTGGCATTGGATGTTTTTGCTTTCGTGCCTCCGGAAGACGATTTCACTAAAGAGGAACAGACCCTATTCATCCAAGCATATTGCCAAACCCCGAAAAAATGGGGGAAAATTGCCGAGTCAATTCCTGGCAGGACATATCAAGATTGCATTGTTCATTACTACTTGACTAAGAACCAGGCACGGTATAAGGACCTCTGGAGGCGAGCTCAACCAAGGAAGAGGCGAGGAAGGGCTGCTACCAAGCCTCGTTCGACCGCGCTCATGTCGGAAATTGAGTACGGTGAGGAGGGCGAAGCAGCGCCTGTAGCTGTCACCGACAGTGGCAGACCAAGGCGAGCTGCGGCGCCTACATTCGGCGACGCTGCCAGCGAAGCTGATTCTTCAACACCTGTACCTCAGTCGAAAAAGCTTACCGCCGCCCTGAAGGATGGAAGTGCAGAAGCCTCTGCGGCTAAACCCCCACGAGGTCGTAAAGCTGGAATTGCTACGAAAACTCGACGGACAAAAGCCCAGATCCAGGCGGATCAACAAGCACTCCTTGCTGCTGCCGAAGCGTCTCCGGACAAACCAGTGGTTGGTGGGAAAGCCGAGAGGGGCCGTACTCTCCTTCGGGCAGAAAACGTGCCCATCAGGACTGATGTACCGCCTGTGGAACTGCCTCAGCGTCCCGTCGACCCTCCGTTACCACAATATCCCGTGTCGGATATGTCACTTGCCGCTCAAGTGGTAACCAATCCTGCTGCTTCGCATACCAGCTACTGGTCTGTTCCTGAGCAAAACAAGTTTCCCGATTTACTAGCGTACTATGGTCGTGATTTTGCGGCAATCGCAGAGTTCATGAAGACGAAGAGCCAGACAATGGTAAAGATAGAGCCCGTGATTGATTTCCTATTGCTGACATATTGTAGATTAAGAATTATTATCTACGGCAAATCAACGATGGGAAGAATGAATTTGAGAAACTTGGTCAAATGGGTGACGAGGCTCGCATGGAAGGTCGGACACTTGGTCCACCACCTAGTCCAATAGCTCTGCAGAAACGCCGTTATGAGCCGACACCAACGGTACCTTCTATTGCTCGACATCCCATTCAACCTGAGCAGACCCTTATTGAACCCGAGACGATGATCAAGCCAGGATTGATAGAAGAATTCCCTCGCAACACGGTCGAACGAAATGCCACGGGGGAGATTGTCTCGAAACCCCGATTAGTTGTCCGAGAGGCCTTGCGGGAAGGACCCTTGCCTGGATCGAATGCCGCAAAGGTTGAGGAGCTGTCCAGGTTAGCGGACGAACGAGCTCCTCTGTATGGACAAAAGCCCTTGCATGGTCCTAGGACGGGAATCTTCCAGGAAGACCACCTTGGGTTCCACGCTTCTCGTCAGAATGTGCGCATGCCTCTTGACGAGCGGTCACCTCAATTACATCCACAGCGTCCACTCTCTGAAGTTCCGAGATCTGAAATCAATCATCCGTCCTCGGGGCCGACTCTTGCACAGACCATCCTCACTCAACGGGAAAGAGATGCCTTAGCCCAGGTACAAAGTCAATCCCCGGCAGTACCAATAGCCAGGGCTCCTCCATCACAAGTCGACAAGTACAATCAACAACCTATCTACCGTGCCACCCATAGCCGGAATGGTAGCTTAACTGGTCCCGGGGTGGCCTCATCGGAACCTCTGCAGGATCTGGCAGCACTGCGCCGAGTTGAGGCCCAGCGCCCCTTTTACGGTCCGAGTACAACAACTTCCCAAGCACCACCTCCGACGCTTGCTCCTGTGTCTCAGCCATCTAGGCCTGAAATTCCTCACCCTGCTCCGGCACTTCCAGTTGAACCTCCAAAGCCACCAGTGAAGAGGTCGAACCTGTTTGGCCTTCTCAACGACGATCCGGCCGATCCACCACCCAAACGACCTTCTCTGGACCCGCCCACGCGACAATCAATTCTTTCTCCGCAAATCGCACCGGGTTCGGCATCTCAACTTATGTCACAACAAGCTCGGAGCCAGATCCTTTCGGACGATGGCGGAATGGACAGAGCAGGGGGGAGAGGCTTGTATGGTCCGAATGGAGGCTTCCAGGCAGGACCTGGCCAGCAACCCCCGGCAGAATATCAGGGTGGGTTTTCTGCCACGCCAGCTAAAGATCCCAATGATCCGTGGATGGCTCGATTTGACCCAAGGAATCAAGGTGCTCCTGGAGAGCAGCGTCCACACCATCACTCCCCTGCTCCTAGCCCTTACTCTGTAGTGCCGCCCACCTCTCAGCCGTCCAACGTCCCTCCACTCAATTCCATGCGTGCGGAGACTCCAAGGGGCCTAGAGCGTGGCAGTCTTGATCATCGACGAACGTTGCTAGGAGGGGTGGGCCAAATACCGCATGCTCCTTCCCCTCCGCCTCAGCAGCAAGGACCAGGTGGCGCCCCACAGTATCGCTCGGCATCAGGCTCGTCGCAACATTCACGAGTGTCGTCCATTGGTTTTCCTCCAATTCCCCAAGCGACACAAGCAAACCCGCTCAATCAGCAACAGGCACCGCAGAGTCATCCGCCATCAGCCAGCTCGACGCCTGTCCCTAGCCTGCATCACCGTGCTCAATCATCTCTCGACTTCCAACCTCGGCTCACTATTCAGCAGCATATCGCTCAGCAGAAGCAACAAGAGCAACAGAGGGAGCACGATAGACATATCCAGCGACAACGAGATATGGAGTTTGCGCAGCGTGACCATGAACGCGAACGGGAGCGGGAACACCAACAGCAACACCAGCAACACCAGCAGCAGCAACAACAACAACAACAACAACAACAGCATCTCCTACGACGAGATCTATATGGCATCGAGCACCATCCGCTATCAGGCGCCACTCGCCAGAATCAATTAGGCGCGGCAGCGAACCAAGGTCACTTGGCCTTCGCACAGCGAGAGATACCCCGGACCTTCACGCCTCCTCATTCACATACGCATGGACATTCTGCCTATGGAGGTCCGGGTTCTGTTCCAATGGGTCACCCGCACAGCTTGCCACATCAGCATCAGCACCCGCACCAACACCAACACCAACACCAACACCAACATCAACATCAACATCAACCTCAGCATCAAGGTGGACCTCCGTCAGGTCAACCACAAGGCGCGGCCCAACATCCACCGCATCAGATGCATCACGTTCATCATCCGCAGCCGCAGCCGTCGCACGTCTTTCATCCCGCAGCCAGTGCGCATTTCAGAGGACCGAGCCAGGGCGGGGAACCTCGGCGAGAAGAGAGACGATGACGACCTTGTTGAGACCTGCTTCGAGTCTCTGGAGTAGGAGCTGATTCAAGTTCATCACTGTTTGACCTCCAATTCATGTTTGTACTTATTCATAAATGATTGCAGCCTGCGCTGCTGGGACGGAATGTTTGCACCGGGATATCAGATCTCTTTGCATGGAGGGCAACATTGTGAAGATGACGGTTTGTGGCCCTGTCGGCTCTCTCAAGATCTCTGGTAGGGAACGAAAGGGATGGTAGATAGTTCCCACAGTGTCGGGAACGGATGACTCGTGGTATTCAAAGATACTACAGTAGTATCGCATGTTAATTGTACAGAGTAAAGCCTTTATTTTAATTGTGGTGCCTGTTGCTGTTCCAGCACCGCCACGACCTGAGACCTGATGGGGTGCCAGGGCGTGCTGTGGCTCATCATGATGGGCTGGTGGGCTACAACTTAGGCTCGTTTAGGCTGTCTATGGAGTGCTAGGGTGGCTACTCGTAGTTGGTGGGCTCTCTTTGGTGCCTGTCCAGTACCTGGCCATACGTCACTGCGGGCATTGGCCCAAGGAAGAATAATTGATCAACCTTCATATTGTTAAAACTAACGCTTACGCGGTCCGCCGCTCTCATGCCATGACTTCGACTTCAGAACCCTCTCTTGCAAATGGTCTCCGCTATCGACTGATGCCCTAAGAGCCCTTCTGACATGATCAACCGGTCCATAGAGAGCGAGTGAACGTTGATGTATCGACAGGCGCCCTCGACAGATCTGTTCAACTCGTCTCCGACTGCCATGTGAAGCCCAGGCAGCCGACAAAAATACCAACACTTTGCTTCTCGAGTCTCTGCCTGCGAACCACTTTCCCAGATCGATTCTCCACGTCTCGGCATCATGGTCATGCACAAGGCAGCTGTACCATACCCCACAAGCCCTCCCTCGCAGCCCGATTTCCCTACTCGCAACACCGATCAGCATGTGAACCTAGTTCCCGATTCGACTGATGTTCCTCCCATTCCACGGTCGCCCAGAGCGACCGACATCGATTTCCACGACACTCACAACCCTTGGTCACATGTGTCCACGGAAGAGCTGAGATCGGACAGACGATTGCCAGAGATCTTGAGGCCAGGGCCCCCACGACAGCCTGATGACAATGGTCCCTCCTCAGCACAATATCCGTTGTCTAATATACCGAACATCCTTCGAGCTGGCCAATCTCAAGAAGACACCCCTAGGTCGTCTCTAGACAGCGACCGATCCAAAGGGTTCTGGGAAGAATCTGACGATGAAGAGGAGGGAAAGAAAAGCCCTAAGAAGTTCGCGGCCGCAGTACCGGAAATCAAAGCAAACAACGAGGCATGGGTAAATGTCGAGGCGCCGGAGAAGTCCCCAGGTATCAAAAGGAAACCGGTTGCTGGACTGGCGCCGTCCTCGCCGAAGCCGCACGTGAACACCGCGCCAGATTTCGCATCCAACAACCCATTTAGGAGGCCTTCCCAGACAGCTCCAATGGACGATGAACTGTACGAAGCCGATTGGGGCCAAAGTACCACTCGATCGGCCAAGGGCAAGGAGCCTGCCAGAGGAGACCTTCAGCCTCCTACTGACCACTTGCAGGGGCTGAGGCTTGGAAGCAGTAGGCTCCCAGATATGTCATCAGATACTCAAGCAGAGCCCGAAACGCCGGCGGAGAAATGGCAGAGCGAGAAGCAAATAGCACAGCCTCCTATGCCACAAGCACCTCCGCCTCCCCCACCAACAGAACCTTTCTCGCCCTTTAGTCATCAGCCTCCGCTGATACCAGTTTCTTCCGAGCAAAATCGGATGGATAACCCTTGGGCTTCCGATCTGAGCCTTGCCACCTCAACAGCGTCCCCTATCCCATTCGCGCCCTCTCAGAAACAAGTATCAAGCTATAACGACGGTTTATTAGACCGTGGGCAGCAGACTGGAGTGGTGTCGTTGAAGGAGGAATTGGAGACGCTGCCGAACGCTGCGACGGCAGGTACTATCTCGCATGACGAACCTTTGCTGCTAGAAGAGGACGGTGAACTTCGCCCGGCTCTACCTATCCGGCCAGCTCAAAATAGTGGCACAGAGTACTTTGAACCACCCGAGGGGCCACCTCCTCCGAAACCTCCGAGGCCAAGCATACGCACGACGATTCCTTCCGATGAGGATGTCTCCAGAATGATCGAACAACGAAATGAGACCTATCAAATCAAGCACTTCAACTGGTTCGATCATAGTTCCAGAAAATTGCGAAGATCGTCAATGTTGACCCAGAACAAGAATGGACCTTGTCCTCTGCTGGCCCTGGTGAATGCCTTGATACTCGGCGCACAAAATGAGTCCCAGGCGGTCCTCGATGAAGCACTCCGGTCTCGGGAGCAAGTCACCCTTGGCCTCATCATCGAGACGTTAATGGATGAGCTCCTATCCAGAGGCTACGAAGCAGTTGGAGAGAGCTTGCCAGATGTGGACGAACTGAATAGTTTCTTGATGCGACTGCGGACGGGGATGAACGCCAACCCAAGATTTGTGCCCTTATCGACGCCACCTCCGAACCTTATGGATCTCGATGACTCTATGCTCAACATGCCTCAACGTGAGAGAGCGCGACAGAAGCTAGGTACTTTTGAGGCGACCCCAGACATGAAGCTCTACGGCGCTTTTTCTGTTCCACTAGTACATGGCTGGCTGCCAGAACCTGGTTCAAATGCTGAGAAGGCATTTGCTCGATCCGCTCAGACTTACGAAGATGCTCAAGCTTTGCAGTTTGGTGAAGAAGAACTAGAGTACAAATTGACGAGACAAGGTCTGACGCCTACTGAACAGAATATGTGGGAAGACATAAACGCGGTCAAGAACTTCTTAAAGACTTACCCGACGCAACTGACGCCGACAGGGCTGGAAGCCGTACGGGATTCGATTGCTTCAGGTACATTTGCGATCATGTTCCGAAACGATCATTTCAGCACGATATACAGACATCCCGAGAGCGGCCAGCTTTTCACGTTGATTACCGACGCTGGATATGCGGACCGCGACGAGATCATTTGGGAAAGCCTCGTCGATATCAGTGGCACGCACAATGAATTTTTCTCCGGTGACTTTATGCCTATCAGCCACCATAGAGGAGTGGACGAATCTTCAACCCACCCAGCATCACGGCGAACGTCGCAGCTGTTGACGGTGAACAATCCAGGAGATACCATTCCGCTGTCACCACAAGAGCAACAAGAACAGCATGACGCCGATTTTGCAATGGCCCTGCAGCTTCAGGAAGAGGAGGAGCAACGGCAACGAGCCGAGAGAAATCGGCGGAGGAGTAGTGCCAACCCTAACAACAACAACAGCAACAACAACAGCAACAACAACAACAACAACAACAACAACAACAACACTACTCCACGAAGATCGACAGGTAATATCCCGATTCCACTCCGATCCCAACCGGAAGTTCGACCAGCCATTCCACCGCGCAATTCACATGCGCCCAACCCTGGAGTGAACAGGCCTGTTGACCCAGCCGACGAAGCGCCACCGCCCACGTACGACGAGGCCGCCAAGGGCCGACCGTACATTCCACCACTCGGTAGCCCACTGCATCCCTCAGCGGGGCCCAGCCCGATGAACTCGAATACTCAATTAACCGGGACGACCAGTAATACTTCAACATCTGGAATGGAGCAGCCTCATCCACCGGGACCGAATGCGGGCATGGGCATGGGAGGCCGAAGACAGCCTGGACGGCGGATGAGCGCGTATAATGAGACCACTTCGTATTATGGCCCGCAAAGGCAGGGAATGCCGGGCGGGTATATGTCCCATGGTGTTGGTGGAGGTGGACCTGGACCGTCGAGGCAAGCGAATATGCAGGGAAGAGATAGGGATTGTATTGTCATGTGAGACATCATGGAGAAGAAGGTAACTTGGTGTTCCTGACAGTATTGGGAAAGAAGGAGCAGTTGGGACTCGGTTTCGCCCGACCCAATGATACTGGCGTGTCGTGCGTATGGTATCGCCCTTTCTTTTGGACCTGAGCCTGGGGAGCAATCGGGTTCATGTTCAGGATTTGGCCCAGCCAGGAAATGATAGAAGTAATGACAGGGATAATGAAGTCAATGGAACCTGACCATGATCGGCATCCTTTCCGAACCTCGTAGACAAGACTGTATGATCCCTCTTCAACTCACAATTAATATCATCTCGTAGAGGGCTGCCAGGGATGGATCTCGACGCTGAGCCTAAGAGTTTGTCACAAACTATTCAATTCTCACTTCAAAGGCCACCCGATCTTTTCCAGAAAGTCCTCCATATCCTGCATCATTTCTTGCGGCTTTTCCATGACCGCGAAATGGCCTCCCTATATCGCATTACGGCATTCGTCAGCTTCACTTGACTTGACTTGGCTTGACTAAAACAGCCCCAAACTCGCTCAGCTTACACCGATGGACATTTCGCAAGAGTAAAGAGTTGAGAGAGAGACTCACGGATTGATGGCGTCTAAACAGCACGACATTGAGGCCCTGCGCGAGTATCCACGCCTTCGGGACGGGGAAGACTTCTTTGGGGAACCATGAGTATGCGATGGGTTTCTTGTTGGCGTACTTGGGATTGCCGTGCGGAAGGCCGCGGGCGGCGGCCTATGGTGAAGAAAGGCCCTCACCGGTCAGTTATTCAGTTCAAAATGGAGATCGTGCGGCTGATGGACAAAACAAGGGAAAGAAGAGAAGGGCCCGGATACGTGCGTACCTCTCGATAGGGGTAGATGCAGCGCGGGAATGACTGGGTGAACCAGTATAGAGTGACGGAGTCGAGCATGTTTTTGAGCGGCGGCGTCTCGTCGGTCCACTCGATGAGTTTCTCGCCGATCCTGTGTGGTTTGAGAGCGTGAGCTTTTGAATGTCCAGTCGCTCTTGTTGCCCGGTCAGGACTGGGGGCCGCGAGAGAGAGCGCTTACCAGGCAAGCAGGGCTAGGGGGCTGGCAGAAAGAGCGAAGCCGATTGTCGCAGGTCTTGTGGCGTGTTCTATCGCATACGCATTCCCGGTCGTGTAGAAGGCCTTTGCTCGCGTCTCCATGCCGATTTTCTCCTCTTCGGTGTATTGGGACTCGTCTAAGCCTGCCGGCTTCTGGCTGGACGCAGCGAAGTTGTCTGGCGCATGACTGCTCAGTCGAGAATTCTACGAACATGGGAGGAGCAATACTACTTACAGTGGACGGCTGCAAGCCAAGAGATGTCGAACAGTCAGACACGAGCTCCCAATCTTTTCCTTCACGTGTAAGGAAGGACCTGACTCACCTTTGCATTCGTCATAGGTACCTGACATGATACAGGCAGTAAACGAACCAATGTCTCCTCCTTGCAGGACATAACCACTTCCAAAGCCCAAGCCGACCATCAACTTGTTCATGATACGCCCGATATCCTCCATTCCAAAATCTCTGGTCAGCGGTGGACCGGAACTGAGGGTCCATCCTGGAAGAGAGACGGCAATGATATGGTAGGGTAAGTTTTCGGGGGAGTACTTCTCGCGATACAAGCTCAAGATGTCGAGAAACTCGAAATGGCTGCCTGGCCAGCCGTGCATGTAGAGGAGTGGGATTGCATTGTCGAGTTTCGAGAACAAGGCGGCGAAGTGGATGCGGAAGTCTTCGCCGTCATCGTCTTTGATATGTGCAATGTAGTTGGGGAACGAGTTGTTGTACGTTTCGACTGTACGCCTGTTCCGGGATATGTTAGAGGAGAATCGCGGTGCTTTCGTTCAGCACCCGTCAGAAGGAACGAACCAGTCATATTCATTGAGCCAGTACTCTTTGGCCTTTGACATCCACTCGTGACTGACACCGAACTTGCCATCGTCGGCGTGTAGATTCTCATATGTTTGTGGAGCCAACTTGGAGAGTCGAAGCAGGGTCTTGAAATCGGATATTTCCTCGTCGGAGATGGATAAAAGGAACTTGTCGACCTTGACGTTGGCACCTCTGGGGATATTGTCGTAACCAGCCATCTTGTAGAGGAACACAGGACAAAGAGATGATCAAGAACTGAAGTGGCTTTACATGGAAGGGGGATGAGGAACGAGGGAAAGCTGAAATCGATTCATGGAGTCGTTGATGGGATGGCATGGCTTTTTGACGACCTCTCCGAGAGGCCTTGACGGTGCAAAGCCTTCATCAAGGAATATGGGATGTCCACTTTGGGGTTGTGCTCGCAATTCCTCCGCCGGCGACTCCATGAGTGGGTGGTTTGTTTTGAAGGCAGACTCGCAGACATGGGTAATGGATATTTACCCCGACAACCTGCCCGGTAGGTACGAGGTGCCGACTGTACAATCACCATACAACCACAGGCAACGTGGGGCCAGGCTTTTCGATCTGATGCCAGTGCCGACATTCACACCTTCCACCAACTCTTCTCCACAGTGGCAGTGAGAGGACGTCCAGGATGATGAATATGTATCTCGATCACCATCTCATATCCCCCGGAAGATTCCAATGAAGTCACTTGGCGTTTCACACGGCTCAACACCTCGCAAAGACCGAGACTTCTGCACCAATCAATCCGCGCTTCGTCTCGCAGCATGAGCGTAGCGTAGTATACTGACACGAGCGTGACTTGGAAAATTGATGACCACTGCGGCTTTCAACCAGTCTCTGGGTGAGTCAATGTTGTCACAGGCAATAAATCTACGATGGTCTTGCACTGCTCATTTCGATCTCGACCTTTCCGCCCGAAGAAGCGAACCACGTTGGTTTCGACTCAGGTCGTCTCAATATTAGACGGGATGAGGCCGCTGTTATCAGAACGACTCCACAGCCGAACCGGCTCAAGTCAAGACGAACTCGTTGTCATGAACTGACAGGATCCTCTCTGGTCTTTGCCACGCGGCTGAATCATTACCGGCAAATGGCGACTGCAACTGGATAGGCATCCGGAAGTGGTGACAGTGAGTCCCAAATGTTCTTTGTTGGCCTCACATGCGAGCTATGAGCCTGCTTCTTCGCAACGAGGCTGTGCCCGGCGTCTACCCCTAGCAGACTGTCTTGCCCAATATTACTGGTCTTCTTCATGGACATGTTCCCCAACTTGTACGATACGGAAAGAGCTACAAATAACCAACCTGATTTTGTAAGAAAGATTTACATGTACACCTTCAAACTTACACATTTCCCCAGCAGTCTACTTCAAATCGCCCCCCAGTAGAGGCGACAGAGACGTCATGAATACCCACAACACGAAGCAACAGCCATTCCAGCACGAACCACTATCTCAGCCTGCCACTCACATCAGACTATTGAAGTTGTTCCCCTTCCACGATGAGTTGGCCCCTATGGCTGGTGAAGTGGTGGAATTTGCCCGCTCGGAACTGCGACGATACTTAGCTCTCTCATACGTCTGGGGCCCTGAAACTCCGATGGTGACAATCTACCTACATGAAAAGCCGGTGGGCATCCATCAGAACCTCTATGCCTTCTTATGGCATTACCTGCGGACCGGTCGAAGCGATCTCTTATGGACTGACGCTCTTTGTATAAATCAGACGGACCCGGTTGAGAAAGGTCTCCAAGTTGAGTCCATGGGCGAAACCTTTCGTGGAGCTTCTGCAGTTGTCATTTGGCTTGGGCCACCCGAGCAGACAGTGTCGGAAATTATTGCAGCTGCAGCCAATGTCCCTGGTGGAAAAGATGCCTCCTTTCCCAAACATAGTGGCCAACACTACGCCGACGTCGTCAAGCGGCTTTCAAAAAATCCATACTGGACTCGGGCATGGATAGTGCAGCAATTCATTCTTGCCCAAGCGCTGTTTGTTCAGTACGGGTCGACCTGGCTTACGTGGGATGACTTTCTGGTATACTTCCTACCTGATTCTATCGCCGGGGCCACACGAGCAACGCACAGTATAGACCCCGATGAGTCCCTTGCAGTTACTCCTTGCCCGAACCCCCATATCGACGAACTGATCGACCGCCGGAGGCTATGGCACGACCCAGGCTCCGACGAGGATGCCACCACTTTGATGGATTTGGTCGCTTTGAACCGTTCCAGAAAGTGCAAGGACCCTCGAGACAGAGTCTACGGTGTCCTAGCACTTTCCAGACGTCAGACACCAGGCTCCATAGCCATCACCGCCGATTACGCAATCACATCAGTTGAACTGTTCTTCAGGGTTATGGAAGCCCATAATGCAGTGGTCTTGAAGAGTCGATATTATTCACGGGAACCAGTGCTCGAAGCCTTAGAGCTGGATCGGTGGCTGAGTTACGATTCATTGCGCAATTGTCTACCACCGGCTTCCCCCCGGGCGCACATTGTGTCTTGCGATGGACCGATCTTCATACGTGCCCGGCCCGTTGGAATGTTTGACCCAACTTCGCCGTTGCCGGTATGCAGTCTGCGACAATGGTGTGAATGGTCTCCGTACATGGTGCCTCTCAATCCTCCTGAGTACAGAGTGGACGTATTGAGTCCTATCCATTCGGCCGATTTCGGTGCTGGCGGCCATGGTGAAACGGTCTCCATTCACAGTCTTCACGATCTTGGTTATCTTTCGTTTGTGCACAGATGCCGCCCAGATAAACCAGCTGCCAGCATAGCCTACGCTGAGGAGGCTTTCCAACAATCGAACCTGGAAAACCTAGACGCTATTGCCACAGAAGCTTTCTGCGGTCTGGACAAGTCTTGGGATGTCCCGCTTAGCGCCAGGTCGAGATGATTGAAAGAGAAGTTCTTGAAGCGCATTACGGAGCCTGGCTTTTTGATCTGAAAGGCATCACTGTCGTGAAAAGGCCTTCCTTGGGGTGTCAGGACTTTGTTTTGGCTTTGGATCGCAAGAAGTATGTCAGCCTAGTGTCTACTTGTTTTGAGATTCGGCGCGATGAGTCTATTTTCAAGGCAGTGGACCTGTATGACTTTGATATTTCGCGAGATAGAGATTCGAGGTCTCAGTCGGTATTGGCGGAGATACTTAGCCAGATCTGAGCATTACTGTGCTGGGGTGCAGCTCTCACTCGATTCCCAGGTGGTGTCTTCCACCAGGTTTCCAGAGCTGTCCCAGCAATCTCCAAGCTTCTGAAGGATTCGCTTTTGGGGTTACTGGGCACAAATGCTATCAACCTATGGTGGTACAAGCTTCCATCTAGCTGCGAATGACTCGTGCTTGACAGTCTGCCATCGTCCAAGGCGTCTTGTCCATGATTCTGTCGGTGGCAGGGGTTGGTGATTGCGTGATTGCTTACGTGTCTGAATTGACCAATGGTCAGTCCTACGCGTGCGATCCCAATTGAGGACTCGTCAGAGCTACGTGGGATGGGTACGCACTCCTAAGAGACATCTGAGGCATTGGCACCTTCCAGGGAAGGCACATCTGAAGAGAGTTCCACTTTGGCTCCGGGACGCCGGACGATAGCTGCAGCTGTCGACGTTGTCGATGATGGAGCTCATACAAACACGGGTTACGTTGTCTGAGAGCATTGGTGCGTTGAACGTGCTAACACATCCTTCCTTCCCAATATGCACATGCTCGCACCAAGCCTGCAGAAGTCCGATAGGGGCAGGATCGACTCTCAGGAGCGATAAGGCAAGAGACCGACCCGAGTCTCGGTACGGAGTACCGCCACGTACTTTCGTCGCAGACCTCCGATCCCCAAGGCAAGAAACCCTCCATTAACTCTTTCAACAGTATTCCAGCCGCAGATATCTTAACTCTTGCAAGCCAAGCCATTTGCCATGATGTTCGACGCCGTCGTTGTTGGGAGTGGTGCTGCTGGAATAGCCACTGTTGGCAACATCCTTGATTGCCATGAGTCCGCAAGTATACTATGGATCGACCCGGAGTTCAAAGGAGGCAGAATCACCAAGAAGTACCTGGATGTGTCGAGGTACGTCCGCTCTTGAGCATGGTGCGCGAGATACCCCGTACTGAGCACTGACCACACAATCTTGCCACCTATAGCAACACCAAGGTTGCGGTGTTCCTGCAGTTCGCCCACGCTCTCGAACCCTTCCGTGAGATCGTCCGCTCAACACCAAAGCCGAACGCCGTTCACGTCCTAGAATGTCTTGACACGAATGCAGGATGTGATCTGCAATATGCATCCAACATGTTGTTGATGCTGACCGAAGGCCTGAAGAAGCTCCCTAATGTGCAGCCATTGGTTGGCACTGTCGTTGAAGCCAACTTGGATAGTCAGGTAAGCATATTCAGCTCCGTGGCAGACTCGGCGTATTCTCACATCCCCAGTCGTCCGTCTGGGCGATCCAGGTACAAGACGAGGAGTCATCATCCATCATTCATGACATTTGTGCGCGAAAGCTTGTCCTTTGCACAGGTTCTTCTCCGTCGGCCTGCGATTTTGGACCCGCGGGGTCGTCGTTGACGCCAATCCATCTTGATGTCGCCCTCGACCGACCGAGCCTTCGACACGAGTTACCTGCCGACAAAGCCATCACCGTTGCTGTGGTTGGCTCATCGCACAGCGCCATCGTGCTGATCATCAACCTGTACGAATTGGCAACAAGGACTCATCCGCATCTCAGAATCAAGTGGTTCTGTCGGCGGCCACTGCAATATGCGGTGCCGATGCCGGACGGCCGCATTGTTCGCGATAACACTGGCCTCAAAGGCAGATCTGCTGACTTTGCCCGCAATCACCTGGAAGACGACAAGCTAAGAAGCTCACCTGTAGCCCAATATCTCCAGAAATTCGACTGCTCCGTCGACGAAGACGAGGTATACCGGAACAACTTACCTCAATGCACGCACATCGTGCAAGCCATCGGATTCACGCGTGACCCCCTTCCTCCAATACGCTTAGACGACAGGCTCCTTGAGAAGCTTGCATATGACAATCGAACTGGCTTGTTCCAAGACTATGCAGGTCGTCGCGTCCCAGGCTTGTGCGGCGCCGGAATTGCATTCCCAGAAAAGGTCATCGATCCAGCCGGGAACACTGAGTATGCGGTTGGCTTCTGGAAGTTTATGAAGTACCTCAGACGTGTGGTCCCGGAACATTGGGGTATCAGCAAAGACTGCTGGCAGGAGGAGCCGAGCTCGAGCGATCTATTGGTGTAGATCGCCAGGGCAAGAAGCCACCCATTTACTGAAGATATTTCAGGCGTGGAACGAAGGGGTTGCACCTTTTCAGGGAAGAGGCCGATCTTGTTCTCGGTACGCCCTTCTTCTGAGGACACGAGAGGACACGAGAGGACACGAGAGGACCCTGGTATTCTTTTGATTAAGTTAGATTTGAGGGCTGGGGGTGGTTGCCTTGCTTTTATAGCCTCCCACGCTTGCACGCAATTTTTGGTGTTTCTTGCGCAACGTTGGCCAGGATCACGCCATACAGGCTCACCATGAGTTGATCGACGCACCTTGTAAATCTTCGCGACTAGGCCCATTGCCGTCAAATTCGAGCTGAGTGGACATTGTTCATCTACTCATGCGCGATATGACTGCTCACGCTGTTCATTGCCGGCCTCTCGTGTCGTCTCTGAAGCGTGCCAATTGATGTCGCGTTGGGCGCAATAGCTTCCGCGTCCAGAGACTGCGCTCCAGTTCATGTACAGAAACAGCTTCGACCCAATGATAGGCTAAGGCTTGAAGTTCATTTCATCTCCTTGTCCTTCGAACACGACCTACGCCTTGACCCATCATTCAAGGCGTTTCTGGTACAATCGGCATGCGGAGAAAATACTGGCCATCAATTCTGCTCCTCCGCGATCGGAGGGCAATGATGGCACGCTTCTGCGGACTGTGCCACTCCCACGCAGCTGTCTCCAATACTGCGTCGTTTAGGGGCCACACGATAGGCTGGCACGGCTGGTAAGGCTGATGATGGCTGGGTTCTAGGTAAGTTACCATCGTCGGGGCATCGTCCGCCGGCAATACCTGTAGGTATGAGGGGAACCATAGCCGGCGACCTGGCCTACCTCAACCACCTCAATCCAGCATGTTGTGTCTACATTGATTTCTCAACTTTTGCAAGCCTTCTGTACTACTATCCTGACAGATCGACCGCACTATCGAAGTCTTGAACTGGGCATTCGTTGCTTCGCTACGTGACCTGAGGACAACATCGCAGTGTACCAACTGGAACTCCGCACGAAGAGTGGCGACGGCGAGCACCAAACGCTCAAGGCACGACTTGCATAACAGACAATAGAGTACCAAGAAAATTGCTTGGACAGTCAGTGAGAGTACCCGTTCAACCTTTCGTCGCCGTTGAAACGCACCCAGGAAATCTCTCTCAGAGTTGCCACAATGGCAGCGCCAGTCCTCCCTGAATCTGGTGTGCAGACCTTCCGCGTCCTCGTCCTTCCTGGGGACCATGTCGGACCTGAAGTCATGAAGGAAGCCATCCGAATATTGGATGTCGTGGAAGCCAGTTCTCAAGGCAAAGTCAAGTTCCAGTATAACTGGCAACTTTGTGGAGGTTGCAGTATCGACAAACACGGTACAGCTATCACGGACGAAGTACTGCGTATCGCGAAGGAGGAGTCGGATGCCGTGCTGTTTGGGTCAGCTGGTGGACCTGAATGGTAAGTTTCCTGTTATTCACTTCCGTTGCTTTGAATGGTGGAGGTGGACTCAAGTCTGAGCTAGCACTATAGCTAGCTCCCTTCCACCTGTGTTGCTCTGGCTATATTCTCGCTCCTCGTTCCAGCACCTTGCTAGCCTCACTGTTAAACCTATCTCTTCGTAGGGGCACAAAACCACCGAACCCAGAGTCAGGCCTCCTCCGCCTGCGCCAACACCTCGATGCCTTCGCCAACATCCGCCCCTGCACATTCTACTCGCGCTCCCTGATAGATCAGTCGCCCCTCAAACGGGCCATCGCCGAGGGCACCAATTTCATCGTGCTCCGCGAGAACTGCAGCGGCGCGTACTTTGGGCCTAAAGTCGAGGAGGAGGATTTTGCCAACGACTCCTGGACCTACCGTCGCGACGAAATCGAACGGTGTGCACGAGTTGCCGCAGCCTTGGCCACGACGATGGGCAAAGATGGCAAGGGCAACGGCGGCCCTGCGACCGTCTGGTCCAGCGACAAGGCCAACGTGCTCGCGTCGGGCAGACTGTGGCGCCGAGTCACGAGCGAGATCTTCGCGAAGGAGTTCCCGCATATCGACCTCAAGCATCAGCTGGCCGATAGTTTGAGTATGCTGATGGTCAAGAACCCGCGCAAGTTCAATGGTGTGATCCACACGGACAACACGTTCGGGGATATGTTGTCGGATCAGGCCGGCGGTATCGTTGGCACGCTCGGAGTCCTCCCGAGTGCCAGTCTGTGCGGAATCCCTGACGGCAGTCGCTGCCATGGAATCTATGAGCCTGTGCATGGCTCCGCGCCGGACATTGCGGGTAAAGACATCGTGAATCCTACCGCACAGATTCTCTCGGCGGCCATGATGCTGCGATATTCGTTTGGCCTTGCCCAGGAAGCTACGGCTATCGAGGCCGCGGTCGAGAAAGTCCTGGACGGCAAAGACATTGGTGGGGAAGAGATTCGAAGTGGTGATCTTGGTGGGAACGCGACGACCAAACAGATGGGCGACGCCGTATGCAAGGCTCTCCAGGAGATTTTGAAGGGGAACAGTACGGGTGTGCCGAGGGACGCGAACGCGAATGGTGCTGAGAGCATGGTTTCGCCCGTGCATGAATCGCATAGCGACGAGAACAAGAAGTGGGAGAAACTGTTGAAAAAAGAACATGTTCCCACAGGCCCGTCGGAGAGCATCGCTTTGTCATGAAGCATACCTAAGTACCTTATGTGCATTCGGAACGTTGAGGAAATATCTGGATGTTAGGATGTTCATATCATGACCGGTTAGTGCGGAAAATTGTCGTTTAACTTGTATGCTCATAACTCTCTCCCGAGTGAACCTGCTCTGCTCTGCTCCGCCCCGTCTCTGCTGTTGTTCCCTTCCGAAGCACGAGGAGAGTCGGAGGTAGTATGATCAAGCCATGAAAGATTTAGGATCTGTTCCCTTTGTGAGTCGCCCTGCCCAGTCTCCTCATCTCAAGCCACCCTCCTATCCAGGCGAGGCCCAGCATCCCCGAGAACAGAGGGAATTGAGGAAAGCCTGTTCCAAATTCCGGGTCAACAGCCAGGCTCCCCGGGAAAAACCATGCCGCTATTGCCGTGACCCAGTACAAGCTGCCAAACAACGTGGCCGTCTTGATCGATTCCTTCTCGAGTTCCAGACAAGCGCCCGCATCCAAGTCTCGACGATCATCACGACTACGACCGTGACCGAGACCGCGCCACGTGTAGTACAACGTTGCTAGGGAGAGCGTGGCTCCCATGGCCATGGTCTGGCCGTTGTGGAATTTGGCGTGCGGTGGCCAGCGTGGGTTGAAGACGTGCGACGCGCTCCAGTCCGCGAGGAAACAGCCCGGGCCTAGAGTGCAGGCGACCAGGGTCAAGCAGATGCGTCCGGGAGTGAGCGGTGCCGGCATTGTGGTGGAGTGGACGCCCGGTAGAAGTTTTGGTACAGTATGCGGCAAGACGGTTGGGTTCTGGCGGTGGAGGCCGGTGTTTTGAATGCTGACTTGGGCTTCGTTTGGAGCCGGTAGGTCCGAAAAAAAGAAGACACAGCTGACTTCCTCTTGCGTATGTTGGAAGGGCAGTGTAAAACAACCGTGGGCGATTCCGTCTCATGTATGGGTATTTCTGTTATGTTGTCAAGACTGTGGTATGTCCCGGTCAGGCGTCCCATCTGGAAGACGCGGGTCAGTACGTATGTTGACCCAGCCAATATGGTGAGGTGTTCGTAAGCACTCGCTCACGACGGACGAAATCTGATGCTGTATATTTTCACTGGAGAAGCTAACATGCGACGCAACTTAGGGTGCGACGCAGGTACCGCAGAGTATTGCAGGACGTGGGCCTATCAAAGAGCTGCTAATGCCACATTCGTTCAGTCTTCCAAACGATCGTTTCCGCTCTGAGTACTCCGTAACGCCATCAGAATTGACTTGAGTGTTTATCGGCCGAATGGCAACTGTCGATATCGACGATATTAGCAATTTGACCAGAGTTGCCTCGTTCGTCGCAACCCCAAAAAGTCGATATCTTTCTCGTGATGGAGGTATATATAGCTTGATGGCGACCGCCTGTAATGATGCAGCAAGACCTCCGCCACATCAAGTATCCCAGAGGATATACAAAAGCCATATCTTTCTTGACCCGCATCGTGTCACCGCTCTCCTTCCGTCAAAGCAATGTCGGCCCTAGCCCAGACTGAATGGCCAACAACTCCTGTGCCTCAGTCAATCAAGCAGCTTCTAGGCTCGTTCTTCGAGCTGGGTGACTCCAAGTCCGAAGACGCGGCCCGCCGGCTTGCAGACGAAATATTCACGCCCGAGGGGCAGATCATGGTGAACAAACGCACCATCAACGGTGCTAAAGGTTGGTACATACCTGTCTAACTTACTTCACTCTCGCGCCATACTCTAGGATTTGCGAGTCTGATAGTCCTTTTCAGAAATATCCTCTTCGAACCGCGGCCTCCTCTCCAGCCTCCAAAGTCGCCAGCACAGGATTGCAAAAGTGTATACCTGCAACGAATCGGCCGACGATCTCATGTTGATTGGAGTCGTGACATGGACGTTCGACGACGGGCAATCACTCGACGGCCCCTTTGCGGCCAGGGCGGTCGTTCAGAGCACTGGGGGTCCCGGGACACCGAGGTTGAAGTTGTATCAAGGTTGGGCGGTAAGTCAAGTCGCTTCATTTCTCCATCGGCTCTATCGAGTGCAAAAGAGACGCTGATGTTGCTCATCAGGATATGTCGGAGTTGTTGGCTGCATTGGCAGAACCGAAGTAGATACTCATATCTGGAGACGGTAGACACGAGGGTTGATGTTGCTTCAATTGCTAGGCTCGACAGATGATGATCGTCCTACTGTATCATGGTGTATACTTGGGTCTAACATGGCCACACCTTCCGCACGCTTTCGTTATGTGTCATGATAAGAACGGCAAGCCAGCAGTCCAGCGGGAGGAATATAGAGTATGGTCGTGAAAATAAATGTGGGCAAGCTGAGCTGGATTGTTATGCAAAATGACGTTGCGTTGATCGATATCCCCCACACTCTTCCTCGCCTATATCGCACCACTTTCTCCTGCATTTGTATATTCACCATCTAACAACTGTTCGGTACCAGTTGTCTTCCTGTCGATACGCCGAAAGAGATTTCTTCGTTGTGCAGGATGCCTAGTATGTCAAGGAACTCCGAGATCCAGTGACAATTCAACCTCCTCTTCGTCCTCTTCATCCAGCATGTCTTCGGACTTGACCTTCACTCAAGGCCTCATTGTTGGCCAACTCTCGGTGGCTCTCTTCATTGCAGCGTTCATAAAATTCTTCATCTTTGGCGAAGCTCCTCCTCCTCCTTCTCGTTCCTCCAAGCGAGCCCCGAAGCACATCCGGACTCCTTCTCTGCACAGCGTCGCTTCTTCCAAAACTGCAGTCTCGCAATCCCTACGAAACAAAGCCAGCTCCAACGTCCTCCGCCCGGTACCCAACAATGCCACGGACATCGCCTCGATCTTGCGAAAGACCTATTACCAGATCCCGAATCGAGCTCACAAGAACAGCCATTCCACACATCAACCAGAGAGCCTGGACTGGTTCAATGTCCTTCTTGCCCAGACGATAGCACAATACCGGCAAACAGCGTACAATTTAAGAGAGGGCACTGGAAACACACCTACAATTCTGGCGAGCCTGGAAGAGGCAATCAATAACCCGGAAAAGAGGCCGTCATACATAGACAAGATCAAGATCACAGAGATATCCATGGGCGAGGAATTCCCCATCTTCAGCAATGTTCGAGTCATTTCAGTTGAAGACGATGCTTCAAGCTCTACTGGGGGAAGACTACAGGCTCTGATGGACGTCGATCTCTCCGATGATAACCTGACTCTGGCCATCGAGACTGCTCTCATCCTCAACTATCCCAAACCCTTTTCTGCTGTCCTGCCAGTCGCGCTGGCTGTCTCAGTCGTCCGATTCTCCGGCACCTTGTCGATAAGTTTCATCCCCGCTACACAAGATGATGCAGAGGATGAAAGCATGAAGAGGAACAGGCCGGCCCATGTGACGGGCAAGCCCAAGACGAACCTGGCATTTTCCTTCCTCCCCGATTACCGCCTCGACCTCTCTGTGAGGAGCTTGATTGGCTCGCGGACACGGCTGCAGGACGTGCCAAAGATTGCACAGCTCGTGGAAGCGCGGATCCAAGCATGGTTCGAAGAGAGAGTCGTGGAGCCACGCGTACAAGTCGTCCCCCTCCCAGGCCTCTGGCCTCGCATGGGCAAAGTAAGGGTCCGGGACGGCCAAGATGAGGATAGGCCACCAACACAAGACGAACATCGAGCTGCTTCATTTGTCGAACGCGGAGAACGTAGGTCGGACGACAGCTTTCCCTCACAGGAAGAGACGGAAAAGATCTTCGAGGGACTCAGATGGCGTACAGGTCGTGAACGATCGAACAGCCAGGTCATCGAGCATGACGGAGATGTGACGACGACTCCGCAACCTTTGCGAATGATGCCTGGTGCTTTACCAGCGTGAGAATGTTGATCGACAAGAGCATCTTTTCGGCTCCAGGTCTTCTCAGTCATGGCTTCTCACTCTTTCTGAGCCAGTCTGGCCCAAGACTTCTGCTAAGCCGCCACGAAATGCCATTTTTACCCTAAATCTTGGGCTTCCACTTTCGGAGAACGGATCTCAAGCCAGAGTTTCTCAGCCGGTTTGCTGCAGACTGGTTTCCACCATAAATGTCTTGAACAGATCGATTCGAGTGCAGTCCAATCTGTAATTTGCATGTCCGAGGTTCGCTGTTTGAGCCGATCGACGTACCAAATCCTGGTTGGCGTAAAGCTTGCTGCAATTGCACCAAGAGTGAGAGCCCATACCAGCACCTGCGCATGCAAATCCCAACAGCGGGATCGATCGCAAGTTTGCAAAACTTCCATGAGCATTGCGGCTAACCTGGGTTTCACACTTTGAGTCGGTGGCAGCGGAAAGATCGCCATGTCGCCAAAAATCAACGTAGCTAGTCGTGCTGCCTGGTGGACACAACTGTCAGGATCTGTGAATTCCAGTGGGTCGGGCATCTGCGATAGCAGTCGGTGCTGTGAAGCACCCCGAGCTTCGATCAAATCAACAAGCTCTGGCGCTGTCGGTCCTTTCCTCGCATAGTGATCCAAAGCCGTGGTCACCTCAACCCATGAGTCCAGTATTTCTAGCAACTTGCGACCAGCAAGGGTGGCCCGAAAATACCTAAAACCGCTGCCAAGTTCAGAATCCAGCTCTATAGCGACGGAGTCAAGCTGGTGTTTGCCGCTCATGACGAGCGACTGAGGCGAACGCAGCAACGAGAAGACCGGCCTTCTAACGTACTTTGTGGAGAAGTACAGGTCACATCTGGTGGAAATGTCAGCGAACTGTTCTCGAAGAAGTGCGCCGTTGACCCACAGTGCCATAGTGTCGGCCATGCCAAACAGTTCGATGGATTCCAGGCCTCCTTTTTGCATGATCAACAATATGATAGCTTGAAGATGCTCCTCCTCATTCACCATGTTCCCGTAGACGTGGAGGTTTTGTGCTGTTGCCAGTGGAGAAGTTGGATGTATCTCTGGGTAAACGATCTCATCATATGCACCATGGATCGCAAGGATTGCGACCGACATGATGAGCGCATCTGTCGGCGGGCCGGTGAGATTACGAAGTTGCTCGTTGACGAGCTTGATAGCTTCGACTTTGTGATGGAGTCGCATGAGTGGAGCCGACTTCACCAGTTCGCGACCCCTATGGACGCATAGCAGGTGCAACGTCGTCGCATAAGTAAATGCATGGAAAGCAACGGGCCATTGCATCGCACATTTGAGCCATGCGCTTTTGACCGGATTCGACGCTTTCGATCGTGCAGGAACTGTGTTCGGCCACGAGATCGCTATCGCCTGGGACTTGCTGTCAGCCGATATTCCTTGCCATTCTTGTCGCAGTCTCAGTGTTGCTAAAATATCAACAAGTGGCTGACCTAGGTGGGAACGTACATGATCGAGAACCATATGGATATACATAGACTTTTGATCTAGTGGGAGCGCGTTGAATGGATCCGTCCTGCCCTCACCTAAGCCATTTTTGAGTCCAGGCGAGGGGTTCACTTGCACCGAAGCATCCTCATCTGGAGGTCGAGCTGAGGGCTTTGGAGACGTAGGCGTCGTCGATGTTCGCGGCCGGGGTTCTTTCTGAATCTCGTCGTCATGCCGCGCCGCAGGTCTAGCGAGCTTCGACCTGTCCGTCAAGGTCGTTTGCGGACTTGAACTACCGAGACGTTTCACTCTCAGTTTGCGATGGAATTCTTTTGTGATGTGCGCTCGAACTTCACTTGGGCCGCCCCTTCGTCTCTTTTGACCTTGTGCAGGTATCGCTGGCTCTTTGTACTCGACGAACATATATCGACTCCGGTCAGGGCAGGCCATGTCTGCCGTACTCATTGAGCCATTCGATTCCACGCGACGTCGCCGCTTGTCAGAGAGCCAAATTCAAAATGCGAAGTCAGAAAAGTCCTGGGGACCTATAAACGAAGTAATGTTGAAGATGTGTCAGCCGGAACGACAGAGCCAGGCCTAACCTAGTCATTATTTCAAACACTCTGGGGTTGTTCTCGTCAAGCCTACAACATGGCAACACTAAGTTAGCCAGTCCGCTTGGCCTTGTGAAGCCCTGCGAATAGGAGTCCTCCGCGGGATGCTACTTAGCGGTCTACGAATTGTCGCTCCGGCGTACCAACTGGTCTAGGAAAGCGATGCAGGGTGATGCCAGGTACCATTGGCCAGCCACCTCCGTGACCAATATGTTCGTATCAAGGAATTGAACATTGATTCAGCCCATATACCTCATTTAGGGGGGGCATGAAGCCACGACGGTTCGAACCAGGGCATCGATGCAGACCTCAGCCTCGGTTGGGGCTTCGGCCGAAAAGACACCTTTTCATCTGGCGCTGCGGGCAGCAAACCAGTTGGTTTCGACGCACGAGACAACAGGCAGGTGAGGCAAGTCATTTTCAGCGACACTGACTTCTGGATCGCCAAAATGCATACATCCCGCCCAACAGGGCTGACTCATTTACTGACTTAGCAGAGCGCTGAAGAGCCTTGCGTCAGCGACACTACTATTCGCCTCATCTAGGGGCCGTTGATCACTCATGCATTCCAGCCGCTGCGTAACGAGAGAAACATAGTCTTTGTTGTGGCACAGGCCCCCAGGCGTCGACTGGTCATCATTCATAATTGAAAGGCTGATCCCATCATGCCTGGCCAAGTCGGAGCTGTGACTGCCAGAGCGGTCCTTTTGTTGACAGCAGGATGGAGACAACTCATCTCACATTCACGTTTGAGATGGCCCATGAGAAAGACGATTGAGCGACGCCATTCTTCACCGAAGGGAATGCTCGCACGGCTTCTTTTTTTGTAGTTGTTATACATTAGACGTTGACGACTCATGGACATTGATTTCTGAGCTCTATCACCTCGAAATGGGCTTTTTCATCATACCATCATGCCACCGAAACAGGCGCAGCACCTCTGGTCTCTAGGTAAGCCTTCCGGTGTTGATTGACATCCGTTTCAGTGCCTCTGTTCAGTGGTGTCCATTTTGGTTCATCCTTGAATAAGCGCATCGCCTTGATATACTATACTCTTCGTCAGCATTTTGCGCCGCCCCCTACCGTGGTCGTTTCTGTCTGCTTACATTGTTCTCATCTGTCGTGAATCGATGGTATATCCCTGCCGGCAGGATAATCATATCGTCCTTCTCGAGCCTGATGCGCACCCAATCATCATCCTGACTTCTTACGTCGAAGTAACCCGCGCCGTCACGGATGTATCTGATCTCCTCGTCCTCGTGTAGGTGCTCGTGGAAGAACATTTTCACCTTGTCTTCGTAGACGGAGCCCATGGCATCGGGCGAGACTGTAATGACATCTCGGTTCTTGTAGTCGCGGTCTTTGGCGATGTCGTCGATGCTGGATTCATTGGGAACGTGGTAGTATAGCACACCTAGGCTAGCAAGGTACTTTGGGTCGACATCCCGGCCGGAGTCATGGGTTAGGCGCTGGTCGCCCTGGAACGGAGTTAGGAGGGGTACGTGGTAGCAAGTCGAAGGAAGGAAAGGTACCTCTTCGTTGTCAAACCAGTATGCTCGCATTGTCCTTGGGATTGGAGTACTGTTACAAGTGGTGGAAATCGAAAGCTAGTTGTCGGGGTGAGGTTGACAGAAACAGAGGACGTGGAAGGCCTGACTTTAAGGATATGGTTTCGATGAATCCAACGCAGGGAATATGCCGTTCGTTACTTGCAGAAGAAAGTGAGATTTTGAGTAATTCTCGCAAGCCGCCTCTTGCGCAATCGGTCACTCGGTGACCAGAAAAACGGGCACATGCAGCCAAATGGCGGGACGTTGATCCATCAGTGGTGGGACAGCGATGCCGACGAGGCCCACGATCATCCAACCAAGATCACCCATTTTCTCATCCCGGAGAATTATTTACTGCACCAACAAGGAGTTTTGCAACGAGTTCAAATCAGTCACTTGAGAATCCAAGCATAATCAGAAAGAGGTCGGATTGCTGCTGTTCAAGGCCTGGACCAGACCTCAGCTGCCAAATCCATCGAGCCACAGCGACAAATGAGCAGAACAAGTAGCTAATATTTCCCACGGCATCAGTCCCTTTGTCAGAGGGACCACTTCTACGAGACTGTACTCGTCGAAATTCCAAGTCAGCACTTTTTATCAGTGATCGACGAGCTTGAAACCCTATCAGAGCATGTCTAATAAGGTCCATCTTGAGTGCAGTGTTTACGGACGCTGACTGAACGGCCTGTCTGGCCAACCGTCCTCGGAAAAGGAATCGTGATGGCCGCGAGGTCAATCAGCGTCTGACTCCGGGCACAGCAGGATTGGTCGAGGCAAAGTTGACTCGCGCAAACTCCGCTGAGATTATCTGCACGAGGCTGAATATCGAACCAGGCCCGTAGGACGATTGGTTGGCGGTTGCTCTAAGGAGGCTATCGTCAGTAACACTCCTATACACACATCACACCCTCAAGTCCAAACCGAAACCGGGCACTGCGGCGTAGTCTGGAGATGGACAGCATCCGGCGCACGACCTCTCACGAGCAAAGCGCCAACCTCGCTCCATCCTCGCCCTCCACACAGCGCTCGCCGAACGTGCAGTCCGACATCAACAAACCATGCCTCCCCGCGACGACCGACCCTCCGTCGCACACAAACCCGCCCAAGCAAAAGGTCTGGCTCATCTTCGGCGCGACAGGCCACATGGGCCGGAGCGTGACAAAAGCCGCTCTCTCGCACGGTGACCTGGTCTGCGCCGTCGGCCAGTCCCTCGAGGACACGCCCGCCACTCTTTCCACTCTCTGCCCTCCAGGTAATGCCAACGCCAACTCAGACGACTACCTGGGCCTGCTATGCGACGTGCGCATCCGCCCGTCCGTCAGCGCCGCCCTGGACACGACGCTCTCGCACTTCGGCCGCATCGACATCATTGCGAATTGTTCGGGGTACGGCGTCATCGGCGCGTGCGAGGACCAAGACGAGCACGAGATCCGCAACCAGTTCGAGACGAATTTCATGGGCACGCTGAACATCATTCAATTGTCACTGCCGTATTTTCGACAGCGCCAGGAAGGCCGCTATCTGATCTTCAGCAGCACGAGCGGCGCTCTGGGCGTGCCCGGCCTGGGCCCGTACTGTGCCACCAAGTACGCCGTCGAAGGTCTGATCGAGAGTATGCTGTACGAGGTCGATCCGTTCGGGGTCAAGGTTACGCTGGTGGAGCCGGGCCATTTACGACGGGACGATGATCATGGCAGCTGCACCGTCCCTTCAGGCGTGGCTGCAACCACGGGACAGAATAATGCCCTGTCGACGACGACGACGACACCGACCGCGAGTGTCAACCAACTTCCTCTCTTTGGACACTTCAAAGTCGCAAAGGCCAGCGAGCCGTATGCAGTCAAAGACGCGCCGGCGGCACATGCGCAGCGCACGTTGCACTGGATGGGCAACCAGCAGCCGACCAGCGTGGTCAAGGCGGCCGAGTTGGTGTGGCAGTTGGGACACTGTCGCTACCCGCCACTGAGGCTGTTACTGGGCAGTTTTGCCGTCGAGAGTATCCGCGACCGGTTGAAGAGCATCATCGAGGAGATCGAGGATTGGAAACATTTGAGTTTCCCGCCCTTGGAGCCCGACCCCGAAGCTGAAGGAGAAGACGAGGGTGAGGGCGAGGGTGATGGTGACGAGGACGACGATAACGAAGACGACAGAGACGATGACGAGGACGGGAAGGGCGAGGACGACACAACAATTGGCGAGGACGGCGATCAGATCGATACCAAGGCGGTGCGGAACAAAGGACATGGAGCCTCGAGGGCTATCAAGGCAGAAAGTATGATGGATGTCGATGGATGAATCATTTGTCGCACAAAAGAGCACGGAGAAGTTTGTTATCATTTGATGGTGGCTATCTACCAGCCATTCTCCAGCCAGGCTCTGTCTATGAGCCACGACATTACTTCGTCTTGGATGAGTGGTGATGGCCTCACTAGCCTGGTGTTGGACTCTAATTGCCAGCTGCAACAAGGACTCGACACTCGTTCGGCATCGGGAGGGGGTTGTTTGGGTATCAAAAGGCTCATTTGACAAGGCAGGCGATCAAGGCCAGCCGTCGTTTCTTCAACAGGTGAAAGCCCATCCGCCATCCATGGGAAGTTATAGCAGACCGTTCGCCGCTCAAGTCTCCACGACGGTATAAACCCGCTCCGCCATGCACACCACACGTCTCACAAGGCAGGCGCTCGTATAGTCTCTTTCCTGGAGACCGCTATCTTCACCACGATTTCCAACAGTTGATCTTCGAAGCCTGAGGTATTGGCTTGCCCATTTCATCAGGCCATATGCGTCGAGAACCGAAGCAAGGTTGATTGATAGTCGTACAAAAAAGGAGGCTCGAAATCTCCCCACATTGGCGCGGATTGGAGCACAGCTCGACACGCGAGATCCTGAGCACGGGTGCTGTTGACGATGCTTATGGATACAGTGTTGGAGGTCGTCATGGTTCAGAGTGTGATCCGCATGTGATCATTGCTGCCAAAGGCTTTTCCGCAATTCGGACATTTCCTCGACCTCGAAGTCATACGCTCCTCGACACATTCGTTGCAGAACGTATGACCGCAGGTCTTCATGACGGTGTTCTTCAGGTTTTTCTTGCAAACATTGCAATATGCAAATTGCCGCAAAATCTCGTACTGCTCGGATTGGCCGCTCTTGCTCTTCCACAGCTCGAGATTCCTCCGGCTATCCTTCAGCAAAGCCTTTGTTTCTTCGACTTCAAGTTCGACAGCCCGACATAAACTGGACGTCTGACCCAATTTGTCATCTTTGGCCGTCAATTGGTTCTTCAACTCGTTGACTTGCGAATTCAGTCTTGAAACCTCTAGACCTTGGGTGATATTCTGTTGCTGAACGGTCCGATGCTCGTTCGTCTTATGTGTCAACGCATCCTTCATCTCAGCCAGTTGCTTCTCCATGGTAGCCAACAAAGCTCGACTTGCGTTCTCGGCTTCCTTGAGCTGGGAAACAGCCTCTGCCGACTTGGAATTCTGCATTCGCAACGTTCGAACTTCAGAATCTCGAGTTTCTTTGCTCTTCATTGCCGCAAAGAATTTCTGATCCGCCTTAGCTTTCTCTGCCGACAATCGCAGGACTCTTTCTTCCATGGCAGCAAATTCCGTCACTTTTTGAGTCGCGATTTTGGATGTCTTCTGGAATGCCGTGGACATTGATGACAATTCAACGTTCAACAGATTGTACTTTCTGTCCAGTTCCATGTATTTTGCCCGCAAATCTTCGATGCTCAGGCTATCCAATTCCGGATGATCTACGGCCATTGTGTTGGACTCTTCGGTTAAACGTTCAGTTTTCGATTCGAGTGCCCGGATTTGGTCTTCTAGAGCTGCGAACAATTCCTTCATCTTCCTCATGGCTTCTTGATCCTGTTCTAGTGTCGCTTTCTTGATCGCTTGATCTGCCAACAATTCGTCCCGGTTATGTCGGATCCGTGCCAGATTAGCCTCTGAGGCTGCAAGAAGGGACTCCTTCTCGTGCAAAACGACTCGACTCTCATTTTCAATCTGCAGCTGGAAGGTCGTTCTTTCGGATCGCAGTTTGGTCGCTTCCTCTTTAAGTTCAGCATTCGTCGCCTCGAGGTTGTTAATTCTTTTGATGACATCTTCGTGTTGCGATTTCAACTGCTTGAACAATTCCGTTTTGGCATAATCATCGTCCGTCAAGATTATCGACTTTGTGGTCAACTCCGTGATCTGTGCATTTAATTTGGCGTTTTCTTCTTCTAGTCTTTCCAGCTGTTCTTTCTGTTTCTCAGAAGTTGCCACGGTTTTGTTCAATTGTGTCTCCAATTCCGCAAGCTCTTCTGCGTTGTCAGTCGTTCCGTTGACCACACTCTCCTCCCGCTTGACCGAACCGCCTTCTTCAGCTGGAGGTCTTGTTGCGCCTAGCAGAGCTTGTTTCTCGAGTTTTGCAACGGTGACACTCTTGGCTCTGTCGATTTTCTTCTCGGCGACCATGTACCTTAGAGAAGCATTTTCTAATCGAGCCTCGAGGTCCTCCTTCTCGGCCTGTAATCGTGACAATTCGACCACGTGACCTTTTTCTGCGGCAAGCAACCGGGAGATCCTTGATTGTAAATCCGTTACATCGGGAGAACTGGATTTGTTGGGACCAAATAACCTTGATATCACGGCTTTGATTTCTTTGGTACGACTCTGCAGATGTTGTTCGAATTGTTCTTGATCGGTAAAGAGCAGAGACGACGGCAGAGACGAGGAATCCATATCTATATCATCATCCCCTTGAACAATGACCTTGACCTCATCAATCACTTGTTGAAACCAAGAATCAATGATCCGCAGATGATCATCATGATATCGGCTCTTTTTCCGCATCTCTTTTAATTGTGACTCAAGTGCATTTTTCTCCCTCTTGTATTCTTGCATCTGCCGATAAATCGCATCTTTTTGGAACCTCTGTTGGAAAATCGCAAGTCAGCAGGTAATCGTAGAGATCGCGCGCATTGTCCTTCGCGTTTGCTTACCTCGAGATCATCCTTCCAAGGCATGTCGTCATCTTTATGGGACTTGGACGCGCCGTTGGCAGCGGTTGCCAGCTTCTTAGACGGAGGAGCTGAATCGACTTGGTCATATGGACTGGGTCTTTTGCGCTCTTCCATCTTGACTAGGCTCTGTTGAGGGAAGGAAAGGGGGAGAGATTCGACGGCCGTCATCAGTCCTGATCAGCGAAAGGGCCGGGCTTCTAGGTGAAAGGTGTCCTCGAAGGTGCCCAAGTTGACAAAGACAATGAAAGCCGTCGTGGTGATTGTAGTTTTGCGGAGTGATCAGGTTCAAAATCAACTTCAGATGAGAGGCAAAGATTCTTGAAGCCGCAAGGCCGGAAATAGTTTAGGCTGTATTTGCCAAGAGCGGTCACGTGGATCCCAGATATGCGCTACAAAAGGGAATTCGTACGTGGGGAAGACAACATTGTTTTCTGTGCCAGCAAGCAGGAAAACATTTCGAAACTATGGATGGTATAAGATGATATGACGCGTCGTATCGACTCTTGTCAACATGTCTACCTTCTCCTCCGTTGTCCGCAAGCCGGGCCAGAAAATCACTCCTAAAACTGCGCCTCGACGGAATGTCCAGAGATCCAGTGGTCGACCTGCTGCTGCGCCGCCATCCTTGACACCAGAGAGCCAGACGGCCAGCCCCGCCGTCGAGCCTGTCGAGGAAAGAGCAAACACCCAGGAACCAGAGACAGCCCAGACCCAGAGCGTGCTAGAATCCACCGAGATACCCTCCAGTTCTCAATCAATAGACACATCTCTTCCGCTTCCTGCTCCGCTCGAAACAACGGACAGAGAACTAACACGAGAAGCTACCAGCCAATCTACTGACAGAGCACCTTCAGTGTCAGTAGAAGTCATTGCACCCAGCAGTACGAACACTGGAATTTCAATACTGCATCCAGTACATAAGCGTGCTTCTCAATCACAGTCGGACGCCATTCCAACCATCACTTCCAGCACTCCGTCTGTACGTCCCACGCGAAGACTGACGAACGAACTTACACCCGCAACTTCTGAAGAACCCCATCAAGAGAATGACAATGCAGCAGAGGCAGCCAGACAGTCTCCTACAGACTCACGGAAGAGACGGAAGGTCACACACTCTGCGCAGGCCATCGAAGAATTGCGCTCACGGACTACACCACCACCTCTACCAGATGACGTACCTTTGTCACTAAGAACCAGTCCGCGACACAGGCGTAGCGAATCACGAACATCTGAAGTATTGTTACAAGATGCGACAAATCAAGCTGCCGCAGTTTCCGAGCTTGCAAACTCGATCGAGGAGAGGGCGAGATCTCTCAGATCACTGTCTGCAAGACCGAGCCACTCGGAGACAGAGGATAATGACACCCCAGAACCAAGGGATCAAGATGCGGAAGCGGACGCTCCAACGCGACGGAAAAGATCGACAAAGAAACAAACACGCGCAAAGAGAATTCAAGACGTTGCTCAACAAGTGGTCGAAGACGCAGTCGGTGCAGGAAAGATTAATCGACAAAAGTCACGGCTTCCCACACCTGATAACGCCGAAGACTTGCAAATTGACCCAGAGGAAGTGTCAATGAGCGATCTTACGAGAGACAACAAAGTGGGTAAGAAGTCAGAAACTGAGAAACGAATGCAAGAGAATTGGGCCGATATCCAGCAACGTCGGAAAGAAGAAGTAGAGCGCCGAAGACAAGCCGCCTCAAAGGGTAGAGGTGGAAGACAGGAAACGCTTCTGCAGGATGCACCAGTTGAAGCTGCTCATGTTCCTCAGCAGATCGTCGTCAACGGACAGATTGTGGTCGTGGCCGAGTCTCGAGAAGTTGCGTATGGTGCAGGCGTGGAGCAAGCGGTGATAGAAGATGCCGATGTGGCGCTCGAGGACGACCGGATATACAAATATGTCAATCAAGGCACCTTGGGAAAGCACGCCGGTCAGAGCCGTCGGACTAAATGGGATGACGAACAGACTGAATTGTTCTACAAAGGTCTGCGGATGTTTGGGACTGATTTCGCCATGATCGCCAATCTTTTCCCGGCCCTCGACCGGAAACAAATCAAGTCGAAATTTATCATCGAAGAGCGAGCGAATCCTGTTCGCGTGAAGATGAGCGTAGCTGCGAAGGAGGCCGTCAATCTCGAGGAATATGCGAAGATGGCGAATCAGGAATTTGAGGATCCCGAGAAGGTCATGGCGGAGCTTGCGGCTGAGGAGAAGAGACTGCGCGAAGAAGACGAACGCAGACGCGCGGGCGAAGGTTATGTTCTTGAGGGTGCAGATGTCCCCTTGCCTTCGACTGAGAGAGACGCCGATGGAGCCGAGGGCGTTGGCGATGGAGAAGGCGAGACCGCTGGAGCGAATACAGATCGCAGAGAACGGATTTCGGCATTGGCAGACTCGGTCGTTGGGGCGGCTGTGGCACCGAAGAAGAGACAACCGCAGCAGCGTAGGACCACTAAAGAGCCAGCGGGTAGGGGAAGACAAGCGAAGAAAGCCAAACGACCGACCGAGGGTGTTGAAGAAAGACTCGGTCCGATTGATGAGGTCGGCCGGTAGATCGCTTCTCGCACAATATAGTACGAACAGTCATAGAGAGCATGGGCTGATTCCAACTCATGTTGTCGATTCGATCAACGTTCGCAATGCCGTTGGTGTCTTGCGTTTTACTTCTCTCTGTAGTAGCTTGAAGTTGCTGTTTTGACAGAAAGCTTTGCGAATGGCTGGTCCTGAGGGTTCCTCTTCCCTTTGACAGCCTCACATCCAATACCAACCCCATCTCCAGATACAGTAGTCGACGCAGTCTTCAGGTGTCACGTTGATCGAGCGTCTGACAAGCTCGCAATGACAGGCGGCTTTTGGTTTGGGGACTTGGATTTCGGCATTCGGACGCTGTTGGCCTCGAACTGCTGTCGTGGATGTTGGTAGACCAACTACAGTAGTCAGAAGGATGCAAGTGGCAATCTGATCGAGTTTCATGGTGAGAGTAAGTTAAGCACGGTACCCAGATTGTTGAGACAGGGTCTTCATCCGACATTACCTCAGTTGACTGAAGCGCGAAGCTGCCCTGCTCGTGGGGAGTCCTCCCGTTATTAAGGCGGTGGACGCTGAATACTCCGTATTTCACTTCCACCGCAGTGCCTGCTGTCGCGACGTTCTTGACTCACAGACAGTCAAGCTGTCTTTCACACAGCTCAAGAATTGAAGATCCTGCTGTACAGCATCTCATGCCTTCCCACCCACAGATCTAAAGACGGCACGACTTGTCCCGCATCCTCAGGCTGCAAGAACCACACCTTCTCTAGGCTTCGGCGGATTAGATCCTGCAGCCCCTGGCCCGCGAGAATAGTTTGCGCCATGTACGGTCCCATGACAGACGCTCTCACCGCCGCGCTCAGGACCGCCTTTGCATGATTCAGCAGGAGCAAATACCCCGCTTCCTCGAGGTTTAGACCGAGCGCGAGAGAGACCACGCCCCATAATGGAGCGAGATGGCCATTGACAGCGGGAAGAGGATCCGAGGAAATCGCGGCGAGTCTGAGATCGCGAGAGAAGATCTCGATCGTAGTAACTGCTTCAATATCTTCTTCGTGCTGGGACTTAGCAGTCGATGCAAAGGCCTTTTCCCAGACACTTAGTAGTGCCCGGCCTTGGGCGATACTTGCTCGTCGTGCGACGGTACATGGTGTCGAGGCGTCAAGGTCGTTGTCTAGATCTGCCAGACCCAGAGGGTCTCGGAATGCCGCGAGGGCATAGGGGACATTGGTATATGCCACAGACTGGATCGAGAGTTTCAGGAATTTATGGAACAACGAAAGATGTGTCTGGCCTGTTGGGATAGGTTTGTGGTGGGCTAGGAAGGACTCCAGGCCAGAAGAATAGGCGAAGCTTCCTAAAGGTAAAGCTGAGTCGGACAGTAGCATCAGGTTGTGCGTAGATGGACCCAGAGGCAGCGAGACGGGTGGAAGTGAAGCATTGCCGCCAGTATTGGGTCGTTGCTCCTCTATCCGGCGTAGTAGAGCTTTGGTGGTTTGGAGTTGTGTGTCGAGCTCAAGTATTCGTTGGCGGAGAGCATCCGCGTCGTTGGTGTTCATGGACCACAGAGGACAGGCTCCTGCAGATTGAGAGCCTACCTCATCCACATGAACGGCGCCATGGTCTTCAGAAGCAGCCAGTTGGTAATGAACCAGAAGATGTACGAGTTCTTGAAAGCCTCCTGGCCTCGTTCGATGAAGTGCGGAGAAATATTGCTAGCTCCGATCTGGACGAAAGATGCATCCACCATCAAACTCCACGACTCAGAGTCTCTTCCATGCTCTTGCTCAGATTCGAGACTGCGTGATGCTAGACTGGTAGCATTTCTTCTGCTCAACATATGCTGCGAAATTCGCGACTGGGTCTCTGACCCAATCTACCATCATGTCCGGAAAAAGAATTCTCGACGCAATTGCGTTGTTCAATGTCTCCCGCAATGTTGCCGTCAAGCACTTCGACATCCGGTTTTCTCAGGTCAAGCTCTACGGCCAGACTTCTTCTGTCGTCAAAGCATTGAAAACTCGAGCGCTACCAGCCCTGGCCACCTCTGTCTCCCGATTTGCTTCCTCTCATTCTCCGACAAAGCAGTCGAAAGAAGGTATCCAGCAAGACCATTTCTACGATCGATCAGACCTGAACTCGGCTGCTCAATCTGGTCAAGCTAGTGAGCTTGATGTTGAACAAGCGAAAGCAAAGAGATCTCCGCTGCCTGATGGCACAATACCACCAGAAGGAAGTCCAATCGGGCAAGAAACAGGTGATGGAATGAGTTTTGGCAAGAGACCTGCTGGAGAGACTCCGCAGCACCCGGTCGAACCAGAAGGAGCTCAAGATCTACGTTTGAAGACTTCAGGGCAGTCAACTATACCAGATCCTACTGGGTCACCTCTGTCCCCCAATGAAGCCAGAAGACTCCAACGGCAGTCCGAGGATCAGATACCTGCAAGAACCGCGGAGCCTCCTACCGCCGACGCGACTAGCTCGGAATTCGGCGTTGAACAAGAGCAGGATGTTTTCTACCAACCACCCGACAGCGTAAAGCCAGTCCTATCTGCCCTGCCACGGGTCCGTGTGCCCAAGACAGAGAACGACGTCCAAGAAGGAGACTCCCATATTCCACCGGGAATCAATGCAGACGTATACTATTCCGGGTCGAAGCCACAAGCAGGGACGGTGGACAACGAGCCGAACGAAGAACAATTATCTCAACTTTTCCACAACCCTCGACATGCAACAAAATTGTTAGGCCAGAAAGCCCGGCCTATTCCTTCTTCGCGGAGGCGATTTCACACTGTCAGAGCCTCGCAACAAAAGGCATCCGATACAGACGAGGACAGCATCAAGCAGCTGGCAGCAGACATGGCTAAAGACGCGCAGAAGATCGGCAGCGTAAGTAGTTGTCGTTATATATTGGGTCATCACAACTGATCAACTGACAGATCTCCTAGACACAACAAGCACAAAATGTCCAGCCGTATCAGATGAGGGAATCTCGAGTTCCTTCATCACGATTCGGCCGTCTCTTCGAGTATGGAGGACTCGCAGCATCAATGGCGTTCGGCGCGGTCAGTGAAAGCATTACCCGATCTGGCGGACCTCAGGGATCAGTCATGCTCAGTGCTGGCAACATGGAACGCCTTGTTGCGAAGTTGTCCAAGATGCGAGGCGCGGCCCTGAAATTAGGTCAAATGATGAGCTTTCAAGATGCCAAACTGCTACCCAAGCCCATTCATGACGTGCTGCAACGTGTGCAAGATAGCGCCGATTACATGCCCGTGTCGCAGCGCGATGCAGTGATTGCCGCCGACCTGGGCCCCAATTGGCGTGACTTGTTCGAAGAGTTCGATGAGCGGCCTATGGCTGCCGCCTCGATCGGTCAGGTCCATGGTGCCGTCCTGAAAGACTCCGGGAAGAGAGTTGCCGTGAAAGTCCAGTACCCCGGTGTCGCCGACTCGATTTCTTCAGATCTGAACAATCTCTCTTTGCTTCTGACCGCCTCGCGTCTGTTGCCCAAGGGATTGTACTTGGAGAAGACGATAGCCAATGCCCGTACCGAGTTGGCCTGGGAGTGCGACTACGTCCGCGAGGCAGAAGCCGCCAAAAAATTTCGCAAGCTCCTCGCAGATGATACAGAGGTTTTCACTGTGCCGGAGGTCTTCGACAATGCTTCAGGGAAACGAGTCCTGACCATGGAAAGAATGGAAGGAATTGCAGTGACCAAGATTCAGAACTTCACGCAAGAGCAGAAGGACTGGATTGGGACCCAAATTCTTCGACTATGTCTGCGGGAGATCACCGAGTTCAGATATATGCAAACGGATCCGAACTGGACGAATTTCCTATACAATGCTACCACGAATAAACTTGAGCTGTTGGACTTTGGAGCGTCCAGGGAATACCCGGCTGAATTCATCGACCTTTATGTCAAAGTACTCGATGCGGCTTCGCGCAAAGACAGGAAAGCTTGCGGAGATCTGTCAATACAGCTCGGCTACCTTACAGGATACGAGTCCAGAGCGATGCTCAACGCGCACATCGATTCAGTCATGACATTGGCGGAGCCTTTCATGGACTCTGCTCCTGATGTCTATGATTTTGAGAATCAGACAATCACCGATCGGGTCCGTGGCCTGATACCAGTTATGCTCAAAGAGAGGCTGGCACCGCCACCCGAGGAAACGTATAGTTTACATCGGAAGTTGAGCGGAGCGTTCCTTCTGTGTGCCAGACTGGGCAGTCGGGTTCAATGTAAGGATATGTTTCAGAAAGCTCTTGTCAAAGCTGGCATACGGTAATGTCAAAACACAGACGAGTCGTCATCCTCATCGCTATGCTCGAGGATTGTCTCTTGCAGAAGACCTGGCCTGCTTGACCCAGAGATACCAGGACTTATTGGGCTGACGGGTGTGCTGGATAACGGCATCTTTCTCGCTTCTCGCACAGCCTCTTGAAGTAACGGCTGGGATGCCATCAGCCTAGCTTGTGTGGCCAGTGTTTGTTGTTCCTCCAGCTGTTTTCGCTTCTTTGCTTCTCGTGCCTTTCTGTACGATACAGCGTCGTGGCCGCTAGGAGCTATGAGTTTTGGCGGTGGTTCGCGGTCGAGTCTTAAGATTAGGACAAAGGCGCGCATGGTGAAATGCAGGATGAGACCGAAAAGGACACCGAGGAAGATTGCGCTACCGATGAAGTACCAGAGTGTCTGTACCAACAATGAGCGCGTTCAGGCTGCGATTTGAGTATGTCTTACCTCGAAACGGGTGAACATGCGCCATGGGATTAGTGACACAGCAAGGACTACGCGTCCAATGTATATAATTGGGGTGGACAGTAGCAATAGAATGTACCAAAGTGCCTTGAATAGTAGGACGACTGGGTAGAGGATGTAGTAAAGAACAACCAGTGTGATCATTAGCCATGGAGGCGGTTCGCGTTGGGTCGTCATGTCAATCGAGGCATCATCGTATCGCGGAATAAGCCTCTGCTTGAGTGAGTGAGTGTGTGAGGCACGTAGAGGTACGGAGTAGGTCCAGTGAAATGTTTGATGCAAGGCAAGCTTCGAAAGAGGAAGCGGACTTGAGTTCAGAATGACCGTCAAGAGTCCAGTGTCATTCCCCCCGCACACGTCAATTATTTGTTGCTTGTTCATTGCCCTGAACTAATGCAGTCAATCGACTAAGTTAGGGTGCTGGCCCTCTGTGCCCTCTGTGCCTCTCACTCTCAAGCCCCCCTCTGCCCGACTCCCAACCTCAATGTCCGTCACTTATTAAACCCAAGCCCGAGATCTATCATCAGTTTAGAAGCCTCAATTTGCGATAGATCGGATGCTCATCTGCTTGGAGCCTACTAGATTCTCCTCTGACTTCCTGTCTCCTTGACGTTTCCCTTCTTCCGAGGTCGCGTCTCTCTTCCACCACTGTCGCACGACACCACATTTCCCGTGTGAAATCAATTTACCCACCTCAACATGGGCCAACAACAGTCGTCAGAAAAGAGCTCGGGCTCAAGATCAGGCACTCCTCAAGCAGAAAGAGATCGCAAAATAAATCGAAGAGTCTCAATTCAGGCGCTTTCTCAAGGCCGCGCCACGCCCGTCGACCCGTCTGCCACCAAAGATACTGCGGTTGCGCAGACCACTACACAACACTTCGACAAGCCAGCCTTACAACAATATCTACAAAATGCTTCACCCGAAAATCATGCCAGAGGCAGCAAGGTAGAGAGGTCGGCCTCAAGAGCCTCTCGCGACAAGAAGCATGAGCTGGAACATCGGCCACGACATCAAGCGCCCACGGCGGCACCCCAATCATCGGGTCCTATGGATGTCCCCATGTCTAAGAGCAAACCAGACTCGGCCGACGAACACACTACAACGTATCAGGACCGCCGATATACTCCTGTCGCTCAACTTCGTCCTCCACGTCTTCCTCTTCCTATTGCCGATGTCCCAATTCCGGAGTCTCCAACCTTGCTACCTGTCGACAAAGGCAATTCAGATGTCCCCATCTTCGAAACAGACGAGCCGCTATCGGCGGTTGAGCCTCATCCCAGAAGAAAAAGCTCGATGATGAGCACTAATACCGAGTCAGAAGAAGAGGTTGGTGAAGAACTGCAACCCTACGCTGTTGACCAGACCGCCGCTCACACATTGCCTACCGTCATCGAGTGGAATCATGGTGGACATAAAGTCTACGTCACGGGTACATTTGCCAATTGGGAAAGAAAATACCGGCTTCATCCAAGGTTTGTGCGCCATGTTTCATCTCTTTGTGCTATATGGGATACGTCGCATTTTCATGTCACCCAAGCCAAATCCAACCCGGGAGAAACCCCACAGAACGAGGACGATCATGAGAGTCCTTGAATGGTACAAGAGTTCCCGTACTAACACTCCTTCCAGAAAGAATGCTCCCGGCATGTTCACGATAATAAACCTGCCCTCCGGCACTCACCACCTCAAGTTCGTGGTCGATGGTGAGATGGTTACTAGCCCTGACTTGCCGACGGCCGTCGACTTCAACAATTTCCTCGTCAACTACATCGAAATCGCGACCGAGGACCTTGCAAAGCCGAGACGAGAAAGTGCCCAACCAGGCACCAGAGCGACGGCTCTTACTCCCGAAGAGCAAGAACAAGGCCACTCAGGGGTACAAACACCAGTCGATTCCGAGATGGAAGAACCGCAAGCCGAAGAGATTCCCCCTGGCGACTACCGCCAGCTGATTCCCCAATGCTTGGTCGATGTCGATATGCCCGAAGACACCGACGAATATAATAATGCAGTCAAGCTCATTCAAGAAGCTCCTCAGCCACCAGCTTTGCCGCTTTTCCTCAACAGGTCGATTCTCAACGGGATTCTGCCAGTCAAAGATGATAACAGCGTCTTGACATTGCCGAACCACACCGTGCTGAATCATCTCATGACCAGTAGTGTGAAGAATGGAGTTTTGGCAACCAGTGTGACCACCCGGTATAAGAAAAAGGTACGTAATGTCCACTCTGATGTCGTGATGTAGCTGAACTTTCGAAGTATGTGACCACGATATCTTTCAAGCCAGTGCCTCGGTTTCAACAACCTGCTCAATAAAGCCGGCAGTCCGAACTCGACAGACTATTCTGCTTAGCAAAGCCGGTGACCTTTTTCTTTCGAAGCGGGGTGTTAGGTATCTTTCGGGCTTAACGATATTATTACTGAACGGGTTGGCGGCCCAGCCAGTGCGGGACCGGCGATGGAAGGATCCGTTCACCGGGATGCTGGCTAGAGCAGCATAGTATACCCCTTCATGGTCCAACCCAAATCAAATCAATCATCTCTCCACGCAACATGCACATCATCCGTCCGAAATCGTTGCGTGCATGTACTCTCTTCAAGCGGTGTTTGAAAACCAGTCTCATACGCCAGCAGTCCTGCATGCGCGATCATAATGCCGTTGTCAATACAGAACCGCTCGTCCGTGGCGTATACACTCCCACCACGATCCCTGGCCATTATACCCATCATCTCCTGTACGCGCTCGTTGCACCCTACGCCGCCGACAATCAAGACCTGGTTCGAGCCCACATGCGCCATAGCCCGTTCAGTGATCTCAACGAGCATTGCGAACACGGTCTCTTGCAGACTGAAGCACAGATCTTCGGGCGTAACGGGATTGCCAGTCGTAGGATCTTTTAGTGTTCCGGCCTTCATTTGTGCCGCCAGCTCGTCCACACGCGCCAGGATTCCGGAGAAGGAGCAATCCATCCCTTTGACGGCGTAGGGTAGATCGAGAAGGACTTTGCCGCGCTTGGCGAGTTGTTCGATATTATACCCCGGCGCGGGGTCGTTCGAGATGTTGAGTGTGCGAGCGAACCGGTCGAGGCAGTTCCCTACCGCGATGTCGAGGGTCTCGCCGAAGATGCGGTACCGCTGGGCAGTGTAGGCGATGACCTGTGTGTTTCCGCCCGAGACGTATAGGACGACGGGGTTGGAGGCCCTTGTGATGGACCGGCCCATTTCGATGTGGCCGACGCAGTGGTTTACGCCGACTAGGGGTTTTTGCCAGAGGAGTGAAAGGGTACGCGCAGCAAGAGCGACAGCTTGGAGGGGCGCGCCCATGCCAGGGCCTTTGGTATAGCATATGCACTGGGAGGGTGGTTAGAGTGGGTAGATGAATGACGAGGATGGGAAGGAGGCTGGAGGTGAACGAATAGCTGGGAAGCTGTGATATGCTGGACCATGCGTTGGTGTGCTACGAGATGTGCGCACAGCACTATTCCTTGCAGGAGCGGGAGATTGAGAGTGGGAAGCTGGGAAGAAAAAGCAACTAGATTCCATGAACGGTGACCACTGTAGATACAGGCACCCAGATCCAAGGAGTGGAACATAGGAACTTACATCAACATCGGCGATCTTGATGCCCGCTTCTTCGATTGACCGCTTGACGAGTGACGTGACATGTGAACGGTGGTGAATGGCTGTGTCTTTGGGGAGGAAGCCCTCGCCCGGAGGGGAGACGTATGTGTGACGGATGTTGGCGAGGATTTGGGGAGAGCCTTTGCCTTTGGCTGGGTGTAAGATAACACCTACGCCGATTTTGTTGGCCGAGCCTTCGAGGCCGATTGCAATCATGGCGAGGTCCTCGTTGTGGTCTCAGGCCCAGGACAAAGAGTGGTGTTCGTATTCGCCCTTTGACTTCTATGATCGCTAGCGGGCACAGCCGGATCCTAATATCTCCCCAATCAGTTCAGGTTTGAATGGCGGTCAGCACTGGTCCTTGTGCAATGATACTGATGCGATGCGCCCCTCTGCGTTCGCTCTGGATTTCGCAATCTGTGGGAGTAAGTGGTATGCTTGTTGGAAAATGTGAACAAGGCTCTGATAATGACTCGCCCCAAGTGGATCACTTACGTTGGTGGAAAGAGCGATTCGGCCAATCGGAAATACCCAAATACCGATCCTTGGCGTCAACTGAAAGAACCGACTGATGTCTTCCCTCTCCCACTATACTTCGGTCCCACACTTTCCTCACCGTTCTTCTCCCTGCCATTTCAAACAGATTCCAGGGTCCTCTTGCCTCAGAGGACTCGAGTGATATGGAAGAGGCGCTGAGTCCGCAGGTTGGTCCACAATTTGACCAGACGACCGCGAGCTTCGTCGAATGGTTCACGTCGGCTGATGGAACTCGGCTTAGTTCGAAGATTGAACTGAAGGATCTGCGAGAGGAGAATGCTGGAAGAGGACTTGGTATGCTCTCATAGCCATGGCTGGTGTTTTTTGCTGACGCCTCTCGCACAGTTGCCATAAACGCCATCGCCGAGGATGAAGAACCATTCGCCGTCCCTCGACCTCTTGTCCTAATGAGCACGACGTCGAGCATTCCCCCTACTATATTGGCACCATTGGCAGACACTGGAACATGGCCACCGCTCATAGTAACCATTATCTACGAGTATCTGCGCAGACAAGAGTCCCCGTGGCACCCTTATTTTCGAGTCCTGCCGACCGCCTTTGACACGCTTATGTTCTGGAACGATGCAGAACTTGCAGAGTTACAGGCCAGTGCCGTAGTTGACAAGATTGGAAAAGCACAAGCAGAAGCGACATGGAAAGAGACGATTATTCCGGTGATGCTCGCACATCCTGAGCTGTTCCCAGTTTTTGTTGTATCAGACACTGAGCGTACGGCGGAATTGATCATGCTTGCGCACATGCCTGGCAGTCTGATCATGGCATATGCTTTTGATATTGACAGAGATGACGAACAAGATGGACCTCGAAATGCTGGTTCGGACGACGAATTTGAAGAAGATGACGAGGAAGAGCCCCTCCAAGGCATGGTGCCATTTGCTGATATGCTCAATGCGGATGCCGACAAGGGCAATGTAAGTCGTCTCACATGTCTGCTGGGATGCTGCGACTAATTGAATATTCTCAACAGGCTCGACTCTTTCAGGAAGATGACTATTTGATCATGAAATCCACCAAAACAACAGCCGCAGGGGAACAGATATTCAATGACTACGGCCCTCTACCACGATCGGACCTCCTTCGTATGTACGGATACGTCACGGACAACTATGCAAAGTACGATGTTGGTGGAATTATCGCATGACATGTTGCTGGAGGTGGCAGGCAAGAAACATGATAAGATGAACAAAGCATGGTCGAAGAGAGAAGAGCAACTTGACGAACTGGGCATCATCGACGATGGGTATGCAATACCTCGTCCTGATTCAGTTGTCCAACCCCTCGGAGATGCGATCCCAGGCCACCTCCATATGCTCCTGCGAGCTCTCTGTGCACATGACGATGACAACAAAGCCATGAAAAAGCCTCGGGAACCTGTGACGTTGGAAGAAGCTGCATTACTGCAGGCAGTACTTACCAAGCGATTGTCCGAGTACAAAACGACATATGAGCACGATCACACTCAACTGGAAAAAGTACAGCCGGAATCGACAAGCCCGTCAATCCCAGTCCGCTGCAATGCACGCCGCTACGCCATGGCGGTCCAAGTCAGAATGGGCGAGAAAGATATTCTGCGGCAATTGATCAGCCTGTGTCAAGACCATATCAAGCTGATGTCAGAAGAATTGGCAGCAACCAAACGAAAACGCGGCGAAGTAACAAGCCGGAATTTCAGTGCAAAGAAATTCAAGGCCGAACGAAAAGAATCGACATGAGGTTCCACAATGTTTTTCATTGCGAATCAATCAGGCGCTGGCCTTGCTACTTATGTACAGTCCCCACAGTGTCATTGACTACGCGCTATCCGCAGCCAGCACTCTATGATCTCCCTTCCAAACGGGTTCGACCATCTTACACGCCCAAAAGGACGTCTGTGTTAATCACACAACAAGCCCTGAAGCCGGATAGGAGCTTGGAGAAGAGAGTTTTTGAATTGTGCTCTCGTTGACAAGATGAAGAAAAAAGAGGTCCAAAACGATCAAACAATTCAGGAAGGCGCAGCTGTCGGTAGGGGTTGAGGTTGTGCTTGAGGTCCTGACGGCGACTGACTAGGACCGCTGGCTTCAAGTTGTTGTCTCCTCGACGATATCGGTTGAGAAGAACTCGAACCCAGCAGATACGCTCGCTGTGATATGCGAGCATATGTCATGTCGACTTCCGCACCGATGTCTGGAGCATCGTCATCGTCCGAATCGAATCTGAATTTGTCATCTTCTGCAGGTTCTCTTCTCTGCCGAGGAAGTCTTCGATCGATTATTAGCCGACCCCCGCGACCTACTCTCCGCCGAAAAGATGGCATCTGCCCAACACAGTCTTCATCAGCTGGACTAGCATATCGGAAAGGCGTTGATGGCCGAGACACATCTTTCATCACGATGTCTTTGTCTTCACCCGGTTTTTGCTGGGACTCCTCATCCGAGATACTGGCTGGCGGCGTGGGAAGATATTCTGTGGCGGCCATGGCTTCTCTAAAGTGGCCGTCCGGTGAGGGACAATCTTCCACTTCAGGAGTAAGTGGTGCCATGGTCTTGTCGACAAACCCTTCATTCCAGCGAATATGTTTTTCAATATTCGTCTGAATTTCCTTTTGGATTTCTCGTTCACGAGCGGCAATGACATCCTCAAGTGTCCGAAGTTCTGGACCTGGACCAGGAGCCATGGGCATACGGAGTTGTTGGGCAAGAGCGGCTTGATTGGGGGTCATGCCGGGAGGTAATTTCTGTTTCTACTCAAGGTCAGTACAACGCCTTTCTTACTGTGGTGAGCGAGCATTACCTTCTGGTTGATGAGAAGATCATCGTCGCCCTTCAAGCCCAATTTTCTCTTTGTATCTCTCAGTGCCTGGCGTTGTTCAAACACCTGTCGGTCGAATTCGAGACATTCTTTGCGGAGCATTTCTCTCCGCTTGACCATCAGCAACATGCCTCTGGCAGTTTCAAGCTCCATGCGGAGTTTCCGCAACTTCTCGGCGCTTTGAGCATCACGATTTCTGGTTTTGCGGATTTGTCGCAATTCTCGTCTTCGGAAACATACATATGGATCTGAGTCGTCGGATTCTTGACCAGTCTCGAATTTCAGTCGAGGAGCGAGGCCACGATTACCCTTGGCTTCCCGCCGCGCCCGCCAATGTTCGTACACATATTTGGAAAACGTGCGAACAAATGGGGGAGTGGTTTCGTCGAACTGTTCTTGCAGTTCTTCTAGAGGTAAGACGGGAGGACTATCGACGGCGGCATACGGTTGTTTCGCCTGAGCGGTCTCTTCGAAAAAGTTCATGACCTCTTCGAATTGGTCTTCAGTACAAGGTTCCTGGCCAGAGGGCAGTTTTCCGTTGATCAATTTCAAGGCGAGCTCATCCTCCTCGTCCATGCAATATGCCACTCCCGAATAGTCTTCGACTGTTGCAGAGGAACGGATGTACGTGGCGGGCTGTTGAAACCCTTTTGGGTAGAGGACATCATACTGGAGATCACTGGCAATGGTAGGTGGAGTGGGGATGTATGCGTCTTTGATTTTTGCATCTGCTTTTGCAGCCTCTGATGCTTTGATGGCTTGCTGCAAGTGGTATTCCTATATCGTGGCGGTGTCAGTGTCAACAAGTTGTGGGTGAGAGTGAATGAGTGAGTGAGTGGGGATGACTAAGCAGGCAACGTGAAGTGAACAGAGTGACAAAATCAACAGGTGGGTGGGAGAGAGAAGAGATGGCAAACACGTACTGCTTCTTCGGCCTTTTCGACGCCGGTTTCTATTGCAGCACGTTGGGAATCATAGTCGATGAGAGAATCGACTTGATCTTCACGAAATATCTGGACATTTTGCTTCGCGTTGAGTTTCTTTGGCCCTACAGGAAAATTAGCAGCGAAAAGTTGGGTGGAAAAGTGAAGTGACTGACTCGTAGCGCGGCTGCGACTCGCGGCCATCTAGGCGGGTAACCTCAACCTCATCAAGGGAAGAAGAGACCCGACGGCCACCACAACAAAATCTAGGTAGTGGGATTTGGGCACAAACCACACCCAATAATTCGTCAAAAGTACATGAAAATGTAGCGATTGATGCACTCAATAATTTGATCGCCTCCAATTGATGAAAACGCCCAACTAATGTCGTGATTCGGGATGAAGACTGGCTGCGGCGGCGTGAGGTGAAAATTTGGTGGGTGCTAGCTTCTAGGGAGGACGAAGGCAAGAAAAGTTGACAATTTTGGGGGACCGGACCTGACGGCAGGTAGAGAAAACACGGCCTGCGCTTTGGGGATGATTCACTGGTACTGCGGAGCAATCAATGCCAGCCCGTACTAATGCGGAGCACAGTAGTAGTTACGCAACCTTGACTATCTAAAATTGGTACCACGCAACGGTCACCTGCCACCATCATTACCTGCACCTCCCAATGCATTGAAGAGCCTACACACTGCTGCAAGACCTGTTCCCCATGAAAGTCCCAATGTTGTCCCATGCTGCTCGTGGAATCCGCGTGAGTTTCCAAGATGCAGCATCGTTGCCTTCTGTTTTCTGTGCCTGAACCTAACCAATTCTGGACTAGCCTTCCGTAGCTCGTGGCCCCTGATTATCGTGGCTGGCTGCCGTTCAGACTTCTAACATTACTCGAAAGGACGAGCCTTCTAAAATGGGGTCTGATTCTTGCTTCCAACATGAGTTTGCATTTGGTATCCGTACTGTAGTATCCGTATCAATGAGGAGGCTGATCACGAGAATAAGAAGCTGCATTGGCGAGACGAGTTGCGCTCAGAAGCCATTGCTGGCTACCACCTGGCTACTGTGGAAGCTGTTTGGGAGTAGTCATTGTCGGCAGTTTGGTTCTTCTGGAGGCCTTGCCCCCTGTGAGTCGCCATGTCTAGATCTTTGGAGGTTGCTGTTGTATGAGAAATTCAGATCCTTACGATTGGTCAGATAGACATGTCTCTGATGACTAAGCAGCCGTCTGCGCTCATTGGGTTCCTCACGCTGCTCCAGCACACTTCATCGGAGTCCGTTTGGCTTCGTGAGATTCGGTGCAAGTGGGCTGGCCTCGAACTTCATGAGTATTGCAAGCCAATCGTAACTTTCAGCTGAAGGATTTCTTCAATTGCACCTATACTAGCACTCTCAAGGGCTGCCCTTAAGAAACTCCCCGCGCAGCACGCATCGTACGCCTGTAACTCTCCACATACTCTCAGTCAGCCTGTCCGCCCTCAGATCCTACATCATGGCGACACCTGCCTTGTAAGTCTCCCGCAGACGAATAGCAGTGCTGCATAGGCTTTCAAGCCCCGAGACCCGGTTTCAGTGCTAACGATATAACAGCGGAGCGCAGGCGTCAACAGAAGCTGAACCTAACAATGCCGCTCTTTACGAATCACGAAGACGGCAGACAGTCAGCGGCTCCCAGATCCTCGACAACATAGTTACTTTCTCAAACTGTGCGTCCTGACCTTTCCTGCACCCTTATGTAACTGCGTATCCCGCAATACTATACTGGGCCTCCGATGGGGCACGTGCTGACTGCGCCAAATGCAGTTGACCGAGATGAAGTGGACAGATTAAGGAAAAGATTTATGAAATTGGACAAGGCACGATGAAGCTCTTCCTGCGTAGTCCTCAGGGGTCTGACACGGCTGGTGTAGGACAACAGCGGCACGATCGAACGAGAAGAGTTCCTCTCATTACCTCAAGTCTCCTCCAATCCGCTTGCAACCAGGTGCGCACATCTTTCTACATACACGAGAGCTATACCTCAGATACTGATGCGGGAGCAGAATGATAGCGATCTTCGACGAAGACGGCGGTGGTGACGTCGACTTTCAAGAATTCGTCTTGGGCTTATCCGCGTTCTCGGCCAAAGGCCACAAGGAAGAGAAGCTGAAGTTTGCATTCAAAGTGTACGATATCGACCGCGATGGGTACATTTCCAATGGCGAGCTGTTCATCGTGCTCAAGATGATGGTGGGAAGTAACCTCAAAGACCAGCAATTGCAGCAGATCGTGGACAAGACCATCATGGAGGCGGATAAGGATGGTGATGGAAAGATCAGTTTCGAGGAGTTCACGCAGATGGTCGAGAACACGGACGTGAGCATGAGTATGACACTAGGTGAGTTTTGGTACCTCTAGATGGGTCAAGTAAGTGCGCGGCTGATGATAACGCGACAGATCAATTCTGAGCTTGAGATCGTGCTGGTTGCGGTCTGCTCTTGAGTCTAGAACGTACGAAATGAAATGCGATGTGTGATGCCTGATGACCATTGCAAGTGATATTGCATCCAAGATTGATGCTTGAGAGGCTGATCCGTCTGCTTTCGCTTACGCAGGTATGTGAGCGATGTGACATCGATAGTAACACTTGAAAGCTTGCCTGGCATCTGCCTCTGTATTGTTCGACTCTCTATTAGTGTTCTGTCTTGCAGCTTCGACCTCCGGGCCTTCGACTATTCCACTGTTGGATTGAGAACCGGCACTGTGATTGTGAGGGCTTAGAATTGCGTTCTATCTGTTCGAAATACACAATTCGATCCGCAGCTCGCTGTCCACCGGCAGAGAAGGTCCGGAATGTATGGCAAATCAATTATGATTCTTGTTATCCTGGTAGGCTATCGTCCCCTGCATGTATCGTCTGAGCAGCTGATGTTGCTGTACAGTGAAGAAACCGTAACTGCAATCGGCCAAGCAGAGATATCCTGTCCGATGCTTTCCAATATCAATCTCTTCGAAATGATCGCCTCGGCTAGAGTACTGTTTTGTCTTCCTCTGTCAGAGAGTCAAGGATGAGAACGGCTCCCACAACGGTGCAAATGGTGCTTGCTGTGGTTCCTGTGGATTCTGCTCCTCCAGCAAGAGCAATAACTGGATTTTCGTCTTGAGCTCTGGCACCTCGTTGATGTCAATGTTCGTGACCTTCCAGCAGGCTGTTATGTCACGCATCTTCTGGAGCAGATCCTCGGCAATTGTTGAAGCCAGCTCAAACGCCAAACCCTTTTCCTTCAAGTTGTCGAATTCGTCGGTTTGAAGGTCAAACTCTTCCAGCACGGTCTTGAGTCCAGCGATCATGTCCGACTTCTGCAACTTCGCGATCGCCTTGATCTGAACACGGATGCCATCTTGCTTCTCACATTGGGCTTCGAGCATGGTCCGAAATCTTCGCCATTCCTCCGCCTTTTCTTCTGCGACCTCTGGGTTCTGGAGTGCAAGCATCTCCAACCAACCCCAGTCGTTTTGTTCCTTCAGATTGGCTAGGGTCTCCTTGGTCTTGTAGAAGGCGTTTTTCATTGCGGTCAGTTGTTCCTTGTTCGACAGTGGCAACTTCCACCAGAACTTGTTTGCCTTCTCCTGTCGTCGCTCAGCGTGGCCCATGTATCCGTCCGAGTTCTTCTGAAGGGCTTCGAGTTCCGCTCGCAATTCCTCGACACGGTCCATGTCGCTGTCTCTTCATGTCAGAGTCTGAGGTCCATCTGAAAGGTAACTGAGGACAAGATCTGTGCTTACCGCATCATCTCCCTCAAATCCTGCATTTCGTCGCCTTCCGGAATGACTGGCATCGTGGCGATGAGGTTTCTCTCGTCGATAAGGAACAAACGATCAGGACTGGCTGTGGTCTCTCGATCTTTGGCCGAGGATTCCTTGTCAGCTCGGAGTTTGCCCCTCTTGAAGAATTTCTTAAAGAAACCTGAGTGAAGTGAGCCCCAGCCAGGTATAAAGGGGGCGGTGAATTCTCACGGATGTCTTTCACTCTCTCCGCCATCGCCATCGTGACTGCGAAGAACGAACGGTTTCACTGCCTTTGACAGGTTGGAAGTTTTATGTGAGACGGGATAATGAAAGAATGAACACAGGTCGAGGTAGAGGAAGATGATCACAGACAAGAGGTAACGCGGACGCACCTCTCGGCGCACAAAAGGTCTGTCTCTCCTCGTTTGGACGCGGCTGCGCAATAGTCTCCAAAGCATTTCGATGTCGCGGCAGCGGCCCCAAAAGGTACGGCATGCCGTATTACTTGCAGAGACAAGAGACTGACTGCATCCCATGGGGCCAGGATGGACCGAAAGAATAAGGGGAACATAATGATTGTGGCATTTGCCTTGTCCCAAAATCTCAAGCCTGAGGGTATCACAGTCAAGATATTGACGTTCTTCCATGTCAGCATGAAACCAGTTCCTCACTCCACTGGACCAGCGCTCTTCAACAATCCATATCTTTGCTGTGCCGGCTAGAGCCACAGCCTTACAGATGTCAAAACAGTACATTCGACTCCAGCACCTTCGTCTTGCCCTGTCCTTCGAAACAGCACAGCGATGCTCTTGCGTCTAGCCTCGTCCAAAAGATATTCATTCGAGCTGACAGGTGGATCTTCACTACCATGAACTCAACTTACGGGTTAGCTGTTCGTATGGCTCGTAAAGTTGTTGCTTCTGGTGGTCCTGATTCGCCTTGAGCAGGTCGAGTGTCTCTTCCAAGTTGACAAGCATCTTCTCGACTTCTTGACCCACCTTTTCCCATTTCCCAAGGCCCTTCTGCTTCTGCTCTGTGGAGATGAGGCCCGGCGCTTGTGAATTCTGAACGATGTCCCGCATCTGTATCAGGACCGCTTTTGTACGCAGCTGTACTTCTGCCATATCCTTGAGTCCAGTGGCAACCTGCGCCCCGGCTGCTTTGTCGTTCAGGTACCAGTTCAGATTCTTCTGAGTGATTTGGATGGATTTGACGGAGGTTTCGACATTTTCCTGTCGCTCTTCGAGCGCATCCTGTGTCTTCTCCATGGTGCTGAAGTCGCCAGGCGGCGACAGCTTGAGCTTGTTCATGCCGGTGACAGCCTCGTCGGCAGCGTGGAGCTGGCTGACTTTTGTGATCGTGGCTGCGGAACACGAGCGCCTTAAGGGGAAGGACTTGTGTTGGCAAACGTGGCTTTGACCTTTCAATGCTCTTGGAGCCTGTCGAAATCAACTACTGCCTTGGGATAATTTCATGAAAGCCTTACTGTTCCTTGCAATTTCTCAGCACCGATGGTCTTCAAAACGCGCTAGGACAGGAGACTGGAAGTTATTGAGTTATCTTGTTCACCTGGGCTTAGCGAATCATCAAGAAAGAGGCTCAGGGGCTGGTTGGCAAACACAACAGTAGCAGCAGAGGGGAAGCCAATCACAAAGAGGTAGCAACCTCACGAGCAAGGTAGTGAATCACAGTCTGCACGGTGAATTCGACCACTGCCTGCGGTACGAATCATTGTGCTCGGCTTCTGCTGTTGGATCACTAGGCTCTGCACTCGAATCACCGTTTTTCACCGTGGAAGCAATATTGACTACTCATCTCAGGTGAGGCCCAAGAATGGAATTCAATCGTTCATATATGACCCTGGTGGAAAGTACCATGGTCAACAAGAGGTCAAGAGGAAAGGACTAAGAGTGAATGGTGTTCTGCGGAGATCGTTTGCCGGGAGAATCAACGTCTTGTACCTCCTCTGAATGCGGCACAGGTTCGTTGTCAAGGCTCAATGCCACAATGTGAGAACTGTTCTCTCTCGCTCTATGAAAGCCCTTAACCGATTCCTGCAGAGTTGACAGGTTCGCTTCTCGAGTTGCCTGGCTGGCCCACATGCCCCATCGTAATGCCTCCTCCCGAGCCTGGTCTGTGGCCCATATTGTGTCTGTTCAGCACGTTCTGAATAGTCCTCGACTCCAGGGCCTCGCACACACGACATCACGAGGCTGCCCCAGCGCATCTTCCACAGACATGGCCAACATTGACCCGAACCCGGCGCGGTCTTGTGCAACGGCGTGTGCGGTGGCAGCGTGCAAACTCCTTCCAGCGATGTCGAGACGAGCAGGTGAAGAAATAACGATATGTCCAACACATCTCCCCAAAGCGGGTTGGATGGCTCTGGGGCTGGTTTTCGTAATGTTACGAGACAGGCTCTGAAAGGCTACCTACTCTCTTGGGTTTCAGAGAAAGGCACTGTTTCTCGTGTCGTTGGTAACGGTATATGGCTCTGGATAGGTGTCTTCTGTTCTTGAGGGTACCGGGACGTGTAGATTATGGAGAATTGGACGAAGCACATATTGATACTTCATTCAGTGATATGGCTGACCAGTCGTAAAGAGTGATTAACTATTGGCAATGAGACTCAACCTCGCGTGTCAGACTTCATTCACTGTCCCTTTCCCTCGCAGCTTGATTAACCTCTCCCATTGCCAAGAGAGACGCCGTGAGGGAACTATTGATCACGGTGATGCTGGGTTGACTTCTGCTTCATTTTCAGTTCACGAGTTGTCTTGATAGTCAATGCCAGTCACGTTCGCACTACTCGACAACCGCTCTTCCTGTGTAGTAGTCCAGTACAGTTCTCCATATTTTACTCGGATGCGCAGCTCTCAGAAACGTATCCTGTGAACAAGACAGTGCTCAGAGCCGGAACCACAGCTTTGGGAGAAGGGTTGCGGGTTTTAGAGAGCATATCTCGGCATCGAGCCGTCCCATGGACAAGATTCAGAAGATCAACAATGACTTGGGCGTTGTGCTGCGTTCGGGTTGGCTTGAATGAAAGGGCTAGTGGGCTGTGCTGTTGGGTCACCATTTGCGCTCTGACAGGAACAGCAGCGTTCGGCATCTAGTGCCACTCAAGAGTAAAGAGAACTCTAGATGAAGTATTGAACTCCCATTCGGACCTACGCGTACACTGGACCATTACCTATCACTACCAGCGTCCAGGACAGGCGGGACATCATCGTTGTGATGCTATTGACAGGGCGTTGTTGAAAGATGAAAGGAGAATTCAGCCTCGTCGAGTATTTCACGTGACATAGACACAATGTGGTTGTAGCGGCGGAAGAGATTGATTAACTAACTAATCTAAGAGGGAAAGACTGGCCGCTATATGTAGTCACTCGTAACTGAGCGCAAGGAGGGGGAATACTAGGCTGGGCAAGTATCCCGACGCTAATATCACAACAAGGCTGAACCTATTATCGATTCCAGGAAGCTCCGTCCCTTGCTAGACCAGGCAGTTTATTTTAAGCAGTCAACCGTGTCCGCCCACTGTGATATCAACTACTTGTATGAGGTGGCGATCAGTTCCATTGGTCTTGAGCAATGGTCTTTGCCAGCTCGAGATTCCCCGAGTAGTCAATGGCCACGTCTACCAAAGAGACGCCTTTGTGTGCTAGGGCTTCCTTGAGGACGCTTTCCACCTGAGATGAATCGGAAATCCGAAAGCCCTTGGCGCCGAAGCTCTCAGCAAACTTGACAAAATCCACGCCACCCAGCTTTACACCTGATGAGCGATTGTATTTCATCACCTCCTGAAACTCGACCATGTTGAAATGCTCATCATTCCAGATGAAGTGGGTGATGTTACACCCTTGTTGGACAGCGGTCGACATTTCCTGGGACGAGAACATAAAGCCGCCGTCGCCGCTGACTGAGACGACTTTCTCGGAGCATGGAGGTTGTTGTGCAAGACTTGCGCCAATGGCCCAAGGAAGACCTACACCTAGTGTTTGCTGCCCATTTGAGCACAGGAGCCGGCGAGGCTCGTAGGCGAAGAAGTATCTAGCCAGCAGTCAGCGTCGTCTGTACCAACCTCTGCAGGGATTGTCTACCTACCTCATAAAGTAAATGTAGACGCTGCCTACGTCGACACAGACTGTGGTGTCTTTAGACACGAGACTTTGGAGAACAGTGATGAAATGGAGCGGATGGACAAGACCGGATGACCGTTTCACATCAGGTAGCTCCTGCCACGAGAGGTATTCCTCCCGGAGACTCTGGCACATGTCTGAGATCGAGGCCTCGGGAATGTGCTGTAAATGCTTCGAGATGTAGGCAACGTTCTCAGCGATCGAGCCGACCAGTTCCAGAATGGGGCGATAAGCTACCCCATAGTCTGCGGCAGTAACGTCGATATGAACAATGCGTCCGTCGCCTTTGGGATTCCAAGCGCTTGCATCGTACTCGACCGGGTCGTAGCCGACAGACAGAATCAAGTCAGATTTTGCCAGCAATTTGTCGCCGCACTGGTTTCTGAAAAGACCAACACGGCCATAGAAGACGTGTACTAGTTCTTTGGAGATTGCCCCGGCCGATTGAAACGTTTCGACCGTCGGAAGGGGGAACTTTGAGAGCAGCTTGCGTACTTCATCGACGACTCTCGGAGCGCTGGCTCGCAGTCCAAGAAACAGAACGGGAAGCTTCGCATTTTGAATCATCGAGATGACCTCATCAAGGTGCGAGGTAGGAGCTGTGCCATATTTCGGTGGAAGAAAGGCCTGGCTTTGGAACGGCAAAATCTTGGATTTGTTTTTGGAGACATCAATGGGAATGCTAATGACGGCGGTCCCCTTTGGCGAGGAAGAAGTTGTTCTGAAGGCATTCAAGATGACCTCGGCAGCCTGGTCCTCGACGTCGATTGAGACGGCCATTTTTGAGGTTGGTCCCAGGATGTCAAGGGCTTTCATGCTTTGGTGAGTCCTGTGCAGCTGCATTGCTCGCGGGACACTACCAATCAGAGCAACGACAGGGTCACATTCTGTGTTCGCAGTGACAAGACCTATGTGCCTGTGTCAGCCTCCATGCGCGGGTTCTGGTGGGAGCTTAGCACACCGGTCGCGAGGTTACTTGCTCCTGGTCCGCTGGTGGCTATGCAAACCCCGGGTGTACCAGTGATGCGGCCTAACGCCGCCGCCATGAACGCTGCATTCTGCTCGTGTCGGGCGACAATGAGCTTGATCTCAGGGTGGTCTTCAAGACAATCGAATATGGCATCTATCTTGGCTCCTGGGACACCGAAGACATATCGGACTCCAGCATTGTACAAGCTGTTGACAATGATCTGAGCAACTGTATCCTCGGCCATGGTGTGTGCGGGTTCGTGACGGGAGAAAAGCTCAGGCTGCCAATATTTCAGCCCATCGAGTACTCTGAGTCAATATGGAAGAATTCAAACAAAGGAGACGAGCAGAAGGAAGATGGACGATCACAATATGGAATGTGGAATATGGAATATGGAATACGGATCATGAGTGACAATGATGAAGGACAAAAAGCGGCAATGGATGGATGATGTAATCGAATGCTATTGGCTGAAATGACCTCATCTCCGTGGTTGCCGGCAGCACCCAAAACACCCATAACACCCATATCACCAACCTATTTTGTACGAGTACGTTCAGGTAGTTGTTCATTGTTAATCAGTAATCCTCGAGGAATTATTTCACTCCAAGATCTCCAATGGCAGTCAACGAGATATATCAGTACTCCCTGGTGAATGCTCTCATGAGCGGAGTCTCGGACTCTGGCATCACAGTCGCTCAGCTCATTGAAAAGGGTAATGTCGGACTGGGCACCTTCGTCAAGATGAGAGGAGAGCTGGTTCTTCTCGATGGCAAGGTCTACCAGCTCCAGGCCGAGGGCAATGTCCGAGTGGCAGGCCCCGACGAACAACTCCCATATGCAGTCTGCACCAATTTCAGAGGTCAAGACACCGTCAACGTAACTCTCGAGGACAAAGACTCGGTCGATGCTGTGTTGGAAAAATTCAACAACCATGCAAGCAATTTGTTCATGTCCTACCGCATAGAAGGAAAGTTCAAAAAAGTAAAATGCCGAACCGTCAAGGGCCAAGAATATGAGGACCAGGTACGTGACTCATTCTTGCTGCCCGAACAGGCTGACGGTCCCCAAAGCCTCTTTCTGAGCTTGGAAAGTCACAGTTCGTCGCAGAGTACGAAAACATCGAAGGGACAATCGTTGGCTTTCGTACACCCGAAGCATGGCAAGGCTTTTTCGTCGCCGGCGAACACATGCACTTCATCTCCAAAGACCGCAGCGTGGGCGGACATGTGCTACAACTCGCCGATGCCGATGTAAGTATGGGCATCGCGACGATCAACAACCTCCACCTTGAACTACCGACCAGCGAGAAGTTCAACGCGGCAAAGATGTCGACGGACGATGTCGGCCTGAAATCTGTCGAGGGCTGACCTGACCGTCCCAGAATCAGTCTTTTTGAGTGAAACATTTCTCCCCAGATGGGGCCAGCGTACCAAGTCACTCGAGCAGTACCATTAACTTGCATACGGATAGACTCACCGAAAAGGGTTACGGATGGAGAAGAGCAGATCGCTGCCCAGTTTGAATTCAACCTTTTGACTTTGTGCCTGATTTTGTTGTCGATGTCTCAAGGTTGCCCACTTTCTCTTCCCTATAAATATTCCTCACACCCTTTCCACTCTTGCATCTTTATATATACATATTCGCAGCTTCACCGTCTCTCGGCTTGACCAAATCAATATTCGAAACACCGCAGAATTTCAGAAACCATGTGTATGTCACCCGTGACAGATGCAGAGAACACCGTTGAGCTGACATTTCGTTGCAGATGCACCTACGAGACCCAGTTCTAGCAGAGGTAAGCAATCAACAAAAGCCGATCCAAAGAGGCTCTCTCTTTACTGACAGGCACAGCGGGACAGGTCCCTCCCTGGATGTGCGCCGACGAGCCACAGTATACGAACTCGGATAGCTCGTATCCGGAGTCGACGACTGGTTATCAGTATGTTTCGCTCATCCATTCCATTCCTCATTTCCATGCCTCTACCACCACCACGTGAAGGTGACTAACCCCGGACAGGGCTCCCCCAGCGACAGTAGTGAGAAGCCTCGACGGGACTTATATCGGGGCCTTGAGGGACGACCTGGAGGACTTCGAAGAGAAGATGACGCAACAGAATAGCAGCCGGGATCGAAGGATCCTTGACTTAGAAGCACACGTGCACGGACTCCCAGAGGAGCTCAACCGCATAATAAAGCACAACAACAACACTACCTCGACCAAGGTCGTACGGGAATTCGAAGCCAAAATGACTGCCATGATCGCTGAGAAGCTCGACGTCGCCGACGCCGCCATCGCCGACACGAATTCGGCACTCCACACCAAGATGAAGGACATGATGGACGCGATAATCGCGGACACCGTCGTGCCCCGAACCACGGAGCGAGTCCTGGAATACGTCCAGAACGAAGCCATGCCGCAGACCAAGCAGGAGTTGCAGGCCGATCTGACGCGAGAAAAAGAAATACTACCCCTCGACAGTCTCGCCAGCTACGTGACGCAAGGGGCCGAAGCCAGCGTGCACAAGCTGGGCGTCCAGCTCGAAGCGAGCCTGGAGGAAAGGCTGACGGCCCACCTCGAGGCCAAAATCCGGGAGCAGCTGGAAACCGACATGCGCGCCAAATTCGAGGCCCTCGAGACCGAGATGAAGGCCGAGCTGACGACCGCGTTCGGGACGGCCAGCCGCGGTTCCGCGTCGGACATCAGACGCAAGGTCGAGGAGGACCTGCGTTCTGCGCTGAGACTGGAGATCTACATGGAACTGCAGGAGAAAATGGAGGCCAAGTTCAACGCTCTCGAATCCGGCATGGCCGCCAGGATCAGAGAGCTGGAGGATCGTCTCGCCCTGGCCCTGGCCGAGGCCCAGGCGGACGATGTGGTTGTGGTCGAGCGAGAGTAGAATTTGTGGATTATGGGACATGGCACATAGGACATAGCAAGGCGTCATCATGGGGATTGATTGGCAGACAGGGCATATTGATTTGGATAAGCCACCAACAAAACTATCATTGAACAAAATGAGATTCTGCTTCATACCTTAGGCTCAGGCTCAGGCTCAAACAGCAAAGTACAACGGATTGGCAACTATTACAGAAGGCGAGGAAGGCAAGGCGAGACAGCTTCATCACAATCACCGTCAACGAATGTTAGTGAATTCAAACACTCCACAACCACTGTTCCCGATCCACCTCGGCAAAAGCCTCCTTGATCGCCTTCTTAGCCTGATTGACACACTCCTTCTCATCCTTCTTCCATGTCTCCAAGCGGCCGAGTTTTCGTCCGTCAACAATACGATCGCCGCCCATGAGAATTGCACTGGCGAAGCAGATACAATTTGTCCCCTTCTCTTCGGGACTGGTGTGCGTGCCGTCGGACAACGTCGAAACCACGCCAACACACTTCTCAAAGACGGCAAACATGTTCAAACGCGCCACGGGGACAGTACACCGGTTGGTGTCTGCAACCGACGCATCGAAGGATTTCTGCGTCGCTTCGGCGAGATCGAGCAATCGCCGCTCCGGGGCCAGCGATTCACGCGATGTGGTCGAGCTGCTTCGTCCTACTTTGCGCGTACCTGGAGGTTTCGAAGCCTTGGCTGCTGCATCGTTGACGCTGTCCCAGACATCGTCGCTGACATGATAGTCCTGCTGCTTGACGCGGAACAGCAGGCAATCGACCTTGCTCAGATCTTGCTCACTCTGCGCTCCCAAGCCCGCAGCTCGACGGGCAGCATGTGCTGGGATGGCCATGCACCAAGCGTCGCTGCTGTTCCTGTTCCGGTGGCCCTTTTTGAACTTCAGCCGAGCACCGACGTACCTGCTCCAACAGGCACGGAAGCTGCCCTTGGGTCGACTGCCAGCAGGGAAGAATACGCTGCTAAATTGCTCGCAGAGGCTCTCCAGAATTGGAATCTCTTCAAGTCCGCCAAGTTGTCTCAAAGTATTGTACGAATGCAGGACGGCTCCCACGTAGTGTCGATAGTTGAACAGTCGCATGCCGTAGTATTGGCACGAGTCGAGAATCTCCAGAAGCTGGTTTCCCGCAACCCACGGCGATTGGAAGTATATGTCCCAGCACTTGTATTTGGCGTACGCTTGCAGATCAACGCCGAGGTTTTGCAGGTGGTAGGCTAAAGTCTGTGTACAGCGGCACGGGAAGCATGTCTTATCGTTCAGTATTCTTGTGACCTGGGCTGAAGCTTGCTGGGCCAGTCTGAGCGCAGCCAGACGGCACTTGGAGATTTCATTGGCGGATTCGAGCGATGTCAGATAGCTTTTGTAGCCTTTGGTGAGCAGATCAAGTCCTAGGACAGCAGACCAAGGTTGAGTCTTCTCGTCGGTACGAGTGATGAGATAGCCTACGTCTGCGTACACAGGGGTGCTGTTTCTGATAATGCTTGGTGGCACAACGGTGGTGGCGACCAGATGGACAATGTTGTCAACTATCGCTTCGGTAAACTGAGGTCTGGCTATGCCACTATCGTTGGCCGGCGCTTGAATGTACTCGGCGGGTTTCTGGATACAGCCAGCGCAGGATGGGATGATCAACTTGTTGTGTCCTTCTCGATAATGAAGGAGTGATCGTTCCAATTTTTGAAGATCATCTAACATGATGTGGCTGGTACTTTCACCGTTCTTGGTCTCGGTGCCCGACCGAGCACAGCACATTTGATGTAGTCCCGACAGGCTAAGCTGCTCATCATGCTCCAGCAACTCAACCCCGACCTGACGTAGCATGGAAAAGGCAACATTGCTAATGAACGCGGCCACCGTGAACGATAGTTTGCCTTTTGCAGCCAACTGCCAGCAATGTTCAGCGGACGAGGCTATATCTTGGATACGCTGTATTGATCAATAGCCTGCAGCTGACAATATAGAAATGTCTCTTACCTGAACAGCCGCATTTACCTCCAAAAATGTCCCGAGTTCATCGTCGGCGAAATGAACCTCCAGTCTCTTCCCGTCACAATTCGTTGGGGTGGTTGCCGTGCACTCGGGACAGGAGGAGAGTGCATTCTCTTCGACTTCATCCTGGTCGTCGTTGACATGCTCCACGTCCAAACCAACATACGAGTTAATTGAAGATTCCGGCGACGGCGCTGAGCTCGACTTCTTGTTTCCCGGCTTATGGTCGCTGCGACCACAGCAGGCGCAAAGATCTTTGTAGATCTGAGCGAGACTAGCGAGCGAATCAGTTCCTAGATAGCGGACTGATTATTGGATTATCTTACCTCGTTGTGAAATGCTCGTGATTGATTGTATCCACATCCTCGGTGGATTCGTCGATCTGGGCACGCCAGTACTTGCTGAGTCGCTTGCGAGCGGCGATGGTCTCTCGAAAGTAGAAATGAACAATGTCTGGAATTGATCGCAGATTTGTTGCCGCAATCTGGGCCAGTGATTCCAGCTCTTTGATCGGAAGGGTCTTGACACGCCGGTTAGGCGAGGGGCTGTACTGGATCAACCAGCCCACCAATGCACGGCTGCCTTTCTTGTACCGCACATATGCGTCCAGAACATCTGGCGGCAAGCCGCTGAACGTAATCTTGTGTGATGGATTCAGCAGCATCGTGTTGGTTCGCGGTAAGACTGCTAATAAGCGTGAAGCGTTCGTGTAGGGGAACCTACGGGGCTAGATTTCGGCCGATGGAAAGGTCCCGTGTTCCGTCCAAGAAGGGATTTGCCGACACGACACTCTTACCTGAAGTGGTATCAATGAGGGCAGCAGCCACTCGTTATATACCCAGAGACCGTGCTCTCCTCATTACACCTGAGGACAATGACTGAGCCGATCCACACGGCATTGCGCAAGTGATGTGAAGGCCGTCGACGGCTGGTGCCCCGCCATCGTGAACATCATATCTCTTTTCTGGATGCATCATTGGCCTTGCAAGAAATGTTTGATCCAAAAGCAGTTGATGATTGGTAAAAGCGAAGAGAGAAACAATTCGAGGACCTTAAGATGCCGGGTGTCACATGGGAGTCACGTGAAGAACTAGGTACAATACAGGTCTTAGTCAGCGTCCTCTCGGCAAACCTGCCGCAAAATGATTCAATACAAGAATGGCCACAATGGCTGGCTTCATGAAAGTGAAACAAGGCACGCAAGAGTAATCTGAGGACTCAATCATTTCCTATCAGGTACATAAAACGAATGCGGCACCAGTGCTCATCATCGTCTGTCGTCATCATCGTCGTCATCAGCAGCGCCATAGCGAAGGTATCCTGTCAGCCATCATTGCACTCGTCGTCGTCGTCAAAACATTCAATTGGTATCAAAAATCGTTGCCCGTCAATCCCATTCACAAAAAGCCCGCTACTCCTCCTCTGATAGTCTCTTGTAATAGTGTGCGGGCATGCTCCTCTTGCGGTCCGCCATGAGTTTCAGAGACTTGCTGAACCCCGCCATCTCTTCGAGAGACTTGGTATGCCTGTGCAGGTGGTAAGGCTTCTTTGCCTTGGCTTTGGCCTGCATGATGGAAGGCTTCCTGGGTGGCGACGACTCATGTTCGAACGTGACTCGGTTGCGCACGTCACCAACCTCGACGCCCTCGTTGACCTTCTTCGCGTCGATGACACGATGCGAGCCGTTGTCATTGGTATTTGAGGCGCGTCGATCAAGTGGACACCGTCCGTAGTCGCTCGCCAGGGATCCTATGGAGAACAGCCTTGAGATTCGCGAGGGTCCTGCAAACTGGGCGCGGAGGTCGTCTTCGCCGATGTACGTTGACCACAGGACGTTGCTGTTTTGTCTGGCCCAGTCGCTGGGGTTGATTTCGGTCATGTTTGTGGCCTGGGACGGCGGTGGTGGGGTCAAGCGCCGGCCGAGCCTTGTGGCCATCAACGTCCAAGTCTTTGCCAAGAGGAGAATGAAGCCGACAATGGCTAGCGATGACAGGATCACCAGGCCGATGATGCTGCCGACGAAGGCTTGAGGAGGAAGATCGCGAATTTGTAAGTGATGCAGCAGTTGTGAAGATCGAATCACTGTCGTTCTGTGGAGAAGCCCATCAATCAATGGTACAGGTGCCATTATGCAAGGTTCAGTGAGCAGCCGTGGCAGTGTCTAGAGTTGACTCAACAGAATGATCCAGTCGCTGGTCAACCTTGGATGGAGAAGTGTGAGAGCTTCACAGGAAGGTTCTTCGAGTTGGGTGGAAAAGAAAGGAGCGAACTGAATGTAATATATGAGGTTGTAGAACTTGCCTGTGGAAGGCTATATTATAGAATTGAGAGTTCGAAGGCTGGTATGCTTCAGTCGAGGGATCCAGCCTTAATGGTCCGTGCCATGTTCCTTGCATTCCAGAAAACCCGCGTCTTTTTGGTGGCCGGGGCGCGCAAGGACCTTTCCCCAACCTCATGAAACTTGGGATCTCGATTTCCCATGGTCAGTGCGGCGTGAAGGACGTTCCATTGCGCAGCGGTCCCGGCTGTTACAAGCTACGGGATAACCTCGACCGCCAGACCACCATCTGTCTGAACTATTTCAGCTAAGGCCCCGTGTCGAAAGTACAGCGCACGTGCATCGTGTGCTTGACACAAAAGGACTGTTCCGTACGTTGTCGTGACATGGCCTCTTCGCAGTCGATAAAAGGCGCCGCCTCACCGATGCAGCATGGGGTGAGCTAGAAGAGCGTCGACAGTGACGCTGCCGCCCGATCGGTTTAGTGCTAGATATTGTTGGTCGAGAGTATTCAGCGGTGACACAGGCGTGGGCGGCTGAGCTTCAATTGTTGGTACCTCCCTCATGGCTCGCACTGTGCCTCCTGCGAAGTATGTGGCCTGAGCAGACGCGTCATCCCTCGCATACTCTCTAGGGTCATAGGGACGAAGGGCCGTGGCTTCTTGATACGCCTGGTACTGCTGCGATCTACTCTGATAGATTTCATGCCGTTTCGGTCGAGGACGCGGCGGAGAGTATGGTGGTGGAGGATCTAGGTGGTCCGGCGGTAGAGCTACCGCTATTTCCACGCTCATGCTTTTGCGTCGATCTTGCGCCTGTTGAGCGTGATAGACACCAGCATTTCTGTCCGGCAGAGTGGTATAAAACTCTTGCGCTGATTTTCGACGATAAGCCTTCGGCTTCGTATATGGTCCATTGCCGGTATGAATTCTCAGCTGTGGCCGGCATGTCGGGGTGGGTGACGTTGTCCTCGGTCGAGGAGGCGGTCCCGGAAGTGGTTGATATGGATAGTAGTAGTCAGATGGCCTCCGCATATGGGCTCTTTGAACTGGTCGATACTCCACCGGAAGATTATCCCAAGACGGGACATTATGTTTCACGGGAATTTGAGTGGACGTAGAAGAGGAGGTCGACAATATGACGCTGGACCGAGAGTGTCGGAGCTTCGAGCGTACATGAGAGAAGAAATCGTGACCCTGGGAAGCCATGGTGAAAGCTTACGTTTCGAGGCTCAAAGGACAGACAAAGTAATGAGACGGCAGCACGGTCTTAGAGCATGAAATACTGTCCAAGAGAGAGGTATTCGATGTCGGATCCCATATAGCGATGAGAACTGGCCTAATACGGCTCAGATCCAACGTATAATATTAGTTAGTGTCTGTTGTTGGATGGTTAGTGAACAAGGGATATCTCGCCAAAGCTGGTCGGAGGCGAAGCTAGACACTGCCAGGAATTATAGTGGAAAAGAGGACGCCGCAGCCCTTTGATTCCTTCAAATCCCACCAGAGGCAGCCCTGCAGCGACAAGAAATAGCAGTACGGCCATGGGTGATGGAGGCAGTCAGGGCAGACAGTGGGATGGTCGGTTGTAAGCTTCGACGGAGTCAGGCGACGATGGATGCAAGGGGCGGGTTTCGTGTTAGTCGCTGCCATTTTTGCAGTTCGCGGGTCGACTCTAAGCAGACAATAAACCAACCTGTCGGCTGTGCCAGAAGTCTCTCATTGACTTCTCGAGCAGGCGTTGGCCCCCCATTGAGAAGCGTGACAATTCTCTGCTCGGCTGTCAGTGAGAACATAAAGCAATGCAGTTGCAACCCCCTGGACTCAGAAATTTGAGCAAGAGTGCCTGATCATCATGCCGGTGATCTTCAATTTTGACGAAGTTAACGCGGAGAAGGTGATCTTATGCAATCATACCCGAATGAGCTAGAGCTGACCTTGCTGAGGCTATGATAAGCTCATGGGGGAGCTAGCCCCCAATCCTTTCCGTTGTAGCGTCTCGATGTGAGGGTTGAGGAGTTGGGGGCCGATGATGGCCATCAGGGTTCGGCCGTTTCAAGGCTCGCGAATTTGGGCGGGTTGAGTAAGGTCAGCTTCTGCAGTGAAGGATCCTATACGCCTTTCGGACATGTTATGGCATACATACGAGTACCAATACCAATATGAGGCCCTCGCGGGATGTACCTCAGATTGGACGCCTCGGCCGGATATGCCATGGCGGCTTCCTGTTAAGGGCCTTCTCGGCGAGCAAATTTGGGCGCTTAACGCGCCCAGAGATTTGTTTTTTTCTCTCCTGGGCGATAGCCATCGGCGACATTTGCGCCCAACGAGGGGCATGGCGGTTTGTGCACCAGGGCCCCTATTTAGTCCGTCGACGGCGTAAAATAAAGTACAAGCCATACTTGAAATAGGATAGCTCGCATAAAATCGTATAAGCGTATCGCCCAAGGATTTATAGAGGTCTAGATATCCGTAAATCTTTAGGCGTAGCCCTTACTATTTTTTTACGATTTTTAGCCTTTACTACTACTATCGTTACGCCTTTATTTTATATAAATCTTCTCTTTTAGATATCCTCTAATAGCGATAATATCGATATCGAGGCTACTCCTAGCTCTATTACCTCTATCGATACCCCTAAAAAAAGTCGAAGTAAGTCGTTAAAGTAGAGAGGCCTAAAATATAACTAGAGCGAGAAGATAAAGAAGTTCTATCTAGATTTATTAGTAGAGGGTCTACTAAAGAGAGAAAATAATATCTAATTAGATAGTTTCTAAAATTATTGCTATTAACGCTTTAAGGGCGCGGATTTCTTTAAGATCTTCATTAAATAACTTAATTCTAAGCGAGTAGCGTTATCTAAGAAATAAAGAATATAAAAGTCTCTCTACAATAATAGTAACTAAAGTTTTAATAAAGCGATAAATATATTAATAACGAATAAGAAAATCTAGATAAATACTATCTATATTAATTACTTAGACTATACTAAATTCTTTTATTATAATACTTTAAAATAATATAAAGAGATAAAGTTAGTTTACTTTAATATATATACTATAGATAAATTTATAAGAGAGCTAAATAATAACTTTACTCTAGAATTAATAGAAATAGAGTCATTATCGTTATTAATTTTAGTTAAAAGAGCTAGATAATCTATAGTAGTATCTACTTTTAAAAGAGCTTATAAAGGTAATTAAATAGCTAGTAGTTTTTAGGCTATTATAAATAAATTTCTTAATAAGAAGATAATCGAGGATACCATTAAGTTACTTAATAAAAAGACCGACGATATATTTAACTATAAGTATATCGTCGCTATTAAGATTATCTCTTAAAATCCTAGTACTTAATATATCTTAAAGCTAAAGAGAAGAATAGTATAGTTATAAAATAAAATAGAGGAATTTATAAAATAAAGAGAAATATAAAATTTATTAATAAAGAATTCTTCGAAATTTAATATTATTTATCTTAATAATAGTCTTATTATTTATTATTTTTAAAGATATTTCTCTTATATTATCTATATATTAAAGGTAATTATATCTCTTTTATTAATTATCTTTTATATCTTTTATTTTAGCTCCTTAGAAGTTAGCTTATAAGAAAAAGAAGAAAATAATATACTAGTAAATTAAAGACGCTTAACGTTAATAGTAGTCTTTTTATTAAATATTGTATAATTTCTATTAAATCTAGCGATAAAGTTAAAGAGATCTATTAAGGTATAAATAAAATAGATTTATTAAAAAGATTAATTAATTATCTCTTTAAAATTATACTTAAAATCCTCTTTACTTAAATATTAACGTTGTACTTAAGCTATCGCTTAAGATATTAAAATTTTCTCTTAAAAATACTAAAGATATACTTAATAGAATTACGTAAAGATAAGTATCGTAGATTAAATAGCTTTTTCTATATTTACGGTCTTTTTTTCTTTATATTAGTCTACTTATATAAGTAGTATCTTATATTAGTATATAGTATAAATATAAACTAATAGTTATAGAAATTAATATTCATAAAATAATATTTACTAATTAGTAAATAAAATCTTTTAATTAAAGTATATCTAAGAATAGTAATATTATATATAAATTCTTTATATCTAGTATAGATAAATATAAACTTTATAGTATTTAAATTATATATCGTAAAAATATTTTATAAGAGCTATTTCTTTTTATTTCTTTATTAAATTTAATCTTAAAAAGATATAAACGTAGGTATATAAGTTTTATCGATTATATTGTAGATATCTACGAAAAATTAATATCTAAGATTATCTTAGATAATTTTAGTCGATAAATTAAGCGCTAACGATTATACTATCTCTTAAGTATATAGAGACGAGAGAGCGTCGAGGATCTAATAAAATAATTTTAAGATAGTATTAAAAGAGTATCTAAATATCTTAGAGACGACTATCTAGCTAATACTAAATCAATAAATATATATAAAAATAGCGACCTTTTTATTTTAATCTATATATCGCGAGGATAGACTATTCTTTTTATAAAAACTAATTACTCTATTAAAAGTCTTAATTAATATCTTTAACTAACGCTAAAATAATTTAAGGCGATAGCGTTAAAGATAAAGTTTTTTTGGTTCTAACGATAGACGAAAAGAACGAGGGACTACGGTATCGAAGTGCTAAGTAACGACGGTAAGAGAGAGGATAAGTATAAGCTCCTCGTCGTCTATATTGTTGGCGGCGACGAGGTTAAGAGAAGAAGATATAGAGAGATAGTTAGACGACCCTATAAACCACTAGAGATGGCTTTACAAAATACAACAATAGACGACGTTGAGAAAACACTAAAAATCGCTATATAAGACGCGATTTCGCAACTACGCGGGGGACGACAACGTGAGTCAGTTTACCCAAAATTATGCACTAGGGTACCCTGTCATGCTTACTACACTAGCAAAATAGGTGCAAACCTAGCACTCCACGCGTTGTGCGCCCAGAATTCCTGGGCGCCCAACTCGCCGAGAAGGCCCTAACACATAAATATGCATGGCTTGCCTTGTGGTGCTGCACCTTCACAAGCAATAGAAGACCATTGATCGCGGTGAGGTCGAGGCTGTCGCGTCAAGGCCATGGACATCAGACAATGCGCTCAACTAGAGCTACGCATCATTCTAGGTTGGCATCGTCGAAGGAATCCTTCCCAGACGAGATTCGCGATTCGCACCTGCTGAAGGGCTGGCAACGCTCAGCAACTCATGCGAACCTACCGCCATATGGTCTTTCGTTCATCGGCCGTGGGCTGCTACTCGACGCTCTGCTGACGCCGATCGCAGTGGTAGTTCAAGACTTCTATGCTGCGCTCAATGTGGTCACTCATCGCTTGCGTAGAGGATGTCGCGCACTGGATTGCTGTTTTCTGCGAGAGGCTGGGAAGGCGAGAAACACGGTTCGATTGTCATTTCTCTTCACAAGTCTCCCAGCTGCAGACACTGACCGGTGCACTGAGCAAGACGAGGTCCATGTCGCGTCATGGTGCAACTTGATGACAAGGTTGGTCGAAACATGGACATCTTGGGAAAAAAGCCACCAGTGCCACGTTTCACCTCACCACAAGTTACGAGAAGACCCAAGACCAGGCGATGGCCACACACGCAGAGCTCTACTCGAGGATTGGGCGGAATGGACCACCAAGGACAGTGACCAGCCGCGCCTTGGGCCCGACTGGCAATTTCAGCGACGTGCAATTTCCACTGACGGAAGCAACATGCTAGTATCCGCTCCGCCCGTCAACTCTACCCCTGATCCGTGGCTCGTGTTCCCGTTTTCGAAGTCAACGAACATCAGGCCGAAGAAGTGTTTGCGAAAACAGACTACGAGAGCTGCACACTGTAACAAAAGATCCGGTAAAAGAATAGGTATTACGCAATGCTAGCTACAGTGGTCCTAGCCAGCACCTACTTGATGCGTCCAAAAGATATGCAAAGAATCCTATCTCCAATCATGTTATGTTGATCTCACCACCCTCCCCAGACATGCTTTCCTGTCCTTAGAATGTGGCCATGTGAATCGTGACAAAACAAAAGCGCAAAAAGTCAAGGCGTTTATGCCATGACAACGGCGGCGGCGGCAACGAGACCGGCAAGGGCGAAGGAGCCAGCATTGGCTGAAGCAGCACCAGTGTAGGTAGCAGGGCTGACTGGGCTTGATCTGTGAGAATTGTTAGCGCTTGCTCAATTTTGGCGTGCAGAAATATTCAGGAACACTTACGGAGAGTACGACCAGACGGCACCAGTACCAGTGGAAGCAGGAGCAACTGGGGTGCTGGAAGTGCCAGCTGGCCAGTATGGAGTGGTGGTCTCGCTGACTGGGGCAACTGGGGTGCTGGCAGTTGGCTTGACGGGAGTGCTGGTGGTGCTGATGGAGGAGGTGCTGTAGGTCCAGTAGCACCAGTCGGCGGGAGGAGCGCCGGTCCAGGCAGCAGAGATGGAGCTGATGACCGAGGTTGGCAGGAGAGAGAACCAAGCCGGAGGAGTGGTGGCAGTGTAGCTGGGGCAGAGAGCGGAAGAGCTGGTGCTCACTGGCGCAACTGGGGTGCTCGAGGTGGAGGTCCAATCACCCCAAGTTGGGTCGTAGCTGGTCGAGGTGCTCACTGGAGCAACGGGGGTGCTCGAGGTGGAGGTCCAGTCACCCCAAGTTGGGTCGTAGCTGGTCGAGGTGCTCACAGGCGAGACGGGCTTGCTGCTGGTGGTGGTCGTGGTCCAGTCACCCCAGGTCTCGGTGCTGTCGGCGGCCGCGGAAGTTGGCTTGTATGGGCAGTTGGTGACGGTCGGGCCGCAGGAGGTGATGGTCACATCGTCGGTGACGGTGACAGAGTAGGTCTTGGCCGAAACAGCGGCAACAAGGCCGGCGGCGATGGCGACGGAGGTACGCATTTTGGTGTTGTTGGGTTTGTCGTTTGGGTTCGAATTACCGGAAATCGAAAATTATAAGGGCTTCGAAAGGCGAAGAGGTTGGTGTATTAAAATGAACGTGGTTGGAGCTGAACTCGAAAGAGTGGACGACCGGAGTCAAGGCTTTCTGGATACTGAAGTTCTAGCTTAGTATGCAAAGAGAAAAAGGTCGAGGCTTTGGGCATCTTGAGATACTTGTACTGCTCACGGTAGCCTGGGAGATTGCACCGGGCAAAGCCATTGACAGGCCCCGAGCCGAGCTAAAGCGGTGGACATCGCTCGCAAGAGGCTAGAGGACATGCTTTGATGGCAGTGCCTGGAGATTACATCTGGAGAAGCGCGAGTGATCAAGCAACAAAGACAGGGGCGTCACGGGAGAAAGGAGCTCAGCTGGACCCCAGCGACGGCGAGCTCGACGCTAGAAACTCGTCAAAGCTCAAATTAAGGCTGCGGCAGGCTTGACACCAGCGCAGGTACCAGAGCCTAGCGAGCCCATCTGGGTGGTGTCGAGCCAGTCAGAAGCTGCCTGTGGGCGCCACCGCGTAGACACATGGGCGGTAGAATCTCGCAGGTGACGGGGTTGAGTTCAGGAGATGGCCTGTTAGGTGTCGCAGGCGCCCGAGCAACAACACAGTGGACATCCAAATAGGAGAACCGAGAGCTGTAATTTGGTGGAAAATGCTGGGCTGGAGCCACTTGGGTTGCTCGCCTCTGCACCTCGCTTTTCTCCTTTTCGTCCAGCGATGAGATGGCGATCCTTGCTAGCGGTTTGAGGTCACAGATGAAGTCAGCGGTCAGATGGTGCAATACAAGTAGAGCTCGTCCTCACCGAGCGGCGACGCAAAGCTCCAGTGAGCTCCATCGCTCCCAAGATCTCAAATGCTACGCCGGCCAGAGGATGCAGATGAGATGGAGTTGGGGGTTTCATGTTAAACAGGTTACTCCATGATACTCCCTACCTAGGTACTGTTGGCAAGCCATTCAGGGGGAAATACTCCGTATCGCGGCCTGGATTGGTCCACCACCGGCTCATCATGGCACTTGGCGATCCCCAAATAACAAATGCTCTTGAATTGCGTGGAAGAAGATCGACGCGCCGAGTTGTTCGCATGCAAGACATTAATATTTCGTACTTGTAGGTTGTCTGCTTCGATGATCCACAGAGGAGAAGTGATCTTGCGCTGTTTCACCATAGAAATCCCATGACAGAAGGGAACCGGATAGTCATTCGATAGTCTTCGATTGTGATCACCTTGATCATATCAATCAGCGCGAAAAGCGCGACAGGGCGAGGAGGAGTTCCTGTGTCGACAGGTGCAAACTTGCTGGCTGAGAAGCCACCATTATACGACAAATTACGGAGTATTGCGTGCGGCGCTCTCGATATATGTGGCTGCTTTTCTCCGTACTATCTATAGCATTCTTTCTAGGCGCGTGTTGCGTTTCCGCGTCTGTCACAGTGGCCTGGACTGCTCTCTTTGAGGCTGGCACCAGGCCACAGTAGCGTGGCCTGGTACGGAGTAGGCACTTGCCTTTGCGTGACTTGGCTACCTAGGTAAGTAATGCTCTTGAAGTCTTGTGAGCTGGAGCATCTGCCTTTGACAGGGCATCGACTACTCCGTATCCCACCCAATGATGAAGATCAAGCCAGTCGCCATGAGGCTACGCACACTACCTAGGTACTGACCTTGTTGTGGATTGACAACGCCACCTGCCATCCCAGTCTCACGGAAGATAGACAAGACAGGCTTCAGGCTGACTTGGCGGTTAGATATTTTATTCCCTCTGTACGGATTTAGATATGTCTCCTTTAATGGAGCTTACTGGGCGCGGAAGGGAGACTGCTCCGGGCTTCGGAGGTTTTGCTCTTGAAATAATAAGGACAGGGTTCCCCGCCTGCGCTGAATTCACTGGCCTAGTGCCCTGACCTTCACCATTGGCAATTTTTTCTTCGAGACCTTCTGATGCATGCATACCACTAATGCAGTCCGCCGGACATTGAATTCCTGAACCAAGCAAAGCGAAGCTGTGACTACCGTGATACTTCACTTTGTGCAGCATGTAGCATGTCCAGCCAACAGGGAGGTCTCGGTGATGACGCCAAAGCTATATCAAGCCCTTTGCTTAGCTGCGCTCTCCCAATGGTTTTAAACAAGCTGTTTCCGCGAATTGCAACTCAGCTGTTGTTCCCTTTGGTGTCGGAGCTGAGGCGACTTCCACGGCGTCGGACAAAAATTAACTATCAAGCCTGCAGCGGAGATGACGTGGTTGGTATGTTGTTGCCATCATTCGGACCAACAAGCGACAGTAACATGGTCATGGAGCTTTGAGCATACGAGCACTCGTCCTCGTCCTCGTCCTGTGCTGCCATTGTAAGTTAGCACAGTCCGGAGTATTGTTCACGCAATCTTTCTACAGGGATGTTCCTCCTCGAGTCCTCGTTGCGAATTCGGCGACAGACGCGGGACTGGCCTGGACACGATTTGAACACGGCACGAGTCACGACACGGTTCAAACCCCCTCACTACCTGACTTGGCAGCCTGGGTAATAATGATCGTCACTTCCACCGTTCCCGTCCAATCCGCCGCCTCGAGAAGACTGTCACCGCTTTTCCACCCCGGTGAGAAAAGATCAATAGTGCAGTGAGCTTCCAGTGAGCTTACAGTGAGCTTGGAGTGAGCTTGCATTGAGCTTACTGAGGCTGGCAAAGAATTCTACCCACCTTAGGTACTGTATCCAACGCAATTGGCTTCCGTAGGTCTACCACCAATCGTGGTGGTTAGAGCGGAGATCAAGGCACCTGGTATGATGGACTTGTGCATCATAGATATGGGAAAGGTATCCGAACCACTCAACCCCCAAGACCCATAACAACGTCATGACCAGCCACCAATGATGGAGTTTGCCTTGCTCTGCCGTGATGGTTTCCGGACTCCAATCGCCCCGGATATGACAGCCTTGTGCACTTACCTTACTCTAGGTAAGCACCTAGGTGGGTAGGTACTAGTAGTACTGTGCGTGACTGTGTTAGTGGAATCATCATCGACTGCGTCACAACACTCCCGCGTCATGACTTTGTCACTTCTCCTCTCATACGAGTACTGCCCAGTCACTCCTGTGTAATGGCGGCGAAAGGGCTGATCATACCTAAGTATTGTACCTGGTGCACTCCCGATGTTTGTGGCCGAAGGTCCTGCGCCGTGTCCACAGGCTTGCAGGTCCGTAGGTCCGCCACTGAGCATCCTCTGTCTATGAGCCACGGAAATATGATTCAGAGTCGGCAGTACGAACCTCCACTTGCTTTACTGAATCGGGCTTGTCTCAGCGATTTGCTCGAGTCTTTTGGGTCGTGGTGAGGTCATCTCGTCCGGTATATCCTAATACAGTCCGAGTAGGGATTTCTCCAAAGCAACTAGGTACGGCTGTGAGCTGTGAGCTGTGATAAATAATGTGCTGACGCCCGAAGCTCTGGCTGTTGCTCCTTGCTGTCTTCCCATCTTCCACAAGCAGACACCATGAAGTCCTACATCAGCCTCCTGCTGAGCTTCGGCGCTCTTGCAGCTGCCGCCCCGCAAGTCACTCTCACTCCCTTGAGCGGGCCAATCCCTCCTGTCCGAAGTTCAGAAGTGACTGGTCCGACCTCGCATGGACCATACTCTGGTACACCGACAGTCACTGGTGCCTTGACTGCTCCTGCGGTCGCGCAGTCTATTGCGCCTGGGCCCCCTAACCCAGTCACCTATACCAACAACAACGGTCTGCTTCAAGCTGGCTACGAACCGATCCCATACCAGCCAGCAGGTGGCGCCGGTACCAACGGAAGCCTCCCCTACTATCACCCATTGTCGGACTTCGACTACGAGTCTCTTACCCTTGCTCTCTACCAGGAATGGATTGAACTGGATCTTTTCCACAACGGTTTGGCACGCTTCCCTGCCTCAGAGTGGGAAGCTGCTGGCCTCACCGCTGAGGATCGCTTTTTGATCGAGTTCATGGCAGACCAGGAAGTTGGCCATGCTACTCTATTGAGCAACATCTTGGGCGCAGCGGTACGTTTGGGTCCGCTCATAGGGTTCGATTTTCATACTGACAATGTAATCAGGCCCCTGCTCAGTGCACGTACAACTACCCATTCTCCACTGTCCGAGAGTTTCTCGACTTCTGCCAGAAGCTCACTCGATTCGGTGAATCCGGTGTCTATGGCTTCCTCGGCCACCTGGATTCTCGCGAGTCAGCCACTCTGCTCCTGCAGTCCATCACCACTGAAGCTCGTCAACAATTTGCCTTCCGCCAGATGACCGGCCTCTTCCCCATGCCCGTCTGGTTTGAAGTCGGAGTTCCTCAGGTAAGCATATGCGAAAATATCTCTCTGCAGGCATTATACTGACCTGTACAGTCTTGGGCCTGGACTCTTCTGGCTCCTTACATCTCGAGCTGCCCCGCCAACAACACCCGACTCGCATGGCAAAACTTCCCAGCATTGAGCATCTTGAACCAGCCCAACAGCTTCAAGATCAACCCTAACTTGGGACCTCCATCCAACACCACCGGCTCCAACCCAAGCAACGATACTGGTATCGCTCAGAGCAATGCATGCTTTAGCTCCAAAAACGCCGCCACAGATTGCGGTCCTGCCATCAGCCAAAACAAGTCGATTCCTCTGTCGTACCCCGGACGTCCTGTCCGCCTCTCATGGGGCAATGTCGGCGAGCCTGTCGGCCCCAACAACAGCTACGTCACTTCTCGTTCACCTTTGGCCGACGCTCCTCGTTACGCCATGTTCGTGTCGCAGCTGAACGCCACCTACGTGCCTCTCACCAACATCAGCGGCAACACTGCAGCTTGTATTCAACCCAACATGAGCACCTTCGCAGGTGACCCAGCTGTCAATGGAACCATGTTCTTGGCTATCGTGCGTAACCTCCTTTCACCCAGATACCCAGATTATGACGGGAATTTTCGCTAACATAACCTCCAGACCTCGCAAAACCCATACGTTACTCCATTCAACCTCAGCATGGTCAACCCGTATGTCTACGCCGGACCAGCTCTCTACCAGGCCGGTTAAGGCCTGATAGATAGCGCGCAGGCATGGAAGCTTGGAAAAGTTGCGTGAATGGAGGTTATCACGACTTGCACGTCGGGTCTCACCACCACTGCATATTGGGTGCATGTAATAGTAATGTCTACTAGTTGCTGTCATGGCACTAGATGTATATAAAGTACCGAGTAATGTTTACGCTCATTCAACGAAACATGCCACATTCCAAATCGTCGGCTTGAAATTCGACTGGCACGTATCTACATAATCATATCCCGTTCCCAATTATCTCCCCTTTCATGCGAACTTGAAGCCTGACATGTGCAACTCGAAATAAATCCATATGCTCACCGCATGCAATCTTCTGCCAAATCGAACCCGATCAAATCCTATCACCTTCCCTCACCCTTGCCCAGTCCATCTCAAACTTTTGCCAGCCTCCATTCTCGGGCTCGTCGAACATCTTCAACTCATGCACGACCATATCATAACTGCCCTCCCGGGGCATCTGCCCCTGACACACATTCCCGCCCATGGCAATGTTCAAGAGCACGACAAAATCCGCCATGGGCCTCGTCCCACTTGGGATGGGCGCCTTCATCACGGGCCGGCCGTCGATCCACCAGACCATCCGACCCTGGTTTTGGTCATGCTGCCACCACGCGAACTCGAACCTGACGGGCCGGCCCTGCTGCATGTCGTGCACGGGGGTGGCGACGACACGGTGCTTATCCGTGTCCTGCGGCGTATAAAACCCCCAGTGCAGACACGAGTGATTCACCCCGTCGCCGTTCCACGTCTCGGCGATGTCGACCTCGCCGTCCGTCGGCCACGTGAAGGGCTCGAACGGCAAGAGCCAGAACGCCGGCCAGATCCCCAGCGCGCAGGGCAGAGTCAGGGTCGCGACCAGACTGCCTCGGGCGCGCGACAGGCGTTGTCGCGAAACGAGCCGCGCCGACGTGTATTTGCGCGCTGGGTCGGGGTGGTTCGGTTGGCTGATGGCCCGCAGCACGAGTTTGTGGTCCGGTGTGTGGAACGAGTTGGTCGGCTCCGAGGTGTATTGCTCGATTTCGTTGTTGCCCCAGCCGTTGTTGTTGCCCTGTTTGTGCTCCCAGGACGCGCCCACGGGTGTCGACGGGTCGAAGCTCGGTTGCCAGTAGACGGCCGGCGCACCTGGACCTGGCGCGCCTGGGTGCGTGCCGTGTGGGACCGGAGGTGGCTGATGTTGATGTTGATACTGATATTGAGGTTGGTGTTGGTGTTGGTATTGGGATGCGCCGGGGTATCCCGGTTGAGATTGAGAGTGAGGTTGAGATTGGTGCTTGGATTGATACTCGGACAGCATTTTTTGACCTCCTTGTTGCAGGTCCTTCAGCTGGCCCTTGAGCTGGTTGAGGGTGTCTTTGAACGGCATGGTGAAGAAAGATATCGGAATCAATATTATCTTCCTCGCTTGCCAGAACAGGCGGTCACGCTTCTCAGCAGGAACCTAGACCTAGAATTGCGAAAGTATTCAATCACTGAAAAATCTTGAATGTATATCTCCTATCTCCTCGGGGCGTTATACATATCAATAGGAAGCTGTACGGTCTTGATATTAATATTGACTGCAGGTGGTCACGGTGAGGCTGGTGGCATGACGTTGCCTTCCAAGAAGTCTTGGGATTCTTATGGCGCTTATGCAGTACCGAGTAAGTGCGAATATAAACAATATTCGGTGCAATATCCTCCCGATCTTTACACCTTCACACCTTCACACCTTCACACCTTCACACCTTCACACCTTCACACCTTCACACCTTCACACCTTCACACCTTCACACCTTCACACCTT